AGAGAAGACATACCAGCATGCAACTCTAAAACCAAGTTTCCCGGAACTGGGACGGTCTTAGTTTACAGGATGGTACAACATTGGGAACATCGTAAAAATATAGATTCGTAGGTATATTCTTTGCTATTTACAGTACAAGTTCATGTCTATAGAACCTCCAGTATCAATCTACACCGTCTCAATGTATCGCTTAAACTCCCTATTCACAGTTAGCAACTCTCCACGTTTCTCACCGCGCCAGCTACTTACCAGTCAGTCACAGCCTCTCTCCATACTCGCAACTCATGCTCACGAGTTGCAGTGAAGAAGTCCACGAATTCTCCATCCAGGATCTCGCGTGCAATGCTATCAGCTGCGTTGAACCGCTTCAGAGCTTCTTCCAGAGTATTTGGTAGTAGCGCCGGATGCGTGTTATCCTTCTTCATCGCCGACACGGGAGGCACCTTAATCTCCAACTTCTTCTGTACACCGCGCCAGCCAGCGGCGAGAATAACACTGAGTGCGTAGTGGGGATGCAAGTCCGCTCCAGGGATACGAACCTCGAATCGCGTCGCGCCAGGCTTGCATACCGGTGGTGTGATGAGACGGATGGAGGCCATTCGGTCTTCTAGGCCCCAGCTCACGTTGACGGGCGCCCAGAAGTTCTCCACTAGCCGTTTGTAGGAGTTGATGGTCGGCGCAAATAGAGGCATGATATCTGGCAACGCTTCCAGAATACCAGCAAGGAATTGGCGGCCCAGATCTGACAGCCCAGCTGCATCAGGCCACGGGGCGTTGTCGTCTGGAGTCTCCCGCGCGAACAGGTTTTTGCCGTCGAGATCGCAAAGCGAAACGTGGATGTGACCGGAGCTGCCTGGTTGACCTTGGATCGGCTTGGCCATGAAACAGGGCGTGATGCCGTGCTCAACACCTATTGATTTTGCCACGAGCCTTTGATTGTTAGCTTATACCGGAATAGTAGGGAAGGGTTGCCTACTTGAACAAGGATACTCTGTCGGCCATTTCGCGAACGTCGCATACTTTGAGGGCCTGTCAAATAAGCGACACATTCATTTGAGCGCCAACCAAGGTAACTTACTGCTTCGTATACGCCTGGTCCTCCCTCGGTATGCCACCCCTCGATTCCACAGTTTATTTGCGCACAGGTATCGAAGATGTCGTAAAAGTATTTTTTAAACGCCACTGGTCGAGTTGCGCTGTAGGAGAAACTGCCTGCAGTTATAGGGCGCAGAGATCCAGGTGTGTTCTTTTCGAGGAAGGCTGCGATGTTCTGAGTTTGAGAGCCATTGCTGTATCCGTCTTCTGAGGGGGTTTGGAAATTCATGAACTCCAATTCCACTAATCTTGTTAGATTTAAAATAGGGTATACCGGGATGGATGCGTCACTTACCACCCGCCATTCCTTGGCAGTTCTCTGCGGCAAGCTTATCGCATATCGATTTGAGCATATTCCGGCCATCTGCAGAGATGGTCTGGCCGTTCTGAATAAAGCGCACCAAGAAAAAGGGGATGTCATCCTCCCATGGTATCCTCCTGAATGTGCTCAAATCGGGGACTGCGATAAAGTCCACATACCCGGAGTCCTTGGGCGCGACGTTCGCATCGGTTGTGTAGAGGACATCCTGCATGTCCCAGCCGAAAACTGCAGAGCTAAACCCGAATCCCTTTTCCGCAATGCCTAGGAATTTCTCCTTGGACATGACTTTGCCGCGGAGGATGCCATCGCAGTCAATGCCAGCGACCTTGACTTTGATGTCGTCTGCCAGGAGACTCGAGAGGTTCTCTAATGTGACGTTCGAGGCCATTGTTTCTGGTTGTTAGTTTGCTTCACAGATTGGTTCTGAAAAAGAAGTTGGCCAAGGCAGAGCTTTAAAGAATTCCGGAGAGGACTGCGGAGCCACCGAGCCTTGATGCGACGGCTTAGCTCTCATGGCGTAATCCGCCGCACTGACGCTACGTCAATGTCCACCTGTTTCTTCATTGTGCCGTGTCGTAGAAGAGCAATCATGGATCGGTGCGACATTAACCGCGCCGCAAGATTGACTGCGGAATGTTTACCGCGGACCGCGCTGCGGGGGAAACAAGACCGCGCTTATCGATAAAGCTAACGCCCCACTTACTCTAAATGGCAGCTTATTCATGGATACGGGTTTGTGTTTATTCCTGTTACAATGGTTCTCAAGTATAATTGAATGCGCTGCCGATATGCGGACGCTGAAAAAGAATTGCTTCCATTCATTAGTTAAGCCATCATGACACGAATCATCCGAGTTGCTATCCTGGAGACTGACACGCCCATCGACCCCGTCCTTGATCGCTATGGCACCTACGGCATGATTTTCAACCGTTGGTTGAAAAGGGGACTCCAAGGGCTTGGAGTCTCTGATATCAAGATTCAAACAACAAATTGGGATGTAGTGAATCAATCTGTATATCCTCAGCCGGAGGATTTCGACGCACTCTTGTTGACAGGCAGCAGTACGTCTTCCCAGCTAAACACAGGCGCTTTCTAACAGGTCCAGAACACGATGCGCATGCAGACATACCATGGATCAACGACCTGGTGAAATACGTCCATGACATACACGAGCAGCACAAGAAGCCCATGATCGGTATATGTTTCGGACACCAGATTCTTGCGCGTGCTCTCGGAGCACGCGTTGCCCGGAACGATGTGGGCTGGGAGATTTCAGTCGAGCCATTCCAATTGAGTGACACTGGGAAGCAACTGTTCTCGAAGGAGTCATTGGTAAGATATTTGAGGGGGTCTTAGGTCCGAGCTGACCGATACAGGATATACATCAAATGCACATGGATATTGTGTACGACGTTCCCCCAGGATTCGTCAATCTTGGATCTAGCCCACGATGCAAGGTTCAAGGGCTCTATATGCCACAACGTGTTTTAACTCTACAAGGTCATCCAGAGTATGATGAGTTTGTGGTGACGGAGTTGATCAAGCTTCGACATGCGATAGGGCGCTTCGATGACGAACTCGCTAAAGATGGATTATCGAGAGTCGGGAATCAACATGATGGTGATCTCATTGCGAAGGTTGCTTGTAAACTTATTCTTGGGTGAAATATATACGATCTGCCGTTGGGATCGAGTTGCAGTTATATAGATATACGTCGTATAATATAATTTGTTTCAAAAATTGTGAATCTGATATAGATGTTCACGGTAAAGTTATGAGTACAACGAGCGAAAGTTTGCAAGAGAGTACCAGAATCCTGGGGAATTCAAGTGAACTGTGCAGACTCAGGCTAAAGATTTAGTTGGATCCACCATGGATAATTACCGCGCCCACCCACTTTGCGCTGTCTGCTATCGGAGCGCGCTGTTATCGATAACGTTCTACCTATATCTGAGCTGCGTAGCCTACAAACCTCTTCGCAACGTAATCTCCTCACATATCTCAAAACACACATACAACATCCAAGATGGCAAACCAAATCCGCACACTCTCCCCTGCTACAAACAAAGTCATTTTCGAGCACCCGGGGACGTCCCTCGAAGAAGCTCGAGCTATTGCACAGGCCTCAGAAAATGCCTTCCAGTCCTACAGGCAGCTCTCTCTTGCTGAGCGCAAGGCGATCATTGTCAAAGCATTGAACATAGTCGATGCAAACAAAGAAACCCTTGCCAATGAGCTCACAGCTCAAATGGGCCGCCCTATCGCCTACTGCACAAAGGAGATTGACACTATGCGCAAACGCGCAGAATACCTTCTCAGTATTGCAGACGACAGCCTGAAGAATCTTCCCGGGCAGGCAGAGAGCGGTTTCAGACGGTTCCTGAAGAAAGAACCCCTTGGCGTCACGTTGATTTCAACTGCGTGGAATGTAAGGCAACATGTCCTGGACTACATTCACCCTCTGGTCATAGCCTAACCATCTATAGTATCCGTATCTGATCACAGTGAACACTCTTTTACCGGCCCTCCTCGCCGGAAACACGGTTCTTCTCCGCCCATCTCCCCAAACTCCCCTCCTCGGTGAACGGCTCGTATCATACTTCAATGAAGCTGGGCTACCCACTAACGTCCTCCAACTCCTCCACGTCGGCTCACTCGACGTCCTTGACGAAATAGTCAAGCTCCCCCAGATCAAGCTAGTTTCCTTCACCGGCTCTACGGCTGGTGGCATCCGCCTGCGCGAAGCAACAGCTCGCCGCGTCGTTCCTGTGAATCTCGAGCTAGGAGGCAATGACCCTACATACGTCAGACCAGATGCAGATATAGCCTACGTCGCTGCACAGGTTGTCGACGGGGCCGTCTTCAACTCAGGACAGAGCTGTTGCTCAATTGAACGTGTTTACGTTCACGCCGATATCTACGATAACTTCATTACTGAAGTACAGAAGGAATTGAGCACGTGAGTAGAGCCCCTTTCAGTTTATCCCGGATCATGTCATGAAGACTAACAGAAAATAGATACAAGCTCGGCGACCCCACCGACAAAAACACCACAACCGGGCCGGTAATCTCCAAGCAGGCTCTGAAGAACATCCAGTCCCACATCGACGATGCATTATCTAAAGGTGCTATTGACTCAACCCCTGCCAATGCTACATTTACTTCTTTGCCCGCCGAAGGGAACTTCATTGCTCCTAAGCTCCTTACTAATGTCACGCATGACATGGTCACCATGCGCGAAGAGACCTTCGGTCCTGTTATCCCTGTCATGAAAGTTTCTTCTGATGAAGAGGCCGTCGCGCTCATGAACGACAGTGATTACGGTCTTACTGCTAGTGTATGGACGAAGGATATCAAGGCGGGTGAGGCTTTGATTGAGAAGATTGATGCGGGTACTGTGTATATCAATCGGTGTGATTACCCGAGTCCGGTATGTTTCCCTTTACATGTTGTTCCATGTGGGAGCTTCCATACTGATCGAATTAATCCTAGGACCTGGCCTGGATTGGGTGGAAGAACTCTGGTCTTGGATGCACATTGGGACCACACGCGTTTGACGGGTTTTATAAGTTGAAGAGCTTCCATATCAAGGAGGAGCAGGCTTAGTGTCATTACGACGGAATAATGCGTATATTAAATGGTTCAACCCGGGCAACACCCTCAAGATAGCCTCGACATAACTTGTAGAGACCTTTGCCATATGTCACTCTGTATACCCCTTCCTTTTTCCTACATCTGTCATATTGCGTCTCTAATAATCGACAAGATCAACTAAACATAACTCATAAAAAGAACGAAGCCATTAGACCATTGAAAGTGCATCTCATTACAAGGGCCAATCAACCAGAGCCCACCAAGCAAACTAAAACTACACATACAGCCTTCTCAACCCCCCAAACTCCCCCAAACCCACGACAACAACCCCGTCTTAGGAAGCCTCCTGGAGCAAAACTCCCTCCACTCCCAGAACTCATTCGCATCCACGCCACCACCCGTTTCCTTCCACTCCTCCCGCGGCGGATACGGCGACTTATCAAAGGACAAACGAGCCCCGAACCATGGCGAATCACTATATCCACCCCCAGCATCTGACGCGCAAAGAAGTCGCCCAGTCTCCAACTTCACCGTGTATTCCTTCGGCAGGAACGCCGCATCCGTCAAGAGCTGTTCATTTATGATGCGACGGTTTATCGAATCTCCTAGTATAGTAGGACGGCGTGTGGTGAGCGTCATCTCGATGTTGAATTGAGTGAGGAGAGACGAGCGTTTGGATGGGTTTGCGGGTAGGTCGATGGATTGATTGAGGCATTCTGGGTCGGTGGGTTTCCACTCGAATTCTGCAGCAATCCAGACGACTAGCTCGAGGCGGCAGATTAGCTATTGGGGAGTATCTAGTTTAGTCATGGTGCAATGTTGGTTTGGGGCACACAGGTTGGACGCACTGTGCCTGTGCCGTCTTTGTTGAATGTGATTTGATTGAATTCGTATGGGTCCCAGGACCAGGTTTCTCCTGTTAGGATGGAGAGAAGTGTTTCGCTCATGGTGGCATTTACGGTTGTGGCGACCTATCTAGATATGTGAGCTTCTGCGAGTGCTCTCTATAGGCAATATATAAGATTGTATGCCAATTGACCACTCTGTCCTTACGGTGGTTAGCTAGCTGCTAGCTTACGTCATGCAAGGATACAATGGAGTATGCAAATCTGACACAAAGAACACTAACATTAGCAGAAGAAACGTGGATAGACTTGGTGTTTAAGACTCGAGTTTATGGAGCTTATGTGAGGCCGTACGCTACTGAGACGCTATCCGTACGTAACAGGCGCCCACCAAAATGGATTCTCTTTTAAGCTCTCTTTCAATTGACGTAGCGTGCCATAGTCGGATACTAGAATAAGTGACTCAGGTCTGTAAGCTGTCACTCGTGGGTACACCAATGCCTTCATCAGATCATGATGGCATTTTGTGATGTTTAACCTTGTTTTAGATTCTCTGCGGCATTTTATATATAACGGGAATTGGAGAGGTATAAACATTAGGATCTGTAATCCCGCTGCCTTAACCTTATAGAGGGAATAGGTAGCCTTATTCTCTACGTCCAGGGACCGCAACAGAGTCCATGCTGGGTCGCTTCAATACTACAATTGGATAGTAGCGACGAGCAGACAGCTCAACTCCCTGGATAAAGCACTGGTCACTGCGCAAAGTAGCTCCTAGTTTAGGATTAACTTAAACTACAAACAGCTTCCGCTATACCAAGCAGATTTGAATCATCTCAGCGAGAGTGAGAGTGCCAGAGGCAAGGGATGAATTCATACTGCCGTGTGAATGTTGGCTCTATCTCACTCTGATATCCTCATGAGTCCAGTCCAGCCCCAACATCATACATGATCTATGTATCCGCTTGTAATCCTGCCGGCCGAATTGGAAATCACTTTGTGAAGCACTACAGCAAGGAATTAAATGAAAGGTACAGTATGAGGCTATAAGAGATGAGGGATGCCGGTAGCTAGTCCTCTGCTTTTGGGGGTCTCTGCGGTTGCGCAACGAGGGGACATGAGAATGTCACTGGGGAAGCGATCTTCAAGGGGTTACTTGTGGGGTTGGGGCTATCGTGATTTCGTTAGGGTTCAGCTGTGTACTGTACAGCTGGCCATTGCGGCCAATCTGCATTCATTCTCTGAGGTCTTAGATTAGATAGTAAGACTATCTAAGTAATCACCAATTTCACTGTCTTCTTTACTAAGTAGACAAGTAAGTAGTTCGAGACTAAATAACTTACTAATAAAAATTATTCTACTAACTGACAGAGGCAAAAAGTCTAGGGAAATGGATAAAGGCAGATTGGCCGCCATGGCTGTTCGTAGTGTGCTGTAGATGAGACGGCCTTTGCAAGACAGGGTCGATTAGTTGAGAGACTTCGGCAAGAAAGACAGAAGGAATTCATATCTATAAGACGTAGCAAAGAATGGGAATAGTGTCTAATTTCTGAGCATTTGGCGCGACTATCAATCTAGCCTGAGAGAATGGAGACGCGCGTCAGTGTGCACAGGGACGGAAATCAGCTATTTCACTCACTCTGAGAACTTGAAGTCAACACAAATGCTATTCTAGTGATCTCGCTCGGTCCGAGAACCCGAGGCTTGGAAACCGAAGAAATATCGTTCTAGCTGAGTGCCGGTGACGCATGCTTAAGGAGCAGAGCTGGAGACACCTTGGACGAGAGGCTTTGGCCGGGGCTTCAATAACGGGAGGTGATCTGCTGCAGTACTGAGAGCGTATGCAGACAGTTTCAAATTATTGACAAGGGTCTGATCCTTCCTCGTATTGCAGCTTTGCAAGCAATTTCAGCTCAACGTGCTCATCCCGCAACATGTACACGCATAACCATTATTATGAATTCATACTGTGTATATGCTGCATAACAGCAACTGGATATCTCATCTACCTTCTATGTTAGACCTCTATCCTCAGCAGTAGATGATCAATTGCCAAATACCGACAAAGGTCTAATACTACCTCTGATTGTGGCTGTACAATTGTGGTCTTATCGGTAGACACAATCCCCCGACTGGGGGCCAAAGGAATCCATCTAGAATACTGTGTCGGCAAAGCCGACGCTATGCACAAGCGGCCGCCAACCTTATAAATCGGCAGCCAACCGAAGCATCGGCAGCAGCCGACGGACTATCATTGTCAGATTTTCAGACCCTGTCCATCCGCTGTTTTAGAACTGCGCATAGGAATGTAACCCCCCAGGAAAAGAAGCGATTGTCAGGGAGTCAAACTCTACTGCAGGGACCCGAGGTGGTCTTACCCCAGTGGAAAGGGGTGCCATGCATCCTGCCAAAGGCAACGATCATACGAGGAAGGGTTCATTGGTCCAAAGGATGATCAGTGGGTCGAATAACATGAGCCAAGGTGTAATATACGTGCCCCAGTTGTAACATACCATGCAGCTGCAGCTTCCAGCCTCGACAATATGCCTCACCCCAAGACCAGTGTAGCATGAGTTACTATCACTATAGTGATTTGGGGAAGTGCATGTTCTACATCCGCTATACCTATAAATACAGGCCAGAGGACGCAGGAAGTCATGGATGAGCAGCCTTCATTCCTCAGATACTTCCTTACCTACTACTACCGTCTGAATATCTCCTTCCAAAATGGTGCTTATCAAAGCTCACGCCCTCTTCGCGCTCCTCGCTGGAGTCGCCCTTGCCAACCCAGTGGAGATTACTCATGAAGAACGCGCTGCAGTATGTGCCTCCTATTTCTAACCTGTGACGGTGGTCCGTGGACAACATATTAACAACTCGTCTCAGGATCTCAAATGCACTGTGGACGGCAAAAAAGTCACGATCTCCCCTGCTGATCGCGACTGGCTCTATCCGCTCGTTCCACACCCCGGAAGTTGGAGATACCCCCATGAATTCATGAACTTGGATGGAATTACATGGAGTAACCCACGCTGCAACCCGGCAGGTGGCGCTCAGCCCAAGCTCATTGAGTTCCCCATCATGCTAGATACCAAGGGGAAATCAAAGAAGGAAGTTTACAACTACAAGCAAGCCAAGCCCAGACCGGAACCAGGTGCTTGCCGAATCGTCACCCGGAAGAATGGAGGGGACCTCTGCGGAGTGATGTGCCATAAGAAATATGCTACCGCAAAGACGAAGGAGGATAGAACCTTCCTCGAGTGCAAATAGGGCGGACGATGCGACACCAGGCACTGAGGAAGCCATTGGATTAGTCGGTATTACTTCTATGTATTGTGGCTGACCTGTATTCTAAATTGTATCTAGACTGCCCAGGGATAGCATGCAGAATGGAGTGGGGCTTGCTTAAGTGGCTTTGAGCGAAAGCAATTCGGAATGACTAAATTAGACAGTAGTAGTAATCTATTCCTTGGAAAGTCTATTCTAGAGCAACTGTATTTAACCGTAAAATACTAGTGTACTAGATCGGAGACGAGTGGGGTGGCTCTACCTATATATAGTTGAGCACTCTCCACGATTTTATGATCTGCCTGCGTCGCTTGTAACCATCTCCAGAAATCTCACCAGTGATCAAGAATGACTTCAGCAAATCCACTTAACCTCCAACGGGAAGGAGTCCCAGGAGAGTGGGATATCGAAGACCAGCTTTTCGAGATTTTGACCACCTATCTTCCGCCAGCTTCGAACTTGACAGCAGGTCAAGCTGCAGAGCAAATCAACCAGCTTTTTCCAGACAATCGCCCAGAAGGATCCGATAAGGAAAGCCCCGAGAGCTTTCTCTTTGAGTTCTGGGATTTGATGATCAAAATCGCTTGTCAGCTCGACCATGAAGAGATTCCCATGCAGCGCTTTGTCAACCTTCTCAAAGCCCTCCGCCAACTTCCAACCAATACTGTGCTGCGAGATGGTACTCCTGCTTGGAAAGATCTGCCCCACTTCTCCATGTATTTGTCTGAAGAATGGAACAGTATGCCTTTCCCCATTCTACTCGCCCCTACTCCCATGTCGTGAAAGGTGCTCAAGACTAACAGGTTGACTGGTATAGGTTTCAACCCCCTCGAATCCGGACCGGACGATGTGCGGTTGCGCCGCTGGATAAACCTGGATGGGCTGATGGTTTATCTTAACAATGAAGAGCTTCTCGATGGTCTACACCGTGCTCTGGTCACCATCTCGCTATGTCTGGAAAGTGATGAGGGGAAAGCTCAAGCCTCCGTCACAAATCTGGTCCCCGCTGCCGCAAAATGGTTCAGGTTATGCGGTTCAAAGATCTACCAAGCCAGCAAAGCAGGGGAATGCCGTGATAGTGAAGTTCACGGACAACTCTGGAAAGGAGATCCAGGTTATGGCATGCCACGGTGGGAATTCTGGAGGGAGAGGCTTGCACAGCTCGCTGAATACCCAGAATCGGAACACGTAGCGAAAGAAATGTGTCTGGCTGCACTCTCAGCAATGGACCATGCTGCTGGGAAATGAACACATTGAGATGGAACTCTTGGCCATGCCTAAAGATATGAAAATACTGCGCGATCTTGATATAAGCTTGATGGCAATACGATCTATTCATGTTGTGTTCTATGTGAAATTGTTAAATTATATACACTTCGCGATAAAATAGTGTCAATGTCTTGTTAAGGAGTTTTGATATAATATTTTGATGTCTGAACAGTCACAGCCGCGTAGGTGAAAAGATCTAATATGACAAGAATAAATCAGCACAAGAAAAGTGGCTTGATTTGGTGTTTAAGACCCCTAGGCTTATTCAACGCCGTGGCATGGAACCAGCCTACTAGTGTATTACAGTATGAGTAAATCGAATACTGTAGTTCCAATTACTTAGGTAGTACACAACATTGGCGTCCTTAGGATCGACGTGAAGCTCTCTGAGCAATCCGAGAGACGGGGATGAAGCCCAGACTTTAGTTACCTGCCCAGGAGCATGGTCCCCTTCTACTCTAACATATCTTGGGAAATTCAAACGTGCGTGATGGACTTTGGCATCATATTTCAGATGTTCTGATCACACTCAGTCGATTACAAAGGTCCCGACAGGCCACTCCTTTTTGGTCACTTCACGATACGCAGCGCCCTCTAGGAGATCCGTCATCTCTTCCCCTATGTAGTTATCATTGTCGTGCTTATAAGGCATAAGCCGCAGCAGCCCAACTCTACGATAACGTTGTGGTCCCCCATTGTTGGTTTTGTCTCTCGTCTGTCGCTGTAAAAGGAGAAGATAGAGCACTGGCCTAGATCCTGTTCTCGTCCTGGCCAGCTGGATCAGCGTGAACTCCTTGCTGCTGCTCGGAACAATGACAGAGCCGCCGGTTGTCGTTGATGCGAGGTAGTCAGGCCTCATCAGGGCGACCTGCGCTAACTTTTTCGTCCTTGCCAACGGACTGAGTCGTGTCAGGACCCTCCGTACCAAATTTATAGGGTGCGACGGGGACTTCGAATAGCCACCGAGTCTCAAATTCAGGTGTCGATACGGTGCATCCAAGGTTAGTACCGCGCCTTCGACGGGGCCGAAGTCATCGGGAAGCTTGCTACAAACCTCAACACTAACGACCTTTGCAAGGTAGTCGAAGGTATCGCTCTGTGAGGGCCAGGTTAAACCGTCAAACGTGTCGGCTCCTACCCAGCTCCACGACGGCTCGCGGTCTTTGGAAACACCAGTCGGTATTTCCCTAGCAGGCAGTCTGGGATGTTTGGAGTCGTAGTCCATGAATCGAAGCATGGCGCGTCGAAGAGTTCTACCAGGCGGTCCTGAGCCACCGCTACTACAGTGAAGGCTCCATAGCAAGCCAAATAGGATATCGCCACTCCACAATCCTGCGCAGTACTGTTCTTTCAACTGAGTATTGAAAGATTCGGCTATTGCTCCGATTGCCGGCAAACGATCATCCTCGGACGTGAGTTGTCGTGATGCATATCCTTGAAGCAGCTCGTACCAAACTCTGTACGTAGCTTCTGCAGATTTTGTAGAGCCTTCAGGTTTACCTGAGCCAGTTGGGAGGTGTTTTACTTTTGAGAACAAGGTGGAAGAAGGTGTGGGCTCCTCTGCTGGCTCAGTAGCTGCCCCAGCGCAGCATTGCCAGATCATCTCTTCTTTCGTATAATACAAGAGTCGTTGCGACAGCAGCTCCTCCTGGAGCGTCCAGCCGCTGGTGGCCCAACGCGAATTCCTCGACCGGTCCTTGTTGATGGGACTTCTACCGCTTCGAAAGTAGACTGGGTATGTGCGACAACCATTCTTGACGCTATCGGGGTGATCATGTCGGCGCCAAGGGAACGAGCAGTTAAAATGCGGTTCCCGTTTATCCAGAAACCCGTCGTTCACAGTTTCTGCGCTCGTAGCGGCAATGGTGACAACCGCATCGCTAAAAACGCGGCTCGTTCTCGAAGCTTCAACCGCCAGGTCGTTGGTATCATCTTGAAAGATGCATAGGGAGTCGATCCATAAGTAGCGAACTCCTAGTGCTCTTGTCACGAGGACAGCATCCTGTAGAGTGGGTGGGAAGTCTGCCAGAGGCTGTCCGCTGCGGAGATTGTGAAAAGAGGAAGCGTTGAGAGTGAAGTCTGAGTCCCTTCCCCTGCAATAGCTCAGTGCCACCCATTTCCCGGTTTCACCGCCCCCACTGACGTGTAAACGAGGTGGCGTGAGCGAGTTCCCGACATCGATGACGCGTGTGGGAAGAAAGGCCGGTTTGTCCTTGTATGCATCACACTCTGCGTGCTCCCGCGAGCACTTATCCAGCCAGTTAGCCGCTAGAGAGAGGCACGCTTCTGAGCGTAGATCTGCGGGCGTTTCATTCCGGCCGAGACGTTCAAGGAGATATGTGTCCCCTTCGGGGATCTCTGCGCCTGTTCGACATTAGCAGTAGTCTCTCAGCCATCGAGCCTCCGGGTACCTACCCTTTGCAATACAGATATCCAACTTAGCAACCCATGTTCCGTCCGGGCGCCCACGCTTATCATTGTCGGACATGGCCACAACCATCAATTGGGCGTAAGAATCATAGACCCCTTGATAGATGGCCAAGCGAAATGGCCCGCGGTATTTCTGACACAGGCATTGATCCCCACCATACGGTGAATGGTCGCAAGATTGTATTCTGCAATGTGCCCAGATCATGCCACACAACTCACAGCCATCTTTAATGGCATCTTGAAGAGCCGTGACGCTAATGTGGTGAGCCTGGAAGTGCGGTGTGGAGGATAGATATGGGTCCGGGCTGGTCGAGACGTTCACGGAGAAGGCTTTCGACTTGTGGAAGCCCTGCAAGAGGTCGCGGATATCAATGGTTTGGCAGACATCGCATAAGTTCATCTTTCAGGAACCCTACGATGGACTTGAATGAGAGCTGAGAAAAGATCCTCACACAATCCTAATTAGGATAACTATTTTTTTTATAGTTCGTTAGGCATCCGTTACATAAGCGGATGCGTGGCAGCTCTCGCCACAGCACAGCCACAACACTGCCGAATTTGACCCCAGCTGAACGATCAACATGCGTGACACGTCATAGCTGGCCTTCAAGGCAGATCACTTCCATCGCTTCAAGCTGAGCTGCCTAATGATGGGTGGCTGTTACCTACAGAGAGTTGTTCAGGAGCCGTGCTGATGGACTTGGTTCGGTATTTGCCGACTTTAATCGGCACTTCCAATGGCTCCATATTTAAGGTATTGTCATCACTGTGGGGATAAACGCCCTGATTGACCATACGCTGGGCTTTGTGTAACGAACAATTAGTGTTTAGTATTGATCGTGATATTTGTTGCACTATAACATGTAGCGAAAGTATCTAAACCTACTGAACTTCCTGGGAAGGGTTCGAATAGAGCATGATCTCTTCAATCTCTATTCGTTTCCTCCTCTTGTTCTTCTCCTTCTTCTATCTCGTGTGGTCATTGCTGCTCTCAAACCAGAGAAACACAGAAAATAAAGTTAGCACAAAGTTTACTCCAAAGAAGGTTACCACACCGACTTTTAGTCCTCTATCTTGACGGCCAATAGTCCTACATCAGTACAATGCAATGGGAAAGGCGTCATACATTGCAATGTAGCCAATACTGCTGGACCGGGGGTGTGAATTCGGGGACTGCTTGATACACTTGACTCGTATGGTTATAACTTATAATTCAGGCTGCTTGGATCATTGGTTGGCTCAGTCAAGCTCATACATATAATTAGGTGGTAATGCAAACAATACCTCCCACGCAATCTTCTAGATAGAGTAATATATACCCCGACCTATCGTTCAATCCATCGACAACACGTTGGTAGGCAGAATATGTTGGTCTGGTAGGACGTGCTGTAAGAGTAGAGGAGGCACGATCTCGGGGGTGAAGATGAAGACATAGATGCATCGAGGCCGACATCCCTGTTCTCACAACAATAGGGTTTATGCACCTACACCTAGATACATATAATACCTATAGGCCATTAGTTACTTGAGATCATCTGAGCTACTGAACAGCGGCAGAGTGCACAGACAAGATATACTCCAACTAGACAGTAAATGACCCCGCACCAATCCATCGACACGGTTCACGCGCCCTAGATTCCAAACCCCCTCACAGACAAAAAGTCATAATGAGGACCAATAAGCACCCGTCGCATACGATGCGACGTGCCGCAACAGCATCGCTAACGACGGACTCCCGTGGAGGAATGTAAGCTAAACCGAATCCCGTAATCTGCTTGAGCGCGGTCCGGGACCGCGCGAGGGGCAGCAGCAGCCCCACGCTTATCACTGCCTTATCGCAACCGAGGCAATGAGGGGTTGGCCTGTTGTGGATCGCTTTCTATGGTAGGTAATGGAATGTCGAGAGGTAACCGCGGTGTGGAGCTGCATTGGTGCTGCTCACCGCATTGCTGGTTATCGTCGACATGCGGGGTGAACTTATAAAAGGGGTTTTCTGTTCTTTGTGTGTTGGGTAACTGTCTACTGACTGTCCATATATTGTTCATCGATTTGAGAAGCTTTGACTATCTACTTTTCAACGAATTATATATCCAAAGAAAACACAATGGTGGGAAGATTAGCTGGAAAGAATGCCATCGTTACCGGTGCTGCTGGGTAGGTACAGTTGCCATGAAATAGACAAGGTCATTGCTGATTAGGAATGCTCTGCAGAGGCATCGGTCTCGAAACGACGATCCTCATGCTCCGCGAAGGTGCCTCCGTCCTCATGACCGATATCAGCGGACCGGGCCTCGAGAAGGCCCTCGCGAAAGTAAACGAGGTGGTCCCCCAGCGCGACGGCAAGGCCGAGTACCGCGTGGTCGATGTATCGAAGGAGTCCGAAGTCGAGGCGGCAGTGGCACATCTGGACTCCTGGGGCGGCCTGGACGTGATGTTCAACAATGCCGGAATCATGCACCCCAAGGATGGGGACTCGGAGGAGACACCCGAGGCGATCTGGGACATGACGATGAACATTAATGTCAAGGGTGTGTGGTACGGAAGCAAGCATGCGGTCAAGAGCCTCCGGAAGCACGGTAAGAAGAAGGGTAGCGTGATCAACACGGCAAGCATGGTTGCGCTTGTGGGTGCTGCGACTCCTCAGTTGGCGTATACTGCTAGCAAGGGTGCTGTGTTGGCAATGACTAGAGAGTTGGCTATTGTGCACGCCCGGGAGGGCTTCCGGTTCAACTCTTTGTGTCCGGCTCCGCTCAAGTATGTTCCTCCTGGTTTGCCATTTGTGAGTTTGAGCTGACAGCGTTTAGTACGCCACTTTTGCAAGACTGGCTGGGTGATGATAAGGAGAAGCGTTTCCGTCGCGAGGTTCACTTCCCCAGTGGCCGGTTCGGTGAAGCTATTGAACAGGCCCATGCGGTCATCTTCCTGGCGAGCGATGAGAGCAGCTTCGTGAACGCCGCTGACTTTGTCGTCGATGGTGGATTGACGAAGGCTTATGTGACCCCGGAGGGCCCTGCCACTGAGGCTCCCAAGAACCTGGGCCAATAGATAGAAACGGAGAGAGGCTGCCATTCGGTCGGGAGTTCATGAATGATGATGTACTGTATGAATAGAGCTTTTTAATCAATCCTCATGCGAACGAGATCCAGATTTGATGTTGCTGCATTGCCCGGCAAATATTCCACGGGCCTGCCTCGTCGAGAGGCATTTGCCACATGTTTTCCAGAAGTAGAAGTGTCCGTTGCATGTTTCCAAGGCCGAAGGTGTTCACCATTGTAGTCAGCCGTTGTCGTAGTTGCTCCTGCTGTTCTATGTCATATAGGCAGGATCCGACCACCGCGATAGGCCAGCAGAGACCGGAGTTGATGCGAGCAGTCGCCGATAGCTGGTTCAGATACGACATTGCCTCCGTAATCGCAGTGTTGATCAAACCCTGATGCATGCCATCCTCGGCTCGGGAGAACGACCCCAGAGAGGTGTATAGATAAAGCAACATGGCCTGTTGAAAGACCCGACCCGCCAAAAAGACCTCAGGAGTGACGAAGGAAAATGGATTCCATCGCATAATCTGGGCCTGCAAGGACCCAAACATAGCAATGTCATCGGCTGTTGGCATGGTGGGCTGGCCGTCAAGCATCATCCACTGGCGGCCCAGGTCGAAGATGCACGGGATCATGAGCAGTAGCTCTAGCCAGCAGCCGCAGAGATTTCCCACATACTCCGACTGTAGAAGCTGACGAGCTTTCTGCTCCAAGTCGAAGTTAAGGAGCAACTGATGGCTGACCCGCGCGTCAATGGAGATCATGCTCACGGCGGCGGTGTATGTGTAATATTCAATGACAAAGTCTTTTAGGTCCTTTGGCACGGCTGCATCACTCAGAGATAGGAGTCGTGTTAGCAGCGAATTTGCGGCTGATAGATGGTCAAATATCGTCCCGTTCATGTCCCCCTTGGCTGTCTGTCACTGTGTTAGCTGCCTAATTTTCTTTACGTAATGGGGACAGTACCTCGGTGAAACACATCACAAGAGCCCCAACCGTCAGCATTAACGGGTTGGACTCTTTGCCATCAATAAACTCGGTGACCCCCTTTCGGAAGAGCTGCAAAGCTTTGGTGTAATGACTCTGAGCTACCTCGTCGGAGTCGTTGCGATACCGAAACGCCCGGTGCGCCGCACTCTGTGTGAGAACGAGTTGCAGAAGCAGGTCACTGCTGAATGCCAGCGGAACGATCTGAACCAGAAAAGGGTTGACGGGAGTGGAGCCATTGGCCATTACATCGGCTGTTGTTGCGAGGTAATGGCTCAGCAGCTGAAATGATTCAGGGCTATAGCCCGGCAGCATGGATAGGCTGCGGGGCATAAAGTTCCCAACTGTCATCGATGTGGGCGAGTCCGGCCCCGAGATGGAGCTTCGCGGAGTCGCATGGGAATAGTTCATTGGAACTAGAAGAGCTTGTTCATCCATAGGTGGTGAGAATGCCTCCGCAGCCTCGAAGCCGTGCGACAGCGCGGATGGAGACACCACCGATCCGGATGGTGAACTCGGTGATCCCGACGAGCCACGCTGTGTTCGTGTTGTGCATGGACTTCCCGGCTGGTCCAGTACAGCTTGTTGGTGGAAAGTGTTTGAGCTATTTGACCTTGTCGCGCTGGCGGGTATGTTGACCGGCCATTCACAATTGAGCTTGTTCCGCACGCATCCCCCACACGATGGTCGAACTTCGTCGCACTTTTTCTTTCGACGTCTGCAAGTGTAACAGCCTGTCCTCACACGGACAATCGGTTCTGTCCGGGGCCGTTTATTGGGTGGCATGATGGTGAAATGAGAGGTGTGGGTTAGCGTGGACTATAACTCGGATAGGAGTCAACGGAGAGAAGAACAGCAGAGGGTGAACCTGGACTCAGTCACGGTAATACCTTATGTGGCCAAGATAAGACCGTGTGGAGTGGGTGGAGTCCCTACGATTGGCCCAGACTCGCCGGAGGAATTGCCCGGCCACTGAAGTTGTGGGGTTCCGATAAGATAAGGTCATCACGCATATCCCAATTTATACTATTACTAGTAGTAGTAGATACCACGCGCCTACGATTTCTACTATTCGTGTCAAGTGGGAAGATTGCTCCTTTATTGAACCGGCAGTTACTGCAGCGCTAACAACCTGCTACATTAATGATATGTAGGCAATCAGACAATTCCTTCCCATGCATCAGGTGAATGCAACTTCCAGAGTATTCACTCAGTGATACCAGACTCGGTCTTGCCATTCTTCTATTGATAAGAATGACATTAGCAAAGTGCACAAGGAAATGAAAGTGCAAAGTCTCAGCGAGGGGAGCAACATACCAGCGTCCTGCTATACTTAACACCGACATTGTTTCCACTGACAGAGTCATACGGGATAGGGCTGGTGTAGTTATAGGTGGCAGTAAGATCCTTCCACGTTTGCTGGACAATGGGCAGAATGCCATGGCCAGCAGAGCAGCTTCCCTTGGTCAATGGGACAGGCCACTCCGGATCAAAAGTGCTGTATTCTCCAGATGATAGCGGGCCTGGGTATGTCTCGTTCTGCAGTAAATTGCCGGTCTCAACCTCCCAGTTGACGTATCCGGTCTTCTCGGCCAGCCAGCTGAGCAGGTTGGCTCCGCAATCCCAGCGACCCAGCGATGGGAGACCCCAGTTGGCTGAAAGGGAGGCAATGATGGAGTAGTGAGTGTAGAAAGTGTCATCCTGCTTGCCCCGAAGGTTCTCTGGAACAGCACCTCCAACGAAGAAACTGTAAATCCTGTTTTCAATCTCATAGGTATCACTCTCATCGAAGGTCAAGAGAATAAGCGTATCCTTGGTGAAGTACTCATCTTCCAGAAGCTCGGAGAGAAAACGCCAAGTCCAAGAGCCAGCAAAGGTGATGTTGGTGTCATGGGCGTCATTGGTCATGTTTGGGGTGACAAAGCTGAATTGAGGTAAACGCTCATTCTTGAGATCATCATAGAAAGTGGTGAAATTCTTGATCTGGCGTAGGCGGGTAGCGTCCTTGGTCACAGAGTCGTACAAGACCATGGGATTGTGTTTTCGCATGTAGTCATTGGCACCCGTTTCTTGATTAGAATAATTCTTTCCTTGGTAGCCGGGATAAGGCAGGTGCTCCTGATACTCGCCCCAGGCAATATTTTTCACATCAAGCATATCAGCAATGGTGGACACATTGGCAGGAACTTGGTTAAAGTCACCACTGTCCATGCCGAAGGTGTCACCTCCGGCAAAGGCGCAGTAGTTGGGCTCCGAAGGATGTGTGATTGCCCAGTAGTTTGTGAGCAGGAGACCCTTCTCAGCCAGTTTGGAAAGATGAGGATCATTTGCGGCCGACTCAAAGTCCTGGAATGAAGGTCAGAACAATTTCCGGGCACTTGTTTGGGTTGTCCGCAGACACGAGCTTACCGTGTTTTCCAGCCAGATACTGACAAAACGGTTGAATGCAAGACCCTTAACATTAGAAACGGGAGAATGGGGCAGAACGGTCGCCTGGGCAGCTTGGATCTCCTCTAGTGAGGGGTAGGGCTCTGAAGATGTCTGGGCGGCGGCGAGAGATAGGACCCCAAGGAGGGCCACGAGGGATTGCCTGGTAAACATGATGCCTATTGCTCTATAATCTATTGCCTCGGTAGATGAAGGACCAATACAATTGATGGGAATGTAAGTTCCTCTCACAAGAATTGAGGAGGAGAGAAAGGAAGAGAGGGCAGTCGGACCTGCCCCCTACTTATGCATGAAAGGTACCCTTACATATGAGCCATCCAGAATTGTAAAGGTGGGGGATAGGCGGGCATTGGCTCGGTCAAAGGCCGTGCCTGCATGGCCCATGCGACTTCATCAATAGTTCTCCGGAGTAGTATCGGGTTCCTCCGTTCTGCAAAGGAAACGACAATCTCAATGTAACTTGAAAACGGCAGTTCTGCACGTTGTAAATGGACGACCGCTCACTGGCTGCGGGGGATCATCCGCCGGCGCCCAAAGAGGAAGGCGATCAGCTGCTCGGCGGATGATTGGATGCTCCGAGCCAACTACGGGCGGGTCCTGGTCACGCTCCCGGTCACGTGCGCAGTTGGCCTCCATCCTTGACCGTTCTGGCTGGACGTTTTGTTCACTAGGTCGCGTGCCCAATTTCCTGAAATGTCTTGACGGGAGTGTTTTCATGACAAAGCGCCGATACTAATTCGAGATTTGGTTGCTGCCGAGAACGCACGTCACGTTGTGCCTGACTGATCCGGGAGGTGTATGCGAATACTCAGTGGTATTATATATCTCACCTTCAAGCTTACTTGGCATGGGTTAAGCTCGCCTATGGTGTCAGTTCAAGTGCTTATCTGCTTCTATACCAAGACAGTTTTTTTTCTTCGGCAATTGACATCCTCTAAATAATTCGGGCGACTATGATAATGTCAACTGCAACAAATATGTAGGTAGAACATATGTTCAAGATTCCGAGTCTCTAGAGTATAGCCCTAGAATGAGCCTACCACGGTTCACCTGCTGCAGAAAAAGCGTATGGCTGGATCTCCGGTCCCCCAGTAAATCAGATTGATGATAATTATTTCTCTACGGATAGAAGCTTTGAAGCCCTAGCATGAGCTCTATAGCGGACGAGGTTTGATTCTGGACCGAAGTATTTCTGAGGCCGAGTCATGCTTTAAGACTTGCTTTTGGTCGGCTACCAACATAATCCAGATAACACAGCATGGGGTGTATTGCACGATGTTCGACTGCTTGGTTTTTTAAAACGCCAACGAGGGCTGCCGCTTTAGTGGCATGGGCTGCTGTTCTGTACTCGCCAAGCCTCCTTGTTGTGCACACCCTTCCGGCTGTTGTTCTGCGTCTCTGCTTCACCGTGGCTTTTGATATCTTTGCTTTTTCAAATCGAGTCATTGGAAACATTCCCACTAGATAAGCGGGCGAGATCTTCTTTCACGAAGAATCGCGTTGAAACGCCACGTAAAATGTACCCAGCCAGACGCTTACTGACGCGTTCGCTCTCCTCACTTCGCAGAAAGCCTTTTCCAACCCCCAATCCCGGGCCTCTGTTACCCCTAAATGAGCCTGTGGACGAAGAAAGATGCCCATGGTATAGCTCCGCAAACTTCTACCCCGCGAAGCCTGGCGAAGTGCTCGCCGATCGTTATCAGATCCTCGTCAAGGTTGGCTGGGGGACCACCTCTACCGTATGGTTTGCTCGTGATATGCGGGGGTATCGTCACTCTTATTCTCTATATAAATGCGAAAATCGCTAAACTACTTTAGAGATGAAGACGAACCGGAAGGCGTTGTAGCACTGAAGATAGCCAATACCAACTCACGTGCAGGTGACGTTGCACGCGCAACTGAGCAGTATATTGCTGAGAAAGACCCATCCCATCGTGGACGTGCAGTTCTCCGAACATCCTCAGAATCCTTCGAGATTACTGGTCCAGAAGGAAGACATGTGTGTTTCGCATATGAGCCCATGAGGGAGCCACTCTGGCTTTTTCGGAGGCGCTTCAAGGATGACATGATCCCTCTTCCGATTATCAAGATCTATATTCAGATTCTTCTTGCGGGTATCGATTACCTTCATACAGATTGCAAGACAGTACATACGGGTTTGTTGTTCGATTCCTGGTCGGTCTATTCAAATCATGGAACGCAGGCTTATTGGTCACGTAGATCTGAAGCTTGAGAATATCATGGTCTCATTTGAAGACCCCGCGGTGATGGGTGACTTCATGAACGACCAATTCGATCAACCAATGGAATATAAAATAGACTCCATAGGCCGACCGGTACATCGGCGTCACAACGATTTTGGGCCCCTAAGACAACTCCGAAACGTTATACCAAAGATTGTTGATTTTGGACATTGCACAAGGCTCGATGATGATGATAGTTGGGGTTTGTGCCCTATCCAGCCAGAGCACTATCGCGCGCCAGAAGTAATCCTTGGTTGTGGTTGGAGGATGAGCACCGATATATGGAATTTGGGTGTTGTTGTGCGTTCGCACCCTATTGCTCTTTGCCAAATAACTAACACAATCTCAGTTATGGGATCTGATTGAGGGCAAGGAATTGTTCAGTCAAGTGCATGATGAGCAAGGCCAGTACCAGGCAAAAGCGCATCTCGCAGAAATGATAGCCTTACTCGGTCCCCCACCCCAAGAGCTGATCACAAGATATCGCGGATTGCTCGACTACCAATGGCCTGAGCCTTTAACAACGATGGACGGCATCGTCTACAAAAGCTCTGATCAATTCTTTCGTGGTCCATTCTTTGATAGTGATGGTAATTGCATAACCTGGATGGACCCAGTTTAGGGGCCTTGCTAACAAGCTGATAGGAGAGTTCTTACACAAGGACCTGATTCCGAACAGAAACCTGGCGGATACACTCCCCTCCCTCGAAGAGAAGGAAAGAGAACATTTCTTGTCCTTCGTGAAATTAATGCTTGCCTGGGTGCCGGAGGAGAGGAAGACTGCGCGTGAATTGGTCGAGCATCCGTTTCTTCGAGTACAGTGAGCATGCGCTGGCGCATAGCATATCGATATCGGTAGCCAGAGGTATAATCGCCAACATCTGATCTCCACTTCAATTATGTACTATAACTAGGGCTACGACCTTTCTCTGCTCATTCATTGGTGTCAAATATTACCACACGCATCTCCTCGCAGTCTGCATTGTGCACTGACGTAATATTTCCGAGAAGAAAGTACATTTGGTATGCATGATATTTGTCCAGTCGAGGCCGACCCCCGCATGACTTGGCATCCAGACAGGCAAGTCAACGCAGGCGAGGCCTTCCGAAACCGCCGGATCTCGTATCAGCAGAGACGATCAAATAAGCTTGGCACCGACTCATGCGGATCACCCCGCAATAGATACCATGCAATCATTTCGGGAAAGTTTATGCTGATAGGGATGTCTTAGGAAAACCGTGACTTCGACATGGGTTTATGAGGAAGGTGTTTCCATGAACCCCGCAGGCGAGGGGCTATCTGACCTTCATTTATGTGCCATGCCACATGCACATGCCACTCTAATACCTACAGAAACCTCCAATTTCCTTTCAGACCGATCGAAACACCAACCTAACACATCTACACGGAAACCATCCCTACAATGGACGTTCCCGGCATAGCCCTAATCACCGGCGCAGCATCCGGCATCGGCCGCGCCTGCGCCAACACATTCGCGCGCGACGGCGCCAGCGGCATCGCCCTGCTGGACCTGGACCAAACAGCCCTAGAAGCCGTGCAAGCCGAGATCAACTCGCAACTCAGCCCGGACAAGACACCCCGCTGCCGCGTGGAAATCTACCCGGTCAACGTCACCGACGAAAACCGGGTCAACGAAGTGATCCAAAGCGCAGCGCAAACCTTCGGCCGACTAGACTACGTGGTTAACGCGGCCGGAATCGCCATGAAGCATCAGGGTGGCGCGGCGTTCGCCGAAACCGCCGACTGGCAACGCATCCTCGACATCAATCTCACGGGAACGTTCTTCGTCCTGCGGGCGGCGGCCCGCATCATGTTGAGCCAGGAGCCGATCCGCTCGAGTATTGATGGACGGCCGCTGCAGCGTGGGTCGATTGTGAATTTCTCGTCCATCCAGGGCGTCGCGGGCATTCCGTTGTCGACGGCTTATACGGCCACGAAGCATGCTGTTATTGGACTGACCAGGACCGCGTCCGAGGATTATGCTAAGGATGGGTTGAGGATTAACGCCATTTGTCCTGGGTATACGGAGACGCCGATGACGACCAAGTCGCCGTTGGTTTTGCAGGCGATGCAGGAGAGGGTCGCGACTGCTGTGCCGATGCAGCGCATGGGGGAGCCGAGGGAGATTGCTGACGGCGTGGTGTATCTTTCTGGGGGGAGGAGTTCGTTTGTTACGGGGACTGCGCTTTTTGTGGATGGGGGGTATACGCAGCGTTAGGTATATGATGCTATGATTTCCTGGATGGATGTTGAGATATTCATATGTTCTATGTATTGTGTGACTGTCGTTATGACCTCCTATGCTACCGTAAAAGAAGCGTCCATTTTCATTAAATTGAGCCATGTTGCACTTGTCCCATTCCCGCACCGTTTCTCCCGCCAGATCCTCTCAACCCGAGCCAGTGTCTCCCGGAACGAGGATAACCCACTTCGCTGCGCAGAGTCCTTGAACCATTTCGCAAACGACATCTGCAGCTCCAGATCTTCAGCCTCACAGGCGGCGATGAACGCAGCCCAAATGAAGCCAGCAGAGGCGTACAGCACAGTGGGGTCTGCACAGCGCCACAAACAGTCCCGCACGGCTGTCACTTTCTGTTGGAGCATCGACGTTTCCATGTCATACACCCTGCGGTAGAAGTAGATAGACAGCGCATCATACATTGCATCGAGCATATTGCTCACATGCCCATCAAGCTGTGCCTGACTCGGCCTTTCGAGATTATTAATCCGTCTTTCAATAGCCTTCGCCCGGCCCGAAAAGTCTTTCAGCGTAAGCGGGTTCGACTGGTCCTGGCTCTCCGCGATGTCCTTCTCCCGCCCGAGCCGAATCACCAACGATAACAGGAGCACCCACGGCTCCGGGACGCCGAAGATCTCAGGGTAGAGTGTCGCAGAGAAGATCCCGGGTCGTTCGAGATGCAGATCATTTTCGCCGTCTTCCTGACTCTTCACTTCCAGCATCTCCTGGTCGAGATTCTCCCACCCGCGCAGACGGAAGGAGAGGTCATCGCGACTGTATTGCGCCAGACCGCTTGACTCAATGGACTGGCGGAAGTAGTGCCGCTGTCGTGAGTTCATGCCGCCGGTGAAGGTGCTCTCGTAGAAGAATCGCTCGAAGGCATAGCAGTGGTGCAGTAGACGGACCTTCCGGGATTTTTTTCGCTTGAGGCCGCGCAGCCGGATCAGTCGTTCCGTTTCCAGGAAGAAATATTCCGTTTGCTCGCGGTCGACTGAGAACATTGACACATACACCATGGTGAGGAGCGCGATCATCGTGGACTTATACTTGGCTGCCTTCGGCACGTCGTACGCGGTCCGTAGCATCTGTCTGGCGTGTTTCAGCGCTTGCTGTTTGTATGCGTTGCCTTGGGCGAGCCACATCTGCGACTGCGAGAGCCCGCCCAGGCTGAAGGCGCTGATGGCGAGCGTTCCGTAGAACGCCGTCAGACTGGCGTTGTCTAGGTCTTCGCCGAGGGTGAGCGCTGCTAGACAGGTCTTGGCGTGGGGGATGAAGAGAATGTGCCAGGGCGTTTTGGCATGTCGGACGGGCGTCATCAGGCTGATGACTGTTGTTGTATAGTGCTTTAGTAAGAGCATGACATCTTGTGGGACTGTTTTGCTGGTCGTGGTCAAGGAGAAACAGGGGTTGGGTGGCGGTATTTGGGTTAGGTTAGCGCTCTGCAGGAACTGCGGGAGTTCTTGTTCTGGTGTCATAGGAAATCCCTGGAAATCAGATAGCGGTGCATTATTGAGCACGGCGTCAATGCGACAAAGATCCATGGCCACGTCGTCAGTATCCGGGGATGTCGTGCTGGGCGCTTGTTCAGAGTGGCCAAATATTGACTCGAGGATTCTTTGCGTACGTGGCGTTAACGGGAGGTCTGATGGGACTGTGAAATCATCGTCGAACCTTACCACGTCCTCTGGCGGGCTGCTGGTAGATGGATCTGGAGTGTCTTCTGAGGCCATATCCGGCGAAGGCGCGGAAGGCAATTGACTCAATCTGAACGCCCCGAAAGGCCCGCAATCCACCTGGAGATCGCGGCACGGGGCGGCCTTCTCACACAGATCGTCGATACGAGTCAGTAACTGCAGGGCTGACTCCGGCGGGACGCTTGAAACGAGCCATTGGCTCATACGCTCTCGTTCGGCCTCTGTCAGCAAGGGCCGACGGAAGCGTCTTTCGTCCGTCGCACCCTCAAAGTCAAAAAAGATGCCCTTCTCGTAGCCTGCACACACGAACCCGAAATACCGGCACATGGCACATGTGGGGCGGCCTTCGTCGCATTTCACATGTCGGCTTCGACACTGTATACCACAGTCAGGACCAACGCAGAAGGACAGACCTGGGGGTGGCAATTGTTACCGTGGTGCACCCCCCGAAGGACCGAGTTCGGGTCGGGTGGGCTTGTGTGCTTTGCTCGTCAGTTTCTGTAGCCATTCTGAGGGTGGAAGGTCTTCAATCGAGGTTAACTTCCTAATGTTCCGTGCATGACTTGGTTATATCGTGTCGTGTCTTGCATGCGGGGGGCGATAAGCCATGTGGGGAAGCTGGACGATTAGGAAGGTTATTGCGTCTTAGGGCCAAAGTCTAGATCCACATGACTTTCGGAAACCTTCCAAGAGAACATCGCCAGCCCAGACCGGCGCGATAAGCTAACGTGGCTCTAGGATCAAAGGGAAACCTATACCTGCGCTGGTTTCCCTGTTGACATTGTAACCCCGCCATGAAGAATCCCGAAGGAGGGGTATCTGTAATAAATTCCTCTGGGAAAGGCCGTAGATAATGTGGATGATTGATTTAACATTGAGCCCTCTTATTACAATTTGGCACAGTTTTCGTTAGAGCATTTGGATAAGATCAATATGGCATCTTTCGAAAACAAGGTCGTAAGTATCAATGAACCCACCGATCGCAGCATGTACCACTGACACATCCACTCGCACCAGATCGCCATCACCGGCGCAGCTCCGGCATGGGGCTTGCGACAGCGCAGCTGCTCGCATCCCGTGGAGCCATTATCTCGCTGGCTGATATTAACGAAGCGGCGGTCAAGGCGGCTACCGAGTCATTGACCGGAAGCGACAAGCATATGTACACCGTGGTCGATGTGCGTAGCAGCCAGTCAGTTGACTCATGGATCAAATCAACAGTAGAAAGGTTGGGCAAGCTCGACGGCGCCGTCAATATGGCTGGAGTCATCACACCGGCCAAGCCAATCACTGAAGAAACCGATGAAACTTGGGATTTCAACTTTGCCGTGAATACACGGGGTGTCTTCTTCTGTTTGAGGGCCCAGTTGAAGGCAATGACGGCCGGCGGCAGCATTGTAAGTCTGTTTGCAGGCTTGACGATACGTAAAGGCTTCAGCTAATGTCCTAACCACAGGTTTCTGCGGCTAGCGCCTTCGGCCAGATGGGCTCGCCTGGGGTTGCTCCGTACTGCGCCAGTAAAGCAGCCGTGATTGGATTGACGAGAACGGCAGCGAAGGAAAACCAACATATACGAGTCAATTGTGTTGCACCAGGTGAGGGCTATATCTATTTTGCCATTGTTGCTGCTTGGTAATGATTAGTGCTAACTCGACTCCAAGGCTCTGTAAATACCCCCATGTCTCAGGGAGAGAACCCGGAGGATGTGAAGCGCGGCCTGCAAGCCACAGTGCAAAAGCGACGGGCCGAGGCCAGTGAGATAGCTACTGTGATTGTGCATTTGTTGAGCGATGAGGCATCTTTTGTGACGGGAACTGTTTATAATGTCGATGGCGGTTGGCTTTGCTGATGTACTGGAATCATGATGTCAAATTGAATATATCAGAACATAGATGCGCATCCTAGATTTTGCTTTATGCATGTGTCATACAGTAATTGATTACAATGGTGTGATTATCACAGCTTTGTTGTACAATTATCCTGGATACTGCCGAGGTGAGGCTCACCTATTGACCCGGATTGTTGGTTATAATAGAGCGAGAAATGTGGTGGACAGTCCAATTATCCACTGAATTTGGCATACCTTGCAATTCAAAAACTGACTAGAGAGGGCTCGTTAAGGGCAAAATCCAACAATGTAATTCTTTAAGCATTATTGAGAACAGAATCAAAGAAGACAACTCATATCAGACATGATCTCATTGAAAAACACCCTGCAACCAACATTCTATGGAAACCGAAAGTACTTAAAGCGAATAACCTCGTGCAAATTTGAACCCTTCCCAACCAGCCGCTCTAGACTGCTGACATCGCTTACGATATTCGATCGCACTGCCTCCATATCGTGCCACACTCCTAACTGTCTTTCCTGGGACGTTCGTGTTGACTCCTGTCATCCAGCTATCAATCTCGTTCGACAATGCCCCTTTACTGCACTCGACCACATGCTCGGTCCACCTGTCCGCGGCTTCTTCAGTTGCCTCGACTAAGGTGTAGCCCTCATTGTGACAGAACTGCAATAGTTGATTCACAACCCGCACTGCGTGTTCAATACTCCGTGGAATATTTCCAAAAGATTGGTGTGGGCCGAGCACCATGAACATATTCGGGAAAGAAGGAGCCATGAGCCCCAGATAAGTATACGGCCGGTGGTCAAGCCAGACGGCACGCTTTCCTGTTTCATTGTCGCTACTGGCGATGAGCGGTCGATCATTCTTTCCATGCCACTCGACCGCATTAAAAGCACCAGTGATTGCATCAAAGCCGGTCGCATAGATGAGGATATCGAGCTCATGCTCCTTGCCATCCGAAGTCAGGATCCCATTCGCAGTGACCCTTTCGATAGGCGTCTTTTGCAAATCGACGAGATGAACGTTTGATTGATTGAATGCTTCAAAGTAGCCGCTCTCCAGGGGAACCCGTCGCGTACCGAAGCCATGATTCTTGGGAATCAGACTTTCCGCCACAATGGGGTCGTACACTCTTTCTCGAATCTTGCTCGCCATAAAGTCCGAGTATAGTCGGTTCGCTTCGTGGTCGGTGTAAGTATCGCAGAATGTTCCTAGCCATTTGGAGAAACCGGGCTCGGCATAGAGCTTCTCCCATAGGGCGACGCGCTCTTCGTGTGACACCTCAGAAGACTTGCGAGGGTCGGGTTGATGCAGGAAGCCGGTCGGGGTTGAGGCACAGCGCTGGAAGATAGCGTCGTATTCAGCCTTCACCTTCTCCATGTATTCAGGCGTAATCTTGGTGTTGCGGAGCGGGGCAGACCAATTAGGAGTTCGCTGGAACACGGTGAGCGATCGAATACTGGGCTCTTTGGATGTTTCTGTAATGGTTTGAATCCCGGTTGCTCCTGTACCAATCACTCCGATTCGTTTGTTGGCGAAGTCGCGCTGCATGTCGAAATCCTTTGGCCAGCGCGATGTATGGAAAGACTGACCCTGGAAGTCTTTGATACCGGGGATCGCAGGCAGTGTCGGGTTGGATAGAACGCCCAAGCAACTGATGAAGAAGCGTGCACGATAGTGAAAACCGGCCTCATCCACGAAAAGCCAAGTGCGTTCCGCATCCTGCCAATGTGCCGACTTGATTCGAGTGTTGAACTGAATATCCTTGTACAAGTCGTGTTTCTCGCAGACCCGCTCAATGTATTTGAGAGTGTCCGGCTGCGCGGAGAAGGTGTCCTTCCAGTCCCATTCCTGTAAGAGTTCCTTGTCCCATGAGAACTGGTAGGAGATCGTTTCAGAGTCAAACCGGGCACCTGGATAGCAATTCCAGAACCAGGTACCTCCTACGCTTTCTCCAGCTTCGAGGACTTTGACGCTCAAGGAGGGGAGATTCTTCCGAACCTCGTGTAAACTGTAGATGCCCGAAAGGCCGGCGCCGATTATCAACACGTCGTAGTTTTGCTCTCGTGCGCCGACGGAACCCATTTCTGCTGAGCGTGAGTGTGTGTGTGTGTGTGTGTGTGTGTGTGTGTGTGTATGTGTGTCACTGATATCCTCGTGGGAGATGAGAAATTGCCAGATGGCCTGTTGATGCGGGGTCTATATGTCGTCTTTTATACTGTGGACTCTACCTACAGTCCTGGCCCACACTGAGCAACGGAATCAGGTGGCAGACTACCTGCAGTAGGTGTGTGCTTCCACAAGATGGTATCTCCTTTACTTTCCATCTTTTCTTGGCTGAGCCAAGCGGAGAAAAGATAGCACGCAAGCTCGCATGATGCAGACTCGCCAAAAGAGGAAGGGCAACGCAGTCACGGGATGCGGAGACTTTCTCAATGCAGTTTGACTTTTGATTGGCCGCCCAGCCATCAAGCGATACAGCGTCAATATCAGAGTCTGGGGAAGGTCTTAGAAGTCATGGCCTTATCAAAACAAAGATGTTGCCAGAAACAAGGCCCTGGCCTCATGATAAGCCAAGTCTCGTATCGGTAGAAGGGCGCGAGATAGCAATATGCCCAGACTAGTAGATACATTTAAATCACAGCCCAGTTCCGGGTCGAACAGTCTTTCTTGGAGTCTTTGACACTCATTTCTCCTCTTTTGCCTCTTTGACTAGACGTATTGTATTCATCTCTCGCAATGACTGAGACATCTGATCTATCACACGCTAATGAGGATAATTTTGGGAAGAAAGAGGCCCTTGATCTCGGAAAAGTCGAAAGTTGCTCAACTGGCCAGCAGTTCCAGTATGTTGAACGGGCCGGAGTCAAAAGAAATATTAAGTCCCGCCATGCTCAAATGATGGCTATTGGCGGTGCCATTGGTACAGGCTTCTTCGTTGGTGCTGGTCAGGCACTGGCAATTGGGGGCCCGGGCTTCCTCCTCCTTGCCTATGGACTGATGTCCCTTCTTGTTTACGGCGTTTTCACTGCAGTCATCGAAATGAGCACGTACCTTCCCATCCCCGGGTCCTCGATTGCATACTACTGTAGCCGCTATGTCTCACCATCCCTTGGCTTTGCCTTAGGCTGGCTCTATTTCTACTCGTTTGGCATCATCGTCGCATACGAAATCACCGCGGCCAGCCTTGTCATCAACTACTGGCCAAACAACGTTCATATTGCTGTATGGGTCACCGTCATTCTAGTTGTCGTCATAGGGCTCAATCTCTGTCCAGTGGGTGTCTACGCAGAGGCCGAATTCTGGTTTGCCGGCATCAAAGTAGTCATGATCATCGGGATGATCATCCTATCTCTCGTCATCATGCTCGGCGGAGCGCCTACTCATGACCGACTTGGATTCCGTTACTGGAACGACCCTGGCGCAACGAATGCTTATATAGTTGGTGGAAGCGGCGGCCGCTTCACCTCTTTTCTCTACGTCTGGGTCTGGTCCGGCTTTTCCTTCTTCTTTGGCCCAGAGCTGATGGTATTCACGGGCGGCGAAATGCGCAGTCCACGCAAGAACCTCCCCAAAGCATCGCGCCGATACTTCGGCCGGCTCGTTGTCTTCTACATCCTCGGAACCCTCTCCATGGGGGCGACCTGTCCCTCCAACGCCGAAGGTCTCACCTCCAACACGGGCGACGCCAACGCATCCCCATGGGTGATCGCAGTCCGCAACGCCGGCATCAGCGTGCTCCCCTCCATTATCAACGCATGCATCCTGACCAGTGCCTGGTCCGCCGGCAATGCCTACCTCTACATGTCGAGCCGGGCGCTCTACTCCCTCGCTGTCGCCGGCAACGCGCCCAAGATCTTCACCCGCTGCAACAGCTACGGGCTACCCATCTACGCCGTCCTGGGCAGCAGCTGCTTCACGCTGCTCGCCTACCTCAACGCCGGCTCGCAGGCCGGCGAGGTCTTCAACTGGTTCGTCAGTCTCACCAACACCTCCGGATACACCTCCTGGCTCACATGCTGTGTCATCTTCCTGCGCTTCCGGAAGGCCTGCAATGCCCAAGGTATTGTCATGCCTTACCGTTCCCATATCCAGCCCGTCGCGGCTTGGATCTGTCTGTTTGTTTTTGCCGTGCTGTTACTGTGTAACGGGTTTACTGTTTTCTTTCCCGGCCGCTTTTCCGCTAGTGGGTTTTTGACGGCGTATCTTGGGATTCCCCTTTTCTTGGCTATTTATTTTGGGCATAAGTTGACGGTTGGCCGGAAGGATCCGTGGGTGTATAACCCCGAGGAGGTAGATTTGAAGTCCGGTGTTGAGGAGGTTAATGCTGAGGCGGAGACGTGGGCGAGGATGGACGCGATCAAGAAGGAAAGGAAAGGCACATCGAATGTTGTTTGGAGAAAAATTTCTTTGATATGGTCGTGATTCGTGAGAAAGCGGTTCCTTGATGTGGTATTTATGTTAGGGCTAGCTAGTGTACTACTTTTATTTGTAACGAGACATGAGACAATGAATAAATATGCAATTTTGTGCGAAGAGACTACGATTCATTTGGCTAATGACATGCTATTGTGATTAGGCATAGGATATACGAGATGTTCTTTTGGAGGGTTGGGTTTGGTATCGAAAGAATGGAGGGCTACACTATGACTTGGGGACTGCGGTAATGGGTCAATGGGTCTATAACATTGTATAATCGCTAGCTGGGATGAGAATATGAGATGCATCAAAATCGTTGCCTCCATTAGTCTTTCGAAAACCAAATCTATCTATCTATAGATCGTGATCATGCGCTTTTAAGCTATGCCCCATATCGCTTGACGAGTCTCTCTAGCAAAGGACCGTGTGCTAGAGATGCATTATGTTCATAACAAAGTCGTACCTTCTAGATGAGTCCTCTAGAAGCTCTTGGTCTCGCCCTCCTTGAGCTTACCAGCACCAACGAGCCTCTTAGCCTCCTCGGCGTAAACGTTCTTGACGGCAGCAGCATCCTTGCCAGCAGCAGTAAGACGCTCGGCCAGACCGGCAAGCTCCTCAGCATCAATCTTGCTCATGATAAGCTCAACGTCGGTCAGGACGGAGTCGACCTGAGCGGCGGAGGCCTCGCCATCAGCGAAGTAGTTGACCTCCTTGACGGAGCCCTTGACAACACGCTTGTTCTTCTTGGTAGCGTTCTTAGCGGCCTCCTTGGCCTTCTTGTTCTTCTCACGCTCAGCCTTAGCGGCCTCCTCAGCATCCTTCTTGCGCTGTTCCTCTTCCAGACGAGCCTTCTCCTTCTCCTCAGCCAGACGCTTAGCCTCAGCCTCCTTCTCGAGACGCTTCTTGTCCTTGTCGGCACGAGCAGCCTTACGGAACTTCTTGATACGCTCATCCTGAGCAGCACAGTCGTCTACGAGCTTACGGAGACGAGCAGTGTCCTCGTTCTTGCGCTTGCGGCGAGCGTTGGCGTTCTTCTTCTCGGTGTGACGCTTCTGGTCACGGCTTTCACCATCATCGGGCACATCCTCATCGAGGTATTCAAACGAACGCCAGCTGTCGAAGTTATACCAGAAGTTGTAAAAGTTGTCGACTTCCTCGAAGGTGCTGTTGTCATCACCCAACCTAGGAACGGGCTGGATTCTAGAGAAACGACCCTCAGAGTCGAAGACACGGTTCCACAGCTTGTAAAAGTTACCCTTGGCGGCCTCCTTCTTGCTGGGGGGCTCAACGTCGGCAGCTTCATCGACGGAGTCGAACTGACGACGCTTGACGGGGTCTGAGAGCACTTCGTGGGCCTTCTGGATACACTTGAAGAAGCTGTCGTTCTCGTCACGGTCACCCAGAGCGGCCTTCTTGTCGGGGTGGTGGCGGAGAACCTTCTTGCGGTGGGCACGCTTGACCTGCTCGGGGGTGGCGCGCCAACGGTACTTGGTGATACCAAGGACGGCGTAGTGATCTTGGCTCTGTGAAAGAGATGTTAGAATGTTTTAAACGTAAAATGTACATACGTAGTGAGGGCATTGGACATACCTTCCAGTCCTTAGCGTCCCGAGACAGCATCATGGGGTCTTCGTCCTCGGAGATTTCGTCATCCTCCTCGTCTTCAGTCTTCTTGACGTTCTGCTGGGCCTGGATTCTCTCGTCTTCAGAGAAAGTGCGGTGATGACGCTTCTAGATGGCTGTTAACACCGATTCGATATATTGAAATCTGATAGTGAGAGCCGCTATGAACCCAACCACCGAATCTAGGAAAAGTGCACACATACTCTACGAGCGTGGGCCAAGAAGTGAGGGCCAACAGGCTCCAGGTTCCTCTGGGTAGCACCAGAAAGAGTGCCCACGGCCTTGAAATCCTTCTCGGCGGACCAGCCTCAGAAAGGGCGGGCAAAGAGACGTTGACGACTTGGACAGAAGTCATTTTGACTAAATCGAAGCAATTGTCTTGGATGTGCTTCGGAGAATTTAGAAGGGAAAGATACCCAAGTTGTGTGCTGGCGATAAGAATGGGGGGGCCGATGGGCAGAAAATTGAGAGGCCGTTTTTTATTTTTTCTGCCCCGACTTCCCGCTTTTCAGACTGCCAATCAGGCGGCGGGTGTTTCGGAGGTCATTCGAAGGCGATGGATTGATCAGGTCAGGAACGAAGAACTATCTCCTTTTCCCAACTTGGTATCCCAGAGTCTGGCATTAGTCGTCGATTGTCGCCTTCTTCTATAAAAGGACGTTGTCTTTGTTCTTTGGTTTGCTATCTGTGTCGTCGCATCGACTCAATTCCATTATCGCCAAAATTTCGAATCATACTGCGATCGCCGCAAAGCCCGGGATTTAACACAAAGAGAACTATATCAGACGATTAAAGTCTTTTCCCAAGCAGCTTTCGACTCAGACTACTTTAGAAAACAACAAAATGACTGCCCCAGCCCTTTCAGCCCGCGGCGCCTACCGTCAGATTCTCCGCGCTACCCGCGTTGCCTTCCATGGTCAGTACTATACTTCGCTCGACAACACTTTGCAAGGCTAACGATCACTCTCATAGAGGATACTCGTGTACTCCTCGCCGCTCGTCAAGAGGCACGCCGCCAGTTTGACGAACATAAGCGTGTCGGCATCGATACGCCCATGCAGATCAACCATGCCATCGAAGTGGCCAGCATCCTGAAGCACAACATTGTGCAAGGAGTAAAAGAGGAGGGCAATGAAGCCGCCAAGTGGGGTATGTCGTACCGGTTTAATCGCACAATGGTTTACATTCGTTGGATATCAATGGTGGCTAACCATACGGCTTCTAGAACTTCGGATTCACGATGATATCGAGCGTGGTGACAATGATTCAATTAAGCATGCAGGCCAGGACATCAAGATTCATAAGGCTTGTTCGGCATAAGTGTCGCTGAGTGGTAGCTTCCTACGAAGGATGCACATGATAACACCAGCATTTTTGCATTGTATTATAGTATACCCAACTTTTCTCTCCTTCGGCGTCTTTTGGGGTATTTCGATTGAAGATATGAATGTAACAAAGTGAAATAGACACGCATAACAACGCCTGCTTTGAACATACAAGTAATGCCTCCTGATTCCCAAGAACAATATAAGGAGAAGATATGGACATGTCGACGTGCAATTATTCACCAGACATGCTGGTATATTGAACCTCGCCACTACCTGGGGGCGGGGCGACAGCGTAACTCTGGGGTTTTCCCTGTTTACCAAGATCCTCGCTGGCGGCGGTGATCGCTTTGTTGCCTGAGCCCGAGGCTCTCACCGTCGTCGCGGCCGAGCGGCCTTCACGGGCGTACTTCATACGCTCGTCGCGGTCCATGTTATCCAATGGCTTAGGCTTTCCCCAACGGATTCTTAATGGACAGCCCTGAATGACAGCCTTGCCCTGGCAGTGGTTCGCAGCCGCCTCGGCACCTTCGCGAGTAGCAAAGTTAATAAACGCCGAATGAGCGCGATGAGAACAGACCAACGAGCGGAGCTGTCCAAACTGTGAGAAAAAGGTACGCAAAGTATGCTCGGGAAGGTCGTCCTCAACACCAGTGGCAAAGAGGGACGTAACATTAGGATCCGCAGGGGGGAGAATATCCTCTTGGGAAGGCGGCAATTGAGCTGTGCCGGGAAACGGACGACCACCACGGCCACCACGCATATTTCCGCGTCCTCTTCCAGGCAAAGGCGCACCCCTCCTACTCTCAGCCGTGCGAATGGGTCCTGGGCCATTGCCATAACGGCTGTGTACCACCGGCGTGTGTGTCGACGGTTTCTCGCTCTCCTCATCCTGCGGCGCCTCGAGTTGACGAGGCTTTCTATAATAGGGTTCACTGTTTGCTAGTCTCCTGAGGAGTTCTCGCGCCTTCTCATCTGTTTTCTCATACGCTTCGACCGCGCCGCGTCCTTCCTCGATTTCCTTCTCGTGCTCCTGTGCATAGTATTCACGGTTGATAGTGCTTTCGGGGCCCGGGGCAACCATCTTCAGCGCAGCATCACGGACGACAATCGGCAGTCCAAATGACAAATCGAGCATGCAGCATTGGCAACAATTCTTCAGACGTGCGCATGTTAAGCAAATCGCGGTTCTCTTGGTGCGTGCCGTGCGGTCTGCCTTCCAGCGAAATATGGTGAAAGGGCGAGTGCACTTTTCATCGGTTAGCACAGCAGAACCTAAAGCAATGCATAGCTCTACAAGCGGGACCGACTCACAATTTTGCATTCTGCGCCATGATCCTCCTTCAGCATCTGCACGTACGGATTATCGGGCAGGCAAGTTTCGCAAACGGAGGGAAAATCGGTTGTCTCCCATCCTGATCGGTTCAAGTCTTGCTTGATCTGCGGAGGAGGCATATTGGTGTGCTGCTATCCTAGCTCAAACGGCGCGGGACCCAGAGCAAAAAGGATGTGATGAGTTGGTGGCGTTCAATGACCGGCAAAAGAATGATGATTATCGATAGCAGCGTTTGTTCTAGCTGTGGCTGGGCTATGTGGCTTAGGTGGCTACCTTGCTGACATAACCGTAAAGTCCCACGTGATAGGTTCGACGGAGCACGGAAGTTGGAAATTTTCGAGGTAAATGCGTATGTGGGGAGCTTCGCATCGATAAGAATCTATTATTGAAGATTAAGTGTCCAAGCGAACGTTGTTCAGGGTCCACCAGCAGCTTGCAACATCAAATCAATGTGGATTTTAATCTCCATGGATATCGAATACGCGGAATACGACGGTTTCTCACATGTGCCTTCTCGAAGGGGTTTAACGCCGTGTCGGAAGAAGGTCTTTCCGGCGCGAGGGCCAGAACCCCGGATGGTCCCTTTCGGCCTAGCCTGCCGCTGCGTGGTTGGCTGGCCAGCTGATTGGCAGGGGAAGTGTCAAATCGTCGCAATTCCGCCTCCTTTCTTTCCGTCGATCTTGTTTGCTTGCTGAATTTATTTCGCTGCTCTATTTTTGACCTTCTCTTTTCTCATTTCTGTCTCTCTTTTTTTCTGCTGCCTATCCAGCTATTTGGCTTCTTCCTTTCTTTTTTTTTTCTTCGTGAGTATAAATCACTCAGGAGTTCCCCGATCGGTCATTGCTGTCCTGCCGAATTCCTGTCTTCACCAATTCACCCCTTTTTTAAACCTTCAACACGACCGAAGCCAATTGTTTATCACCATGGCCCCTGCTACTTTGGAACAAGAGAACCATACTCGTGACGCCGAGTTCAATCGCGTCCTCCATGGAAAATCCTCCCAGGCTCAGGGCGGCTTCGCTGCCATGCTTGGAGGAAAGGATGCCGCTGCGCAAAAGGCTGCGGTTGAGGAATACTTTAAGCACTGGGATAACAAGGACGCCGCCGATGAGACTGATGAGACTCGTGCGGTATGGATTACTTGAACTGTACAACTCATATAGATGTGGTCTAACGATTTTGACAGGCTCGCCGTGCGGAGTATGCTACCTTGACCAGACAGTACGTACCCCAAGCCCAGCGTCACAATGTTGGTTTCCCTTCTGACATCCTTCAGCTACTACAACCTGGCGACCGATCTGTATGAATACGGATGGGGTACCTCCTTCCATTTCTGCCGCTTCGCCCAGGGCGAGCCCTTCTACCAAGCCATTGCCCGTCATGAACACTATCTGGCTCACACCATGGGCATCAAGAGTGGTATGAAGGTCCTCGATGTTGGCTGTGGTGTTGGCGGTCCCGCGCGCGAGATTTGCAAATTCACCGATGCCAACGTTGTCGGATTCAACAACAATGATTACCAGATTCAGCGTGCCACCCGCTATGCTGAGCGCGAGGGATTGAGCGACAAGCTGAGCTTCGTCAAGGGTGACTTCATGCAAATGAGCTTCCCCGATAACTCATTCGACGCCGTTTATGCCATCGAGGCTACTTGCCATGCTCCTGAGCTCGAGGGTGTGTATAAGGAGATCTTCCGTGTGCTGAAGCCTGGTGGTGTGTTTGGTGTTTACGAGTGGCTTATGACCGATGAATATGATAATGACAACGCCGAGCACCGCAAGATCCGTCTGGGTATCGAGCAGGGAGACGGTATCTCCAACATGGTTAAGGTGTCTGAGGGTCTTCAGGCTTTCAAGAACGCTGGCTTTGAGGTCCTTCACAATGAAGATCTGGCTGACCGTCCGGACGCTATTCCTTGGTACTACCCTCTTGCTGGATCGTTCAAGCACATGACCTCACCTTGGGATTTCTTCACGATTGCTCGCATGACATGGTGGGGACGTGGTATCGCTCATCGCTTCGTCGGTGCTTTGGAAACCGTTGGACTCGCCCCCAAGGGCACCCAGAAGACCGCCGACAGCTTGGCGGTGGCAGGAGACTGCCTCGTGGCGGGTGGTGAGAAGAAGCTCTTCACCCCCATGTACCTGATGGTTGGACGCAAACCCGAGTAAATGCTTCTCAAAATTTGCATTATGTGAAACGTCTGTATAAATACCTCTTTCGTACCAGCATCCCACTTACAGACGTGGCGGAGTATCTTCTTTAATTCGGTGTTATGTTTTCCATTGTTGACTTACTTTTCTTCCCCTTGTCATTATTATTACATACCGCCGTGGGACGCTATGCTTCTTTGTTTTCATCTGATGTGCTGTCCGAATTGGCGGACGTTGAACGAGTCACTGCTGGGAATGCGCCATGGTGATGATCTTTTTGAGTTCGTATTTCCTTATGCTCATGCAAAATGTGTTTCCATAACCGTCAGTCTGCCGCAGTAAAATTCCTATCATGTATTGATCAAAGATCTTGAGACACGGGCAAGTTCCGTCTAAAATCTACCAATTTCATACTAAAACCATGTTCTTTACCTATATCCAGAAATGCATGATACTTCGCAAGCGAAAAGAGTATTGCGCGACCCTTGCCCAATCACTATGTTTTCGCGCCTCTTGCACAAATATTTGCAACGGTGAAGGATGCTTAGACCATATAGTTGTAGACTTCTCCATACGTGATCCAGTTAGTGGTGTACATTTATAACGTACGTGACATTATTGAACCCCCAACAAAAATAAACTAAACTAAACTTAATTGGAAACTCACATGCTTATGGCTAAGATGGTTGCTTAGTATTGCTTCAATAAAGCATTGACCTCGAAATGGAGAGATTAAGCTGAAAGCTTTCTGGAGTGTGGTCCTCGATCCACAGCTGTTACGCCGAAATATATATAGAATGTCTCCCACCATATGTTGGAATTGGTTCCTCACACGCCCCCATGGATGGTTACGTATCCCAATCTATTCATTCTCCTGGATTTTGTTCAACTAATATTTCTGGTTTGATTTATCAAATACCTGATAGGATCTGACATATTACGTAGCGTGACGCGTTGCAGCCAGTAGAAACTGAGATGTATCCGGACCAAAGTAATCAAAAGAATACATGTAATCACTGCGCCCCTATGAGGGAAACCGTAAGTCTGCTGTAGTCCTTATATATATCCAGATCTGAACGTTTCAAGGTAAAATAGGGGTGCATTAGACTTGTATTTGACAGATTCACTGTGATGCCTCGTCGGCAACTCGGTGCAATCACCGATCGCCGAGAACATTCTCGGCCTTCGGGCTTTGAAGTGGAGACAAAGGTTAAACATTTTTAAAGTGCGTACGAACCGTTGGGGTTATGTTCGATATCAGGACTTCCAGGGTCCAGCTTCATTTTGCTGGGGTTCAAGACCCATTAGAATCAAGACTGTTGCGTCGTCATTAATCACCACCCTCAATTTACCACGTAATGCGACATAGCTTGTGCAACTCTAGCTCATTGATCAACGCGAATTGTCACAGCTTCAAGCACCTGGCAAATAGGCTGTAGGTAGTATACGAGTTTCCATCTTTTCAAAGCCGTTGGACAACAAAACTCGGTCATTCCTCGGAGATCCACCCGAATGTAACCGTCCATAACCGTCATAACGCCGAAATCGGTTGTGGAAGTATACCCAAACTCTTTCTGCTACTTGACTCAGCCTGACGGGAACTTTGATATTCCGCAATATAAATCTTCTGAAGTGCCTCTCATACGTGATGCTTGGTTTCCCAATACATCCAGTTCTTTCTCTTCTTGCTCACTTTCTCTAAGCGTTCCACCGTCCACAATGTCGCAGCCAGAGACAACACATTCGACCATCTCCCAAAGGGCACAGAGCGCCCTAGAAGCAGGATCAAAGAACCTGATGTGGGACGTGGTGAACGACCTATGGTGTGAAAAGACAAACCCGAATGGATACGTGAATGTGGGCGTTGCCGAGAATGTTCTGATGCACGATCACTTGTTGAGTTTCCTCAACCGGCAACTCGACTTGCCTGCGAAACTACTCACGTATAATGATGGCCCTACTGGGTCAGCAAGAGTAAAACGTGCGGTGTCCGCTTTTATCAACAGACACTTTCACCCCTTGCATGCGGTGGACCCTAGTCATTTGTTCATTACAAACGGCGTTTCGTCGGCAATCGAGCATGTGTCTTGGGCCATAACAGAACCTGGCGAGGGAGTCCTTCTGGGAAGACCGTACTATGGGACGTTCATACCGGATATTTCACTGAGACCTGGAGCAACGGTTATCCCTGTAAGCTTCGACGACTGTGATCCGTTCAGTTTGGAGGCCGTCCAGCAGTATGAACAAGCACTGTTGAGTTTCCAGGAAACGACAGGACGAAAGGTAAAGGGGCTAGCGCTTTGCCATCCTCATAATCCACTAGGACGATGCTACCCCAGACACGTGCTAGTGAAGTTGATGGAACTCTGCCAGAAATACCAGATGCACTTCATTAGTGACGAGATATATGCGTTGTCCGTGTGGAAGAACACCATCGACGAGAGTCCGAAGCCTGTCGACTTCGAATCCGCCCTTTCACTCGATCTGACAGGCATCATTGATCCCCAGCTCGTTCATATACTATGGGGCGTGAGCAAGGACTTTGGTGCGAATGGTCTCCGACTGGGCGTTATTATCTCACAAGCCAATCGTGACATGCTAGCAGCATTAAGGAATGTTGGTCTATATTCTTATGTATCGGGGGTCTCGGAGCATCTGGTATCTCTCCTGCTTGAAGACGTCGATTTCACTGATGAATATATTCGGTTGAACCGCGAGAAGCTCTCGGAGAATTATTCTTTCGTTGCGAGGCAGCTCAAGAGCAACGGGATCGAGTATTCGACTGGAGCCAATGCTGCATTCTTTATTTGGATGAATCTGGGGAAGAAGTACCGCGAACTCCACCCTGAGGTCAAAGACGATGAGGATGTTAGTGAAACAGTCATGGAGCTCTTACTGCAGAAGAAAGTCTTCTTAGCTAGCGGCTCTTTGTTCGGTTCTGAGCATGGTGGATGGTATAGAATAGTCTTCTCACAGCCCCAAGAGTATCTGAGCGAGGCTGTACGAAGAATCATGGCCGCGCTCGAGGCCTAGGATGACTCTTCCTCCTAAACGGCGGCATTGTCGACCATAACAACCCGCCGCTTGACTCATTATTCAGAAAAGAGCCGAATTTGCTATCTAGAAAATAGACAGAAGAGGCTAGAGCGAACCTACCAACTTCCTCCTGCAGGTATGACTCTACACTGTAGAGGAGACAAATGCAACAGAGGATATGTTGGAGGCCTTGGATGCAATAGGGATTCACAGAAAAACCTTGAAATTGTCCTGACTTAAGACGAATAAGGGTTGCTTACTTTATGTTTTCGGCACTGGAGTCTTTATCTGCATATTTGCAATACGTTGAAAGTTGATGTGGGCCTTGCTTTCTCAAAACAGTGGATTACTCTTGAAGATGTGACTGTATCAACCCAACCGCCACACAGCTCAAGGTTCGTTGCTCTCATCTCTACCTTCGCTCTAGCGTTGCTTGGTGACACATCCCAAGCCTCTTTAATGCACGATTGTATGGCTCTATTGCTTGTTTCCCCACATCTCCATAGTCCATATCGCGACGCCCTTACGAGAGTCGTGTTTTCTAGCTGGGCATCAAGCATGGACGCCGTGCCAGCGGATACCTGAAGTAGATACGCGATATATTCCCCTATATCAACATACAAATGTTTTCATTTTGCGTCTCCAATTGAATCTCTATATAACTCGGTTACGGGTGACTTCTCCGCGTGGGGAACTCCCGAGCACTTGCTCGTCAATCAGGTAGTAAGTTGAGATGCAGTGTCACTTGCAATGCATTTGTGGTTGCTCATATTTATGTGTAGTATGCGGATGTGCTTGGGCTCGTCTTCTTAGCCATTGGGATCTTCATGATTACTGATTTCGCTTGGATATATCTGCATTGCTGCCCTCCAGGCTTGTGTTATCAGTTCCTGTAGTTGCCCTGGCCTTGTTTCTGCCTAACAGAGACCCTGAGTATGTATTTTGTTTGCGAAGGAAACGAATGAAAGCCTGGTTGATATACCATAGGGTCGGCCCTCAAAGTTCAGAACAAACAGCATAATTGATCAGGACGCCTATCCTACATCTACTCAGTTCTCAAAGCTCCGGGCTAGCAAAGAGCTGAATGCCAGAACCACAGATGACTATAATTGTTGTACATTCCCGGCAAGATATGTGGCAGCATTCAGCTATAGAACCTGGTGACAACTACGATATCTAGTCCATCTGTACCTTGTCAAACAGCTCTGGACTATCACAGTATATGTTTTGGCTCTGTTTTATGTTACTAGCTTTACACTCGAACAGCATACCTCCTTGCATTGCGCAGCATTATAAGCAATGGTATTGTTTGAAAACCAAGGCGTTACATCAATGTCCAGGAACAGCTGTAGGAATGAATGGCGCTATTGAAGGATCCGGCTGCACTGGATAGCCATCGGGCGGCTCTTTCATAGCCTGGAAGACTTCTGTTGCAAGCGAATTCTCGTTCACATATGCCAGCAAAGCCTCAAAGTCACGGCATACATGTTTGTTCCTAAAGTCTGGGAAGGGTTGGGTCCAGCCTCCAACCCAGTTGAACAGAATCACGTCAACAGAGCCTTGGCACTTAATAAATTGGGCCAAGATATCAATACAATGAGTAATATGGGCGGTGTGCTGGGCATGTGGGTTGTTCCCAAACTCTGGGTAATAATAGTGCTCATAGGAGATTTCCTTGCGCAGCATATCAAGACAGTGAAGGAGATGGAAAACTTCTGTTTGTGCAAGGTATGCATCTGGGCCATAGCCGAATTCATCGGGGACTCGGACTGCTAGTGCCGGGTCTTTGCCTAGCTTGCGGACTTCTTCCGCTGAGATCAGGATCGGGAAGACCCCCGAGCTTATCCTGCTCCATTCTGCATCGGCTTCTTCGCTTGGGGCATGCGCATAATAGAGGGCGGCTCGGAGTCATACAACGAGCCGTTGGTCGTTAGTACGACCCGCGGGATATCGAATCTCTCTAGTATAGGGGCTGTAGTAATGCCTTAGTCCGTGTTCCCGTTTGTGGCACTCTTAGCACCATCAGCTTACCATAATACGAGGTCGCTTTCCATTTGTCCTGATCATTGAGATGGTTGAGGCAGGCCCGGCTGGACAGTGGTGATAAGAGGAATAGAATCGAGGCACAGAAGATCAGGATGTTCAAACATATGATCCAAAGATTCCAGGAGAGAGGTCTCTTCCTTTCAGTACCAGGGCAGGGCCAACACTTTCCTGACTCTATCGGCAGAGAGTCATTTAAAAGACCTCTCTCAGAATCTCTTTCACCGTCACCCTTGCAAAGGTTGCTCTCCTCATCGAGGGAGGGCCTTGCCATCTGTTTGAGCTGGAAGTGCGACATGAAACATTTCTGCTTGATTGAAAGATGGGAGCAATATTCAAGAGAGCATATCCACTCATATTTCAAGTGCCCTACCGCAAAAGGAAGGTTGGATTGCGGTTTCTTGTTTGTTCACCGCAGCGGAAAGGGACCCAGTAAGCATTGAAGATTTTCGACTTTGCATATGCTACTGTTCGATTTGAGTAACTGGAGATTGCAGGTGAGTCCGAGAAAACTGGCTACAGATGCAATATGTGCTCGAAATTGCATCAGACCTGCTGTTATGGACGCCGAAGTAGTTGCCATACGCCAATAATGACGAAATCCAGCCCAGGTGACCTCGTTCCTTACGAATTCCGTATGCTGGATGAATTAAGGAGGGGGGGTGTGATGATGATGTGACACCACACCTGTAAAAGCCCTCGTTGTATTGTTTATTGAATGGTGCTGTAGGAAAACGCAAGAAACAGGGAAGCTTCACGTAAGGAGCGATCTTCAGCAGCAAGGCTCGACAGACCGTGCCATGCAGGGTCTACACTAACTCCACTACGGTCCGGTTGGAAGTCTTGGGTGACAGATATTCGTGACCAAGATCCAAGGTATAAAGTTAAGGCCCCTCGTGGGCAACATGGTGTTAGAAATCGAACTATCTTTCTAATATAAGTTCTAACAAAACGCTACTACTACTCGGTCCGGCCTATCTCCGCCTGTTATATCCTGTCTGCTGTTTCAAAAAATCCAAAATGCAGTTCAAAGCTTTTACTGTGCTGCTCGCCATCGGTCTTCCACTAGCCATAGCATCTCCACTTCGTAAGGGGTCCTTCCTGTATTTCCTGATATATCCTTACCCTTAACGCTATATTTAGCTGCGAAGGAGGCTGAGGCTATTCCCTACTATCCTAAGCGCAGCGAGGACGCTGAGGCCATTCCCTTCTACCCTAAGCGCAGTGAGGACGCCGAGGCCATTCCCTTCTACCCTAAGCGCAGCGAGGACGCCGAGACCATTCCCTTCTATCCTAAGCGCAGTGAGGACGCCGAGGCCATTCCCTTCTATCCTTGAATCATCTCGATGAAGCTCAGAGCGCCAATTTACGACAATATGAATGACTTTGGAATGTGCCGATGATGCCGATGATTTCGCAACAAACTTTATACGATCCTTTTCTTTGTTACTCAATTTTGTCTATTCATTTTGCTTCAGAGATGCTCAGGCCTGGCTGGATGATTAACTTGTCATTTCGATGGTTGTTCACATGTCTGTTCGCCTTTAGTTATCTACCTATGGAATATGGCACTGCGAATTCAGCATTGCGGAATTATCTTAGTCTATTAAGTCTCATATGGATAATGCTTGTACGTAAACCAAGGCAAGTCACGTTCTTAGAGGCCTTTTTTATCAATTTTAGACAAAGCTTTGCTCTATATACAGTTTGTTATATATGAGAATGCGAGTGATTAAACGTATATTGATTAGACGTATGTTTCACGTGTCACCAAGCATAGCACTAAGCCCTGTGGTATCGTGCCAGTTGTAAAGTCCGACCATTCATCTGGAGCAATTCTTGGTGGCCATTGTGTCACATTGGCCCTTGCGCAAGGCAGGCTTGCACCACTTCTGAATTTCAGGTCAGGTAAGGGGCTCCAATTGGTGACTTGCGAAGAAGAATGTCAGAGTCGGTCAGAGACCCCCTAACCTTACTATTAGCAAGTATAAGCAGGCCATGTTAGACGTATCTCGTACGTCTAGAAAGGCAGATGACCAGTGAGTAGAAGAAACGATCCTTTAGCCACCCCGTCTCCCATCTCCTCCTTTTCTACCACCATTGGAAGGCACGAACACGTCCATCTTAAGCTACTGCCTAGTGCAAGCAACCTATTCATGTAAAAAAGTCTGCCATGCTCGGAAGCGGAAGCAAATTGTTGAAAATACAGACCGAAAGCCATCCGATGGTGAAATACAAGCCAGTCAGCGGCAGACCGAGTATTGATATTTGCTCTCAACTCCCGCGGGACTCTGAAGAAGGTAGACCGCGAGAAAATGGCATCGATGAGGCCTACCTCACGACCGACCGCGCGAAACGACCATGTCGTTGTGAGGGCTTCTCCCGGGCCTCCATCAAACAAACTTTCCTCATACTCCTTGCCGGCATTGGTCTTATGAACATAGGATACCAAGTCTATTGGTTCCTTCGATCCTTGAGACCAATATCGTGCAACTGTGGCGAAACCGTCTCAGAGGCCATTGCCAACGGGTGTCGGTACGATTCATTCGCCGCAGCCTGGCTACCGCCGGCGTGCCGGAATGATGAGCTGATCGATCGCTTTGAACGTGCGGGTCCGAACCCAGATGGTAGCTGGCCGTACTATGGGAACAAGAATAAAACGCAACTGCTATCCCTTAAAGAGGTCTCCATGCTGCCTGAAACAGGGGGCCATTTTTTCACTACGCACCAGTGGCATCTTGTTCACTGTGCCTATTATTGGAAGAAGATGTTTCTGGCTGTGGAACAAGGGACAATCATTGAGCATCGGTATAACAACTTGGCCCACTTGGATCATTGTGAGGTGATGTCTTTGAAAAGGGACTCCTTGGATACTATCGTGACTGAGGCTGGTGTGGCGCTTCATTCAGATGTGATCGTGACTGCGAAGAAGCATAAGCATGATCATGGAGATAAGACAAGGCTGGCATGATGAGTAGGGATTCATATTGGCGTATTATTCTTTCAGATCCTCACAATATAACCAGAGGGTTGCTACCGTGATCTGTATGTGTTTGTTGCTGTTCATAATTCTGCGTTGCTCTGTGCTTTTGGGGAAGGAATAGCTGTAGACCTAGTCCGAGATTATCTTTTTATACGGCCAGGTAACTCATATGCCTATTCGTCAGATATTTTCATAGGGAAATCAGCCAGGGATTCTTGTCCAATGATATAATTTGCTTGTCGTCAACTTGTGAGATATCGACTTGGTAGTAGGGTAATCTATAAAATGGGAATAGAGTGTGTAAGAACCTGATATGCATGCAGAACAAGTGTCTATGGACGTTAATTGGCAGTGTATGATATCAGATCATTGGTCCTCAAGTCTGCAAAACACCAAGACGCGAACCCGGCACTCCTGAGTTGGTCTGTAGCCTATCCGTTGCACAACTGCACCTGAGGATGAAATCACGATTTCTTTGGGGTGGATAAGTTTAATCAACATGACTGAGAGCCAACCCCTAAGCCAAGCTTCGTTAGATCTAGTCTGCGCTTTGCACCAATAATACATTTACAGACAACCAGGATAGACCTTAATTTCACAGGTAACAACTGGAACCATTCAAGTTGATGCTCGAGAGGGGAGCTAAAGTAGTTCATCAAGTTGAAATTCCTTTCACTGCTTTGCTAAGAGTCTATGACTTTATGAGCTTACGCTTCGTACACGCGGTATAGCTTGTAGCAAAGGGTAGGTTCTCGAATTTGTACGTACTGATAGGTGAAATGTGCGCGTCGGAGCGGTAATTGCAGGCCGTTGCACTCCATTTACCCGGAATATCATTACTGTATCTGCGACATCTTGAAGCAATGAATTTCGCACCCTTTTCAATTGCTTATATGGTGGAAGTGCTTGTAAAGGACAGTGGGGTTCCCGGGACTTGAGAGTTCGAGTGGACCCTTCTACGGCAGGTTAAATCGAGGTTCCGGTGACAGCCGCCGAGCCCTAAGTTGCGAGAAAAGGGTTCACTATTCCTAAATAAAGATACAGGGCAACGCTAAGGTCTGCCTTATGGACAAAATAGGAACTAGTCGGATCGAATTTATTGAAATAAGGTCTGCGCTACTCCAAAACAGGAAACCTTAGTCCAACAATTATGAGCTCTCGACATCTCGGCGGCCCGGCCCCTTGATTTGGAGACAATTTTTATTTTATAATCCTTAAATCTAGGCCCTCTCAGGACCACTCTAGTATCTCCAAGTATCTTAACTACTAATGGGAATTCTAATATCATATAGACTAGTACATAAACTTAATAGAGTATGATTACATAATTGAAACTACTGACAGCAAAAAATCTCTACTGTGTAGTATTGCCCAGACCTTGATTAACTTTACGAAGCAGATGGCTGGAAAAGGGTGCATTTACGTACGAAGTAGGCCTCCACAACGGGGTTTGTCGGGATTTGCCCCATTTACGCCCCCGGCCGAGACGTCGCCGATTTACATCCGCCATGTGGCAGCTTATCATGAGCCCTAAGTTCGAAGTAACTGTGTAGATTATTCTATACGGAGTGCATGCATGCGGCCATTGGCGGCAACGCTTGCCGGTTCATAATGTTACTAGTAGCCAGGCGAAAGTCTACTCACACTAGTTCGTAGTTGTCATACGGAGATTATGTCCAGGAATACCAGGGGCAACCATGTGACCGGAGGGTGAAGATCCCCGAGCACCGCCACGATATGACTCGTAGGAAGTAAATTAACCCCCATTGCTCTTAACCATAAGGAATCGATCCACCAAATGTGCTGATCCTCATGTCTCGCACCCTAGCTCCTCCTTCCCTCCTTCTTTGTCTATATTTACTATTATCCTTTTCCCTTTCCTTTTCTTTTCCGTGATGTGCATGTGGTATAAGCGTGTTGTGAAGCAGGGTGGGTCTATCACGAAGATCGTACATAAGTGCTCAGACTGCAGAAATTCAACCCTTGGCATTTTACGGGTTACTATTATTGAACCTTCTCCAAGCCATAAGTCATGGCTTAGACCCAATCTTGGCCTGTGCCCACGTCTGCACGCGATTTACATTCTCCAGATACTAGCCATGCGAGGCAACGAAGTCAGTTCGGATGGACGGACTCTTGCTCCACTGGGCTCAGTTCCCGGGTCGGCAAGAGTTATGTGTGTGGATTACTCCATAGGATCATAGACTTATGCTCATAATGGAAGTCTATTTCGGCCAGGCCCCTGCCAAACAATCCTCGTGACAAAACCCATTGTTAGGCCTCGACAAATCATGAGCATACGACGCTATTGAGTGAAGAAGAAAAAGACAGCTAACTTATTGGTTCATTCATTCAGGTGCTTATGATATTATCTTCATATCCCCTGCTCGGTGCAGTTTAAGATGATTATCATCAGAGGTTATAGCCTTTAAACCTCTGCTATTCAATGATATTTACCCCCTCTTAAAAGCTTGCACGGTAGCATTAATGGTGTAGTCGGCCTTGTTTGCTCCACCAATACGCGTAGACAAACTGTCTCCAGCCGAGTGACTAAAGGTCTTGGGTACATTTGGTCGAGTATTTCTCGGAGCGATCTAGGGCGGCATATAACCGGGAAAGCTCTTCTGAGAGCATGAGCTGCAGGTAAATCATATCGTCAATAACGCCTGATGCAGGTAGTCCACTGCCATCTCGCCTGTCGCATATGGATGCCAATGATTGCTCCGTCAATGCCACGATGCGATGGCTCAGCTTTGTTATCTATATAGCTTAGTAACAAGATTGTTAAATAGGTATTGTTGACTTACTCGATCCAAGGAAGAAGAGACATCTGGAGTCTGCTGTGTTGGGGTAGTGAACTTCTGTTCAAACGGTGCTATGGTTAACTCATGCGAACCTGGGAGGGGGTTCTGGGTCAAGCAAACCATTGTCTCCTTCACACGACCAGCGCGTTCTTTGAAACTCAGTGCGTCTTCAAGATCATCGATTTGCTTTCGGTGGAGGAATTCCTAGGGCATTAGCAAAGCGATGGAGTGCGGGTGGTGCATGATTTCATCCTGTATTTATTAATAACTGAAAGCTGACAGACGTGCCCTATTCCAGACGCATACATCCCGAAGCAGATCTAAGCTTTGATGCGCAAGGAGTCAGAAGCGAAGGAAACAATGGCGATTTATTTTGTCCGATTTCCCATTGCACTAGTGATAGGTATTATGTATGACTTTTTCATGTTGTTCCAGGGCGCCAATTATTAGTAACAACAGGCTGCCAGGCAAACATACTCGGTTGGTCTCTCCTGGGGTTAATGGAATGTTACTGCAATCCTGAATTGTTTCTTAATAGCTGAATCTTATGAGAAAGGGGCTTTATTGAGCGACAGCAACGGAGTCTCGTGGCATTCTAAAGGTACTGACAGCATACATAACCACCAAGAGGTATGATATCCTGCCTTAGCACCTGGATATTTTGCCGGCGATCCATGGCTTACTGGGCGTGTTCAACCTGGTAGAACCACGACAGTCGATATTGATCAGATTGAATATCCCGAGAGTCATGGAGATGATACTTGTTCCGTTCTACAAACATGGTTTACTGTAGATGATAAAGTGATTGGGGATTCCAGATATCCAATAGGTAGGATGCTATGCCTATCATCTTTGCCAGAGTCAGTTCGCGAGGTGGGATATAGGTATAAACACTTAGGTAGGAACAACGTGTTCGTCGCCGATGACGCATTGTGGCCTTTTACCCGGAAATCATTGGTGGGGACTTACGGGGGTATAGATCGATGACCATAGTGCGTAATAACATGACAAGGATATGCTTATATTGGAGGAATAGAGTACTAGGTACTGCTAATAGGGAAAGTACTAGGTACTGGCTCTGGATCACCCGGATATGACTTCCTGTCGAGAAATTATTGGCGAACCAGATTACCGGGATTCACGAGAACGGGCCCGAGCACTACTGCGTACTACTACTAGTACTAATACCTCCTTATGATCGACCGTAGTACCGTAGAAGAACGAAGTGGATACGGAAATAACCCACATCACATCTGAGCCAGCGACAGATCTTAGCCCCACTCAACCACGCGAGGGGCGAAGTTCCCAAAATATGCTTTGCCATCCTACCGATATGCTTATTGTAACAGGCGTGTTGCTGAAAACAGAACCTGCGTACGAACCGTCATAAAATAACTAACAGGATCCGATCTCCGCGGAAATGGCCTTGCGTCTGGAGGAGCCCGAGCGTAGTTAATACGGGTACCCCAGCCAATACTTCTTTTTTCGTTCCATTATTGTTCTTTTCCTTTCCAATTTTGGGCTCTGAAAATTTCTCGTCGAAATTGGCATCACAATCCAGCATTCGCCCGCTTGGTTGCCCTTCCAGATAGATGCATGGAATTCAGGTCGCATCCAAGCTCGCCCCGCATTCGATTGCATCGTCCCTTACCGGGGCTCAATCGAGTGAGACATATGATAGAATATCGGGCCAACATCCGGGGGGAATGCTGGCGTGATAGACATGACTAGTGCCAGTGGCCATGAATCAGACATCAGAACTTGGGTGAATGGTAAGTCGGAGCTGAAACCATGCCGCTAGGGCAACACTGCAGAGATCAACGACTTCCCGTGGTTCATGGTTGGCGGATGATGGCACCCTGTAAAATCGCGGATCCACAACCGTGCGCTGGGATCCAGAAATGTTCAAACAATACTTGGCAGGAGATTTGCGGCCAGGGAAAGTGGGTATTGGGTAGGTCAGCCCCAGTGGTACCCACTCCCAGCTCAGAAAACGGCCAAGTCGTGGTGCTTGGATACCCTTCAACGGTTCGACATGGCAATTAGGAATGACAAGTCACAGAAATTGAGTTAGGCCAAGTAGGCTGCTATTACAGTGGGTCTTTTACCACCCTACTTGGCCCGACCAACAACCCATCAATTGCCATCCCTGTCGGCGGTAGCTGCATGCTTACTGGATTCTCGTCACGGTGAGACACAAGATAGGTCACTAGACAATCGCTCGATACGTTAGCGCAAAGACCTCTTCTGTTCGTTTAAAATGGATCGTCAGCCGTATCTATAGCTGGCTGTCGCTCAGTACAGCACGCGCGAGTCATTTGCTCAGCGCGACAAAGATGTTGAGGGGATGCGCTGCTATCCCCCTTACCGGAAAGCCATAATCACAAGGATAAATATCTCTAACGTTATACGTATATCTCCCTACGATTGAAGTGAAGCTGACCGAAAAGGAGGCAACATATTTTAACTTCTTCCCGCCAGCTGCATCCTTGCCTCCTATCCTTTTGGAACCCTATAGCCCCGGCTCCTAAAGCTGGCAAAGTATAATCTAGGTATCCAAGTACTACCATAGGCCAAATTCACTGTTCTGTGCAAGCTTACAGAAGTAGAAGTGGGTAGGTAATATGAGGCTTGTAGATGGTCTTCCGAAGGTCGGAATCATATTTGCGTATACAGGGATAATTTATAAACAGAAGTGAAGAGACTCTCTGGATTTAGTAGAGAACCATACTGGACAACGTGTACTATTGTACCCATATTCTGGCGCTGATAACGTGTACTGTGTACCAAACAAACATAATCTATTGATTAGTTAGACCACAAAAGCAGGTTATATGGCAATCACCGTAATCCTCGACTAGTATAGATATAAACTATAGTACAAAGTAATTTATCTAGGACGTTCTTTCTGAACGGTAGGTATTACAGGGGAATACCTATATAGATACCTGGACTACGCAGTCCTAATACTGATATCTCAAGTATAGGCACCGAAATACCGAACACGGGAATCTTAATAGGCAGAAATTTATATCAATGAGAACCCGTCTATCTAGTGTAGTAGCGGGACAGGATTCAAATATTTACGGCGAACGAAGCCATCGACCAGGAAGTCCAAAAGAGGCAAAGCGTGGCACTTCGGGGAAGTGGCTAAATATAAATCCGGATACTACTACGTAGTATAACAGCTTCTCTCCAAATCCACTTTCATTCCTTCTAGACCTACCTTGCCTACTAGTATGTCCTATTCGGCTGCCATGACTACCACTCAGATTACAGTCAGCCACTCGCTGGCTACTCCTGACGTCCCTCAGTCAAGTGTAACGGAATCCCCTACCGTCTCTCTCCTGGGTTAGACGTCAGAGAACCATTCTCCGCCATCCGTACTCTCTTTAATCGCCTATACATTCATGCCGATTGCGCCGCCAAACTCAGTGCACTCTATTCACATCGCGGCATTCTCAAGACAGCTTCAACTATTATGGCCTCTTTACACGAGACATTTACAATTGACCCCTCTCCAAAGCATGCCACTCTGATTCTCGTCTCTCCAGAACAGTCTCTAGCTGGACACGGTCTCAAAGCGTTCTGGACCTCGTCAACACGCTCACCACTGAATATGTCCAATCCATACTCTCCTCTCTTAGTGCCATCGCTGACACCGATCTTACAGCCGCGCGCAGTGCCTACAATGTGAAATTCCGCCTTTGCGACCACAACCCCATCACCGCTGGCCCTGAATACTTGAATGGATGCGGCGCCCACGTTGACTACGGTGCCATTAACATAGCCTTCAAAGACGGTCCCCCTGGCCTTGAGCTCAAGGATGCAAATGTGCTTGGTTCGTGGATCCCTGTTCCAGGGGATGCCACTGTAACCCTGACTGGCTGGTGCGTGCTCATCCTGAGTGGTGGGCGTATCGCTGCAGCCAGATACCATGTTAGACGTATACCTGATGTCCGTCGATTGGGCGTTGCTTTTATTATTATTACGTTGGTATAAGGTAGGGTATGAAAGGATGTTGCAGGGGACTGCCCTTCTGGATGAAAGAGGTAGCATGGGGCCTTGCTGAGTCGAGAGTTACATGTCGTTACTGGGCGATCCCTCTTCAAAGGAATGGATCAGGTCTGCCTTGTTAAGGGTAACAAAAATTCAACTAGAAGTCTAGAAACTACCTATATTAAGCATATAAGCTCCGCTGTGGGTCTTCGGCATCCTGGTTGATAGTCACAACAGAGCCATTTCTCCTTATTGCCCATCGTATTTAGATGGAAGGAAATACCTTACACAGCTACTGCACGTATGAAACGGGAGTCAACTGCTCCTAGAGAGAAGATTGCCTTTATGGAGACGCCAACGTATTCAACTGAGCTACTAAAAGCCTTTTGCACTACTATAGAATGCTAGACAATGTTTTCCGATTTTTAAGGCATAGACAATGCCTATCCTGATATGACTAAAACGGCCCACATCGCCTTTCTAGCCTCTGCATGTTTTCATTGCGAAGTAACACCCCGCCCTAGTATAAGCAGTCCTTTGAATCTCACAACTAGAATGCTTCATACTATTGAAGTCTATGGATGGACGCTCGCATAGGAAACCATTTATGGTAGTCCAGTTAGCCGCGGCAAAGCTCCCTATAGCCAGTCCTAAATTCACAACCATAAGGATAGAGTATACTCTCGAGGCACATGATATAAATATTCTAAATATTAATCGCAGATTGGTAGATGGATCCGGTAGTGAGAATTTACTTATTAGTATCATACGGTATCGCTTGCATACAGTGTAAAGAGATTGTATCTCAGCATCAATGACTTGAGTGATTAAACTGCTGATGAAAGCCATGTATTATTTGAACCGGCATATTGTTTCTGTTCACACTCGTCGCCAATTAACCCAATATCTTAGAACTTTGAAGTTTTACTATCCAGGAGCAACCTAGCAGAATACTGAGCCTGTTGGCTCCTTGTGATCTATATACAGTATTTCGGGTGCTTCTATTGTAGAATATTAAGAATCCTACCCAACACCAGGTTAGGGTAAGACTTGAAATTTTGAACCTGAACGCAGCACGAAGGCCACTCGACTAGCATCGATAGGTTACAGAGGTCCAATATTCGGCCCCCACCCACATACGCTGTTAAACAGTAGATTGAGGGGTTTTGCTAGTCTAGTGTTAGTCCGTTCTTAGTCGCCCAGCACTACTCCGCCGCTAGCCACCACGGTGGACTTCTGAGCCTCAACTTCATTGCTCCTTCTTATCGTTGCATTCCTGAGCTTTTCCCACCCCTCAAAAGGAGTACAACGTCGCCTTCGTCATCAATTTATATACCTTCCACGCATCTTCATTGTCTCTTACACCCGGCTACAGCATCGCCAGCTGGACCGTTTCCACTTTAGTACCTGATAGATAAGACCTTATATATGTGGCCCGTTTGATCGTCACACACTAGAGGATCAGCATGCGTTTGCAGGCTACCAGCTATCTGCTCCCCTTGGCCGCAGTTGCAGCCGCGGCCGCTGGGGATGTTGTGTCTTTCCTGTACCCAGAAGGGTCGTTTTCTGGCGACGCCAAGCTTATTGGCACTGTAGGTACCCCTATTTAATGCAAAATGTACACATCTAATCACAACAACCAGACTGGTGGACCCCTTACTACGTTGGAATTTAACTGCCCTGAAACTGCGCCCGCCACTGGCACCACTGTTGCAGCTACCCGATCCGCCGCAGGGTTTGATGATGAGGATGATGACGAGTGCTGGGTCCCCGAAGGGGGTTACACCATCACAGCGGGCAGTACCACCTTTGAGTTTGCCTATACAACTCCAGGCCTGTAAGTATCAAACACCCCCCCAGAGAATGTGGCCGAAGAACCAAAGAAACAAAAGGATGAAGAAACTAACAGATCTAGTACCATCTCGGCGGGCTGCTCTTTCGACAGCACCACGTATGCATCCTGCAAAGCGACTAGCACTTTCGTCTCAGATACCGGAGTTCAAAATTTCGACACTAGTTCCTCCATCCCCCATGTGACTGTCACCATCACTGCCACTGAGTCTGCCTCTACCAGTGCTACCGCCTCTATTACTAGCTCCGGTGCTTCCAAGACCACCGCCTCCAACACAAGTAGTTCTACGTCGGGACCTTCATCTTCTCGCCCTTCTACTGCTGCCATTAGTGACAACGCGGGTATGCCATTGGCTACTGGCGCTGCTCAGTACGTAGCTGGCGGTGCGGTTATGATGCTTGCACTGGCCATGGCTTAGACATGAACTTGGACTGCAAAAGTAGCTGACAAAGATTACATTGCTTGCTGTGTGGACGGGGTAACCTTTTTATGATCAATGTATCAGCAGAGTGTGTGTTAGCATGGTATCAAAAGAAGGAAGCTTTATAATATGTTTGTGTTGCTTACGTGTAATGATGAACAAGCATTACATAAGAATAAAGAATACCATTCACATCATGTGATATGGACCCTTCCTATACTTAAATTCTTGTTCTGACACAACACAACCGTGTTTTGATAGCCGGGATGGAAGCCAAGAACCTCGGACATTCGGACCACAGCGGTCCTCGGCCTTGACTATATCCGAGATCTATCAATCGTTTAGGGAATACAGTAAACCGAGGTAGTAGGCTTTGGAACAGCAGGATGGCCTGACTCAGCTCCCAGGATTTTAGCTGTATGCGAAATGACACAAATGTAATTGAGAGAGTTCAGCAACAGCTAGAGTAGTACCGTGATTATCATGACCGAGAAAGTGGTGAACCAAGAGGCATTGGTTGGAGGGGTATATATTGCTGGTCCTAGTAGACGGAGCTTAAATGTATGCCCTCTGTCACGGTACCGTGCATGGTGAGCCGGAGTTTATCTCGCGGTGCGCAAAACCCGTTCGATGTTAGAAACCCGACGGAATATTCCGATAACGGGTTGCCTGAGGAGGCCATCCGATTTGCTATCAGATAAGATCGACACGTGCCGGGCACCCGATAGAACTCACGTGAGTGGCTCGGCCTTAAGAACGTGGCGAAGGTCCGATCCAATCACCGTGTCGGAATCTACTGCGGAGTACGGAGGAGGTCTATAGATGCCCGATTCAGAAAATATCCCGAATGTTTTGCTCCAGCTCCGAGTTTTCTTTTTTTTTTCTTTTTTTACATCAGGTAGTTGACGTGATTGGCAATTACTTGGCTAATAAATACTTCAGTACTACGGGATCTCGCCATATGTGCCACTGTCAAAGCCATCTGTACTTTTGCCTACTCCTCCCCTGAACAGTCTTGGACGATAACTCCTTCCAGCGAGATGAGCGAAAAGACAGAGATTGGCGAAGGCAGCGATAAGGCTGAAGTGCCACCGACTGCTGTCTCCTTTTTTGACCCCGCGCTGAAGTCGGTTCGACGTCAAATCTTTATCCAATGGGGGCGTACAGGTGAGTGGAAATACCCTACTCTCTTCATGACAGTTGCGTGAAACTTACTAAACGGTCCCGTCGTATAGTTCTTACGCTTTGCGTCTTCATCCTGTGTATCCTTTCTCTATACTGGGCCGTTCAGTTTCGCGTCGAACAGAATCTCCATTCGCTAACGATCTGGGTTGTCGACTTTGACGGCATGGTCGATCCATATCGCGGTACGAAACCAGTCGTCGGGCCTGCGGTGACGGATGTGGCAGAGAAGATAACCCAAACCCCGGAAACCGGCCGATTGGGATATATGATAAAATCTCCGGATGAGTTTAACTATGACCCTTGGGCCGTGCGTCAGGGGGTGTACGATGAGCATGCATATGCCGCCATCATCGTCAATACGAATGCAACTACCCTTCTCCACGATGCTGTCAAGAACGGAAATTCCTCGTATGATCCCACCGGAGCCGTGCAATTCGTTGTTATCACTGCTCGTGACGAATCGACATATTCCAGTTATATCACACCGGGGTTGACGGCTTTTGCGAACACCGTTTTGGCAGAATTCGGACCACGTTGGGTACAGACTGTTGTACAAGAATCACTGAACATTTCGCATGTCCCCCAAGCGATAAACCCAGCGATTGGATTCAACACTGTGGATCTTAGGCCATTCGGCCCAGCCGCTGCAACACCCTCTGTGACGATCGGTTTGATTTACCTGATTATCATCGCCTTCTTTAATTCCCCCTTCCTGATGCCGATCCATGCACAATTTCTCAAAGGCAACCATCCTCCGCTCAAGATTCCCCAGTGGCTGGTTTGGCGTGTGTGTTCCAACATCACAGCGTACTTCTTCCTGTCCCTTTTCTACTCGTTCGTGTCGTTGGCTTTCCAGATCCCGTTCACCAACTCTCCGGCACCGGACACAGTTTCCGCTAGCAATCCAAATGCCTATGGACATGGATCCTTTGTGGTGTTCTGGATGTTGAACTGGGTAGGCATGGCTGCTCTCGGATTTCCGCTTGAGAATATGGCTATGGTCTTGGGATTCCCCTGGAGCTCGCTATTCCTTATCTTCTGGGTCATCAGTAACGTTGCTACCGGCTTCTATGCGTTGGACTTAGCCCCAGGGTTCTTCCGATGGGGTTACGCATGGCCATTACATCGCAGTAAGTCTGTCCGTTCTCTTAATATTCACTGTTAATACTAATGCAACACAGTTGTCGAGGCGTTGCGTACCATCCTCTTCGGGACTCATTCTCGCATCGGCCTGGATTTCGGCGTCCTTTTCGCATGGATCGGCATATCTATTGCGTTCTTCCCGTTTGCGTCCTTCATCATGCGCTGGAAGATGAAGCGGGGACTGTAATTTGCGATCGACCATTCGTGATTTTCGTTGTTTCTTTCTCTATGTTCCTTTACCTTTCTGTTGTTAGCAGTATAGATTAAACCCTATGGACCAGGGAAAAGTATAGAATAGAACCGTATAAACTAATGATACCATGTCTCCGTTGCAAGATGTTCAATTGGCAGACTAATTCAATCACGGCTCGATTGAGTCGCTTGCTACTTGATGATTATTGAGGGGGGCACATGAGGAATTCATTCTTATATTTAGAATGTATTAAAACAAGCTTCAGATATACTTTCTATATCTGCTAATAGTTACGGCTAGCGGTAGGAGGAGCCCTATGTTGAAAGTTACATATAGGACGCGCAGGCCATTGGACTAGGGCCAAAAGGGCAGCATGGTATGGAATTCTATTGCTCTATGTCTTGAACACGTGCGACGTTGTTTCCCACACATAACAATTTCTATCATTCCTTTTCTTCGCGTGCACCATACTACTAGTACTGTTGTTCTGCGTACCCCCTGCTAGTGGAATATGAGGAGGTCCGGAGCCAAAGCCCGTGAATCATGTTAATGGGGTTATCGACAAAACCTTGCGAAGTAGTAAAAGTCTAGAACCGCCACTGGCATTTCTACATCGCGAAGAGCCAGCTCTGGCATGCAGTATGATGTAAGACTGAGACAACGCCACATTGCCGGATGGTATTTGAGGGTTTTTGAGCCATGATTTGTTGAGCGTCCTATAAAATTCAGGTATAACCCACATGTGCTAACAGAATGAAAAAGCTGTGTCCCATGAAGCGGGCCGCTGCCCTATCTTACATCCTTGTACGTCGGCTTTGCTTAGGTACTACTGACGCAGCATCCGTGCTTGTATGCTGATCAAATGACACTGTTAAAAGAGTTTTCTCCTTGGCCCATTCCATGGGTCTTTCGTCAATATGGACCACTCGTCTTCAAACCCTCCCTTAGGTGAATAATGGAGAGCTTCTCATTCACAAATTCTGCGTTGATCAAGTGAACGAAGTCATCGCTGTTCATCCCGTGCTTATAGTCTATTCTCCGATGGCCTTCACTGATCAAGGTACCTCCTATCGTACTAAAGCAACAACTTGGTTCTTGGACGGCTAAATACCGTCATAGGGCTAGTATCACAAATAGGCAAGTTCGACTGGACCTCACGTCGGTGTAAAGAAACCTTAGTTGCTTTATTCGGGAGCTTCAGACGCCACGAACGTGCAACCTAGGGCTACTGCTTCCCTCTCAGGTAACTCGCCCTGCGTTCTCTATTCTTCCCATAGCCATTCATTAGGCCATGTGCATGTTCGATTGGTGGTGAGTGTAAGCAGATTGATGCTGTTTACAGTACGGCCATCGCCTGTTGATTATATCACTATAACTATTCGTTTTTCATTGAGCTATATATACAATACTTTTCCTCGCATATCCTCTTCGCCGCCTGTTATCTCTCTTATACTGACTTGAGAAGTCAACTCGCAGCATTTAAGTGCACGCAGAATGACTAGTCGAAACTCTGGCGGCAATTCCGCCTTTCCCAACCACAATACTGATTTGGCTCACACCCAGGATCCAAACGAACGTCGTCGCCTTGCACTGGCGCAGATCGATAATGCCCCCTTTGGCTGGCGGCACGCCCGGGCGGTTGTTGTGGCTGGTGTCGGGTTCTTCATGGATTCCTATGACATTTTCGCCATCAATCTCTGCTCAGCTATGCTGGGCATTGCTTACTGGCAAGATGCCGTTTCACGTCCGGGAAAAATTCCTTATAACTCAGACACAGCGATAAAAGTGTCTACCTCAGGGGGTACGGTCTTTGGTCAGCTTTTCTTTGGCTGGCTCGCGGATATTGTGGGGCGCAAGCGAATGTATGGAATTGAATTAATTATCATTAATTAATGACTTTGGCCCAGGCTCTCGCGTCTGACTCTCCCGCTGTCTCTATTACCGGTATCCTGGTGTTCTGGCGCGTACTTATGGGGATTGGTATTGGTGGTGACTATCTACTATCCTCTATTATTACATTCGAGTAAGTCATTATCATCAGTGGCTGTATGGTCATTGATGGCAGAATCCTGTAGGTTCGCAACGACTAGGCACCGAGGCGCGATGATGGGTGCAGTGTTTGCAATGCAAGGGTTTGGACAGTTTGGAGCTGCGATTGTTGCTCTAATCGTGACAGTGGGCTTCAAGGGATCTTTGGAGTCTGCGGCATCCGTAGTGAAGTGTTCAGACGTCTGTCAACTCGCGGTTGACAAGATGTGGCGCGTTGTGATTGGATTCGGGGCTGTTCCGGCTTGTCTTGCTCTTTACTACTAGTACCGACTCACCATCCCGGAGACACCGCGCTATACTTTTGATGTCGCTAGGGATATTGAAAAGGCGGGCGCTGATGTCCGTGCCTATATTGAGGGAAAGCATGAGGGCCACCCGGATGAGGTCAGGCGAATCGCTGTTTTACAGGATGACGCCGTGGTTCTGGTCACCCCCAAAGCCGGCTGGTCGGACTTTTGGTCCCATTTCCTCAAATGGAAGAATGGCAAGGTTCTACTTGGCACTGCAGGCTCATGGTTCTTCCTTGACGTTGGTGCGTATATTGGTCTCTAAAGAACCAAATGGCTGAGATTCGCAGCTTTCTACAGGCTTGGTCTGAACAACTCGATAATTCTCACAGAGAAAGGTTGGAACGGTGGTAAGAATGTTTACGAATACTTTCACCGCAACGCAGTGGGGAATGTGATTCTAATCTGCGCTGGTGCGATCCCCGGATACTGGGTCAGCGTTGCAACCGTGGACTATCTAGGCCGCAAGCCTATCCAGCTGATGGCAGGAGAGGAGCCTCCAACACGCCCATCTGAGTCTACTGGGGGGTCTCAGAGTCGAGTAGAGGCTAGGCCTGCCCAGCCAAAGACTGAGAATAGCACTAGTGAAGCTGCGAGGCCAGCGACGTGAACAATAAGAAATTGGTAGAATTGTATCCCGTTGTTAGGGTTTAGTTATGGTGTTAAGTTATGGCGTTAAGTTAGCGTGCCGAGTTCCAGTCAACATCAACTAATACTGTATTGTTAACCAACGTGTTGATGTTGATCAATCTTAATATTTGATGAATGAACATTTCACTGTGTTCCTACCGGTGCTGCAAACGGGGTGAATAACTCTCATATATGGCAACAGGGGATGGCGTAACTATGCTGTCATCAGTGACTACCCTATGGCCACCACCTCCATCAACGTCAGTATACCTTCATGATCTTCACACACCAGCACCAGCAGCCCTTACCCACAATAATGCCTTCACCCAATAATCCAAACCAAAACCTCCCTGATCTAACGACAATCCTCGCGCACACAATTCCCGAGAAAATCACCTCCCTCCGCCTAATCTCCGACAGTATCGCGCAACAACGCCAAACCGCATCCCGCGCCATCCTCTTCTACCCGCCAACCCTAACACTGCTCACTCTGACGCTCCTCCTCATCTCACAACACCTCTACCAAACACCCTTCAACTGGCCTCTCCTCCTGACAACAGGCACAGGCAGTATAGCAACCATTCTACTATTGACCCGGTACACAACAAGAGGCTACCTCGACGAAGGCGAACGCGTCGGAACATGGAGATGGTTATTCACCAACCACTATACCAATTCCGATTCAAGCCAACCTCCCAACCAACACCCCACTTCCGAAGACCCTGAACCCCAAGACAGGGACAGGGAGAAGGATCTAATCTTCATATCCAAATTTGGGGAAAGGATCATAGGGACCTTGGTTCTTAGGGCCGTTGACACTGTTTCCGAACTGGATGAACATGTATCTTTTCCTGAGAGGGCGAAGATCGGTGTTCTTGGGGGTAGGAGTACTGTTGGTGTCATTCGTGCTTGGACTGTGAGGTTGCAGTATCGGGGTGTTAGCGTTGGGAGGGGCTTGTTGGAGGCTGCGGTTGCGGTTTGTAGGGAGAGAGGATGACAGGGGCCGGTCTTTTCGGAGAGACATGCAAATTCGAGGGGGTTTGGGTTGTGGATGGGGGCTGTGGGGACGAGAGGGAGGGATAGTTGGGCTTGGGGGGTTTTGGATGATGTTAGGCGGGGGATTAAGGGTGTTTGAGTAGGGAGGTTTTGTGGTTGATGTCTGGTTTCTGGTTAGTGGGATAAGAGTGGATTGGTTAGGGCATTGTGTTGGTTGAGCTGTAGGCTGGGCGTGATGTCCACTATAAGCTATGAAGATGGAGTAAAAGAGATGAGCCTTGACATCGTCGGACTATCGCTTCCGAGGAGAGAGCTCTATGTGTAATTTCTTAACCAGGGTTATCGAGATTCTACATATGTAGGAAAACAGCGTTATGCCAAATCGCGAAACTATACTTAAGGAAGCTACTCGCCAGGAATATATGGCTTGACAGCTGGATACTACTCATTATAGATAGATTCACTCTGTGTACTGATCTAAATGATATAAAAGTATGTAAATTTAAGGGCCTCAATCTCCGTTCTAAACTATTACATACCAGTTCGTTTATCTTGTGACACAGTATCCGTTGATACTGAGTGATATATATTTCGTACTAAGGGGCCCTGTTATGTCTTACTACTATCTATGAGTGTCAAGTTTACGCTTTCCATATAAAACGTTCATTTCATGATATCAACATTGAAAAGACTCTTGTAGACTACCATCACTTATTTACATTTTAGGCATTAGGCTTAGGAAGCTTGAGATATATATTTACTCCTTCCTGGAAGCATACATCCGCAGAAAAAGCCTCAAAGACTCCGTACAATCCGAGACACCCATCATCAACTCCACCATACGCAGCCCCGGGCCACGCTGAAAATTCTCTCTCGACAAAACACCATCAAGCTCCCCCCAATTTTGCACCCTCGCAGTGAACACAGGATATGAATCATCAGAGGGAGCCCCAAAATAAGAAGGAGAGTCAAGATACCGCCACATTGCAATATCATTATACTCTTCATTCATTCCATGAATCAAGCGTTCGATGGTGTACCCGTCGTTGTTAATCACGAAGATAATGGCACTCAGTTTCTTCCGAATAATGGTACTCAGCTCTTGCGCCGTTACTTGGAAACTGCCATCACCAATGAAAAGGATTGTCCGTCCTTGTGAGCCCATGTTTCGTTGAGCTAGGGCTACCCCCTGTGCGGCACCGAGCATGTAGCCGATCGACAGCCAGACGCCGGAGTTTATCATGCTCACGTTTCGAGGAAAGACGAAGTCCCGCCCACCGTTACTTGCGGTGCCAGTTTCTGTGAGGATTATATCTCCCGGCTGGAAGAAGTGAGATATCCGCTTGAAGAAAATGTCTTGTGTCAGGGCGCCTGTGCTGATGACTGGTTGGATGCGCTTTAGGGCAGCTCGTTGATGCGGTAACTTTGGGTATGGCCAGAAGGAGAGCATAGTGTCCTGCAGATGACCGAGGACCCGTTTCAATACACCTTTGGGGAAGATATTGTAGACCGTACCATCGATGGTGATACAGGTCTGGTCGAACACAATGGACACGTTGGGGTTGGGAATTGTGGTAAAACAGGAGGTATTGACATTGCTGTGCACGGGTCCGATATTGATAATCAGATCGCAGGATTCGACGTATGACACATAGGTCCCTTCTCCTAACGATGCATAGATACCGTGGAAATTCAGTAGAGTCTCATCTGTGATCCCCTTCCCGAACGGTGTTGTCGCAGTTGGAAACGCTGTCGCTCTCACCAGCTCATCCGCCTCATTAGCTAGTCCGTAGCGGGATGTTCCGGCATCTATCAAGATGAATGGTTGCCTTGCATTACTGATCCTCTCAACAATGATATCACACACCTCCTGCTCAGCCTCCTGGTCGTTGACGGGTGGAGTGAGATCTAGAGGCCGAGCAAGAGCTACGGCGGGGACGGGTTCGGTAACCATGTCCACCGGCACTTGCAAATACACCGGCCGAGATTGAATGATGCATTCCCGTATTAGCCGGTCAATCTGGCCAGGGGCTGTCGAAGCATCCCAAAGATTCTCCTGTGCCACCGTGATCTTAGAATACATCTCTGCGAACATGGTGAAATCGCTTGGTTTCCCACTGCACACGGAATGATGAAGCTTAGCCCCTCGCGTCTGCATCGCACGCTTCGGCGTCCCAACAATGTGAATGACCGGGGCCATTTCAGCATATGAGCCCGCGACGGCGTTTATGGCGGATAGCTCTCCTACGCCAAAGGTTGTGACTAGGGCACCGATGCCTTTGATTCGCGCATACCCGTCAGCAGCGTAGCCGGCATTAAGCTCGTTGCAATTCCCAACCCACTCCAGCCCAGCCGGGACAATATAGTCCATCATCAGGAGATTGTAGTCGCCGGGGACTCCATGGACGGCCTGCAAGCCGGCCTCACGGAGACGCCGGAAGAGATATTCAGTTAGGTGAATCATGTCAGACATGGTGGCTCTACTGGTGAATGTGGCACTGATAAAGCTCCACGGCTAAAGAACAGCGTGTGAAGGTTTTGAAGGTTGGTCCAATTTATAATTCACCAAGTATACCAAGCATATCTCGGAGGAAATGACGAGTCAATCCTGAAACTACCCGGAGTCATCTTCCGTGTTTCTTTGATCTACAAATCCGCCAAGGCCCTTAAGTGCGAAGGATTGTAGCCCTAATGCACGGTGTCAGGGCTAGTTATTAAAGAGGAGCCGGTTTATATTCTAGATCTGTCCTTCTGGCACAATCAGCGCGACTGCCTAGAGCTTGCAGGGGTATTAGATAGCCTTAATTATAAGCATGTTTACTCTATTTGATTCAATGTGGTGGCGTCTGTCTAGCAGTAACGTTTTATTCGAGGTCTTGCCTAGCCAATCCGATGGCCAAATTGCAGTGCAGGAATGTCTTCGCTCTTCGCTCCATGGAATAGAAAAGAGCCCCTCAATCTGAATATGATATATTGACCCATTTCTCCTATCTCCATCGTATCCCCTAACAAGAAACTAAAAGCCCTACCAAGCACACCACAAAAAGCCCTACGAAATCCCCACTGATAGCATATTAATATAGCCCCTAGAACTATAACAATAGTTTTCAACCCTCTCACCCTACTATGTAATAGCGGTCAAGAGCCCTACGGTCGACACATTTTGGAATACCCCTCCCACTATCTTCGGAAGATTTTCGGATTTTTACTAGATTACCTGCTCAATGTCTTGAACTATACTCCATATAAGGTTAACAGGAACCCACGCTAAGAGACACTAAAGATGTGGGGCCGACAACGGAGGTCCGGAAGCAAAGGCATGGTTCACATTTTGGCTTCAGTGCGTGTCTGTGCTAGCACAGGCTCGTGGGACTGACTGGCCTTGCTTCTCACAACTTCATGGTACACCTTAACCACCTTTATCAGGACGGCTCCTCCGGAAGTAATGAGCGAGTACATCATGTCAAACTCAGTCAGGACTACTACTAGTTTCTTCCTCTCTTGGCGAGTTTCGCATCGTTTTAGCCTCCCCAGCGACATACGCAAATGGGCGCGTCAGTACGAGCTCCAACTGTGGGGTACAGCCTACAGGAATATAAGCCCGGCTATCGCGCTAGGATCCGCACTCCACCTGTACGGCCTTGCGTTCTGGCGTGGCATGGCATGGTATGGCATGATGAGGGGAGGAGCTTGCTTGGGTTTTGGTCGGTTGTGGTTGGTTGGATTATGGCTATGGCTTTAGCTAAGGATTGTGGCTTTTCGGTGGCTGATGGGATTATTCTATATTCTTGGCGTTTATTGTGTGAATTTCTGTAGTGAGTTGTCATTTAGTATTAATTCTTCAGCACGTTTCTGTCAGCAGACTGATTAGCCTACTACATACAGTTTCCTGAAAGGAAATGAAAGAAAGAAGCAAAGGAAGAGGGAAAGGACAGACTAGAAAGCTCACATCGTGAAGACTGTAGAGCAGGCGTGTTTAAGTAGAAATGCCATATGAGGATAGTTAATGTGGACCTTCTTTAGTATATCGCTATGAGCTTCACTTGAGTTGATTAACATGATATTTTAGTACCTTCTTGCAAAGCAGGCACCACTAACCAGTCGGGCAGACTCCGGTAACTTAACCCCCACATGAGCTTGACAACATGGTAACGGGTCTTCTGCTAACTTATCTTGGTTTAGTTCTGTTATCTCCAGCATGAGCACAAATAGGGAGAGTTGCCCTAGTGCAAATCCTTAAAGACAAGGACTTGGCTGCATTTGAATGGTCTGAATATACTATAATGGCTTTAAGTTGCTTGACCTTCGGCTATAACCATAGTGCATTGGGAATGTTTCTCTATCGATTTTCCACCGTCCACATTCTTTGTTATTCTAGACTTTTGATATATATGAATACAGTCAGTAGTTGATCTGTCTATTCTTTCTACATAGTGTTACATCCTGCAGATCTGATAACTGATAGATTTCACATACAAGGAATCCCCTTACATAGAGCCAGTGAGTGGACGTAGAGAGCTTGTGTTCGATAGGAAGTAAAGCATGGCCATTCTCACCGGCGAACTGGAATGTGTTATGATAATAAGAAGTTTTGATCATAATATTACACCCATCATATGTCAACTAAACCAGGCTGTGATGGAGCTGTACGTTTTGTCATTAAAGAATAAGTCTCTAGTTTCAAGTATGCCCTGGGATTGGGCGGGCAGAAGTCCCCTGTACTGGCTAGGGCTAATGTTATTATTGTGACTGTACTTGGAGAGGCATTGCCTCACTTGAAGTACTTGTATGCTAGTTTAGCCTATAGATTGGTTTACAGTACAAGGTGATGAGCTTGTGTAGTGCTAGTCTAAGTCTATCATATGCTCTTCTTTGGTTTGCCTTGTGGGTGATTCAAAAGTCTGCTAGTCTTGAGGATTCAGGATAGACTTGTAACTTTCTGTGAACCATCCTCAGCTTTATTATCCAAGTAATAGTGGAGATATTGTACTAGAGAATACTCTTTATAACAGGCCATTATGATCACTAGTTCATTGGTGCAACACATCGTGTGTATAAGTTGACAGTAATTTAAAAACTATGTTCTAAATAAATCAGAGACGTACAAATCATATATATAAGCCCAAGATAATTTTACAAGCCATTTGAGTATGCCGCAAATGGACTTCTGTTTCGGTTCAAGATCATCCGAAGCTCTCTTCCCGCATTCGATGACTAGACATCTGGCTATCGACCCTGAGGTAGGGTTCATAAGATGATTAGAGAGCATCATACCCTTAAAGTTAACAAAATGGCCGAGCCGATGCCAGCTAATTATCCCCATCAGAAAAGAATCTCCCTTCGTCCAACACAGCTCCAACTGCCCAACTAATACCACCACCAACAACACTTCCATGGTCCTCATCTTGATATTCCTTGACCCGTACGTTTCTTAATTGGCCACTTTCGCGCAGACGGCTCGCTAGCGCATCGGCATTGTCTTTCATCTTCCTTTCCTGCGATAAAGCTTTCACTCTCCGGTATCTATCCTCGCTCCAGCTGGGATGGCGCCGTCGGTCTTGCTCCAGGCTCCCATATATTATCATTAAAGTAGGGAATGTGGTATGCGACTCAGAACCTACCCCATCCAAACGCTGCTTCAGGAAACGCTCAGCTTCTCCCAGGATAAACTCATTGTTCCACCATATTGAAGGACTAAGTGCAATAAAAGTATCAAAGGGCGTTGTATTCTCGAACAGGGCATGTAAAGTACATAACCCGCCCAGGGAATGACCGATAAGAATCTCTTTTGTCACGGATAAACCGCAGAAAACGTCTGCAAACAAAGTGGTCCGTACTGTACCGACAAGGAATTCAAGAAAGCGCGTTGCACCGCCGTGAGGCATAGTTTGCTGTTGACCATCAACTCCGCATGGTGCTATATAAGTATCACACGGTGGTGTGTAGTCATAATGCCTTCGTGGACTGTATGGCCTGTCTTCGATTGAATACCCAATTCCTACCACAACCGCTGCATCACTTGTGGGAAGCATGGCACTACGGCGGGACGCTTCGGCTGTTGTAAAGAAGAGCGCATTGCCATCGAGAACATAGCTAGAATAAGTGTTAATCATGAATACACGTCTCCGATGATACTTCTGAATTTGAGGTTGACATACATGATAGAGGCGCTATGGCCAGGGGTCTTCGGATCATTCCAGGCTAGTGGCCACGCCACTTGGATCCGGTAGGCATCACCATCAGAGTCCTTCAGCTCCAGTTGTAGAGTATTGGGCGCATGTGCAAACATGTTTAATGATTCAGAAAGGGTCATTGACGCTGCCTATGTCACCAGAATACCAACCTATAGTTATTTTGTTCTTAAAGTGATTTATTTCCACATGCTACCTCCAACAGAGCAGCTCTTCATGAGGAAGCAGAAGCCAGTCAGGTAGGCTAGGTAACAGGAATATCGTGAAGAACTGCCACGTGCAAATGCTACGTTGTGTCTCTAGCTCACTGAATACGATTCTAGCATCTTCTTGGCCGATCTCCTTAGTTGCTGTCTTTGGTATATCATTAGGTAAACGGTGCTTGGCTCTCGTATCTCGGCCGTTCCATCCAACAGCAATCGTGGCTCTATACCCACTATAAGGCAAATGGCTTGGCAAGGCGTGAGAAGTCAATCTAATCAGATCATCAGATACGAGGTATCCGATTATAAGCCGCCATGTCCGGGTTTATGCCGAACATTCCACCCTACAAGCGGTAGCTAGCATTCGGGAAGGATGAGACTTACGCGATAGTATGGATGATAGTGACAGATAGGATTGGTGTTTGTGACAGTGGCACCATCCTGGGTCAGAAATATCTGTCCATCACTCGCTCCGGTGGTACGAGGTAGCCTGGGGGTAAATGTGACTGGAAACAGGCCAGTAGATATATTATAACGTAACCACTTCCGTGTTTCCTTCATTTTCTTATTTTTCGCCCGGACACAACCTTAACTGTTTTCTTGTATCACTTCCATGTCACACAGCCCTACCGTTGCCCAACAATTCTTTTCCTTTGTTATATTCCCCAGTTTCAACGTACATCAATGGAACAGGAAACAATATCCCGATCACCACCGAGCAGGCCTCCAGATACAATCTCCAACAGCAACAAAGAGACAGACGATCAAATAACCGAGGTTCTACCTGAGAAGCACGATGTTGAGACCGGTTCGACCGCCGATAGTGCCCAGGCAGGAGTACAGCGAGCAGCAATACTACGAAAGACGTGGTCTAAAAAAGGCATGATAATTACATTCATGGGGTATTTATTGATAATAATGATGTGAGAAAATATTGCAAGCTGAACGATCCTCGTCTAGTCTCTTCCTATATACACTCGCGACACACTTTGGAGATTATTCCAGCCAGGTTTACATTCCCTACACCACAAGTTCCTTTAAGAACCACTCCTCGATGAGTGCAGCAAGAGTTGCTAGTAATATCGCAAGTATTACTGCATACCCTATTATTGCTAAACTCGGAGATGTACGACCCTCGTCTACTTTTTGCTGATTTATCTGGCACCATCCAGATAGATATAGGCTCCGATACTAATATTGAATTCTAGGTATTTGGGAGAGGGGAGATGTTCACCTTTTCGATTTTCATCACCACATTGTGTTATGTCATTTATGCGGCATGCACGAATATATCCCAATATGCTGTATGTGAGATAATGTCTCATCGGAGCTCAAATATCCCTAGGAAGCACCTTGTGCATTGCGAACCATTGCAACGTTAACTCATCATCACTAGGTCGCTGCAGTCTTCCACTCCGTCGGTTCCACCGGTTTCGGTCTCACGCAGCAAGTCTTCATTGCTGATGTTACAAACCTCATCAACCGTGGTCTATGGTCAACGTTACCCGACTCAATATCCACCATACCAACACTATACCTTGGCACGACAATTGGACAATCCGTGTTGGATCACTCCACCTGGCGCTGGGGCTGGGGTATGTGGGCTATCGTGCTGCCTGTTTGTGGTCTCCCCCTACTCGCTTCTGTATTCTACCATCAACGCCAGGCAATGAAAAATGGCCTTGGAAAAAAGCGCCTTGCTGCTCAGCTTGGATTATCCGAATCCCAGCCATGGTGGAATCAGGCATATGAACTATTATGGGTTCAGCTCGATCTCCCAGGTGCTCTTCTTCTCCTGGCAGGGTTATGTTTAACCTTGATCCCTATCTCCTTGACGGGCGCGAATCGAAGTGATCGTTGGCAGAGTGCTACCTTCATTGCTTTACTGGTTGTCGGCGTCGTGCTCCTCGTTCTCTTTGCTCTCTGGGATATTTTCGTGGCCAAGAAGCCATTTATCCCGTACAGAATGGTTAGGAGTAAAACGGTCGCTGCTGCTTGTCTATTAGGAGCCTTAGACTTTCTCCATTACTCCATGTTCACCGTGTTCTACAGCAGCTACCTTCAGGTGGTAGGTGGCTATTCTCCTGGTCATGCAACTAGGATCGAGTAAGTACACATCCAAAGCCCTTTGTCCTCCCTTATCTGTTTCGACCCCCATTACAACATCTGTGCATGTTGCCTTGGTCGCTAATGCGTACCCCACAGTAACGCCCTGCGCGTATCCTTCCAAGTCTCAGGCATCTTCGCCGGCTTTTTTATGAAATACACCAAGCGGTCGCAAATCTGGGTGCTAATCGGAGCTCCTCTCTGCGTCCTAGGCATGGGCATTCTTTTGTATTTGATCGACATGGGAGACGGCAGAATGGGCAACGAGGCGTCATTCGTCACGGCCAAAGCACTAATTGGTATTGGTCGAGGGTTCTACCAAACTGCATCGCAGGTCTCAGCGCAGGCTGTAGTATCCAAGCAAGAGATATCCGTTGTGACCGCGGTATTCTTCGCATCGATGGGAGTAGGCGGAGCCATTGGTACTAGGTATGTATAGTACCCCTGCAGAAATCAATATCGCTCATCTTGCTTTGGTTATACATTTTACAATTCCATCAGTCGCTGACATATCTGTAGCATATCAGGAGCCATATGGCGAAACAATCTTCCCACAAAACTCCGGACATACCTTCCCGACGAACTCAAGCCACAAGCCACGGCTATCTTCCAGTCCATTGTCACAGCGAAGAAGTATGCGAAAGGAACGCCAGCCCGGGAGGCTATCGATCGCAGTTATCGAGAGACCCAGCGGCTCCTGGCGATTGGTGGTTTGTGTGCCGTGTCACCGATGCTTATTGTTATGTTCTTTCTGAAGAATGTGCATCTTGACCAGCGAGATAATGTGGTCGGGGAAGAGGGAGAAATGCCGGACAAAGTAGAGGGCGAATCCAGGAAGCAGGCGTCTTGAGGGAACACATGCTTGTTGTTCAACGGTATATTGCCTTTTGTCTTCTCGGTGATGATTTTTATCCCATCCCCAGAATTCTCATCTTGAATCCCATCTCCTATATTTTGCCCTTTAGACCGGTGATACAATGGGAAATAAAATAGAATAAGATAAAATAAATCATGTACACTCGGAAACAGGGAGGAGAATGATAAGATAAAGTCTTTGGTCAAGTGCAATGGATCATACGTATGTAGCTCACCAACGTAAAGCACGTCAAGTTATTTACAAGGCTAAATAAGCGACCCGACCACCACAACAACTTCGATCACAGTGGAGAAACTGTCGAGTGGAAGCGAAATATTTCGATAGACGAATGGGTTTCGGCTAGCCCTCCAAATTGGTGCCCTACCGTCAAACCATTTCTAATTGGAGAGTGATCAATGTGATATGTCTAGATACGTCAATTACTACGCTAACCTTTACTTCAGCAAAAAGACGTGATGCCTTTGGCAGACTTCATATCGAGTTGCGAAGGTTACGCGAATATCGCATATAAATTTGATCAAATCAGAAAGGACTCAACGCAGACTGTTCGTTTTATCATCCGCCTCCAATCCAAGGATGATCAATTCTGTGGACTGGGATCGTGACCCTCTGAATTTTCCTTACTTTTAGGAATAACTCTCTATATAGACAATAAACTGTATTGAATGCTAGATATGTGTCAATAATATGCCTGTATGTCTTTATAATAGTCCGGATTGGCTTCTCGATCTGCGGTGTTAGTTGCCGTACAAGGTAGAAACTGATGTGTGTAGCTTTGATGACGACCACATCTCCTAGTAGAAACATGATGGGTAGCCTATTAATAGACAATGAAGTATCCCCAGATCGTATGTAGCAGAAGAGAAACTCTCATTTGGAGATGGAGGGTTCAGTAACCCACACCACAGTCTTGGCAATTGGGTCGTGAAATAATCAATGTTTGTAGTTCAGGCGGGTTTCAAGAATAATTAACGTGGATCATCTAAAGTCTTGAGGGGCAGCCAGGATATGTACAATGAAATCCCCATCGGTACTCAACTCCATGCCCTTTATAGCGTGGACGTCTTTATTTTTCCAAGGTCAGTTTATTGGTTCGAGAAGCACCACTACAAACAATGGATACAGGTTGCTGGCTGTCTCCTATACTTACACAAATAACTAGGGGAGGTAATCAATGATAGTCACACTAGGAAGACAGAGCGCCGTACTATTGGGCTCTTGGACATCGCGAATACTCGTTACAAGGAATCTTGTAACTCTGGACTTGTGGGAGTCTCTGTGATACTCGTTTCCCTCCAGAGCCAGCTCAGATATATTTAGTTAGTGGTTTACATAAGGGGTGCACAAGCAATACTGACCTTGAACACCTTTAAATTTTCTAGATGATTTGCACATCAGCAATACTACGAAAAGCGGCTTAAATTATTTAATCAAAGCGTTAAGCTGAAAGGAAAGATCCTATGGTATACCTAGTTTTGGGGCGGGTTCGGCTTTTAAGATCTAAGGATCCGCTCCCGACCCGGCGCTGGGTTGGGTTTGCCTCCCTGCACCCGCTGTCAATCCGACCCGAAAGAACCCGAAAATTCCCCGACTAGATCTAAAGAGATATAGTACTGCTGTAGGAGATGCAGCCAGGGCTAGAGTGGCATAACATAACCGTTGTAACCTAGCCATAACCTAGCGGTTAGGTATAACTGACCCCATTAACCGAACCTAACCTGGCCAAACGCCAGTCTAGCCAAGGCTCTGCATTTCACAGGGCCAAAAGGTCAGAATAATTCCGGATCGACGATCCAGAATGCCTTGGGATCTCTATCGCTCGCCGTGACAGTTGCTTGGACAGCCGCACCTTACTTCTTTAGACCACTGACTAACCCATTGAGGCCTAGTATAGAGACTTAGACCGATTTTCAACGCTCTATATCTCTACCAGTTTTACAAATATTGCATTAACACATTATATATATATATAATAGAACTATATAGAAATAGAAAAGAGTTCTAGAAATCTAGATTTCTAGATCATTTGACGTAAAGAAAAACTCGCGCGGGTTTTGGTCGACAGGTTGAGGTGGGTGCATTCTAGCTGTATCTACCAATTATATATTATCTTAAATCTCGTTCTACCCCCTTAATCCGAAACAGGAAGCCGAGAGGTATGAATAAGCTTCCGGATATCGGGAGCCCGGATATGGGACAAGCTGATTCGCCAACATTCATAGATCAACAATACTCTCAATCTTGGCGCTTACCTGCTCCAGTATGGCGTTCATCAGATAAAAGAACACGATGCAACTTAAAGAAGCCCCCTTTCATCGCCAGACTGACGCAACAATTTACCAACAGTGTGTACGACAACGAGCGCCTGACTACACATCACAAAATGCCGCCGAGGGTCCATCTAGTCCGACATGCAGAGGTGCGAGCGCCTCGGATTAACTATCTGATGTCACTTATTGAGATATGTTGATAACTTAGGGTCTTCACAACGTCGGTCGAGAGTATTGGGGTCTTACAGACCCTTCTCTGACTGACAAAGGCAGAGAACAGTGTCGACAGCTCCGAGATAGCTTTGCCTTTCACTCGGAAGTCGAGCTTATAGTCTCGTCTCCGTTATGTCGCGCCATCTCCTCAGCGGCCATTGGCTTTGGGCCAGTTTTCGAAAGCCGACCCAGCACAAACTTAATTCTGCTACCCGACCTTCAGGAGATCAGCGATTTTCCTTGTGATATCGGAAGCGAACTCGAAGAGTTGCTGGGAAAGACCGCAGATCTCAATATTCCAATCGACTACAGCTTTGTTGAAGAGTCCTGGACGAGCAAGGTATGTTCAGAACCCCGCTCATCAGCATATGATATAGAATGTAGCAGAAAGGCTGCGACATTGACGGTTAAAATTGATGTTGTGACAGAATGACCGGTATGCGCCCTCAATTAAGGCAATTCAAGACCGAGCGCAGGCCGTTCGACGATGGCTAGCAAGCAGGCCCGAGAGTGAAATTGTTATTGTTAGCCATGGTGCCTTCTTGCATTTCTTGACGGAAGACTGGGAAGATAGCTTTGTGGAAGAAGGTCGGTCTCGCGCGTCTCGCAGGTCGGCACAACAAAATAGCCTACATACTGACATCTTGCCTGTTGGGATAGCCACTGGATGGGCTAATGCAGAGTACCGGACATATAACCTTAACAGCCAACCGAAATGCGACCTCGACGTGGCATGTCACTTCAATGAAATCGCACTAGTTGAAACAAAAGAATCTCGTTCTCGGCGTAGCAAGTTGAACTCAACGCCACCACGTGAGGAGCAAATTGGACTACGTTTGGAAGCCCTCAAGGTGTGGGGACAGCAAGGATACTTGTTCAGTGCAGCTGAAAGGGAAACGTCGAACGGTATGGATGAAAGATAATGTGGAGGAGGAATAGAGTTTGTGATATCCCGCGTTGTCACTCTGGCCCCTGATGCATTTAGAATATACTCAGATGGGGCAATATATTGAATTCTAAAAATGCAAATTCCGACGCTTGGGTCAAGGTCTCATCTCGAGGTCGTCATTTACACGAATGAGCCTAGGAACTGGATCCGTGGAGTCATAAATGTTGCGCGATAGAGGGTTGTTTCCAAACCCAGCTCACCTCGCAGGTTGATAGAAGTGCCTCAACCAAAGGAATTGAATTGGAACGGCGTGTTTCGATTGTCAACCAGCGAAGCAAAGTGCGACAGAATTTCTCCCAGCAGCCAGTTTCCAAAGCACGGCAAGCCCTGCGCCTGTTTGCACCAGAAATCCTATGCTCGTCAGCGGAAATGTTTAAGTGCGAGACCAGGCACCACATACCCGCTGTGAAATCACCTTCCTTCGCCCACAAGGATGCCATAATCAGAGACTGGGAACCTTGATGAAACAGGAGCTAGGATGAGCGAGGTCACAAGGACCATATTGCCGCATACATCTGCAAGTGGGACAACTGGATGATGCTTCTGGAGATGAAATTCTGTTCAATGTGATCCCCATCCGACGCAATCTGACGTGGCAAGAGATAATCAATGGCCATTCGCGAAGGTATATGTTATATCTTGTGGCTCAGAGCCAATGGAATCACTAAGGGGATGCCCACGAGAATCCGAAGAACTAGTGGTTGTAGCAGTGTTCCGGAGGCTTTTCGAGGTTCGATACCACATGTAGGCATGTACATCTTGAACCTGAACCTGCCCCAAAGCGAACTCTAGGTAGATTCAGCTAGATGAAACATCCAAGCTGTCTTCCTAAGACTGCTAAATCCACCTTTTTTAAAGTCGGTAGAGCCTGTAGAATTCGGCCTTGTTCAACGCATGGCTTTGATGATGCAAGCATTTTTGGTGGTATAGTGAATATTACAATCGCCTAGGAAATCGTGGCGTGTGAAACACTTGGCTGGTGCGCAGGGTACTTACTCGCATAGGGTGTTTACCGATTATCTTAACCCCTTGTATATTTTATGTTTTGTGTAATAGGCTGTTTACAGAGTCCTCAGCTACGCAGCTAACTCCACCATGTGTCTACACCAAGGCCATTGCAGTATGTTTGTTGGTCAACCTGATCTCGAGGATGGCTATATAGGTATGCGTAATATTGATTTTGCAGGTACTTCCAGATTTCTTGTTTGACCTACTTGGCACCACCCCTACGTTGAGATATGAATGTCCTTCTATACTGATATTCTATACACGATCTGCGCTTGGGAAATAATAACTCACGCTGATGCAGACGAAATTGGAGCATCATTAAACGTATCATTTGTGCGGTTACGAGGCTGATCTGGGTCACATGCGCCCCAAAAGGTAGTTTCTCCACTGTAATTATCTTCATTTGCTGTTGAGCCAGAGCGAACAGATACATTGTGGCCTGTCAGGTTTGGAAGCAGCGCCAGGTTGACCCTTTGATCCATGCATCTTTCTTGGCGGGTATTACTTCCCCATCAGGCTAGAGTACTGAATACTAGGTAGTCTTATTGGACTGCCCACAAGGATAAGGTGTGGCCTTGCTGCATCAGGACCCAATACGCGGGAGCATCAGTAGCTGTGTGTCTAAGGCAACAGGTCAGATGTGCCCGGAGGACTGGATGAAGCAGATGTGAATGGACATCATTGAAAACCTACCTTTGCTATGGAGTGTTATCTTGCAAGACTTATGGTTCACATTTGTGGTAAGCTCGGAAAACTAGCTTCCCTCAGGCCCTACTACAGGCACCAGGGCTTCCTACACATTTTGGCTCATTATTAATCACAGGATACTGGCTGAGCCAATCAGAGCATGATTCCTTATGCCCCCCTAAGCTGAGCCAGAAAGCCAGGTGCGCAGCCTTCTGTTCCAGGTACAATAATTCATCACCGGATCCATTTTTTACACATATCTCTCGTGGTACCATGTGTAGCTATCATTTAACCACGCTGCTGGATGAAGCAGAGTTTATCTTAAAATATGCCTCATATAGATTATTGATATATGTATAGTATCACATCTCTACCATCAGGGGTATTTGATATCAATAGTAATTTTCATATCTTTAACCTGGACGAGTGGTAGTCAGCATGCGTTCATGCCTGATACTGGGTCCATCGGATGCAGAGGATGACCTGCATGGTCCATTGGGCTATGGTGGGCCAATGCCCCTCGTCCCTTCAAACGGACCTTGTCTTACCCATCTGTCTGAGCAAGCTCTAGGGGTCCAAACCAACAAGGGAGGTAGACTGCTAGGTCTGCTTGGTCTGCAGGATACTCATTGCATATCTTCAAACCAATGTTCCGGATACCTGCATATCTTTGGGGTAGTTCACTATTTTTATCGGTCTTTCATTGTTAATCACTGGCTTGCTCTGGTACAGCATCCTCCAATCCGTAAGATATATGGTCGTCAGCCCCCCTTATATTTATACCCGTCTTGGTACGCTTCCATCCGTTTAATTGCCCGTATCCTACGAATATATCTCACTATTCATATATCTATATTCCAAAAGTCCATTGGCCCGAAGATGTCCACGAGTAAGAATGAAAACAGTTCTACTATCTCCAACCCTTCTTCCAGCTCCGATACGGTCTTCTTATGCACCGCTTGCTATGTGATTGTACGTCATAACATCCCGAAAAAGGAAGAGTATTGTTGTAGGAACCAGTCCAAGGATATTCGATGTTTCTGCTGCGAAATTAGCAGCGACTGTGGGGCACTTGTGAGTATACCTAACTGTTTCTGAATCTATAAGATTGACATCCTTCTAGGTTGGTGAATCTTGGTCCGAGCAAGCGAAGAGGGCCCGAGAAATCTTTTTAGAATTGGCAAGGGTTCAGGAACGCCTACAAGAAGAAATTCAAGGACATAGTAAGCTACCAAAGACGGCTTTCAGACGCTCTATTAACGTACCCGAGTCTCTACAGGCGATCGGTAGTTGCTGTGGATGTCCACTCTCTGAGCCGTATGTTTTCTGTTTATCCAGAGTTTCACCTTACATAAAAAAGGATCGCAGGGCTAGAATTGCGTAGGCAATAAAAAAAGCCAAATTCTCAAAATGACATAAATTACACTGCTACTGCAATAAGATGGAATATCGCTTGTGAGATGATGTTATAGCGTCGTGTCATAAACGCTAGAAGGGCTCAATGGAGGAGGCTAATTTTAGATCGCGATCAAGGCTCCCAGATGCCCAGGAGACAGTTCTCGTTGAGCGCGCAAGCAAGCTCACTGTTCAACGTATCCTACGTAGCCCCTGAATGCTGAAAATATTTCTGTGGGGATCTCAAATACGAAGCTGGCTGTGAGCTGGGTCCGCCAGCAACACCAGCCCTGGGTGGTGAACGGCTGGATTGCACCCGCTCTGCCCAGATACACTCATTATGCATGTCACCTCATAACAGTCTAAAACTCCACACCACTCACTGTCTGGGGGATTGTGGAGACACCCGCATGCATCCGTGAAAGTACCATCCGTTTTTGGATACAAAACCCGCCCAAACACACGGAGCCATGGTTCGCCGTAACATTAAAGTTATTTGCCAATGGGAGGGAAAATGTGGTACTGTTGTCGCTTTAATCGTAAGATCCAAGAGATTGGGGCTGATTAAAGCATCGAGATAGTGCTTTTGTACTTGCCATCATCATGCCTCAGTGGGGAGACAACCGTTCAGAGTAGTGGGCCGAGGCCCATGTTTTCACAGGCTTAGTGCGAATGAGGTTTGGTACATTCATTTCGTACCAACGCTCTTGAAGGCTTCTAAAGTTCCTGTCCTTCGCTACATTAGAGATTAATGAAGCGAAAGGGGAAACTTCGGTGAGATACCTATCTGTTTGGGCCTGCAGAATGTGGGGAATCGATCCTGTTGACATAAACCTTAACATAGACCCCGCCGTGGGGTGGTATTGCCTGGAGAAGGATTCCACTATACTATCCCGTATATGGGAAATGGTTGCACCCTTGGTTTGACATCGAAGAACCCATCCTTGGACCCTGTTAAACCTAAATCTCGAACCGATTGATGAAGCGTCCGTCAGGCCCGCTCCCACACCCTGACTTCCACAGATGAAGGTTGAACTTTAAAACATTAAAGCTAGATTCCAACCATAAGTGTCGATCAATCTCTGCAGCATCTCCGCCCAAATATAGCACTCTAACTAGTCACCCCCAGTCATGATCTCATCGAACGTCCTCGGATAAATGTCAGGGAGGTCTGATGATTAAATCTTGGGACAAGACTTTCATCTCACCAAGTCCCGTAGCTCGGTAGACAAAGATCCACACACAGGAAGCTTTCCTCAATACCGGAGATGAATCAGTATCCTACGCAATGTCAACATTAGCTTGGCCTCGGAAGCAGAAGAAGCTAAAACAGGGTCCTCTCGTCGAGGGATGCTGGTGAAGGTATAATGCGAACCCACTTTATAGTCTAGTTTCTGTCATCAAGGAAGACTCAAGATTGCTAAATGACTTGGCTAGATGGCAACAATATAGCTACTCAGTTGTAAACAGTAGGATGCGATTATTGGTGCACTAAGAATCTATTTTAGGGGGACTTGAGAGGAAGCTCCCAATATTTCTCTATGAATATGAAAATTAAGCTCACTTGAAATATCCTTCGCTAACTTCTTTATTTCTTCAATACAACAGCCGGTGTACTACTGCCCTTTGGTGCGTACTACGAAATAATACCGTGCTTCACTGTGATTCTTGCTGAGGGCCAACCTTCTTGTCATCCAAGTAAGTACTCGATATAAAGTAGTTCCTCATTGCACCGCTTAGAACACCAGTGACAGATTCTTTGGAATTCAGCTCAGTCTTCGCGTTTGCATAGCGTCTACCTAGGACTCCGGCGAGAATGACCATCCGTTTAGACTAGTCTTTCACTTTGGCTTGATAACCCTTATCTCCTACCAGGTTTCTGTCATAGAAAAATATGGTGTTCATATGAAAATGGATATCGACAAGCAAGTGGTGAACAGGCCATCAGCCAAACCCGAAAATATCAAATATGTCAGAAGTTCCGACGTACACGATTCCTTGCATGACATGGCGAATGCAACATGCAGGGAAGGTATGAGATGATGCCAAAAGCAAGGGATTTTACTCATCCCTCTTTTGATCTTGAATGACTGACCAAGTTGAATACTTCATGTGTTTGGGCGAAAATTTGCGATTGACGTTGCTGACGAAATAGATGAGTGTGACTCTATAGCTACAGTTGTCTCTCTGCTCGGTATTGACCTGCATTGAATTGAAGGAGTCAGTTCCAGATAAAGCATGTCCCGCTTGGCCCCACGATATTGATACCGGTGTAGTCATGTCAGTGGAACCGACCGAAACCTGGTGAGATTGGAGGATAGCATGCTCGTATAAGTGCAATACAAACTTGGGTACGAAGCCCTGAAGTCGACGTTGTTTATAAAGCTACAACAAATACACAGGATCGTGCTCCATAAGGTTAAGGACAGATGTCGATTGGGATGTCACACTGAGATCCCAGCTGAAAGAAGCTTCAGAGAGCGTCGTGCAACACAAAAGCTCTTTGGTCGCCGTATGGTGATGGCCGGGATATGCTCTAGCTAAGAGGTCTCGGAATGCGGCTCCGTCATGAGAGCTGCCTTTATGTGATTCTTAACGATACTACAACTCGGGTGGTAGCCCATTGAGATAACTTTTGGTGACCTGCAATTTCTGGTCTCGCATAGATGAGTGAGTCAAGATTCGCTATTGAAGGCCTTGATAGTGTTTACTCCTCAGGTTACGCCGTCGCCTACGCCACAGCCCGTAAGATCCTCGCTACTTTTGTCCATGGCACGAAGCATCATCTAACAGCATTACGTACAGTACAATACTAAACGCTCATGCCCTGGTACACGGGCGAAAGCTGCACAGGTATAATGGCCTGATGTAAGCGACCTGGAAATCGGTCTTGACGGGTTGCTGACCGGTTAGGTGTATTGCATCCTCCTAGAGATAGCTATGCAAAGGAAAGCCATAGATTGGACTGCCGCGGCAGTTACAAGCGACTAGATAACCCATGACATACACTTCGCACCCAGAAGAGAAAACTTGTCTGAGAACGTTTCATTACGCCTAGGGTCAATTACTATCCTCCTACTCATCTCTATCCAGTCGGTTCCCTTCTTTCTTCTCCCTTTCCGCTAAACACACAAAGGTTTGTATTATGCTTACTGCAGTTTCTTGAAGCTTGTGCTCAGCCTCAACATTTACCAATGAATGTCGCAAGTCACCATCACAATTGCCGGGCCAGAATAGATAATGAAACTCAATGTAAGAGACGGTCGGTCTAGATCACAGTAGCTAACTGCGGTGCATAATCTACAAGATCCCTTCCGCTGGCTTTGCTGATATCAGCAGGTCGGTGGATCTGTCTGGTTTCGATATACATTGAGTATCTAGTTCTCTTGTACAACAGTCATTCCTGGCGGATAGATTACGTAGGAATTCCGAAGTATTGGCTTTTTGCGTTCCAAGGTCTATGTAATGAATGGGATGAGTAGACTTTCCGCCACACTGCCGATTAAATTGCAACCCAAAGCTCCGCAAACGGCCCTTTTCTTGCCATTCGTCAACCGGTGCAAAGTGAAGCTGTACCTTGGTAGTTTACAACTGACATGAAATCAGTCGTCCCCTTAAATAGTTCCCATAGAGTAGAACCCTTGAATCTGCGACACTCACATAATCACGTCCCAGTAACACGGGTAGCAAGTGCTGCCCTTGCTCTCGGAGGTCCAACTGCTCTAATATCCCTTGCTCCAGTCGCCATTAGAGAACAATGACGATCACAGAACACGCCTCCACCAATTCTCCCGTCATTCGCTATCTCTTTACCGCTGTATATGTCCTCACGATTTACAATGCCGCAGAAACGATGATACTCGTCTTCGTAACATTCAGGAAATATTCTGGCTGTTACTTCTGGTCACTAATTGTTGCCACAAGCGGCCTGCTCATATCAACATTTGGGAGTGCCTATTATTTCTACGTCGATAATGCAAACGAAATCGTACCAGTATCTTTGGGTGTGTTCGGCTGGGCTGCCTTTGTCCCAGGACAGGCGGTTGTTCTGTGGTCCAGGCTTCACCTTGTGATCCAAAATATTAGGATCATCCGTGGAGTCCTTATCATGATCATCGTCAATGCCGCCGTGCTTTGCCCTCCAACCATTGTTTTGGCATATCTTGGGACAGTACCGCATCCAGATCCAAAAGTGTCTCATGCATACAATATATGGGAAAATATCCAACTATCAATCTTCTGTACTCAGGAGTCCGTGATCTCCGGGATATACATTTGGCAGACTATCCTGCTGCTCAAGCTTGTGTCTAACCATCGGAAACGGATAATCATCTACCAGCTGCTGGCCATCAATGTGTGCGTTTTAGGTATGGATGCAGTTCTCCTCGGGGTTCAGTATTCAAGCTACAAGAGCGTGCAAATCCAAACGAAGGGTTTCGTTTATTCGTTGAAGCTAAAGCTCGAGCTTGCCGTGCTGAGCCGCTTGGTCAGTTTCGTTCGGCAATCGCACGAGAAGGAACAACTACCCTCTGATGCTACTGTAGACAGAGATGGTAGTGGACTTGGGGTATGCTAGGTGGCACCAGCCGGATTGTTTTCTTTGACTGTTCCTGATATCCTTCCAATTATATAAGCTCTACTTGAACAATCAAGAAGCCTGAATTTCCATGATGAAACGATGGAGCTGGCGGGAGTGCAATAGCTGGACTTTAACCTCTTGGCTAATCGGCAATAAAGCGTCAATAGACTACCTCATTGCCGTATTGTACTGGCCCAGTAGAGTTGGCAAGCTTTTTCTAGTCTACTAAAGCTTTATGGTTATTTTTTGAACACCCTGCCCAGGTAGCTAAATGAGCTAGCGACACAGTGTGACAAAATGGAAACGCCCAGCTCGCCTATGGAACGATACTTCTGCTAACAAGGCAACTGGTGACACACTAAAATCTTGAGACGATCATGAATTAGTGGAAACACAAGAAAAGAACAGCCGCATGCTGACTAGCTTTGGTTCACGGTTTACGAAGGCTAGCGGAAGTGTTTTCCTAGATAAGGCTGAAACACCAGTTAGCAACCCACGGTTGCTGAAGAATAATTATCCTGGGAGGAGGTGCTGCTCCACTACAGGGTCTGGAAGGTGCTGTTCTTTAATCCTTGGGTATGGCCATCGTATCGTCAGTGTTGCGAAAACCTTGGATTGATTCAATATGTGGGAGTGTATGATGTCTGCGCTTGACTCGGCCGGACAGACCCATGGATTTTGTCGTGGAGTAGACCCAAGGTAACCACGAAACCTTTCGAACTCTACTTATCGGCGCCACACCGGTCCGAACGCCAAAACCGTTGGCAATGTAACTCTAATTTGCGCTACCAAGATTCCTCTTCAGTAGCCTCGTCTCTCCATGGGAGCAATGCGGGAGCTACCTCCAAGAGACGCCCCAGATCGTCTCCACAGCTTGCAGTTTTACCAACAAAACCATCAATACAGAGCACCCTTCGTAGAATGCCTGTGGGACTCTGTCCCGCTATTTGCGCAATCGTCACCGAATGGATTCCGCCGTTCTTTTCTGTATTTTGCCTGATTCAGTATATCATATTGGATGAATACGCTATACCGTTGTCTTGATCGACAGTATCAATCACCATTAGGTATTGCCCTTTTTTGCGGGCTGTAATAAAGAATCTAGATTGTTCAACCGATTGCCTGTTCAGGATTAGAGTATAAATGGACTGATAGATTACGGGGCGACTTAGTTCTGTTCCAAATACCATTATAGCCTAATCGCTAGCCCAGGGCCCACTAAGTCCAGATATTCTTAAAGATAAGGTAATTTGGACTAAGCTTTACGAGACTGGTGAAGCCTGTAAAGAGAATCTGAAACAGAGACTACCGAAAAAATCTAACTAGCTTATTCCATATTGCATGCAACGTGAAGAAGTTACTATTTCCCTTTACACTGGTAGCCTAGTATGTAATAGTACAATGTTCCAGCGCAGATCGTGGGACCAAACCAAGTAGTGGCACCAATAGTACTCCAATTGAAGGCCAGACCAGTCTTGACTATGGCTATGTATGGACTAGATATATCCGAAAAGCGTTAGATCTACTCTACATGTGAACATACCCACTACTAATAAGGAAGCGAGTAACGATTTCCATGTCCAGCGAGGGAAAGGTGGAGCAGAGAGCAAACTACTAAGTCAACACGAGAACTTCAAAACATACTTTCTAGTCAGTTTAATTGGTTATAATCTACAAGTCAGTTCCATGGATTTCGCTTTCAGTTTATCCGCTGTACAATCTAGACATCTGGGAGGGATAAAGGGCACCAAGCAGCTTATCGTCTCACATAATACTACCGACCAACCTTTCTAAAGAATATACTTTCCACGCTATCTATACTGGGTTGTAGACCCATGTTCCGCCGTTTCACATATTAACGTTCCAATTATCTCCCGTACACGGATGATTACCCGATGGAATTGAGAGTCTTCTGACTTCTCGATGGCCTGGGATCCCTAGAAGTTTAGGCAACCCAGTGCAGATCATCCAGTAGAGCAGTCTGGCCTCAACTGGAGTGGATAGAAGTCCACGACTGGCTAATTGACGGGCAGAAGAAACTATGGGAATCTCGCTCCTTTGTTGGACTCGGGAATGGATCATCCACCGTTAGCCAGTTGCATCCTGTTTGATTTCCACAAACTGCTAATATGGATTTTGTGTGGCTTTCTAACTCCAAGAGTTCCCGTTAACCACTGCAATTTAGAGAAAGATCCACACGCAATGGCTGCCAGGTACGTTAAACGTATTGGCTGCACCCGAGGTTCGCTTAAACGTTTTGTGTTTGTCCATGGCTTTGGGTTCTACCATGACACGGGACGCCGTGACCTAAATGGGCATACTGCTTTAGCATATTGGTAGGCACCGAAGAGAAAATACCTGATGCATTGTCATAATGTCAAGGCATTCAATTTCAGTTATTTTGAATTTCAGCCCACATGCTAGCCCCCTATGTTAGTTTTCAATTGTAGTTACCTCGATTGCTTGCCCGGTTTCATTTACATGCTATACTAGATGCTGTAGAGAGTGAATCATTCTAGTGAATATGTTCAGAGACGTTGAGTGTTTCCTTAAAACCAATGGATATACCAAATAGGTTCTAGACCTAATGGAGGAGGATGTGAGATCTACCCAAATGGCAGAAAATGAAGAAACGCATTGGGCTACGCTATCCTATGTTGAATAGAACAAGTAATAAAAAGACGAAGCGACATCTCAGACGAACAGTAATTCACAGGATCGATGTAGATCTATCCTTTCCACTCTGAATCCACGTAACCCCTCCCAGTTTCATCTACCGGCCACAGTATGACTCTTCCGGATCCTCGAAGTTCCCATCAGACAGCACAGCAAGCTTGCCTCATGGTAGAGGGTTAGGTTCCTAGACTGGTGATGCACAACCAAACAGTCCCGACAGATTATTTTTCCAACTAACTCGTTAGTATATGGGTAATAGGATGCAGATCAGAGGGACGTACAATTATGGTTGCCTGAGCATTCTCAATGCGATCGCTGCAGATCGGAGGGTTGTTTTGTGTTGTTGTAGGAGTGAAATCAACCCCTTTGGCCGGAAGGCCGTCGATGCGAAAAGCACCCCCACCAATTTGAAGGGTGCTAGGAGGGTCTGGAAAGCGAGCCAAGACCTTTTGATCTCTGCAGTCTGCATGCAGGCAATAGCACTTCTGGAAAGCTGAGTACATGCTCCAAGTAGCCACCGCAACACATGTAGCCTCACATGCAGGCTCAAAGATAGCACAGAAAATGCTTCCCTCGGTACAGGCAGCTACAGCGGCGGCCCATGTTCCAACGGCAATATCCTGACAAGCAACACACTCAGCTTCGCCCTTCAAATCGGGCAGATCCTTGCAGTCAGGTAGCCATGGTGCCCCTCTGAGATTACCTCTCTGCCTCTGAACGGTCGCTCTCAATTGCGCAGTCGAGGCAGTGACATCTCGGCCAGCGATTCGGCACACGTTAGCCTTTGATTGGCGAATTTCGAGGTCCCTAGGTGCCGCGGCAAGAGCACTGGTGGAAGAAAAAAGACACAAAGCAGCGGTAAAAACCGCTGGGAGGCTAAGATAGAACATAGTTTCGAGGAAGCAGGTTGTTCTTAGGGATCTGATTTCTTGACAGCAGGATTATGGTGCCGTGGAATGCAGGCTATGGACATATATTTATACCGGCAAGACAAGACGCCAAGAGACAAGACTTACGCCACACGGGTCCAGAGGATTCCTTTAATCAAATCCTTGCTCTCTGTTAGAGACCGATTGGTTGAGCCATGGTATTGGCAAGTCGGGGGCGCCGGACATAGAGCCCTGCAATGCTGTTGGGACAATACATCTCATATTGAGTAATACTTTGTTCAAAGCTGCGGGAAAAGGTAGCAATGAAGTCAATCAAATAAGAATAGAAGTATAGAAAATAATAAGGCAACTGTGCAAGATATCCTTGATAATTGTTGGCACTCGACACAAGGGCTATGATGATACAAGGCTATGTTATTCAGAGTGTTTGTTTCTATGTGGAAAAATATGGAAGGTATGATACAACGTACAAATAAACCTTCACCAGTGACGAGTCTCCATAGTAGTCCGCCTGCAAAGGTAATCCGTGATAGCATAGTGCCTGTATTGGGAAGGTTGCCCAGGAGCCTTACGTTTGCCAATCAAGCTAAATGAGAAATATGGATAGGTCGATATATCAGCCATCTATATATATCTCATATAAAATTCATATTATCTTCGAGAAGTGGATCAACGACAAATATTTGCTACATACACAATGTGACAAGCTCTTTTAGTTTCAGTTAATGAGTCTCTGGGTGTCCCCGTGATATTTTCAACCTGCAGACGCGTATGAACGGATAATCCAGGAAGATGCCAGGTTGCAAAGGGATTCTTGTTTACCAGGACCTGAGAAACATAGACAATATGATAACAGCTAGAGTCTTGGGTCTGATAATAGTCGGGCCCCAAAGAGACGTACTCTACCACTATTAACCGAGATTTCTTTAAGACAGTGCTTTGGGTCAGTTCATAGATGTCCCGAACTTAGTATTCTCCATGGTTCGGTGACCATTGCCCTCAAAGAGACCGGTTTGTGTCTCACCATAACCTGTATTTCGACCGATGCAAAGCCTCCTTCACTAGTCTAACCATGATCTAGAACGTGCTCAGGCGATCGCCGTTGTCCTTGAACGTGAAAAACTCTGGTTGAAGATTGGAGGACCCACCCCAGTCCGTGGAAGTGTGTCTCGCCGTTCCCTGATGTATAGTGCGTCTTTTTTTTTTTTTTTGTTACGTTCAACGCATCTTGCGATTCCCACGTTACTGGGCCAATCACCCACGGGGAATGCAATGTTTAAACTCCGTCCCGAAGGATGGACTTTGATCGGTTCTATAGAGAAAAGAAAAAAGTACGGTGCAATTGTTCCGCCCCCGCAGACAATCTCTCTGAGACCCACACATGGGCACTGCCACATCCTACTCTTGTCTCATTATTTGGTATGCCACCATAGCCCTCGTATCTTACTAGACAGCATAGAGAATATTAGGTGACTTCGGAGAATGGTCTAGAAAGATAGCTGACTACGAAAAGATTCTGGCTCAAATTCGTAGATCATGTCGCTACTGAGCATATTACCAGGCATGAGCAAAGTGGGTCAATCCATATTAACACCTAGAAAACGGTTGATCAGGCCTTCGTCCAGTAGCACATCCTTCATCTGGACTGGCGTGCTGGTATTCAAATACATTCGCGTTGAGTGAGACGTAGCTTCCAAGGTTGCTTTTAGGGCAGAAGGTGGCAGTGTTTCTCTCCTCAGTAAAGCCTTTCTTTCTACAGAAAGCTTCACATCAGGGTTCCTATTATAATAATCTGAACCTAGTGTGATGACGTGTAATTGGTAGATATCTAAGTCAATTGATGTGGCGGTTTTCCTTCGCCTTACGGGACAGGTATATTGCCCCAGTTGAATAGTAGTCAAAGAGAATAGCAATGTAATAGTAGTCAATGTTTTGACAAAATGAGTATGGGCTTACAAAACATCACTACGATGTACAATGATGATCGTACAAAACCTCTGTCTTGCACGACTGCTTTCAACGGTTTATTGAAAGTCTCCACTCCTTGGAAATCTAGAACTCAAAGTAATGTTGATCCTCAAAAATGTCAGTACTCGCCCGAACCATATAGTGAAGATTTACAAGTCGGACCATACTAATAATAACATTACTCTAACGTAGACGAAAAATGGGATCTTGACCAGTCTACGTTATACGCCTGGAATATACCGTATTATATAGTACTTTATCCATTCAGTATCTTAATTAATTGACCTAGGGGACTTATATATACTCTCTAAGTGGAAGTCTCTGTGCTACATAATATGTTAGCGCTTAGAGGGGTACTAATAGTTACCAACACTTAATCAGTAAGTTAACAATATTGATAAAATCCTGCGCTATACACACCTGGCAACTCTTATATGATAAGGTTTATTTGACTCAGAAAGCCCATGGTACGAGATATTCCTGAATATACTGTCACAAGATCTCCTCAAGACTTCCTGTTTAGGGTTTACTCCGCTGGAACATTGAGATTATTCTACATGTTGCAGTTGTGGGATTTGGTTCTTGGAAAGGATCTGAGAAATATATAAGTAGCATAATGGCAGCTCTTTCACTCCTCTCCTCTTGTCCATGCTTCATACTGTTTCCTATTCAAGTTCTACTTTCAAGCATTCACTTTTCGGTTCTACCAAGTGTCACCAACTTACCATTATGAAGTTGCTCCACGTTATACTTGCTCTTGCTAGCACCAGCATTCATGGTGCAGCCGCCGTTCCTCTAGACAATGGACTAGAGGCTCGTCAGCAAGTAAGCGCTTCAGTGCCAGACGTTATAATACCGCGATCTAACATCTGTGTTCTGTTAGCTTCGGCCAATTCCTCAGACCTCAGGTGGTCCTCTCGACCAGGAGCTTATTTCAGGAAAAGTCAATCCTAGACTCCCGTAGGAATGCTCTAGCGCCCTTTCTTAAGCCATCGTCTAATTGTCCGTCCTCAGGGTATTCCAGAGATGGGCTGGAAAGCCTGGCGATATCTTGGATAAAATCGCCCCAGTGGTGGTCGAGATAGTGAATACTATTGCTGAGAAAAAAGGCGTAAGCATGCACGACCGATTCCTGAGGTAATCAATCACTGACCACAACAGAAAATGGAGGAGTTTACTCAAGACATGGTCACGCTGATGAAGGAATCCGAACCTGATTATACCGCTGTCTGTGCGAATACTGGCTTCGACTTTCGGGGCACAAAGATCGCCCAGAAGACAGAGAGACTTGACTGGGGGTCTTTTACAAACATTACGTATGTGCTACGCCCCACCTATCGTCACCGAAAGCCTCTAATGCTAATTTGTGTCTTACCAGGTATGAATGTCTATACTTTAACAAGGGTACCTTTGCCTTGAAGGGCGATGGGGGATTCCAAAACGTAAGTTTTCAGATTTACATTCACTCATACCCCGACTTGTGTTTGCCATGGTGGTTGCGCATAGCCCTGTAACTTATAGACGCTGACATATTTCAGTGGGCATACATCCTTGGTCCTGGCTGCAAGGCTAACGGGAAGGTTATTACCTGCGCATAGACAGGCGAATTTGGACATGCCTTGGTGGAGGTTTTGCCCTGGACTTAGGTTTTCCTTCACCGTAGTGCAAATGCAAAGGCATAGGATATACGAAGTCTAAGATGCTTAGCAAGACTCTTTATCAAGTACCGTATTTGATTATTTTTATGGCCGTAAATTTCGAAATCACCAGTAGCTACATATTATACGGCAGCCACAGGAGCTGATTGTAACCCCGGTCTCTTACCTAGGTTGCAGGGTCAAAGCATTTCACAGCATAGCACCTCTACCTTGGGGAGGGAGCCAAGCAATGAATAGTTAGTACACTGATAGGTCCTAGAATTGTTGGCACATGCTACCTCGAAATGCCTTACTACTTTGCACCCTATAATCCCTCTGGACAGTGAATGCCAACTAATGGCTGAGTTGAGCCAGTTGACGGACTTCAGCTGGGGATCTGCCCACAAATCCTGGAGAGTCTACTCTCACATAGCATGTACTCTTGATGGACTGACGGGACTTATAGCAACTAGTCTGACTGTCATACTCCATTCCTAGAAGACCAGAGCCTAAAGGTCTGGTGTTGTTGAAGATTTAACACTATCTGATAGTAAGAGACAATGTTGCATGACGTCCGTGTACTTAGACCGAGGTATATTTAGTTTGAGTGGGATCTATTATTTTTGAAAAAAAAAAAAACGGTTGAAATATAGGGTGTGGGGCATGTGGCGGACTTCAGAGCGGGAAACTGTTGCGCTCTCTGGTGAGGGATTTGAGCGAAAAACGGAAATTAGCTATAAGCCCCCTTTGGTGGAGAGGCGACACGGGTCGACGGGTTTTGGAAACGTTATCCGCAGAAAGTCTGTGCCGCACACGATTTGCCTAAATGATAGAGTTTGGCGATAGACCGATCCGATATATATTGCTACTCCACCCGCATTGCCCTCGACCGCATACTTTGGACAGGCCCCACCTCTCGTCACAGGAAGCAGCCGTGGTCCTCCATGCCTCCAACTACTTACCACCTCCCTGAACAACATGGAGGAAGGGTCCGAACTTGCAAAGCATCCCACAGCACGTTTAGCGGAGGGCTTCTACAGTAAGGGAGAATCGACCAGGATCACCACTGTGGTCTTAATATCATTATCCCTATACAACTCCATCGAGCTTGTTGTGATCATCCTATCGAGTTTTAAACATTACAAGAGCATATACTTCTGGGCCCTTTTACTATCCAATACGCTTGGTGTGTTGCCATACAGCATTGGAACATTGTTGGACATTTACAGTATTGGCCCACAATGGTTAATGCTCACTGCTCTGTGGCTGGGGTTCTCTTGTATGGTCCCGGGTCAGTCAATAGTGCTCTATTCACGGCTACATTTAGTCGTACGAAACGGCAGACTGTTGACTTTTCTTCGTCTCCTAATTGTCATTGGGACTATTGTCTGTATGATTCCAATCACAGTCTTGTACTACGGCTCCGTCTACATAAAGCATCCGTGGAACGAGGCCTACGCCGTTATGGAGCGCCTGCAATTGATTTATTTCTGTTCCCAGGAGGGGTTACTATCCACAATATTCATTGTGGAAACAATCAACCTCATCCGACTGAGGCCGGTGCAAGACCATCGCACTCGGATCTTGTACGAGCTCGTTGCTGTCAATCTATTAATCATTGTCATGGATATTGCGCTGCTTTTGTTGGAGTTTCTCGGGTTCTACTTCCTACAGGTGATTCTGAAGGGCGTGGTTTACAGCATCAAGCTAAAGCTGGAATTTGCTGTCCTGGGGAGACTACAACTCACTGTCTGCCCACCACATCCCTCGTTCGGTGATGAAAGAGCATACCATGGTCCTGATCATTTTGGCCGTATCTCTATCTACCAAAATGTCAGCCATGCAAAGTCCTCAGGAATAAGGGATTTATCCAATCCTGAGAGCGTTCTTGACTTGACTGGTGCGCAACATCAATGATAAGGCGCTCATATAGTCTGATGGAGGAGATTATCGAATTTAACTTTCGGTGGAACTTGAATGCGAAGACTGATCTATCGTCCCCTTTGTGGAATCTATGTGTTGCTGTGGCATGGACAAAGAGAGGGAGATGCGGAAGATGAAGGTACAACGCGTGGGAATATATCATACCGCCATAGGAACTGGGGTAGGGCATCTTCAATGAAACGTAAGACGCAGTAACTTTCTCATTTACCTGCCACAGGTAAAGCTCTAGTGATGCAACCTTAGTGGCAATCAAACTATCTCGTATTTGCATCAGTATCGAATTCAATTATTTAGTCGAATTCCCAACCCATACAGCCTCTTTTGACATGAAGAAAGTACATCCATAACTAAAGCTAACAGTGGTGTAAAGAGAAAGTGATCTTGATATCATATAACATACGAAACTTTTATGTCTACCGCGCATCAACGCTTCACGAGTGCCAGGTGTTCCTCTTCCTGGCTTCTGGAATAACTGTCTTATTTAGTTTCTAGCTGGTGCATCACAGATAGGCATTCCTTCAGGTTGGAAGCTTGCACTTATTCCTAATAGTGCTCATCGCATGTCCCCACCAACTATGCAATGTACAATTGAACAAGGCAAGACCTGTACAGGTGAATATAAAATGAACGGCAAAGTTCCCCGATCCACCTACATATGTACCTCACTTACCGAACACATCGAGCCTCAGTGTGAAACAGTCTGCTAGACGGTGTAACATTTTGGCATCAGGATGGCTACTCGTACGGTGGCCATTATGCACGAGATACACACGCAGCAACCAACCACAATGTTTCTATCAGGGGATTGAAGCCTGCGATAATTCAAGGTTAAATCAATATCGCTATGAAGATGAAGGTTGATTGGTAGGCTAGGTTTGTCTTGGCCATCGCATGTCAGGATGGATTGCGAAGCTGACGGTTCAGATGTCTCTACGAATACACACCTTCTAACCTGTTGGTACACTCGTGTACGAAAATTTAATGAAAATGCACATGAAATAATTGTAAATTGAGGTAAGAAATGCACACTACAATGCTGTATGTTGAATACAACACTTTATTCTGCTCTCTTCAACACCGAATGTGCCAGCTGTATCCGACATTCGCCCGTGCCGTCATACGGCTTGGTCTATTTGGGGCAGGCCCTGCCTTTTCCAGTGCTGATGCTGCAGCAGTCCGCACCCTGGTAAGGTTAGTAATGTTCTAGAGCGTAGGTGACGGATCCTTACGCAGGTGGCTTTGGTAATGCCGAAGTTGTCACACAGCATATCGGCGTATTTCTGAGTTCCGCAGACCTCATTACTGCCCGAGTGCTGATCGATACAAGCTTTCGCATCTCTGTAGCAGCAGTCTTGAGCGCGGCCATTGCACTAGATAGATGTTATTGTGATTCGGATTGGCTCGACTCCAGGAGACCTACAGCAAGTGTAATGCCAGAGAAGGCAAAGGCCATAAGAACACTCGTTTGAAGGATGGAAGGAAGCTGCATCTTGACTGTAAATAAAAGGATGATGTAGATCAAAGAATGAGGAAAATGAAAACTGTCTTAGTAGTGATATCCTGATTCTACACACAGCAAGAGAGGAGGGGGATCCCGTATTTAAGTAGTTTACTTGAGGCGACGAACTCTAGCAGACCAGGCCGGCTACTCATGGGCATGAAGATTAAGTGTCGACGCGTCACTTCATCCGGCGTGCCTTCGTCCACCACTTCCCACATCCGATGACAGTTTCACATCTAGACGTGATAGTTGGTGGGCTGTTGATGCGCGATAAACTAGCAGAGGTCTGGCCAACTCTTCCAACTCCTCGGGTACAAGACATAGCGTAAAACTACATCCTTCAGTCCCCACAGTACATGTAGGGTTGCATGCGCCATTATTTGTGCCCACTGCTTTAGTTGAAGATCGTCGTAGTCTCAAAAATGTTACTCTCTTGGCAAATTCTCTCCTCCACCGGAAACTCTGCCAAAGCTGTCATTAGGGATTAACGGTCTAACCATCTATACATGGCCTGAAAATTGGTATTTTCTAGATCGCTGTGTCGAAAGGCTGGTCTCACCGAAGTTTCCCCATTTTTTTTCCAAAGACATGGATAACCTCAATTACACCGTGCCATGGGTTGTAACCCATTCAGGGATCTACACAGTTTGCGGTGATCGGATCCGATAAAAGTGGATCTTGCTTGTGTCTAGGTAAGAGATAACTCTAACGCCTCACTCTAGATCTTTTATGCAAACGGTGGAGTGGTTTTCTGACGAGTACACGTATGTCTAATGTGTAGAGACAATTGATACGGTAAGCCATTGAAAAGAATAAAGTGGCCTTCTAATTTACAACCAACTCTAGCCACGTCAAATTGAAATCATTGGCCAAGGGCTATTACAAGAGAACTGTCGAGGCAAAACGTTCTCAATTGTACCAATTTGTTGTTCGAGGTCACCCTGTCTCAATCGCCTGTGACGAGGAAGGAAATTATTCTACAAACACCTGGTTCCTTCTGAGAGTAGCCACGGTGGATGGGTTAGTCTCAGGTGGACCTCGACATAACCCGCAGGTTTCCGAACTTTTGTCAACCTCAGGTCTAGCCCAACTATTGAGCAACGAACCAGCAGGATCCGATGATCTTCATGTAGACTTCGAAGGTTTAGTTTCCAAGTTCATGGTGATCCACAGCATAGTCCGGCTGGATCTTACTTCCTTCATGTCTTTCCTTCTAGGTTACTATTGGGTCTGATATGCCTCGATATTCCGATCACATGCGAACTGATTTCGGGTTTGTATAGTATATAAGAAGGCAAATACCACTACCTTGTCTCAATCTTTCAGATCATACTTCTGACAGATAACTCATTTTCATAAAATCTACCTTCCACCGATTTTCCCATCTTCCAAAATGCAGCTCCCCTCGATCCTTCAGACTAGCTTTGTTTTGGCTCTTGCCTTCTCAAACGTTGCATTTGCTGTGAGTGTGACATAACTGTTGTTTTTTACGTCTAATAACAACCATATAGTGCAACGGACGTGACCAGGATTGCTGCTGGAAAGATGTCAACGGTTGTCTGAACCAGCACTCTGGACCCATCCAAGATAACGATGTGTGTATAAGTCAGAAGTACTTAGACCAGATGTGCAAGAAGTTCAATGTCTCCTGTGTATGTCCCGTCATAGTCTGAGTTACACGCTCTTACTAATATTGCTCTAGGGTGCCGATTGCTGTAGCATCAGCACTGGAAAAGGCAGGGCCTGCCCCAAATAGGCCATGCTGTACAGGCATGGAAATATACACTTCACCCAGACACCCTTTGGATATTCTCGGGATATGAGGGGTCCGGCCCCTGATTCAATTGGATTCAACATCCAAGATTGCATGTTACGTTATTAGTTCTGCCTTGTATGTTTCGAAATGTATGCCAATCTGTCGCTACTGTGCCTTCTCGTCTAAATTTATCTTGTTCTCATAACATGGAAAATACGTGGTTGTAATTCACGATAACTCTAAACCTACAAGATCCGCACAGGCTCTGCATGGTTAATGGTCACTGGATGCCCTAGTAAAATCACGTCTCCCTTGTGGAATCTTGCAAGGTGGTGTAGGGTGTGGGTCAGGGAAAATCGAGATCTGTGTCACGTCCGTCCTTCCCTCCCCACACGAAGCACTGGTACTGGTCAGCGGCCCATAATAAGCAATGTGGGGTGCAGGGACTTCGGTGCGGCTTGATTCAAGGTTGGCGAGCAGCAATCCGGTAGCGTGGAAACGTTCTCCGAACCTAAATTTAGGGTTTTGATTCCCTTTTAGGACCGGATGCCACTTAGTGGGTCGATACGGGGATTTGGGACCAAAAAAAACGAGACCCCCCGAAATTCTGGCTTTCTCTCAAAGGATCTCCACTCCCGCCATAGTCTAATTGGGACCGTTACCGCTAAGTAGGGGTCTAACACTAAATATCATAACCCTTAATCCGGAATCCGGCGATGCTGACGGTGGCGGTGGCAAACTAACTCACTCAACCCCACATATTACCGAAGGAATGATATGCGGTGTTACATAGTCATCTAGACCTAAAAGTAAAGGGGTCAACGTGACGGTAGATTCGGGTCCGATTCTTCCTATCTCGTAGCCTACGTGGCCTACTGAGTGTAGATTAGAGAACTATCGGCTAGGCACGGGGCGTCTTAATCGTACATATGATCTAGACCGAATCCATAGATTGCGGTACTGCAAGGTTAACCTATATGATAACAATTCGGTGAAGCTAAAAGTGTTATGCTGTGCCGGCCACCAACGGAGGTCTGACGACTGCCTTGTTACCTCCTTGCTTTAGGGTTCATCCGCAGTGTTTATTGGCAGAGTTCAAAAATGAGATAGGATTTAAAGGTTCACGATGGCTGAACATTGGACCAGACTTGGACTGGTCAATCCTGCTTTAGTCATTTCCTTGCAGTCCCACCAGCGGTATGCCGGATTGGCTACCAGGAACTATATTGGAGAAGGCCCACCGATCCACACTGATCTTTTCCTATTTTCGAGTTATTTCTTCCCATGTAGGTATACTATCTCCGCATGACTTATCTACTTCTCCACAACGCCATACCTGGCAACGAAGGGAGGGCAAAGAGAGAGAGAGAGAGAAAGGCCACTGCGTTAGAAAGTTTGACCGGTTGTCTGCTCCCATGTTCATCTGTGGCAGGGTGGAGAAGGGCATAGTACGTGCTGCAAAGAAGACTTAAAAGGGTGCAATGTTCTTGAATATTTGGCATATCTTGCTGCATGTTTATTGAGCTGGAGTATCGAAAGCATTGAGTTCGCATTTACTCCTATTAGCTGTCTGATTTCTTTCTCTCTTTCTCTCATTCCTCCCTCCTTGAATAAAAGTTGAAAACGAGATCAACTTCTTCTCTTCCCAACTTAGCGGTTTCAACATCATGCACTTCTTTGCACCATCCCTTTGGATATTATGGGGAGCTACGGCTATTGCGTCCACTACCGAAGCACAAGCTCAAACCCCGTCCAGTGTGCTTTCTCTAACAAAGGATACATTCAACAGTTTTATCACTCAGCATGATCTAGTACTAGCCGAGTTTTACGCACCCTGGTGTGGTCACTGCAAGGCGCTTGCCCCGGAATATGAGAAGGCCGCAACAGAATTGAAGGCCAAGAATGTGTCCTTAGTCAAGGTTGACTGCACCGCAGAGGAGGCTCTCTGCAAGGACCAGCAGGTTGAGGGATTCCCTACCCTTAAGATCTTTCGTGGGCTTGGTAGTGTTAAGCCTTACACGGGAGCTCGCAAGGCCGACGAGTAAGTTTCCATCTTTGCACAGCTATGCTTACGTCAGTTTATGTGAGATATTGACCATGGCTCGATAGTATTATTTCCCACATGGTCAAAGAGTCTCTGCCTGCGGTATCTCCTATTACGCCCGAGAACCATGACGAGATTAAGAATATGGATGATATTGTTGTTATCGGATACTTCAAACCTGATGACAAGTCTTCCAACAAGATTTTCACTTCTATTGCTGAGACACTTAGAGGTAACTACCGTTTTGTCACGGCCAGCGATCGAAGTCTCCTCACTAGAGAAGGTGTTAAACCGCCTTCCATTGCCCTGTACAAACCCTTCGATAACAAGAAAGATATTTATGAAGGAAAGATCGAGGAGAATACAGTCCTTAACTGGATAAAGACTGCCAGTACTCCTCTCGTCGGTGAAATCAACCCAGAGACTTACTTTGCGTATAGCACGGTAAGGCCAAATCCAAAATCACATTCCAGCCCACTGTGCTAATGTAGTTATATCATGCAGGCTGGTATTCCTCTGGCATATATCTTCGCGGAAACAAAGGAAGAGCGTGACAAGCATACTGTTGAGTTTAAGCCTCTGGCCGAGAGGTATAAAGGTGCTATTAACATTGCTACGATTGATTCAAAGGAGTTCGGTGCGCAAGCAGAGCTTCTCAACCTCAATGCCTCTATCTTACCAGCATTCGCTATTCATTACCCTGAAACGAACACTAAGTACCCTTACAGCCAGTCCAGCCCACTGGCCCTTCCTCAGATTGATCAGTTTATTCAGGATGTCCTTGATGGTAAGGTTCTACCAAGTATCACATCCCAGCCAGTGCCTGAAACTCAGGAAGGCCCTGTCACGGCTGTCGTGGCACATTCCTACGAGGAACTTGTCATCGACAATGAAAAGGATGTTCTCCTCATGTTCTACGCCCCCTGGTGTAAATACTGCAAGGCGTAAGTGCGTTCTATTGTTCTGTGGCAAAGCTAATGCTGTATCCACAGTCTTGCTCCCCATTATGAGGAACTTGCAAGCTATTTTGCCGACAGTTCACATGTAACGATCGGCAAGATTGATGCGACGGCCAATGATATTCCTGAAGTCATCGAGGGCTTCCCCACCATCAAGCTATACCCTGCTGGAGCCAAAGAATCCCCCATCAACTATGAAGGCCCTCGTTCGGTGGAGGATCTTGCAAACTTTGTCAGAAAGAATGGGAAGCATGGGGTTGCAGCCAGGATCACCGCTGGCAATAACCAGACCAGCCTTGGCTCCCATGACGAATTGTAGACTCAGTCGAGCATTTTAAATCGAATCTAGCTGCTCATTAGATGAGCCATTGTACCCACCTTGCGCCCGAACTCAAACAATCATCCTCATGTAGACTAAAACACATGAGTTACCCTTAGTATTGCCCGCATAAATCTTCTGGCTCTGCATGCTGCTCAGCAGGGTAGAATGATCATGGAGCGTTTCTTCGGCGCTAATGCCAGTAAACAAAGACGGGGCTTTCTCTAAATCCGTAAGGCATTATTTTATTTGCACCAATCAATTCCGTTTACGAGGAACTCAGAAAGAGCCAATAACCGGAGGCCCTAGTGGCCAAGCAAATATAAACTCAACCTTATCCAGGTTCCATGGAGTGAATCCTTAAACCCAAAAGCAGACCATTGACTCAATATAGGAAGGATTAGCCGCATTTACCCGGCTAGCGGAAAGTATCCTTCGAACCTTGGCTCCTGTTGCTTGATCTTCAGCCACAACGCTGTTCCTAGAACGCAATCCGTGGGCGGGTCATATGATCAGGAATTGGTCGAAGTTCTTCAGTAATGAGACATTTCTTACTCTTCCATTATTTCTAGCTCGTCGGCCGGTGGCGGAAATACGTCGGTTGCAGTCCAAGGATTCGATCTGACACAGTCCGTTTTCAGCACCACCCAGTAAGGTTAGGGTTCAATAGATGAGAGTTCAGGTGAACCTTAGCTGGTGAAAAGCCTATTATTAACTGGCGAGGTTGTCCACATAGATCCCAGTGGGGTTTGGTCATTGTCCCTGCGTTATGTTTCATTCTATCAACAGGGTATGGGTGGTTAGAACTGTGGCTCAAACTTGTATTGCGGCCAGCAACGGAGCATTCATCAGGAGTGGATGATAGGAAATCGGGCGATGCTGCAGTGGCGACTGCTTCGTCAACAAGGCACCCTAACTAGTTGCCTTGTGTCTCACTTTCTATTTCGCAGGTTTCTTGGCCCTCTCTACATACTACGTGCACATGTATCTTTTAGAGCATTACCGGTTTATGCGTCATTAGTTCCAGTCTCCGATCCTTACCCACTGGTATGCTTTCGGAAACATATCTCGCGAACAGCAAGGATCGCGATACCAACCTAGCTCAGTTTGGTAATAGTGATCAATACTATTGACGGCCATTCTCAACAGTGTTTGCTGACGTGTATGGAGGCTTAAAGGGCTGTTCTCCAATTAGATTCGGCTATTACAGCCGGCGCCTCGCCCAAGGACTCTCCGGCTAGTCCGCTATCTTGGCTAGATCCCACGTACCACAACCACGGGACTGACCTTAAGGTCTGAAACACGCAAGGCCGATCCATGAAATGTCGGTTGAAGGTATGAGGGCCAAGTCTGTTAAGTATGTATTCTCAATAGCTACGGTGAACAAGTAACGATAGAAGATTAATTACAAAGGAGTAAACTAAGGACTCGAACGAGCGTCCTTACACATCCGTTTCCACTAGGTCACCGCTACGATTCCTCTTGTCATCGGAACGAGCTCGTTGTGTTGTTGCTCTGTCTGGTTGGGGTACCCTTTGAGTGGTTGGTAACGGCCATACCATAGCCGCCTTAAAATATTAAATTCTCGGCTGGATATTAACTGCAGACCCTTTTTTCTACAAGATAGTCCTCGTGAGCCTAGACGAAAGGACAAAGGGGGGATACAAGGAGGATGATGGTCCTCATCACTGCATACTCAATAGGCATGGCCATTTAGTTGTCATTGGATGCATTAAATTTCAGTAGTGTGCGGTTCCTACTACTGAAGCATATAATAGATACACTTGAAAGGCATATTCCAGAATATCAAAACTCTAAGGCTACACTCTGTCTACCGAGGCATATTATATGGATGAAGTAAGCACAAAAGAGCGTATAAGTTTGTTATTCTGGGTAGCGAAAGACCACGCCATTGTCGCAACAATAACGTTATACAGACTATGGAGCGAATGTAACTTTATCTTTGGATACAGTATCATGTTTCACGGTAGCAAAGCGTTCATGCAATGCCGAACTGTTATTTCTGGCTGATCATTAGTGTCTTTTCAGTCGCTTCCAGGGGTGCTTCTTCCTGTATATACGCACGCTGATTGCTCAACAGTTGCTGCTGCACGTGAGCTTGCAGTCGGTAAAGCATATGTTACCAGGACCGCTGCACTGGCCGCAACCATGCAGGGTGCAACCATCGAAACAAGCCTACACCACGCACCAAGCCAGTTAGCCAGCTGTGTGTAGTTGAAAAGTAGAGATAAACAAAAGAACGTACACCAGCTCTAGTGTCAAGAGCATTTCCCTCCTTGTCTCTCATTTCGATGCTTAAGGCCAGCGAAGCGGTTGCAAAAAGAATAGAAGTAAGGACGGCAATCTTCATCTTGAGGAAAGTATACGAGTAGTGCGTAAAGTATCCGGGTTCTATCAATGAATAATAAGAGCAATGGATTGTTTTTAGTAAATGACTATGATTGTGCGGGTATCAGGGTCATTTATATAGCTATTATGAATGGTGAGCCTCTGAGCAATTGCGATGGATTACCAAGCAAGAAGATCGATTACGGAAGACTCAACCATGTACTCTTCGCTACAATACTATATGATGTGAAACATGGGGAGAGGCTAAGGTGTACCAAGGTACCGTTGAAACATGGCCAATTATTCTGCACTAGCATTGTTTGCTCATTTTTTGGTTTCCACTTGTTGATCTGGAGAGAAACTACGATTATACCAAGAATTCACGTGGAGTGTTTTGTCTGGAGCCATGACGGTCTCGACCTAAATTCTCCGTGCCTTGTTCTTCAAACTTGCCTTCTAGATGATAGTCTTGCTTACAGGTCCAGACTTTGGCAATGCGGCGGAAGGAGTTATATTACCCGTTCTCTCAGAGCATCATGCCGAAGGCGAACATAACCTAGATGATCAGAACTGGAACGAGATGGAATGATAGGGTACACAACATATGTATTGCTGGCCAAGTGCTTCAGATGGTCATTTGGTAAGCGACCAGCGTTATATTCTCAACCTACTACCAGGTAAGGTTAAATGTATTCTGAATTGTCTGTCATACTAGCGACAGTTCCAACGCGAAAGATTGGAGATGTAGAGGGCGTGTTAGCTACGCGGGGAGTGGCAAGGAATGTCTGTTCTTGACAAGTATTGGTCTCTCTATCCCGGATACACAAACTGCTAGTTCCCAAATCTAGACTAAACGCTCCACTGCAACAAGCAAAGATGGTGGGTCAATACTTGTCGTTTGGTTCACATATTCTAATTATTGGGAATTGTAGGTGTAGAACATCTGGTCCGATCGAGGTTACTAGGAAGTAAGCCAAAACGTGCTAAAAGAATGCGTTCCTGCGAGATCAACCTTGTCTGCCTAAGACGATAACATGCAGAAGCAAACAAAGTTCAGCATTGGGAATTCTTGGCAGGCGTGTGTGGACTCTCCTAGAAACGATGATAGACTTGACACTGGACATGTCGTAAAACACTCTCACTCAAAACCCCTCATGAGGGTCAATGCATGCAAGTATTGACGCGATAGGGTACAGCCTAGTAGGATAGACATGTAGCTACAGGTTTAGTCTTATTTTAGCATATGTCCCGTGTAGGCGCCGTGTCATGCTATGATCAGCCTCTTGTACCTTCTCCACTACGTGAGCTTCGCCCGGAAACCTAACTTCCAAAGCCCACATCAAAAGTAGAACCAAAATCCGCCCAAAGATTTAGGTTTAGAACCCTCCACAGCACTATTGCCCGCCCCCATTGCCGAACCAAGGTACTACCATTGCCTATATAGGGTATAGCATAACGCTTTGTAACGATTCATAGCCTCCGTAAACTAATCCCCGCCCTTAACCATGGTTCAGACAGTTGAGTTTCCCAGAGATCCCTAACAGTTCGCTGCGAGTAGCCGATCCTTAAACAACGCAATCTCATCTAGTGGACAGGTATCAGGGAAGTACTGACGACAGAATCAACTCCACGCATTCTGCAAGCTGGGATGGAGTCTAGAACAGTAAGGGGTCTCACCAAGATTTCCCCTTTCTCTTAGCGATATCTAGAAAACTGTAGGCTATACTTTTTGCCACAACCTAGCAGCAAATAGGCCTCGCCACACAAGAGGGATTTAGCATTCCACTGACCTTTTAACTACTGTTGTTACTACATACGCACTGTGCATTCTCGTTTCGTACATTGCGCATTCCGTGCCAAGTCAGGATCCTCCGTAGCCTCTAATGGGGCAGTAAAGTAGTCGCTCCATCGCGCGATTTATGCGTTACAGAACACTACCACCATTTTATTATTTGAAGATCGATGAAGCTTTTCTAATAAGTATATAAGTATTACCCGGCTCAGCACGCTGTGGCACTCGCAAGTATATTCTTGTACCCGCAAAGCCTTTCTATCCGAGATCGGCCATTTATCAGCTAGCTATCCTCACGGCACTGTGATATACACTCAAGGTGAGTCTCGTTTCTCAATGAAAGTCCTCATGCACTAACTGCTCACCAAAGAACAGTATCTGTATACCTATTCAGGCACTATGAAGCTTACCTACCTCGCAATACTCTCAGGAGTGCTCTTACAGGCATCAGCCAACCCAATGCCTCAAAGAATACTCTCTAACTGTGCTCTTTGCGCCAATCTCCCTCTTGCACCTTGTCAGCAATGCCTGAATAGCAATAAATGTCAAACAGGCGGAGTCCCTGTGTGTGGCTCTTGTGTGAACTGTGCTGCTACTATGGATTGTGCCAAGTGTGTTAAAGCAAATGGATGCCCCAGCAATGTTTGCAAAAGGTAATTGTCTTTTCCTCCGGTGCCACCCTGAACGATTTATAATATACTGACCCATTATACGATCATACTGTAGGGTGGGCTCCTAGGAATATCGGTTCTGATGAACTCTAGTCATCAGTTATCTAGTTAGTTTCAGATGTACCATGATTTCATATACGTGCAAGGACTCTCTGAATACAATTCCAGCCAAATGCCTTCCTTGGCTGATATTCTAACTTGGCCGACAAGGTTGAACTGAAGTTACATTTTCTTTCTATTTTCCCTCCTTTCTGGGAGTTAATACCTATTGCTCTGGTAGATAAGAAATGCTTCGATGATCATTGAAGGTCAATTTCCTGTTCTTCCTTGAACCCTTCCGTACTGGAATGCCTTGTTAAGCCTCCCCGAGAAATCACCCCCTGGATAGTGACGAAGTTCCTGATCTGTTGGTGCTCACTCCGTTGGAATTCCTCAGGCATCTAGTTCAAGACCATGATTTGAAGTGTCTACAACAGCCGCCAATGCAAAATCTACGAATTGCAGTTTATTTACGAAAGGATATTATCACCTTATGGTGTATTCATTCCACCTGAGTAGTTTAGGATGTATCGAAGACCATTCAGCATATGATATAGGCCCTTACTGACCGTTGGTGTGCCATCTAATGTCCAGATACTACATCTCACTTGGACCGCGGGCCTCTTCTTTGCGCCTTTTGTCCATGCTTCTTCATCTTAAATCTCAAGCTTCTGCGATACTCGGAAGTGGTAACTGTTACAAGAGACTAGTATTCAAAGATAGTAATCAAGCCTCTTTGACAGGTGACACCAAGTGTCCATCATCACTGGTCCTTTCATACTCTAGAGGCTTCTTCTCTTTAGAAAGCGTATGCAGCTGAGCTGAGTCGAGAATAAACAGTCTCCCATCACGCAATGGAACTTGCCACGAATGACTGCCTTCTACTGCCACCATCTGATTTCTTATGTAGAAAGGGACGCTCTGAAGTATGTATGGCACAGTACTTGATACACTGGTCGAGTAGCGTTTCCATATTTATTATATTGTTGCCAATAATTAGTAGCATCCTATGTAAGAAAGTGAGCCAAAGCAGGTAATAGGCTGGGGTGCTTTTACGGTTTACTAGCTCTCATTATAGCAGTACCATCGTTCTGATTGAGATTGATAAAAATGAGCCATGGCTATTTATCATCGAGCTTAACAGCACAGCCTCGTGAGTGGGGTCTCTCGGGCTCGAAGGATCAGACCATCAGAATATAGATGAAAGATACCACAAGGATTGTACAAACAAGTCAACAGAGCTCGGACTGCTCGGAAGCAAAGTGGAAGGGCCATCTTCCGCTGACATTATATCTCAGTGAATCCCTTTGGAGATATCCACGAACTATCCATTGGTTCTGGAATGACATTATGCCTCCACCTATTGTCCCACTTACCACCCCCAGAAAAGACCGCCAAGGTCAGCATAGCCACTGTCGTACTTTGTGTGGATATGCCTGCGCGAGACCAGAATGTTATGCACGACTCTAAGGACAAAGATTCGACAGACTCTCTGGGCTACAGCATGTTACAGAGAGTAGCCACGCACGTGTATAGTTCGTAATACATGGTTGGATATATCCTACGTTGAAAGGAACGTTACATTGGCCTAGCTTGATTGAGAGAACATTCTGAGACAAGTGCTAGTTGCCGAGATCTGATCCATGCTAGTGAAGTGTGGAACTTGTACCAGAACTCCGGTAAATTCGGTCATGAACAATGCCTCATTGGAAAGCTTCAGTGCCCATGCTTTCTATCATACTACACAAACCGTTGTCTCCGGATAGACATGAATTGGTCTCGGCAATTCTGGGCAGGTAGCTCTCTGCGCAAGACTATTTCATACAAGAAAACTATATAAACCAGGACATACCTACTCCTAGGAGACTCAAGCAATACAAGCAATAAAACTCTTCTTACCATCAACGATCCTATATCATTCTTCTTTGAATTCATCAACATGATTCCCAAGACTATCCTGGCCGTACTTGCTGCTGGCACTTTAGTGCAGGGTGGCGTTGTAGAAAGGCGAAGAGTGGTCAATCACGACTCCATTGCCCCATTCCCGGAAAGTGTTCCCAATACCGCAACAGGGAACACCTATAGGAAGTTCGAACCGTATCTGCACATTGCGCACGGCTGTCAATCCTACCCAGCAGTGGCGAGCAATGGTGATGTTAGGCAAGTCAGACCCATGCCCCCTATACGGACCCAACTTTTAACCTCTATTCTGTAGTGGCGGCCTACAGGATACTGGTAGCAGTACGGGTGGTTGCCGTGACCAAAGCAAGGGGCAAACATACGTGCGTGGCGGCTGGCATAATGGCCGTTATGGCATCATGTACGCCTGGTACATGCCGAAAGATATGCCAAACAGTGGTGTATCGACAGGGTCACACCGTCATGATTGGGAAAACGTTGTGGTTTGGGTCGATAATCCAGCTGTTGCTAATCCAACTATGCTGGGAGGCGCAGCATCAGGGCATGGAAAATATAAGAAGACAAAGAGTCCGCAAAAGGAAGGTACAAGGCCTAAGGTGGAATACTTTACCAACTTTCCTACCAACCATGAGCTACAGTTCACGAATACCCTTGGACGTGACCTGCCACTTATTGCGTGGGAGTCACTTCCGGGCGCAGCGAGAAAGGGACTCGAGGATGCCAACTTTAAGGACGCCACTGTCCCCTTTAAGGACTCGACATTTCAGGGCAATCTTGCCAAGGCAGCTCTTTAGGAAGGTCTAATGTTCTCACGTTCAAACTACTCTATATCATCTCTCCATGCCGCCTTTTATAGAGGCCCAGTGTTGGCAATTTGAGGTGCGCTTCAATGTGTATAAGTTTAAGAGACCCAGAATAGCTTACATATACAAATCCTATGGCATCATGTCCAATTGCTCCTTTAATTCCTTTATCTACCGGACGTTACAAATATTCGTTTGTCCACAAATACAAACTGTTATGGCAATGGTGAAAGCTAGCTATCTCCGGTATACAGGACATCTTTCCGAGCTGTTAATTTACTGTTTTATGGTTGCAGGATCGCATGATGGTCGTTGTGAGCCATTGGCATGTACATTTAGGGAGTTAATTGATTATCCTCTATGAGATTACGTATCCTTGTCCTTAGGGTGTAGACCAATGGCGGCTTCATGCAATGCTTTCAGTTTGAACCACCTGTAAGGCAATTAGAACATTTCAGTTTAGACTCAGCGCGTATTCGAATACAGAGCCAAGACCACCAAAGAGGTCTGGTGAATTCAAGGCAGTTATCCTTAGGCAATATACGCTAATTATGTGGGATAAATAACTTGGATATGTAATTCAGTGTAGTCCGTCCCTAGAGGATTTTCTCAGAGAGGCAGACATACATGCGAAGCGCAGTCAGGAAATGAGTGAGTAATGGATGGCCCTATATATCCAAACTAATGTACTTATCTCACATGCTCATTTGTGGCTACGAATGCAGAACGCACTTAACAAGGTGGGACTTGAAGAAATAGCAATGCTTCACATGGGACATAGATAGAGCCTTCCTGCATGGTACCTCAATTCTCTCCTCGTTGTGGCTGTCTTGCGAGCCCATCGAGGCTTCTCACGGAACGAAGAACAGCTCGATTCTTTGCATGTCTCAGTCTTCTACTATCTAGCTAACTTATTATATATAACCTAGGTTTTTAACAACCCGATTTCGACCTACTGTATAAAATTAGATCCAACCAATGCCAAGAATGATTGTCACCAAGGATTAGTTGATTATTTTTACATATTAGGCTGCCTGAGCTATACCCATCCGTCATGCGCAACGAGCAATATCTCCCTGAACAGAATTTCGGCTTGGTGCCATATGCGTTCATATTTAAGTTTGGCTGAGAACGGCCCATTGCTGTTACATCTATCCTACTGTTTTAAATATTTTTACCTACTCGTGTATCGGCCTCAACAATTACTGATTTGGTTGATAGATACAACATCAGATCAGACTCAGAAATAACCTGGGACTAGTAGGTGATATCTCCCAGAGCAAATCGCTTCACTGTAAGCGAAATAGTCCACTAAACGACAGATTTCGATTGCGGTCGCCCAATCGAAGGAGACGTGTATGGCATGGGCTGCGAAGCCTACTTGTTTCGGTTTTTACTGTAAAGCCATAGGCGCGAAAAGCAAGCCAAGAAAGGACACGGCTCGGATGAAAAAGGATGAAAGGCAGGACGAACACATCTTCCGTAAAAGAAACAATAACCCTGCACACTTGTAACCCCCCACTTTGAGGGGCTTGAATCTTCATCGGGCAACCGTCCACAGATTCAGTAGCTGCTCAGAGGTCACCAACGGACTTCTGGATGGCTGCGCATCCGCTGAGTCATGTTAAGCTAGTTGACGGGTTGACTATTTTTAATAAGCCAAATCTCATGGTTAGTTTTATTATGATGTTATAGGGTATTCTTCTCGGCATATATCTAAAAGAACGGACGATTTTAGCAAAAGGTACGCAGCAGTAAGAAGTACAATCTCTCATGGTGTCAAGACAACGCGTATCAATAAAATGAATTGCTAATCCTGTGTCCAACGTCGTTTGAAATACCATCCGACTCCGAAGGCCAAAAACCGGCAGTTGAACTGGATTAGGAACGCTAATGAAGCCGTTAACTGTGGGGACCATATGCTTGCCTGCTGCGATTCTCAGTCCAGGTGTCCCATACAACGTAACGTCATCGGAATCCTGGCTGTTTTGCATAGCCATCCTTCATGTCAACACCCTGAGACATTGCGGATTAACGGATATAGCAGCTTTTCCACATGGTCCTCATCCTGCTACAGACGACTATATTAATACACTCACAACGGCGTCTCTCTCGCCTACATTATTTGTGGACAGCAACTATTCGTCATGGCTTCTTTACTTCTGCTTTTGTCTTCCTGTCTCGTACTCGGCTTCTTGCGATATATTTTATCTGCCTTGCGTGCAACATCACTCCCTCCTGGGCCTCCTACCCTGCCATTGATCGGTGAGAGAGAGACGTTGAAAAGGCCACTGAAAGCTTATGCTGATGACATGCCAAGGAAATCTACATCAGATTCCGCCGTCTAAAGCGTTCTTGAGGTACGGACGATGGAAAACAGTTTGCGGATGCCTCTTGACCTAATATCCACTAGATTCCACGAGTGGGCAAGAAAATATGGTCCAATAATTTCACTAAAGGTGGGACCTGGAAATGTAGTGGTTCTGAACACGGCTAAGGCCGTCAGAGAGTACGTTTCTCATTATCCGCATCAACTAAGCATTGCTCGAAAGGTAGCTGAATATCCATAGTCTTTTCGACAAACGCGGTGCTATCTATTCAAGTCGTCCCCCCTTCATATCCCGGCGGAGCTCATCACGCGCGATGACACACATTTATTAATGATGCCGTACGGTAACGCGTGGCGCGACCAGAGAAAGATCTATCAAACACTCCTCAGTGTCAGTGCAGTTGGGTCATTCCGACCAATGCAAGAGGCTGAAGCGACTCTTACACTGCATCATTTGATGGAAACTCCCGGAAAATATTATGATCATCTTCGTCGCACCGCAACAGCTGTCATTCTCTCCTCGGTATTCGGGATCCAGGCACTGTCCTTCGACGACCCCAAGATCCAACGTCTTTACCACGTGCAGGAGCAATTCACAGCGATTGCTGAAACCGGGGCATCGCCACCTGTGGACATATTTCCAATCTTTAAATGGCTCCCCAATTTCATGGCTCCCTGGCGGGAACGGGCACTGCAGATTCGCCACGAACAGCGAGAGCTATATTTTGAACTCCTACGAGATGTTCAAGAAAGCAGATCAAAAGGTATCAGGCGTAACTGCTTCATGGATCAACTCCTGGAGGAGTCGGCAAGAAGTAAACACAAGTTAGATGATGAGCACCTTGCTTATATTGGGGGTGTCCTGATGGAAGGTGGCTCTGATACGACTGCGGCTAATTTGCTTTCGTTTCTCCTTGCAATGGTTAAGTATCCCCATGTGTTACGGAAAGCCCAAGCTGCCGTCGACGAGGTTTGTGGCACGCAACGCTCTCCCACGTTTGATGATCTTGCTCGGCTACCATACCTTAAATGCTGCGTTGATGAAGTAAGTGAGAATCTACGCCTTCTCTCTTCATAGCTAACACTCACAACAAGATCTTGCGCTGGAGGCCGGCTGCACCTTCTGGTATACCACACATGTTGATCCAAGGTCCTGTTCCCCATGCCACATTGAGAATCAAGGCCCCTCTTTCCTCAGCATACACAGTTTCTAAATATCAGCAGATGATACATATGAGGGCCACCATTTTCCAAAAGGCACAACTGTGATGGCGAACACCTGGTATATTCATTCATCGTCTCCTCCTTGCCAATATACACAAGGCTGACTCGTACAGGGCGATTCATCATGATCCAGAACTGTACGAAGACCCAAATGAATTTATTCCAGAGCGATACGAATTACAGGAGTTTGGATTCAAACCGGGATTTGAAGTGAGCGAGGGCCTTCGGAAAACGTATGGATTTGGAGCCGGCAGGCGGGTTTGTCCTGGGTCCCACCTGGCAACAAATTCTTTAGTACGTATTCTGATATACAGCCTCAAGACTATCCAGCCAGCATTCTAACTAGAGGCAGGCCATCAATACAGCTAAGATCATATGGGCATTTGATATCCGCCCGGGGAAAGATCCAATCACAGGACTTGACCTGACGCCTGACGACATCAGCGTCGACATAGAAAAGCAATGGACGAATGGGATCTTAGTTGCCCCGAAGCCGTTTCCAGTGTCGCTCACTGTGCGGTCGGACATTCATCGGACAATCATCCAAGAGGAGCTTCGACGATCTCATGAGGCATTCCAGGGTTAGGACAACGAGCCCCTGGATGCTACACGTGATCGACTAAAAGCCCCTACGGCTGGGAATTCCCCACATCATTACCGTTTGTGATTGATAGTCATAAGTCTAGATAGACTAAAGTACCATGGTTGAACTATATCTTTCTATTGGATCATGGAGTTACTAAACATCCTCTTGGCGGGTATTGCTTCCTATTTGAGGCTAGGGCTTGGGAACATCACGGGGCTGGTATGCGTGTTAATGCCTGGAAGGATCTCATGGCTTTTGACGAATGTTCGGTGCAGATGAAGTCTAATTTCACTCCCTATTACATTATTCTTAGCTGCAATGAGGCTACAGACGTGATCTAGTGAACCTAGTAAGCCATGGAAAGGATATATCCCAGATGGTATGTGGCTGGGTGGTCATCGGGTCGATCGGATTTGGTCATTATGGAATTATCAAAATTAAACTATTATTCAACAAGATCCCATCCCGCTTGTCCAAGAGTCTCGTACCAATCTACACGCCTGAAAATATATTTTGACAATCCAAAAATCCACATTTCCTACGAGTGCCCTGAGACGTTTGACCCATTGCTCTACCAAGCCGGGATTCGGGTGTTACGGGTAATGCTTCCTGATTATGTGCCTATGAGAAACCCCAATATGTGGGTCAGTTCGCTCAAACTTCGTGACATTGGTTGATTGGAAAAATTTACAAAAGCATCATAAGATCACTGCAAAACTGATACTCGCTCTCCGGGCTTCAACCAGCACACCTTGTCATTGATACCCTCCTCCTCAAACGCTTGGCGCAACTCCGTCCCGAACTGTGTAAAATGACCCCACGACTCATAGTGCATGGGGACCAAGGTGTCCGCCTGAATTTCGCGACACAATCGAGCAGCTGATCGGCCATCCATAGTAATCTGGATCAGGGGGGAAGTCGGATCGTTACGGTCGCTGGGTCCATGTGCATTGCCCAAGTTCAGGATTGCGGCGCGGATATGGTACTGGTCGGCTAATTGTTTCAGTTCCTCGATGTAAACTGTGTCGCCGGAGAAATAGATTGCATTGGGAAGGTTATTGCGGCCGTGTCCGAAGTCCTCGCCGGTTATGATGAAGCCGGTGCACTCGCCTCCGGGGAGATGCTGTGTTGGAGTCCCGACAATCTGAAATTTCTTCCCAGCGATCACAGTCTCAATCGTTTCCCAAGGCCTCAATCCATGAACTGCAGGGCGCGGAGCCAAGTTCTTAGCGCCGTCGACGGTAGTGAACACACGGCGACCATCCAGGAGGCGGCGACCGAGATCATCCAGGTTATCAATGTGGTCTTCATGGCTCAGGAGGATGGCATCAATCACAGGTAATTGATCAAGGCGAAGCGCAGGGTCATCTGACACAGAGAGGCTTATTGTCTCGGTAACAGGCCAGGACGAACCAGCCGGAGAGAAGAAAGGGTCGGTAAGCATGTTAACCCCATTGATCTCGAGGATGGCAGTAGCGGTGCCAATGAAGGTAATATCCAACGTCGGAGCCATTTCAATAGAGCTGATGGGTTGGTCACCGCAGTAATACGGAAGTCTTGAGTAGTGTTTAGAGAGGAAACAGTATTTTCTCAGTGCAGTACGGTAGAGAGTATATATAGGATGCGAGGGGACTCTCCATTTGAGGGCAATACATAACTCTAGTACTAAATTTCCGTCCAGATGCCATTTTGACTCACGAAGCCACTTCCTAGAAATGGTTACAATGGCCGCATGGAAGACTCAACAAAACCCTTTACTTGACCATGGCTCTGGGACTAGATCCAAGCCTGCAGCCTGGCGTTAATCGTTACCTAATATGGGCTAGACTCCCATAGACCTATCCGTGGTCTTAGAAGAGGGATTGATTGTCTTATCCACAGGTTCCCACTATATCATCAGAAATACAATTCCATTGTGATGTCCCAGGTTTCCTGAGAGCAAACTTTGAGCCTCGCCCAATAGGCCTATGATCTTTTCCACTTTAACCTGTGAAAAGGCTGTGATACTCCATTACCCCGTGTTATGGTGTCTCGCCATAGAGACGTAGAGGTGGTACATGTTATTCCAGCAACACAAGCTGAACCTATTCCTGCAGGAAAATGGCAACCAAACTGGTCCTACAGGCTGAATCGGGGTTTTACCGCTACAGCATTACTATTGGCTGCTGTATCAGTGTTGTCTAGTTCTGTCGTCTTTCTACATTCTTCCTGGGAGGGCTACATACATACTCCAGCTATGAAAGTCGGAGATGCTAGGGAATGCACCATGCCGACGAGAATAGTACGACCCCACAAGCACGACCACTTGTATCTAGACTATGGTTGGAAGCTCATCGGGTAGTCTGCTATTAATCTATCTGAGTTGGGGGTTGAGGGTCATATAATATTGGCATCATGATAAAGAACCTGAGGTGATCCCAAAATAAAACATTCATTTGACCATGTTGTTGGGAACCAGACGTGACATAAGGCCTCAACATACATGTTTTCCACCTTTCATGTTAAGCAACACTTTGGTCGACATTGAACAAAATACTCCCTATAGGGCTATCTTTGTGGTGGAGATTGGCGAACTCAAACCTATTCTTTCCTTTATGTTTTACGTCTAGAGACAAAGGTCAAGTTCGAATATAGGGAGCCTGTGTCAGGCACTAGCCTCACCACCCTTGCGACCAAATATCTTTGATATAGAATATATAGAATATATAGTATCCTTGCTTCGTCTGTGTTGACGCTCACTATGTATAATGTTAGACCGCTTCCTCTACTCCAGTGTGCACATCCGAGAAGTTGCCCTGCCGCATACTGTATGTTTTCTATGATACAAGATAGATTTGTTGAATAGATACAATCTCTGCTTAGTGAACCATTGAAGTTTAAAAAAGCGCTTTTCAATGGAAAGTTTAAAGGTAGCACACTCCTTCGCGTGGTCAAGGTATGGTTGTGTATATTATAAGCCCCAGTGTGTGAGGGTGATGTCCCACCTACGGCGTTAATCAGCCACCAAATGTCGCACACTCGACTCATCATCTGGGCGAGCACGCCCGCTTTCGTGAGAGAAAACTGTGGTGACCATAATCTCACCCAGTTCGGCCCTCTCTGGAGACTCTGCTGTACTTGATTTACCTCTTGTTCCGAGGTCTACCATATAATGGTCCGAAGTGCCACCCACAACAGAAGTCCGGGGCTGCGCTCGTTGCGTTCGCTGTATAGAATTGAGATACCCATTGGTCGGCTTGCTCCTAGAGCCATTGCTGCGAGTCGAGAATATACGGGGAATCAGACGAGAAATTAACGGACGCATGACCGGAAGGCAGGCGCAAATGATGGCAACATTGCACTCAATCGCTGACCACATGGCGGCAGGTGGGTTATCATCTATGATACAGTCAAAATTAGGGAGACCTTGGTGGTACTCGATCTAACAGGCGATAGGAAAACTGACAGGTGGGGTCGGTTGATTGAGATATGATCAGGAGGCTTTGGAGACGTAGAATGCTAGTGACGGTTACACTGCTCGTAGTGGTCAGATATTTGAGGTGGATTCTAACTAGATGGGGAGAACTTACAGGACACCGACTGCGAACACTGCGGTCAATGCTATCTTCTGTGGTCTAGGGAGTTGTAGACTTCGTACTATAGGCATTGGGTAGAGCAGAATAAGAATATCAGTGAATATGTGAATGGCAGAGTTGGACAGCCAGAGAGCTTTCTTATTGAAGCAGAATCCATGGACGCTGTCATCCCAGAGTTTCTTCACAGGGACACAAACGAGCCAGCCGGTAAAGAATGCCCATGCTCCATAAATTGCGAGGAACGCGACCAGACCGTAGCAAGCGAGCCGCATGCGAGGGGTCACAAAGATGCGTAAATATTGGAAAAGAATCGCAGCTTTTGTGATGATTAGACTAGCTTGGTACATGGGTACCGTGACCCAAAAGCACTGGACAATCAGGAGTATAGAATTTAGCCCTTTAGTTCACTAACGGAAATTGGAAGTCTCTCAATAATCTCCGTATTTCTTACCATCATTTGCTTCACAAAGACTTCGGGCGGGATGTTCTCAATATGCTCACCCATGAGATATGTGACCTCTGGCCGCAGATGTTCAGCAATATGGACGAAGTTACTTGACTTGAAACTAGAAGTGGGGAACAAACCTCCGACGAAAAGGCCAAAAAATACCCAGCTACAGGCCTTCATGTCTATAAGCGTGAGAAATACACTTGATTCATATCAGGTGTACATACTAGAGATGAAAGGATCGCCCAGTCGTCAATGCCCATCTGTTTCACCATGAATGCCCGTGTATAGATGCGAAGAGCTGTCGCACATGTCGCTAGACAGGTGAAAGTGGCGCTGACTGAAAGCGCATATCTTCCTCGAGGCCCACCTATAGCCATTATCATCTAGAAAAGTGGTCAACGTGAATTCCAATGAGTTTAGAGAAAGCTGTGGCAAGTAATTCAAACAGGTAGAAATTACAGGTCTTCACTGTATCTTTCCAAGCATATAGACGTCAAACAGTGCTCCGGTAGGTTGGGGCTGTAAGAGACAATCGTATATTATAGGTACTTTGATTCAAGGGGCTCTCCTGTCTAACAACAGTCGTTAAAATGCAGGGGTAGTTACGGGGGCCATCAATTTCCCAAAGCTTAAGAATGTAGATTGTCGATATAGTAGAGACGCTATGAGCCAAAGTTTGCGGTAAGCACCATACAATTTCACGAACGTGGATAGACCATTCAACGTTTGGACCTCCGATCACCGTCACGCCATTGGCCTGGCAGAATTCCCAATATCTAGAGTTTGGAAGTTAACCTTGTCAACAAATGGGCACCAAAGCTTCAGCAATCCGTGGATATTCATAAAGAGTTTCAGCCAAGAATGCCAAACACAAGATCCCATTTCAATACACACAGCAAAGGGTAACTCTAATAGAATATTGAGTTTCCAACCTGCCAACTAATACAGGGCTGTCTGCGGATCGCGCACATGCATCAGGTCTCGCTGAAAGGTTTAGATCTTGAGCCGTGAGCCCCACTGGCGGCTTTTAGTTTATAATGGTATGCATGCTAGTCAGACAACAGAATCGTAAGCTTGGCCAGTAATATTCTACAGCTCTAGAGTGAAGGTTGCCAACCCCAGGCCCTTGGCCAAGAGCATGCATCAAAATTCCCGCCGCTATGCACGTGGGATACTTGCATAGTATCTGTCGCCAATCCACATACCCTGCTTTAGACATGCCTGCTTGCATCCTGAAAGCTCCAAAACTACCGAAAAAGTCTAGAAGGTATATGCCTGCAAATAATTTCTGGGTTTCTGGGTGTCTGTGTGTTGGAGATTGCAATTACGTAAGTATGATACCCTAATCTTTTGCAAGTGTAAGGCTATCCCAGTGACCGAATGTGTCATTGAATCAGTCTTTTAATGTTGCCGCGGTACGTTCGGCATGGTGGAGCTATAATAAAGTCTTTCGAGGGCTGGGACATTCAATTGTTAGACATGAGGTATATTGATCAATACCTTTCCGGCGCAGCCACTGCAATTTTGAGCCATGTAGCAAACAACACAACAGACGACAGCAGGAAGAAAGATGGAGCCTCCTTATAGGATAAAGGGTGTCCAAGATTACTGGCCAACTCCGTCTCTTTCAAGGTATTGTCTCCAAAAAGAGTATAAATTGTACGTAGAGGGATATCAAGTTGCAAGACCTCTGTAGGTACGAGAGGTCGCTACATTCTCTATAGCTATTGTAGCTCTAACTCTGTATCCCTGAACAATGCGTATGGTAGTTAGAGAGCCGATACCCCTGAAGTGTTGCTACATATCAGGAGGGGGATCACAAGGCGATAGAGCTACTAAGAGATTGTTGTCCTCTGCATCGCATGGGTCTGGTGACGTGGCCGGTTGCAGTTCTTTTAGTTTTGTTGGCAGGAAGCCCGATTAGGATATATATTCCATTCAAGCCAGTCACATTCCTGTTCTCTGGTTCCACTTACTCCACCGTGCTGTCTGATTGCACAGACAAAAATAACTCATCATAAGTAACGGAACGGGTAAGGCCATGTCTATATTCTGTCACATTCCTTATATCCTCATACAGAACCACTCTTACTGATGATAGATCTCGAATAAAACCCTACCATGCGAGACGGGGGTTCGGGGCTTTGGTACAGCTCTATGACAAGCTGGCGGCAATCTGGTGGCGTAGAAGCGTTCCGTGGAGAAACTTCTGCCAAGTCACAATCCACCCAAACCTAAATATAGGGTTTGAAGTTTTTGACATTCTGAAAGCATATTTCTTTCTGAAAGCTAATGCCACTAGTGGAATAGACTACTAAGAGAAAGGAGGCACCATCTCTTTATTCCTTTTCCAAAACCTCCCTTTGGCCAGAAGGTTCTACAGTCCCACAGCGCTGTTTTGTACAGGCGGACCCTGTTCTCGAAACTTAGATTGTTATGCTTAATCCGGCGTTGCCGTTCTATGGCGAAGGCAAATAGACCCCTACGACTTCTCATCCATTGGCGGCCATTTTTTGGATTGAAGCTAAAAGTATTCAACTTTCTTGGCTAGCACTTATGTAGCCGGAAATCCAAATACCACCTCATTGCCCTGCTGCTTCACCCAGCCTGGACGAGCTCGAAAATGTGAAGTTCAGGCAGACATCCTTGAAAGCACAAGCTCTGGAAAAACACCTGAATTTGTCAATTCTGCTATAGTTGCTGCCTGTTTCCTGGAGATTGACTGCAAGAAATTATTTTCCACACCTCGCACAGGCCCACAAAGCCACTAATAAAGTTTTACCAGCAATGGACGGGGCACGAGCCGGCCCATTTTTAATTAAAGTCTTGACCTTCAAATCATGTTCCAGTCTGCTTGTCCGGTTCCCCGGAGACAGGGTTCAATCGATATTGCTCGGGCTGATTGGAAAAGGGGTCAGACTATTCCGTAGGGAGTAAATGGTTATTCCTCGGCGTTCAACCCCAACAGTATCAAGGTGAGCGCGTCAAGAATATGCTTGCTTGCTCGCATCGACTCTAGCAAAACACTCGGTGACTATGTCAACACGGCTTTAAGACATGTACATATGAAAGTAAAGATAATACGGGATTACTAGTATCAGGTAGTACTCTAATAGAAAGATTGATGTAGGAACATTTTTGGATCACTTAAGTTAGTCAGAAGCAATTTCCCAATGTAATGGACTAAGCCTATGTAATAAATCGCCGGGTGATCAAACTGGTCAAGACTTTTATCAACCAAAGATCCCATACTGTTGGAGGCTCCCCTTGAAAAAGAAAAACAAAAATCACTTGAAGCATAGACCTCTTGTGCAGTAGCAACATTGGTGTTATGATCAGCAGGCACCCTAAAAGCACACTGGCTGATACGAGTCCAGCTATGGCATGTCTAGCTATGAAGATCGCAGAGTTCGATTATTTTCGCTCTTCCTCTTACCAAGCTCATATCACAGCATACGAATATCATTCACAATGCTTGGAAATCTGCAAACATATGCTAGACAACTTCGGCTTATTGAAAAGCCATGATTTGCATATACTCTCAATTTTATCTTGCCCAACGCAGTATCAGCTATCGCTACTAATGAAATAGGCGTTCTTTCTTTCGTTTCAATCGAAGGCCATTCTGGGCGATCCAGTTTATAGAACCTATGCATCTCACTGGAACCATCTGAAGACAATGGCCTAGACTACTGTCTAGAAGCATGTATCTGTCCTAGCCAAATGGATCTATGCGGACGTGAACTTGGTTAACTAAATAAATATGGGGGCCCACTTTTGACATCCATGAGGGGTTGATACTTGTATTAGCCAGCACAAAGAAAGAGATGCGCGTCTCATTGTAGGCGAGTTCCGGAATATAGCACCGAGTGTCCTATAAGTCATTTGCCCCCATATTATGGGGTGGGGTGAGATGAGCAATAGTAAGGCAGGGGTCTAGCTTCAGGATGATTATGGATTATGCGACTTATTGGTACAACGATCAAGAGCAGGCTGCAGCCAAATATGAGGGACAGAATAGCCAGGCGGTTTGCACGATTCGATGGGGCTCTTGGAGCGATCAACTGCGAGTAAGATGGGTGTTGTGAAGCTCAAATCGAACCTTAGTAAAGACGCGGAAGACATGGGCACCGATCGTAATTAAGAGATTCAAAGACGAAACATTTATATGAGGGCTATTGTGTTCTTAGTCCTCCGGACAGATAGGCCAGACTTGGCTCAATACTATGACCAATGCTAACTTGTCTACTTCGTTCTGCAATAACAACTATAACTCCATAGATTAGTTTTACCAAAGCTCCAAGGGCCACTGCAGTAAGCAGGAGAGAGAAGTCACTAAGAAAGGTGGTGATTGACAGAAGGTCCCATGCATTGAGAGGGATATTAGCTGAATATCAAACCCTGACGTTGACATGGAGAGGTTCAATATAGAACCCCTTCTGGGAAAGACGGTTGTTGATATGTACGCACAGCTCCCACTGGTCGGCAACCTGGTCTTGATATGAACACAGAGTCCCGCGCGCAATTCGGAAAGGAAACATCGCTGCACCAGGACCATAAAACTGCATCGTGTCATCCAAGAAGTAAGCCATACTTTGACAGATCTTGACTGAGAGCTCCAATGGATTGTCCCAGGACTGGCGCACTAGACGGTCATCAAGGGGCGTATGGCTCCAAGGAATTTTGTATAAAGACATCAGCTTTTCCATCTCCGTGAGACAAATAATTTTGAATGCCCAGAGAAAAACACAAGCAGTGCCTGTAATCACGCTGGGAAACCAGAGGACCGGTGTGTAGGCCGGCTTAGCGCTTATCCCAACAGGAGACACACCACCAGTTGTTTTCAGCCAGAAAAGAGGACCGTCTAAACTGCTTTGATATGACTGTTCCCATTCCTGTAATCTTTGCAATGTTGCAAATAGAGTTAGAATGATTTCTTTTGCCATGGAAACCGCTTCATCAGGCGTAGAGCGCTTTAACCCGTCCGCCCGTTGCAGGAGCGAAGGAAGACCAACAGCACAACTGAGGAGTCTTTGCAATGATGAGGCGATAGTCTGCTGAAATGGCACATCCTGCCACTCGTGCAGCTCGAGAAAGGTACGTTTCCGTGAGAGGATTGCTTCTGTAAGCTAGAGGCAGTGTTACCTTAGTATCTTTGGCCACAGGGTTAGGACTACATACTATGAGAGTGCGAAAGCCAGTGAAGAGCTTATGGTACGGTGATCTGACAAATGCCCCGGGGCCAGAGCATCGTAGTAATTCACTCACAGCCTTCACATGAGCTATCCAACCTTCCTTGGAGGTTGGAAACATCAGCTAGCCACAAAATGTCAGGCCAGTATTTATATTGACATCGGTATACCCTGGATTTACTGCGGACCTACCTCTGATAAAGTCAACGTCATAATAGCCGCAGTCATTTGTTCACGACTTCTATTATTGCTCGTGAGCAGTCCAGTTTGCAGAAGACGGATCGTTGAACAATATGACTCCAGGCGTTGGGACTTCCATGCTGATTTCGCCGATCCTTTACAAAGAATAGAGAGACCAAGGGTCTTAATCGCCTGGATGAGAAGCGACCCGTATTCCCCACACTCGGTGAGCTTAGGAAGAATCACCAGCCAGGAAGCACAAACCAGGGACTGTGATGTTGTCGAATCCAACTGTAGTAGGGGAAGTTGGGGCTGGGGTATAAAATGGGTTATTCCTAGGGCAAACAGCTCCTCGACTGTGGACCACCTGAACGTTGTAAAAGCAGGTACAAGGAGATGAGATGCATCCCCAGGAGCAGCACGGTCGACTTTGCTCCTACTAGTGGGATGTGGCCCTTGGCGAATAAATATGGCATTATTCTTATACCCAGGACACCGTCGCCCGGTAAGGCTGCATTGACTGCATTCGGGGCGTTTCCCGTCACACTATACTCCCTAGTTAACTGCAAGTCGGGTGGATATTGAGCGCTCTAGCGCTCTTCAACACATACCCCCCGTTTGCGGTCTCGGCATGTTTGACACACGGATAAACTCCGGACCTTCATTATGTTGTTCGAGATACAGTCGCTAGCGCACCGCACGCTGTTAAACTAAATTCTTGACGGCGGTACCAGGTAGCCAGCATGAGGGTGTTGACCTTCACGGACGGTACGTCGCGGGAGAGAGGCCAAAACGAAGATAATGAGCAGCTCATCCCTGACCGCCGAAGTCGACGGGATGAGTAATAAACAATTGAGCCGTTGATACTCACCCACCAAACCCATGGAAGTGCCTCAGGGTGGGGTGCGCTAGTTCTAAGACAGTCGAAACTCTACTATCTAGTGAAATGCCTACCTAGTAGTGATGATGCTTAGATAGCAGCTAGCCGCGTTGTGAGTGGGTTAGTTCATTGCTCAGAATGATACCACAGGTGAACTTTAGGGTCGATGGACCGACGTGGGAATACTGGTATTGTAAGCTATTCAGTCATAAAACAGCCCTAAACACCCCCCAAAAGATGGTCAGCGTGTTTCACATGAGGCGCCCCCGAAAGGGGTCTAAGAGTATAAAAACATCTGCATCGGTATTGCATCCAGCTGTATCACAACAGGTCAATTGAGGAGCAATCATCGGGAACAGCGTGGAACCGATCATCATTCTGTAGCATTTATCAATAATATACTCCTACGCCTACTAAGTTTCTAATATACGAGCTCTGTTTCACTATTTGCAACGAGACACATGTAGTTCTAGATCCGAACTACCCGATATATATATCACTAAGTGACTCGATTGAAGGAATTATACACACATATCCTCTTTCTTCTTATTTTCTTTTACCATGTAATGTATTTAATGTATGCCCAACCTGAGCTTCTGTGAGTAGCTACAGCTACTAGATCTACCTTAAGAGCGATACAATCCCCCTTCAAGTTGATTCCTAACCTCGCTGCATGTAATAAAGAGGCCGTTCTATATGTCCGCCTCACTTTCTACATCCTCTTCATTGTATTGGCAAGGTTGTTGGTAGTTCGTCAACTTCTTGAACCAATCCCTCATATTCCTTTTGGGATATATATTTATTTGGAGCCAGAGTTAATCATATCCAAGGCAAAACACGAAACCTATGTAGGCGATATACTACCTCGTCTAGTACTAATTCCATGCCCCACTGGATTGTTCACCTTTGGTCCAGTCACCTTTGGTCCAGTCACCTTTGGTCCAGCCACCTTTGCCCAGTCGCTTTGCTTTTCCTGCCATGTTTACAGGGGTGACGGGGACGCGGTGCCTCAGGCAACCAGCCCAACCTTGAATTTGAAAGACCCCGTAATATTTCGTCAAGGAAAGTGGTACAGTCGGAGCGGAAAAACTAGGGAAAAACTTTCCCGACCGTTTCGCCCACTCATCCTTCTGCGTTATACAATACAGTCGATCCAAGGACGAGATAGAGGCATCCACCCTCTGTCGTGAAGCACCAATGGTGCCCAGATCCAGTCAGTTGACTGTGATCGTCACGACCTCACCCACCCCGTCAAACCCCTCTACGGAGCTGATCTCCTCCGTACTGCGGTCTTTCCGCCGCCACTGCACGGACTTACTCAGTGCCCGGGTCATTGTGGTCTTTGACACCTTTGACCGCGTCGGGCCTCGCTCCCGCCTGAAAAAGGGGCAAGCCACGCCCGAAGTAGCTGCAAACTACGGTGTTTACAAACACAATGTCAAAGAACTGATTCTACGCGCATATGCATCCCCTGATGCCAGCTCCGACCACGTGATGCAAGAATGGCAGGACCGAGCCGAATTCGGTCTCAACAACCTCAGCAACGTGGTTGATCTGTCCATCACACAGACCGATGACAAGCAAGTGACCTTCATCGAGCCCGCAGCGCGTCTGGGGTTCGGGCTGGCTGTGCGCTCCGCCCTGCGGGTCTGTGAAACACCGTATGTCTGGGTCCAGCAACATGACTGGGCACTCGTCGCCGATATTCCATTGGCACCGTTACTGGAGATCATGGAGGGTTCGGACGCAGATCCCGTCGTGCCGGTTAAATACGTATCATTTCCATCGGTGCGCATGCTCTCCTATGCTACGCAACCCTATGTGGTGGAATTCCCGGCTTTGCGGGCCTTGACTCAAGATCTGACGCGGAGTTTTGTCCCGCCATCGCAGCCGGAGGCGATCGTACCCTTGACGCCGCTGTACTTCTGGTTTGATAAGCCTCATATTGCCTCGACGGAACATTACCTCCGGCGGGTGTTCCCGAATCGGCTGACGATGCGGCGGGGCGAGTTCATTGAGGATAAGGTTGGTCAGCAGGCGAGACAACAGATGAAGGAGGGCCAGTGGCATAAATGGGCCTGTTGGCTGTACTATCCGGATGAGGGGAAGCAGCTCTGTCTGGGGCATTTACAGGGTCGGACATGGAACGGGGCTGAGGGGGAATTATTGACGAAGTATGGATATTCGGAAGTCGATACGGAGTCGGCTTGAGTTTAGATATTCCCAATCGCATTTTGGCCTCTTCAGAATTAATGAATTCATTTTATTGTGCATGAATTGAAGAGGATGGGTAGTGTACAGGGGAAATGAAGTCACTGCACAATGGGCGTTGTACGATGCATGCAACGGGAGCGGCAGTGACTCGTTATATTGTGGGCTTCGGGACTAGCTTCTGCCATGATGAATTAGGAAGAGAACACCTCTGCCTGGCTGACCACTGCTATTTTGAATTACCCCAATGTGATAGGTAAACTCGGTTATTCACGCCAGTAATAATATTATGTAAATATTTACGTATGTGGCGGAGTCCAAACCGGATGAATCACGGGGTAGACTAAAAATCTGAAATCCGGGACAAAATGAGAAGGGACCCCATCGAAGGGGTCCTGCCAATAAGTGACCAATCTGGGGCGGAGTGTCGGATGTGGTTCAGCCGTGGAAACCTTTTCCCCCTGCAAAGTTTTCAAGCATAGGGCTGCCAAATGCCTTCGTAGTACGTATGCAAGGAGGCGCAGACAAGAAACAAGAACAACCTTGTCGTATGTACCATGAGTTGTCCTGGTGAGCCACCCAACGACATGGCACCAAGTCACCTGCAGTGTACTTTTAGTCGCCTTCGTTTGGAACTTAATTGGGTCAATATAAATAAAACCCAATCACGATGGAACAACCGAAACAGGGATTGCCGATCACCAATCGGGCTCCCGACGCCAAGCCTGAAAGAGTGAGTGGAGCAAGAGGTGAAAACCAGTCAGCGTTGAACCTGTCAATGCTGGTTGTCAGCCCATGGCTTTCTTTACTAGAATAAATATAAAGCCGTTTTTGACTTTCCCACCTGTCTCACCTTGATCCTTTCACCTCCTATCTTGCTCCCGCCAAGCTATTCTACCCCCAGTCTTTCGTTTTCATCTCGAGTCTACATCTTTACTCGAATACACTCGTTTAATTCAAGAGTCACCTAAACAACATCCTCCAACATGTCTACCACCACCACCTCCGTCGCTGCCAGCGCCACGGCCTGCAACACTGTGTCCTACTGGCAGGTCCCCGTCGAGGATGCTGCCTGTGTCCTCCCCAAGACCGGCAACTACTCGGACGTCATGGACAAGTGCTGTACCCCTGCTAAGGTGACCGAATTCGATAACGGCTGCGGCCTCTACTGTCTCGCCCAGGGCCAGAGTGTCGGCGACCTTAAGGACTGCCTGCGCAAGGAAGGCGCCCAAGATGGCCGCGAGTTCTACTGCAAGGGCAACGATACTGCCACGGCCACGGCCTCCGCTCCGTCTTCCACCAAGACCGGCGACAAGACCGGCACTTCCACCGGCAGCAGTGCCTCCTCGACCTCCTCCGACAGCGCCGCCTATGCCATCCAGCCTGCTGTGTCCAAGGGCGGACTTGGTCTCTTGGCTATGGTCTTCTGCTCGGCTTTGATGGGTGTTGTTGCCTAGATACTGTATCCTGGTGGTTGGCTACTGGAAAACAATGGGAGGGATCTGTCTATGTGCTTGTTTTCTTGGCGACTCGTCTTGCGATGCATCGGGCAGGACATATTTAATACCCTTATGATATGACCTGCTGTATTATAATTCTTTTTTCATGGCTTCGATGTCGGTCGGTATTGACCTGGGCTATTCTATTCTAATTTTGACGACTGAAAAATTTGATCTTTTATCTGAAACTTGTTGTGTTCCGTAGATATGGAAACTTGAACCCGACGAAATTGTATATTTTCCAGATCCGGTAGGATTGACGGCTGCCTCGAGTCATGGTCCACTTTTAGACTTGCCGAGTGCCGAATCCTCGGTAGTGCCTTGTCTGGAAAATAAGGTCTTTGTTTCTATGGGATTGCGGAAAATGGGAAACAGGGAGAGTCGCGCAAAGGGAGTATGCAAATGTACACGTGATACCTTCATTACTGCATCAGAACATAATATTGGTTGCTCGTTCGTGAAATTTAATGTTGTGAAAATTAGTCGCATTATTGCTGCAACTAGTACTACGCCATGGTCGGTGGTTCTTAGTCCTGCAACAGGCAAGACTGTCATTAGTTATCTCCCAATAGCGTCATCCAGACCAATTATCTACCAAAAGAGGTTCGGAGCGAACAAACTGTGAAGATACTCGCAGCTTTTGGTATAGTGTATAGGCACCATGTGAGCAGTCGCGGTTCGTGCCTATATAGGTGGTTGGTCACGTAATCAGGCAGATAGGATATCTTTAATATGGGCAGGCCATTATGCTTACTGAATAGGGCTGTTGTGGTATAGAACTTTTCCCCGTTCAGTGCGTAAAGCTCGTCTTGGACCATCAGCTACTATTCTTGGTCTCGCGACTCTTGGTCCGCTTGAGGAATATATTACCTCAATCACTAATCAGTGAGTGACTTTTCCCTTCTTCACTTCAATGCTTTACGGTCATCCTGACAAACTCGAAATCTCCAAACCAAGCAGACCTTCTGTGGCAAAATATACAGAATCTCTTCTGAGACCCCCCAATCATGGGGAACATAATATTCAAAAGGCTTAGTAGCTTGCTGATTTTGTGATTTACGGCAAGAGTTCCTAGTTACCTTTGTTGATTCACCTGCGGTTTATCACAGGGGCGCATATTTTTGGAATCATTTCTTCGCGTTTTCCAATTAACTTTACTTGCGTCTCCCGTGATTAAAAGAACATCTATACCTGGAACACGCCTCAACAGAACTTTGGCCCCGGTCCACGAGACTTTTGATCCCCTCAGGCAAAAAGAGGATCAGTCCCGCCTCAAAACAGCTTTGGTATTTGTTCTAGCCAAAGACGTAACACTACGGCTTGTGAACCTTCACTTGATCCGAGGAGTCCAAATCGATAAAGCGGAGGGGCCAGTAGGAGAGACAGTCTGGCACGCAGTGGTAAAATACCACGAGCGACTGATTCACATGCTGGATTGGCTTCTGCAACATTCAGCTGTCCCATGCCACTTGACCTCCTCAGACGGAAACACCCCCTTGATGCTAGCTATTCAACTTGGCCGGGTAGATGTAGCAACAAGACTCAGCCAATGCAGTGACATGAGTATTGCCAATCCATTCACCAAGCTTACTGCCCCGGAGCTGGCCGCCAAGAGCCAATCCCGTGAGAGCGTGGAGATTTTTCATTCCATCATGCGAACTTTCCTCTGAATGAACACTGAGGAAGGGAGCTCGCCCCAGCCAAATACAGGAACACAACTCTTATCGCAGTGCGCTTTGTCGTATCGGCGTCGACAGACAAGGTAAACGGGGAAAGCTGAATATTTACTTCGGATGGTAAAAAGATATCTCAAAATGGTATAACGGTTCTCTTTATATGAGGCGGCGTCATTCAGAATGGGCATTGCCCTTCAATAATCTATAGATCCGAAGGGATCCTTACCTATACTTGACTCCATATTCTTCAAGTAAGCCGCTGGGCAATCTTGCATTTATTTACTGATAACCATGCGTGATCTCCACAATGCATTGCGTGCGCATGGTTTATGCAGCTACCATTTCTGCTACTTATCTGGAATGAAGTCTCGTATTCTGTTTCTCCAGGCGTAAACATGATGTCAACACACAACGCATGGCCATTAACCGGGGCAAGCTGCAACATAGCCCGAGAGTTCGCCAGATATGCGTGGCGTCAATGCTCTCGACTACACACTAGGCCCAAAGGTGATCGGTTAACACAGAATCCAATAACTTCTACGAAGCTTTTCTGGGCTGGAGGAGGGACGCTGGGTCATGAGCATGCACACAAGACGTCCCTCAGTTATCCGCGATTAATATATGTTTCATTTGCATTTTACATACAGATTCCATTGGTTATAATACCTCGCGGACCACTTTCCTGGGGTTCTGCTTTTCATGCGTATTGCCTCAATCAAAGCCGCTCTTCTCAGGATGGTCAAATCAGGTTGATTTACTAGTCCTTTTTGGACAAGCTGTTAATCCATAGTTCCAATAATTGAGCCTTTGAGTCAGGTTGGACTATTTGTTTCTTAAACTTCTGCGCAAGCTGCTGCAGCGCCTAGCAGTCCCATCGAGCTGTGACTACAGCCGCGGGGGCTCACCCTTCTCCAATTGCTTCATATTTCCCCAGGGGCAATATTGAGGCTCGTCGTTGAGCGAGAATCCAACAAATATCTCATCCATTCAGCTCCCACAAATATGATTTCCTGCCTTCGATAGGGCTCGTAGTTTCGAATATGTGACTTTGTACTTACATTTCTGTCGTCATGGGCCTCAGTTCTCGAAGGCTGCCGTAAGCGCCTGGAACTGAGAAGCCACATGAGAATAGCGATACAACAGAAATATAGAGCAAAACACTGCTAAATCCGCATATAAACCTCCGAGGATAATCGGCAGTCTGAGGTATGTGACACGAGAACGCTTGGGCTGGGTACGAATCAAATTCAACGGGATCCCGCAGGTGAATTCAATTTATACCTGCTCGACAGTCCAAACCCCACCATTGCGCCAAGTACATTCCTGTGACACAATACCTATTATTTGCCTTGCCTATTGCCGCTTGAAAACACGTTACAAATCACGACATGTGACTAGTCGTGCATGATCGCCATTGGAGAATTGGTACATGAGGCTTACGCGCCACGGGAGGGGATTTAGCGATCGGCAGGTTTTGCCGGCATCAATAATCACTTTGATCTATTTGAGACAGTTGCATTGCCTTGGAGAAGGGAAGATGGTCTTCAAATCTCATGTCTGATGATAGCCAATCGCACTTAGAGACCGGTCCTGATTTGTGTCATATTTTGTCCATCACCTCTCTCAACATAGGTGAGCTGAAACGCCTTCACAATTCACTACGTCTCGCATACCCAATCTAGTTCATAATGATCAGAACGCATGCATGGATGAGGGCGAATGGAGAAGATAAGCCCCTCGCCTCGGTTTTTGCCGAAGAAGATTCGGGGCTGTCCGTGGCTTAACTAGTTGAGGCCGAGAACCAGTTGCGAATTCCTTTAGATCATGGTGTTGAAAAGCTTCGCAGCGGGAGTCATTTCAGGGAGCGAATGGGTAAAATGAAGAAAAGAGACGTGAAAAGCCACAGCGAACTCGTGAAATGCCTCTGAGAAACCTGTGACGTTCTTTTCCGACTGGGAAAAATCGGGAAGCTACAGCTGAGAGAACTATAGCACGGGAGGTATTTTCACAATGCGGTCGCGAATATTTCGGGCCAAGGAACAACCTGGCTTAACAGATTTGATGAGCTCGCAACAGGCAGCGGGAGGCATACTATCGCAGCTCTTTCCCTCGCAACAAGAATGACTATCGGTATGCTAGGAACTGCCTTAGAACGTGGCGAAGAATTGAAACTAGGCCTATTAATCATTGACCGTTAAAATACTAGAAACGCTGGCCTTTGAGCATTTCTAAGGCAGCTTCTACCAAGTACAAGCTTCCTGTGACCAAGACATGCGCACTTGTACCAAAACTCTTGACTAGACTGATACCATCCCCAACATTGAATACGGTGTAGATAGAGGTTGACGGCCATTTTTGTCTCCACAGCTTAACATAGTTTCCTAGCCGCTCGTCCGTGACAGTAAAATGAACGTCGTATTCAATTTGTTGGACAAAGATAACCCTCTGAACACCAGAAGTCAAAGAATTTCCAAGAACTTCTAATATTCGCGCCCAGTCACGCGTCCGTGGCGGTGAAAAATTAGCAAACATGAGAGTCCGTACCGAGCTATCAATAGGTTAGAAAAGGTTCTACTAGCCTTCTGAATAACATACTCGGTGTTTACAACCCGTTCGTACCACGTCGCAGCTATCTCCATGCTCGTTTCATTGTGGGCACCATCTAAATACCACGTGCAGCCGACACAATCGATAATGTCAAAGCGTCCGGGCCAACTATACACCTCAATGCCTGCTCGGATGTCCTGTTCGGTGAGTGATTGACCACGCAATCGAAGAAACTCGTGAGTGATTTGCGTGGCGAGTGCACAGTTTTCCCGTTGTTCAACTGGTATACTGTCAAAGGTCTCGCCGTTGATAAAGTGAGATAGAGTGCATTCAGGGTATTTGATGAACTTAAGGCGGCCTCCTTTCTCTCTAGCCCGGTCTGCCAACTCCATTTCAGCCTCTGGAGCCTGGGAAACTGAAAGACCGAGAACATCTTTCTTAAAAATCCCACCTTTGTGCCAGGCAATGTTCTTGATGGACCCTCCTAAATTCTCGACATGATCCATGCCAATCTTCGTAATGGCTGTAATGGCAGGATGATCAATAAAATTGGTTGCGTCAAACTCTCCACCATGATGAGCCTCGCAAATCACAACATCAACACCTTCCTCAATGAAAGTGTGAAAAGATACAATGGCCATCATTTGCAGAAATCCTGGAGACTTCAGATGATAAGAAGAGCCTAGATCAAAGGCCAGGCCCCTTTCGACCTCGAGGATGCGTTTCACAAGGAGATCTTCTGGCAAAGGTCGCGAATCAATCCAGATTCTATTACGCGGCCATAGGCTTGGTGAGGTGTAGAGCCCGACTTTCAGATTGATGTTATTATTCCTTGCATGTTCTCGCAGGAAAGACGCCACATAAGCACAAGTACTGCCTTTGCCTTTCGTTCCGGCAACATGAATTACATTCAAGCGATCAATGTCTCCAGTCTGAATTTTGTTAGGAAATTCCATTTCCTGCTCAAGGTACTTACATCATGTCCCAGGCCTGACAACCAAGGTTTCATGCCATCGATAGGTGCGGAACCCTTCAAACTGGAGGCATTTGGCACGTTTGAGGACGTCTGAAATGACGCCTTGGAAGGAAATGGCTTACGATACCGTCTGAGAAGTTCATGAGAGCTGCCGCCGTCAGACTATGGCAATAATACCACCTTACTAAACTAACTTACTTCATCGCAAAACACTTGATGCTGATTAGTTTCAATCTGGTCCTGGACCGTTGAGGAGGGGTAACTTAGGTCGGACGGGGTCTACGGCGGATTAAATCGTGCTTATGGACAATAGATCGGATTTGTCGGATTTCTTACCGAAATCTTAGTGTTTTATATACAGCCACGGCTACCACACACCTGCTTAAAATTCAGTGTCGTACTGCCCCGAACCTCACTACTACCCTTGGGACTAGGACCCTAGGCTAGGGTCCCTAGAGGACGCAGACTCACTATCTTATTCCTAGAATATACAGACCACTAGAAATTTAAATCTAGAGAGCGCTCTAGAGATATAGTATCGGGGCTCTTAAAGATCTAGTACTGGCACTCCTAACTATCTAGTACTGACACCCCCCGAAGATACTCTCAAAGGCAGTCAACATCTCGGAGCCAGACTAGTCAATAATCCGGAATTCTAGAATTAGTTGAGCATATACAATTGGTTAAACCCTAGGTTGGGATCTAATGAATAAAATATAATTGGTCAATATAATAGTACATTGGAATTGGTAAAGTTGGTAATATCATATATTGTCCGTTAGCTCGATTTAGTCCGCCGTAGGGATCGGCTTTTCCTTTTTCCGCAGATGTCTCGAGCGTATCTGTCGTTAAAATGGGGACGAATCTTACTGACTAGCGTGGGTGGTTTTGCTTCCTATGTTTCCAAAGCATAGTATGTCGAATCGACAGGGATGATAGTTAACTCTGGAAAGACAGTACTAAGCTCGGTACGATGACCTCCTTTCTCGAATAGAGGTAAGAACCCTTTGAGTGCGCCATCGACCGATCCTGATGTCTTCGGATGGATTTGAGTGATAGCGTAGCTGTTGGGCCTCGTCGAAGTCCAGCGCGGCATTGACCGTTTTGGCTCGCGAGACGGTGTCGGGTTCAACTTTCTTATCGATGCTCCCGCATTTGGCAGTAGTCTTTCAAAACTGACTCTAGAGTATCGGTGACATTGATGACATGAAGACTCTGCATGAGTCTATCAGGAGGGCCTTTATTGTAAGTCTCAATATGGTTGCAAATGTTGATCATGTCATTATGGCAGAGAACCGTTCTCACCGGATGCCCTATGACTGTTCGGAGATCTTCTTCAGTTGTCACCGCGATGCTCTGGATACGTAGACACAGCCCAGGGAGATCAGGCCAGACACATGCTTCAATAGACACTATGCCAAGGTGCCGAGAGCGAAACATTGTCGCCAGGTATAGGGGATAAGCTAATACCTCGGTATACATCAGCGACTCAGCCGATATACCATAGGACGGGGCTAAGTAATATCTCCTCGTAGCAAGTTGAAGGTGAACGAAGTAAAAGGGATATCGGGAGTGGAGAGGAAAATCGAAAAGACTGAGCCTTGAAGGAAGGGGTGATTGTATCCGTCGAAAAGGGTGATAGGGACTCCGAAGTTTAAATGTTGGTGATGGTAGTCCGACGAACTTCCAAAGGTGAAGTTCCAAACGTGCAAAGCAGACATAATATTGCGGTAAAGGACGAGAAAGTCTGGTCAAGAAATCTATCCGTAAAGCATCCTCCCTTTCACTTGTTCGAGCATCGGCCCATGGTTTACCTAGAAGGCCACCAAGGCTGGGCGAGAAAGCTATGAAATAGTGGCTACTTCGAGCGAGCTAAGAAGCGTGAACCGGGGAAAGATAGAAAGAGATCTCAAGAATTATCTCCGGTGGTAGTGTATCCAGCTTTCGTGATGGTAGGTGAGCATTCTCTCGAGATTCATTTGAGACCAGGTTTGAACGTGTGGTATAACCAAGTCGATTTTCGGGAGAGAGGGGTTGCAAATGCCTTAGCATCGAAGGCAGAGAGAACAGGGCGTAATGTATAGTTGCTAAATTATAAATGAGATATTCGTATTTAACTTGAGGCAGAAAGAAGCGTGTGAAGAGAAGGATGAAGGATGATCAGTACATCATGGTGAACGCGATCTTGATGCCTGATCTACAAGGCAACAACGTCATTCACTACGGTTTACCGTAATCATTCTGCAATATACGCTTATTTCCATACTACGTTTCATTTTCTCTTGTCCTTATACTAAGATCTTGCAGATTGCATTCGCTAGCACTTTGCCGTCTAGATTTGAGATGCGTGGAAGAAGTCTAGATCGTGCGGCCCGATGTGCCGAATAGGACTAGTGCATGCTGTCTAGACATTGTGACCGCAGCACACTACTAGTAGCAAAAGTCCTCGAAGTCATATGTTCTGGCCCCCAAAAGTCGGACCCCGTTTGGCCACGCCTGTTTACCCCTTTTCACTTAAATCTCCAACGACGCCCGTGTTGAAAGAGTAACCCTCTGCACAGTTTGTTTTGGCGTCTACGCTCGCTATAATGACGATCGTTCTTTTCTGGGTGACTATCGCCGTATTGGCCCCACGCGTTTTAGCAGGTCTTACTGGATCCACAACAACATCTGCTACGTCCACTACATCCACTTCCACGGCGCCATCTTGTACGGCTTCCCTCATCGACACTCTTTGTGACTACCCAGGACCCGACTTGAACTTCGCCGTTGTCGCCGATAGCAGAGCCTCCTGCTGGGACTACTGCAATAACCACCAGCCATGCAGCTTTGTGATCTTCAATCCCGGAAACCCTTCCCTGGGGACCGGCACATGCTGGCTATACCCGGGTGAAACCTTTGACCGGAGCAAAGCCAGCTCGAACTGCTCCAGTCCCTACCTGGAAGTCTATGACAAGCCTAAATGCTCTGGTGGAATCGCAACCACCACTTCCGGCGCCTGCACTGCCACAGCGACTCCCTCTGCCGTTGCCTCGATCTGCGGGTATCCTGCGCCTAAGGACTGTTTCAACACTTGTCATACTAGTACGGGCGCGCCGAACTGCTTAAGTCTCTGTGCAGAGGCCGATGCTTGCAGCTATGTCATCTTTAAACCGGGGCAGTCAAGCCATTCGCCTTATGCCCCGGGTACTTGTTGGGTCTATACGAACGGCACATATGATGAGCATTCTGCGGGTACCTGCAGTGGCGAGCCTGAGCAGTTTGTGTATGATAATTTGTGTCCTAAACCGTCACCTTCGTTGACCTCTGTTTCACCGGCTATGCAGCGCTCTAGTGGGAATGGAACCTCAAGCACTCCTACAGGCCCAAATACCAGCGCGGCCACGGGTCCAACTACTACCAGCAAGAACTCTGCGCCTACCGGTCTTTCGCTCGCCAATCCATTGCCCTTGGGTGTGGCTATGTTAATGTGGCAGGCTCTTTGATCATGTCCTTGTATATAGTATATCATTTGTTTCTTTACTTAGTCAAACGATTCGAAATAGGAACGGTATTGCACGTCACCATTAGCACTTGCCGAATTTGGAAGTCATTTGTTCTGTCTTGTGGGACGATCCTTCCGGTGCTTTAAAGATTTTGACACCTTCCAAGACAGCTGTTTCATGGAGTGTCTACCCGCTTATAGATATGCCAGCACTAGTACTTGAAATTATGAAGAATGGCATCCCATTCCCGATAACTTAGGGGTTCCTATAAGTCCAACATGATTCCAGGCTCCTGTCAGGTCTATGATTCTGCACAAAGTCAAGATCTGGAGATCGAGGTCTCGACGTCTCGTGGCCAGCAACAAGGTATAGCAGCTGGCGATTTTGTTGTCGGGTGATCGTAACGTGTTCGATAAGGTTGGAAGGACATTAGTTTGTTCAAACAGGCAAAGTATACAGGGTGTCGGACAAAGAATAAAAGACACCTGTTTTTGAGGAGCAGATTCTTTGTGGATGTTGCCTACGAAAAGTGACCCAAAGTCGACCGCATGTGATGATTTAGTGAGGAGGCCTACATCGGTGTTGTAATTAAGTTCTTCAACCAGTGCAAGCTTGTTGAACAACGAATGGTGGACAGTCAACCGCAGCGATGTTGCTGAAGCATTCCACAACCTCGTCTACCTGGGATTCGAGCACGGCGGCATCAGCCTGGCGTGTGGGCCTTGAGGGGTGCCTCGCGAGAGATTTACCAATTCAGGATTATGACTGAGTAAATCTTGTACCTGTGGGAGTATGCCCTAGTCTGTCTTCCCACCAATCATTTTGCCGACAGTGTTCTTGCGGGTCCCTGGCCATGTTCGGATGATGATGCATAGCAGACAACCAAATGACTGTAAGCAATACCGAACCAATGTTAAGTGGAAAAAGCAAGAAACATGATTGCATCCAGAAATAAGCAATTGGTTGAGCGAGGTGGCGGTTTGTCTATGCCCACTGAACCTGCTCTAGAAACTTTGGAGCGGTCAAACTGCGCTTGAACCAGATGGGCCAATTGTAGTTCTTGGGGACATACTAGCTTAATTAACTAAGCGAGGCCGAACCCTGGGGTACACGGATGGTGAATTCTAGGTAAGGGGCGCCGGACGAGGAATAAACTTCGTAGCTAGGTACCACTTCGGTGTAGTGACTGTTTTCAAAATTGGCCGTTAGTATCTAGTGGTGAGGGCGGCTGCTCACTTGCTGCCTGATGTACACCGCCCACTCGGTGATCAACTGTGTTGCTGCAGGTCGGCATCTCAGACTGCATCCAATGCTCACAAACTAGGGTGGTCAAAAGTTTAACTCGACATTATTCTTTTCCCTCTTTCGGCCAAAATACGTTGATCGGTCGAGCATGATCTTGCTTACCTTTTTCCAAAAACAATCACACCCCTATCTCCTAACCGCGAATGGGAAAGGCTTTGGCCAATCAGAGAACCACCGCCCCTTAAGCGACATGCCAGACCTCGGTTAGCAGTACTACTAGTACTACTTAGGCCTTAGTAGTACTACTAGATCCTGGGGCTAGGGCCCACTTATGCTTGGGACTTGAGGACGGCCCGAGGCGCCACATCCGCAGCTTAAGGAAACAGACTCAGGCTCAAGCCAGATTATAACATAACACCATGGAAAGAAAACATAAAAAAAAAAAAACGAAAAGATATGACCGCGTTCTTCTGAGGATAAACGAGCCCCGACACAGATTTTGGTGAATATACCGAAGTGGTCCAGTGGTTTAGTTCTTGCTCCACGAATCATGATCGAGTAGCCGCATATTCTTATTTTCTGATCGAACACGCTATTGACCCCGGGCAGTTACCGACGACGAAGCCCGCGTTAAAGGCTTGGAGACAATGCGGTAAGCTATAAAGCGACCAGCCTCTACATACCAGGCCCAAATAAGTAAATGCACTTCCATATACTGCATTTGGTAAAGTACAGTTGTATTATTAGGCGTCCATGCTCGGCTTTCATCTACCGCAGTTGCCAGTACCTCAGAATTTGAGACGAAAGCGACCCAACTGTGTAGTATCAACTCGTGATAGTCAGAGTTAGCGCAGCCAATTCCAACTACTGCTGTACGTTTGTCGCGATTGGCCAGGCTCGAAACTAATGTCCTATATGGAGCCTTCTTTCTCTAAACGATTCCTCTCACATCTCTTATTGTGTCTCCACTTACAACTACCACTGCGGTACTATTCGTGTGAATTCCTGTCTCAGTGTATCTGATTGCCGAGCATGTCCCAGTGAAAGTTACTTTTGGGGCCAAGCATAGCCTGATGTTGTACCCTATCACTTGCGCATATGGATCAGATCGGCAGCCGGAGAAGGGGTAAAAAAAAGGTATAAAGTGCAGCGTCCTGAACTGAGAATTCGAGGTATCCAACTCATCCAAGAATACTTTTTCTCAAACCAAACTGTTCATCATGCGTTTCACTCCTGCCTTCCTCATGCTTGCGGCCGTCATTGGTGGCAATGCTGCAGAAGGCCCGATTTCTATTCAGGTTTGCAATGGCATCAACCACTACCCCGGAAGCTGCACTGAGCTTGACATCTTCCTTCAACACCAATGCTGTTCGTGACCACGCCCATCATGACCCAACCCTGTCCTTTACCCTGTTCTAGTGGTTTAAACTCGCCAAACACAGTCATCCACCATCACTCTATCTAACTCATTGATTGTATACAGACAATTTGAACGGCACTCCCGTTGTGGGCAATGTCCGGTCGGTTTCAATCCCTGCTGGATACCGCTGCCGCTTCTGGGAGTAAGTCTTCGCTTGTGTTGTGGTGGAGATATCATGGTTCACTAATGCTTTTTACTTCAGATCATCCAGGTGCAATGGCGGCGGTACGGGCGATATCCAGGCCCCGGGCATTGACGTTAACGGTCATCCCCAGGTGAAGTCTGTCAAGTGCTACCCGAATAACTGAGCTGCATTTGGGCTTCGTGAAGTCACCTGGCAGTCACACACCTTGGAGAAGAGAATGATTCGATGATTGTTGGGTCCAATGCTTTTTTCTTGTGATGGATGCTAGGTAGATAGATGACTGAGATGGGTGGCTGAGGTGTCAGACCAGCAGCTGGCGATGTTTCTAGATAGTTTTGACAGTTTACTTTTGCAAAATCAATAACTGGTTTCATCTGGCAGGACCTATCATTCAACCACGCTAAGATCTCTTCTTTCTGATATAGTCTGATCCAGCAGGTCACTGCAATGTGGATCGCCATTTTTAAGTCTATTGTCGCCACGATACCCAACGAGGGAGTATGATTGGCCTCCTTTCTATAGTATCAAGTATTGGAGACACCGGACGATTGCACTTGTTAACTAACGCTTAGCTTACGGTAAAACGTCTATATAGCCCTCCTATGCGTAAGGTTAAGAGTAAGTTCGCTACCCGTCCCGTGAGAGTGTCGGCGTCTAAGGGCACGGACCTGGGCTTCGTACCCCCCTGCCATATCCAATCGTTCACCTACCCAAAGATTATAGTGCATTATCGCAAGGCAGACACCGTGTTCACGAGGCTCAAAAAAGACCTCTAGGCCAGTCGTTCAGACAGGGATACGCTCAGGGCACCACCTCGCCCCATTACGAATGGTTTGATTGGCTCTCATGGCGGAATGAAGTCCAATAATGAACCGCTTCGATGGCTAGGCATCCGATGCGCTGCAACACTCATCGGCTATAAGAGCAAATGACCCTCACTCTAGGTATTAGAGCAATCCGACTTTTCCATTCTATTCTCCTTAACTCACGATGGACTTTGGTAATATTGCACACGGTCTGATTACCTGGGCGAATAAACCATGCTACGACAAGGCTTGTATCGCTTTCCCCCCGCCGTCTAGTTCCCCGCGACCAAAGGAGAACACCAGTGTTCACGTGTTGCAAAATGTTCTCAATAAAGTGATCTTTGCCGGTGATGAAAGATATGACACCGTGTTTGTCAACTCTCAGTGTCCGCCGCACCCTGGTTCAGACATGCGAGCCGATCTTGCTATCAAGTATGTCACCGACTCGGGTCTGCTTCATATTGCATGCTTTATTGAGGCGACAGGGGGTCATAGAAGTGAAGATTATGCTATATCGGGTGTCGAGGACCAGGTTCTAGATTACTGCGAGAAATACTTCGACAATAACTCTAACACCAGCGATTTCATATTCGCGGCTACCCTTGTTGGCGTCCATATAAGGTTGTGGACCGTCCATAAGCATGAACGCAAACTGAAAGCCGTGTGGGGTGATTCCGGTCCTGGAGCTATCAGCGATTATAAAGATCTCGGCGATACTGCTGCAGCAGAATTGATTAAGAAGACCTTCCGGGACATGCTGGAAACAGCACCCGAACCTTGGATTCATCGAAGCAGCGCTAGCATGACTTCCAAGATCATCAACGGGGGCACTTCAGCTGTTTAGAATCGATCCAAGTGCTCATCTGCCAGTCCCAGACTCCTAAGTTACTATACAAGAAGGTTCAACTCGCCATTCTGCCCCCACACCTGTTCATCCTAGTATCTCAGTTGGTCCGGGTCGACAAGCGCCACAACAAACGCCGACTACGCCAGAATACCTTGCATGATTCCCACCTCAGCGATACCTCCAAGCCATGGCTTGTTTTTTCTATTGAAAGTGGCCTATCGAGTGAATGGATGGCTGGGGATGACTATTTTGTTAACCACCGATGGAAGCCGTATACCGATCCTACAATGGAGAGACTACCGTATGAAGCGAAGCTTCTATACATTTTAAATTACAAAGAATATATTGACCATTCAACATGCTTTATGGTATTCTTCCCTTTCTGGAAATGAGAGATATCAAGTTGTCTTTATGCTGCCAGATTGATATAATTTGGTTGATAATAGCCACTTCTTGATCTATATATATTGTGGCTCGGTACCAATGAAATGCATATTACTATTACGATATCGCAATGCATTCATATACTAACACTCCTGGGCTAATTTGGCAGAATATCCGACATTACTGGATACGTAATGAGTGGTAACTGCGTCACAGGGATGGCATTAGGAAGAGTAGCTGGGGCTACTAGTATGCTAGCTACCTATAACAAGTTTATTAATACCGCTCCCCACCATGCCTTGAGTCCTCTTCCCCCACATGTTAGCCACTGTTATTTAGGCGCAGCTGGTAGGTTCTTCATGACATGTTCCGCTACTGATAGCTTGACTCTCGTGTGAGCTCAAAATCATAAGGCTCGGCTGGAAAAACAGTACTCCTCTGTGCACTTCCAGTTGACTCACTGCAATGTCCCGCGTCGAGACACCACGCCTCAACCCGACGGATCCTGAGTTCATCCTTCCTGGCCAGGAACGTCGCAAGAGAGTACGCAGAGCCTGTACTTCCTGTCGTGCACGCAAGGCTCGCTGCGATGTTTCCATTCGCAGCCGCCCATGTGTGAACTGCCGCCTGGATGGTGAGAGTTGTAGCTTCAAGACTGTTTGCGGGTTCCCACTGTAGGGCTTTTAGGTCAATTCTTGAAGCAAAATACTTTCTACACGTTCACTGCATTTTACCACGAGTGAATGAAAGGGAGGTTTGGGATATCGGTAGCATGGCTCCGGACAATGGGGATTCATTGACGAAACCTGAGCGTTTGAATAAAGCCCTGGCCTCCACACACTTCCAGAATCTATTTACTACCGGCCCCTAAATATAGCGTCATACTACGCCTAAAAGCTACTGCTACTCCAGGGATATTAGTATCAAACTAGGGCCTCCGGTCTAAAGATCTAGGATTGGGAATCGTATAATCTAGAGTGCCTATAGAAAGACTCTCCATAATGGATAATTGCATCTAACTGGATCGCTCAATACGCCTCCACGGTATCTCCTGACTGCATGATAAGCATGTGGCTGATCACGCCGAGTCCACGGATGCAGAAGAAATACGTACACATTGAGCGTAGCTAACTGCAAAGGGGCCAGTGCAGTTCACGCATAGCCACAGTTTCTGGGGTTGCTGGAATGAAGTGTCAGTAAATCTGAAACCCGATTCAGAGAGGCATTGCACCAAAGTTCGGTAAATATTGCTACATTTGGCTTTCTAGTCTGAAGCCGTGTGAGTCAATAGAGAACCCAAATCATATACACACCCTCTAAAAACTTATTCGTGGCGATCCCCTATTGTAGTAATGTACTAACGTAATAGGAGATCTTGCCTTCTCCATAATCAGTATATCTTCGACCTATGTTAAGGCTTAATGGTGGGTGATACCCCGCAGGTATTTAATATTAAAATTTATTTCAGAGTACTTTGTAATTCTGGCTCTCAATCTCTGCGCTAGGAGAATTACTATATCAGAGCTTTGCACACCTTAAGTATCAAGGAAGCAGAAAGTGAATGTATCAGAATTCCTTGATAACAACCCGAGGCAGCACGAATTTTCTGATGCAATCTTGCTCTACATTACAGGACCAGCCCCAACGAATCAACGAGTCGGAGGTAGGAGTTGAGAAGAGTGGATTGAGCCTTATGGTCTTGTGAAGATTAAGAGGCAATCTACTGCCGTAGTCAACATCGTTTGAGGTCGCTATTGACTACTCACTCAAATTCCCATACAACACGGTAGTAATGACTTTATTCCCACAGTATTTTTATCTACTGCAGCCAAAGGCACATGATTGCTACAGATCCAACTTTTTTGCCTTTTCTAAAAAGTAACCCGCTCTAAGAGAGTCAGAGTGGGTCTGGGGGTCACCGTTGAAACACCTACCCCATAATGCGTACTAATATACAGCCAAAATCGCGGGGTTAGAGAGCCGATTGTCGGCCGGATTCTTCTAGATTGATCATCGCTCGACTCAAATAGTGTTCGTTTGGGTGTGGCCTCTCACACAAGTGGCCATCATTTGCCACCACTGGCCCCTGCCCTCGGTCGTGCAAGTGTTTCGAGTTCATAAACGTTCCTACTGTGTGTAGTGCACCCTATTCATATTACTTCGAGGAACTCCATTTATGTATTTATTTATTGTTTAAGCTAGTTACTGTTTGTTCAGTAAGTACCAGATATTTTAATTTCGAGGGTGGTTCGAGGTTCGAGAAGCTTTCCACCTGACGTTCAACACATTAGGTCTAGTTTAGCAAGCTCAAACCTCAGGTCATATTGTAGAAATTAGTTTCTATCCAATTATTCTAGAGTCCAACCCTACTCACCTCAAGCATATCTTTACTCCTTCAGATATTCGACCGGATCGTAGTACGAGCAGAGTGTGCAGACGGCAAGGGCGAGATCCACTGCCGAAAGGCAGCTCCCTATAACGCAGTAGAATCAGGCATTCACGAAAAGAGTGGCTGCTTCTATCTCCATCTCTTTGTTTTCTTGCTAAAAAGTGTACTCTATCCTCCCAGCCTTCTTTACTAGGTACCATAGTCTTCAATTCACCTGCATTCCGTGGCCGAATAGAAAATTCTCGATTGAAAGGCCGCATAAATTCGTTGAATAAGACAAGATTACAAACGCGCAAAATAATGATCGGAGACTTGAGAAATGAGAAGACACCAGTGTTGCTCGTGCATAGCTAGAATGCTTCCATCGTGGACGATTTCAAGGATCATTTTTACCAGAAATGGGAGGTGAAGAGATGTCGGAGCAACTTTTGGTCCGTAGAGCATCCTTGGCGCAGTTTCGTGTCGAACCAAGGCCCTTCGGATTTAGACTTGCCGCACATCTTGCCCTCATCGGTAAGAGTTGCGAGTCTCCAATCCACGCCAATCCGGATAGTTGGTTGGAAACCGGCCACTAGCAGGTTACACGTGAAGGCAAGCAACACGCATCTAGCGATATGCATAATTATCGGTCCTCGGCTTTCGTGATATGGTTTGAAGTAGATTCATGTTAAAAAGATCCTCTCTGCCCATGCGACCATGCACTGATCTAGGATTTCCGTAAGCACGAAAAGGCTTGGACTCATCATGGAACACCCGAAAAACCCGAAAGACTCGATGAGGTCAACATGGCGCCGATGGGATCGAAGTCAATGGACACTATCACACAAGCTATTTGAACATGCAAACCTTTACCATGTTGACCTTGATAGGGAGGTCCCGGTTCATTCAAAGCAGGAAAAGATACCTTATGTTTCAGACTGGTCGCTCCACCGCTGGATTATCTTTCACGCTAGCATCCCACTCATCGTCCACCAACTCTTTGTATACCTTACCGGTCAAAACTTCGGTCCCATCGTGGCTTTCGGCTTTTACTATTACACTAACAGGATATTTACCAGCCGAGAACTCCGGAGACTTCGCGAGCTGGGCCATACCTATGGGTTTTTAGACGGTGACAAACACGAGCGGGATGGTGTCCCCGACGTGGGAGTGTCCAAGGTACTGACGTCTGTCATGCTGGCCAGCCTTGTTCGTCCAATGATAACAGTATATCTTACTTACTCGGCAAATGAAGCTCCAGCGTCCATGAACTGGCGATGGCTCCCCCTCGAAGTCAGTTTGTATGGCATCATTCTGGACTTCTGGTTTTACTGGTACCATCGCATCATGCACGATGTCCACGGGCTCTGGAAATATCACCGGACGCACCACCTGACCAAGCATCCCAATCCACTCCTTACGATATACGCAGACTCGGAACAGGAGTTCTTTGATATCGCAGGGATTCCCCTGATGACCTATTTTACAATGAAGTTCATGGGCTTCCCGATGGGGTTTTATGAGTGGCACGTGTGTCAGCTCTATGTACTCTTCGCAGAGCTAGCTGGACACAGCGGTCTTCGTCTCCATGCCTCGCCGCCCAATCCGTTGACTTGGCTCATGCGGATCTTCGACGCAGAATTGGTCATTGAGGATCATGATCTTCATCACAGAAAGGGATGGAGGAAGAGTCATAATTATGGCAAACAAACACGGGTTTGGGACCGTGTGTTTGGTACCTGCTGCGACCGGATTGAGGGAGTAGATGCCAACATCGACTATACAAACACCGTCGAAATGAGCATCTTCTAGGACCTTTTGTTTTTCGGCTGCAGCTGTCTGCAAGGATAGTGTTTGTCCCACGCATTCAGTCTTCATTTTTCAAATCTTTGCTGCTATCCAAGATGATAAGGCTCCAGTTTTAGACGCCTGTGAAATGTCTTTAATTGGTAGCTGAAATATGGCACAACGGTGTACGAGGCAGTCTAGAATCAAGGAAATGGATCGCACGGTGTGTGGAGCAATCCGGCTTCTGCAATCCAGTGCACTGATACTCGATACCAATGGATTGGCGTAAACAAACCCAAATGCAGACGCTTTGTCCAATTTCATATTCACCATGTAGCAGTTTCAAAAAAGATTAGTCTACGCGTAGGAGACAACTACTAGTCTCTCGGTGTATATTAAGTGGACATTTGAATCAGACATCTACCTACTCTCGCGGGGTTTTTCAGTTCTTTTTATGCCTCCGATGGGATAACCTGTTCCCTCCCCATTCGGGACTCGGAATTCGGGAACTCTTTGCAAAGCATTCAGAGGCAAGAGCTTCTTGTAATTGTACGTAGACGATCAATCAAATTAAAGTTTGGAACAATGCTGCCTTGCGGCGATAGAACTATATGCCTTATTGGCAATTGAGACTTACTGTTCGGAGCAAAGAAAAGCTATATGGCTAGATGCATCCTAGATCTCTGACAGTTCTTCTCCTTTCTACCGTAGAAGCTTGCTTTCCTCTGAGCTGCAAATACTATTGTCACACGTGCCTGTGCTGTCTTTTTCTCGGCCCAAGACGCCTGTACTGAGCCCTAAAAACCCTGTCCGTGCGAAGATCTCGCCGCGAGTACCTATACGAGTCCTGCCATGCAACATGCGAGTATCTAGGCTAGGAAAAGAATGCTTCTGTATTATTTAGATCATACCCTTGCCAATCAACTTGACCTTTCAGCTAGCGCCGAGAGTAAGCCATATATGTCAGTCAATTCTCTCATCGAGTACTTGAGCAGCAGCTCCTCTGTATTACGTCCACGTTTGTTCTCGTTGCCTAGAGGAAGAAACGGACTCTATACCCCGCCTGATCCAAACCTTCCCACCAACTGCCTGGACTACGTTGGCTCCGACTTCCAAAAAGCCGGAAAGACGATATGCAGTGACATGAGCCCGACGCTCGAGGGTGTTCAACCGGCTTTTGGCATTTCTCCAGGCAACAATGGTAGTTTGTGCTACACTCAGTGCAGTATCTCATGAGGCATGTTCATCTCCTGTCGTAGACGCCGTGCGCCGCCGTGATTGTGATTGTGATTCCCTTCGCTTCTCCAGCTTCTGTAAATCATGTTTAAGCTTTTGTATCTCTTCGTCTAGCTCAGAGACTGTTGCTAGGCGGTACTTGAGCATAAGTATGGCCGCAGAGAGCAAGAGGAATGCGACAGAAACCAGGTAGGACCATTGCCCCACTTGCTGAGGCTTTTCCTGCGCTGGACCATCGTTGTATATAGTCCACTCGGCCCATACGACAAACGCAATAATGGTAAAAGGGCTGATAACCATGCTGAACACCAGGCCAAGAAGAATGGCAGAATCTACCAAAACACGCATGAATGCCTTGAGGAATACGACGCTGAAGAATGGTCGGGCGCGGATCCAACGTGACTTTTGGACGCTGGTATTGGGACACATTTCTGTTTCTTTGCATTCCAATTGCTCCCTAGCTGTCGAAAAAGCCTCGTTTAAGTCTCTTCTGAGGCCTTTCAGAATGGTCTTCCTTTCTCGCCAAATCACAACCAGTTTAGAGGATGGAATTTGTGACCGATAAGGAAGGAACTTGTACACCAAGTTGACCACGTTAAGCACTAAGCAGAGTATAATCAGGCTATAGATATACCGCCTTGAGTAGGCCAGTTTAGTCCAGAGCTTTTGAGGATGTGCAAGCTCGGAGTCCTTGGTCGCGACCCAGGATTGCAGAGAGGTAGGTTCTCTGAGTATTTGGCTGGAGTTGAAGCACGGATTGAAACAAATATCTCCTAGTTGGCCCCAACGAGAGAAGTTGGAGAGGGTCTCCCAGACACTGTCGTTCCACGTAGATAGTCTCCATGACGGCTGCCAGCCATCGCTAGATGTTTGGTCGAATGGCGGGAGTCCTGGATAACAGAACATATATTGTGGCGGGGTGTTAGAATTCTTTGCTGCGTAGATCAATGCACAGATAGCACCGGCAAGCATCAGGATATTCCAGAGACTGAACAGCAGATTTCTCGCCCTTTGGTGGGTCAGAATTCGAGACCAGCATTGAAGCGGCAAGAAGACAAGATATCCCGTCACGACAATTGCGATGACCGCATCAGCATCGAGCTCCAGAGAAGCAGGCTGAACGATAACTTGGCTTGTTTCCGTAATCAGCTGAGGAAAGTCGTTCCACAACGTGGTGTTTTTGGGGATGAAAGGAACGGTGACTAGCTCTGGTTCTGGTTTTTCCTGGGGGTTCGCGAGCAGAATGAATGTCTCGATTGCGGCAGTGCCTGCATATGTGGCGGCGGCACCTAGGAACACATCAGCAAGCCATCCTGTCCAGCGAGTGAGACAGCTTGCGACCAGGAGCGCATAAAACAGATAGCGTGGGCAGGTGTTGTAGATCGTGCTAATTTGGTAGAAACAGAGAGCCTCCTGAACAACGAATAAGGGCTCGCGGGAGTTCATGAAGGACTCTGCCGCATCATTCATCTAAAGCTCCAAGAACAAGCGCCTTGAGATATGAATTCTGTGTCTCAACAGGGGCGACTTTTAGGCACGTTAAAATTTGAGATTATGTGACTTTTTGACTTTCTTGGCTACCTAGACTGTCGTCAAACCGCGGGTTGGACGTCATAGACTTCCAAACTACATTTAGTAGGCCAGCCAAGGAAACAACTGGCACCCGTTTCCTCGAATCTATTCTGCCTGCGGTAGAACCGGTGATCACAAGGAGGGCATGCAGAAGCCTGTGGATTTTCATGTCCCTTTAAAACGTTTCAGATCACGTGATACAATCATGATGCAGTGGCAGTCTCTCATGCTGCCAGTACTCTAGGCTGCAGGAAGGCAACTATTGGTAGTTACAATAGTTGCGCATGCTTGTATTGTTAAAAGTTACTATCACACTGGTACTTGGATCTTGGGCCTCAGCCCAAAGAGCCAAGTGCAACTGATCACAATTATATATATCCCACCCTATAGATACATGTAACAAGCGCCAATTTTTGAACACAAAATTTGAGCGTCGACAACTAATTACATTCCAACGAATTCCGTCAATTTTGAGGGAAAAAGAAATCAGCGCCATGAGCAGGACCACAAAAGAGATCCATGATCTCTAAACCAGGAGTGAGTCTACTATCTGAGAATGTGAAAGTATTCGAGGGAACAGATGACAAGATTTGAGATGAGTAGTCGATATTTGGCTGAGAGCTAACAACCTAGAAGCAGTTAGAAAGGTAGATTTTCTGAGCTGATAGGTCTTAGGCGCTAACCTCCCAGGGTATTTCCTGGCTATGTGTAGTTGGTCCCACGCCGAGCATTTCTGTCGTGGATTGTTCAGAAGTAGTGCCCCTGTCATTGCTGCCGTTGCTGACATTGTCCCCACGAGAGCCCTGAGAAGTAGAGTGGAATTGTCGAGCAATAGAGGCAAACGGCATCAGCATAGAACCTGGTAAATACCCACCCGTGGCATATTCAAGGGCGCTGAAGTAACCGGTCACACTTTCGAGTAAGGCGAGATTGCCGTGAGTATCTTCGTGGCTTGGATCTTGGATGATTTGGTCAAATAAGATGAACAAGGCTGTAAACGGCATGAAGAAGATAACGCTGCGCATTTTAGCAAGAGTGCGCACAACACAGGGCACGGAACCTACAAGAAAGGTGTCGACGGTTCTTGCTGAATGACTCGAGTGATTTCAATTACAGCACGCGCCGAGTTCATAATGTCAGCCATGTCTGATGAAAGCCGGGGAGCGATTTGGTCACGAGTAATGTGCAGCTTCAAACGAAGAAGAGCAATCTTGAGCTCATGATAGTGGTAATGAACCCGAAGGGCGGCGTTGAGTCCGCAGGGATGTGAGAATGCTTGCGGTCGCAGCTTAACACCAGGTCGGAATCGAGGTGGGATTGCTTGACATTGTTGCTCCAAGAGCTCTTCGAATTCGGATATTGTACTAAGATATGTCGCCCTTGAGTTCTTTGTTGCAGTTATAGAGAACAGCTCAGTAAATATGCGCGAGTAGAGTCTTGCGAACTTTATCGACGTAAAAAACCAGTCAAAATCCTCGAAGACTGCCTCTTCAATAAAAGGTATAGGCGAACCAATATCGCAGTCGACAATAAACTGTCAACCCAGCATCAGCAAATTATTCAGAGGGAAGACAATGCAAAGGTGACTCTAAATCTCTTACCGAGGTACTGCCAGTATGAAACGACACTGTTTTCTCAATGTAATACACTACCCAGAAAACTCGGCTACGAACTGTAGCATCGCTGCCGGTAGAAGCTTTGTTTAAGAATGCGCGCTGGGCAACCCTTGCTGCCTCGGATAGAATTTTTCCTTCTATCTGGGTGCCCGATAAATTGAGACAGAATATGGCCTGTTGGAATTGTTAAGAATGTGCTGTGACAGAAAGTGAGATAAACTTGAGATCTACCATGGCCGTAATTGACTATACATGTTAAATATACCCTCATCGTGATGGGGAATGCATGAAAATGGATGACTTCACTTACCTGAACTTCTAGGAGGTCTGTATTTAGTAGCAAAACCCTCGGGTAAAGATCAAGTGCTACCTTGAAGAGACTCCAAGCTTCGCCTTCGCCAGGTGCGAACGAGCCTTCACCATCAAGTTCGCAACCTAAAGCCAGTACGGTGTGATATAAAGCCGCCCAAGCCACATCATTAGCAAGATCAGCATCCAAAGTGGGTGAAAATACCCTAGTCTCGAACTCGTGACGGTCCAGAAAAGGATACAAAGGGTGGATATTGTCAAAGTAGACTGGAAGCCGTTTGCAAATTAGAGACTGCTTTCAAAAGCTAATAGATGGGATGGCCCACTTTCAATGAGATGGCGTGCTCTTCCTGGTGATAGGACGGGAATCTCGCCCAATCGGTTCCAGATACTAGATGGTCGAAAGTTGCGATTGAGCACTTCCACACGGGATTTAACCATGCCTGATATCTTCGAGATAAGCGACCTGAGTGCGTCGTTGCCCAGACATGCTGAAAGAGCGTCTAATCGGCTGTCGGAGAACAAACTCATGCTTGAGCTGGCCACTGGTGGTAAAAGATTAGTTAAGACCACGCAAATGAGCGGGTTCGTCCGGACGACGTACAATAGTTCTCATCGGCCTTAGATTTAATGATAAGTATCACGTTCTGCCAAGGTTCGAGGCGGGAAGCTTACACCTAGGATAAAAGATGCGTTCTGGGTGCGTCCAGTTGACTGCCGAGTTTGAAGCAATTGGTCCACGTAGAGAGGTCGATATGGGGATGCTTGACTGGGATCTGGAACTGGTGTCCAGTTTGACTTGCCTCTCCCATCTTGTGAAGGATTTCCGCCGGACGGAGCTGATGATAGCGGCGTTGTCAGTTCTACTGTCCTCGTGTCTTCCGACAGAGTACCGGTAGTGCCAGATTGCCGCTGGTCTCGATTTCGTTGGCTCTCATTCCGAGACTTGAATCTTCTCTTCAAGGGGCTGTAGACGCAAGTATCCCCTTTCTTCTATTCCCCGTGGTAAGCATTTTCAACACGGGGGAAATTCGCCACCTACGTGACAATTATCGCAACCCGCTGAAAGATCCGATGTTTCTGCAAGAAAGGGTTAGCTCTCTTACCATAAGAACACATTTTACATAATATTTACTCTTGCACCTAACCTTGCGCGCCTTGCAGGCATCGCAGACATGCGAGAGCCGCGAATGAAGCATTGCGAGCCGGGTTTTGGAGAGAAGTGGGGGATGGGGTTTCGGAAGTCGCGTTTGGTTGATTAGATGATTAAGGGTTCCGGCCTTGTGGAGGGTCGCAAGCTCGGCAATCGGCAATCGGGACTCAAGACCGCCACCCCATCGCCTGTCCCAACAGATATCATACATGGTTGCCTACGGATTGACGGTTGCTGTTGTTTTTGACAATTGGAACATGTAGTGGATATCCTTATTTATATAATCAGCATTCAATTTAAGAATCCTTTGAAATTCGAAGGAAGAGAGGAGATCACGATTGCCTCTGTGTCTAAAAGGCCTGATAAAGCTATGGCGCTCTGATGTTCCCGATTAGGGCTCGGGACTCGGGGCTCAGGACTGAGCACGTATCCTCCTATGTCTACGGAGGCAAGTGGAATGACCGGGAAAAAAGTGTATAGTGAAATTTGTATGTCTGGCCGCCCAGAGTCTTCGCTCCGTATGTGCCAATGCAATTACCTGGCTGATTATCCAACTTCCTATAACATATGTAGAAGACCATGTCGGTGACACATCATTCTCATTGCCCTTCTGAAAGGTATCCTTGCCGATTAGAGACCATTGTTTAGATACAAGAAGTTAATCAAGCGGAATTTCTGACAGCTTCGAGGCCTGCGTTATGCCACCGCTCTCGCTGGCGTACAACCCCAGGGTCAACTAGAGTCAGTAGCAGTGGCGCTGGCAAGAACACTGCGCTCACAATCGCTGCAAACGTAAGAGACCAACGCATATTGTATGGCGGATGAGCAGAGGGCCCAGCAACCATTGCAGACTGAGCAATAATGAACACTGCGCCGAATATTTGTCCACCAAACCAAGAGATTATGCTGCCTATTTCAGGGGAGTGGGGAAATGTTATTTCGGCCAGAAGCTCCAGCAAGACTGGAAGAATGCTAAATGACGAAAACCCCAGGATCGCACAGACTAGATATGTAGGCCACATACCCCAAGCGCTGGCCGGTGCGAAGATGAGCGCGATGTACATAGCACAGGCGATAGGAAGGAAGCTCCGAATGGTGCCCATATACCACTTGAACCTATCATTCAGTGGTGAGAGGACAGCTGCTCCCAGCAGCCCTGTGCCAATCAGAACTCCGCCGGCGATGCCCGCCTCCTCTTCGGTAGCACCATAAGGTATTACCGCCTGGCTGATCAGGGTAATGGTGGAATTGAATAGCGCCACATAGATGGAGAATGGCAGAGAGAGAAGCCAGAAGTTTCGTTTTCTAGCTACATCCTTGAGCGCAACCAATAGTGGTGTTCGATTAACTGCGGCGGCTGTTGAAGGTGGAGTGGGTGGCTTCGACGGAATGAACAAGGAAGGCATGATGGCCACCGAGGACTATTGTTTGGTTACCCTGTATTAGACTGGGCTTCCGCATATAATATTGGCAGAGATCAGCGTGACTCACAATACTGGAAATTATCAGGATCATTCGGGGTATATCATCTGGTATTTTAGCGAGGTACGGGTTCGCAAACTGTCCAAGAGCTGCGCCCAACGGATTAGCCAGAGTGGCGATCGCAGTGGCACTGGTACGGCCCTTGTCTGTAAACCAACTCTCACTGAACTTGCTGGGCGTTGACAGGCAGAAAGGCTGAGCCAGGCCAATGACAATTTGGCCAAACATAACCACTCCATAGTTCCTAACCCCCGAAACTGTCCCTGCATAACGAATCCAATTCCCAACTAGTAAAAGTACGGAGGTGACGATGTTGGATCCTCTCAACCCCAGCCGCTCCACTGTTTGGAACACAAATCTGGTAGAAGGCTCGCTGTCAGTCAAGCATACGCTGAGGCGTATCCTCCGATGTTCGGTCGGACAAACTTACGGCGCACTAATACAGTAGGCGAAGAGAGTGCCCGTACTAAGCCAGGTGATCGCATTTACGCTGACATTCAAGAACTCCGCCGATGTTACTGGCACTGCTGGGTATGTAACCCACTGTGCAATTAGATCCTCTGTTTGACTATCGCGTGTAACCAACAACTTACACCCCAGCTGACAACAATGTTCAGGAGCGCCAGGTGAGCAACGCCGATGAAGCGGCGTTTGTAGACCGTCATCATAATCGGCTCTTGATACCCAGGACTGAGATCACAAGGAGATGGCCCAGCCTGAGCTACCCATTTGCCACACTCAGGGCTGGTACCCTTGCTGCTCACATCGTCCACCATGATCTCAAGCTGTCAAGGCGACTAGGATATTTGACTAAGGGATTTGGTATAAGAGATGTTGGTGGTAGACACAATGGACGGTGATGAGATGTTAGACACTAAAGCAATCGTTTTCAAAGTCGAGCGAGACCTCTGGGTCCCGTCCGGTCAACTGTGATATGTATTCCATCAGTGATCTTCTATCAGTGAACAGGCAAACCTTGAACTACGGCCCACTATCCTATCAGGTTTGGATCAGAAGCTTAACCCCGCACTTTCGAAATCCGACTTCCGTTGTATACTTGTATCATTTCGACGTGCATTATACATTGCACCTAGCAAATGTGGTTACCTCATGCTTATCGTACTCGTACAATCCTGGTCTCCAGCTCTGATACGACCTTCCTCAGATTTCGTTTAATTGGTACAGAAGTGGCAGCTGTGTCGCAAACGCAAACTACAGTGAGATTCCAAGGGTTAAAAGCAAAGATAACGGAGCCTGATAGGATTAAATACAAAGATAAATACACAGCCAACCAAGAGGTAAGAAGAAGGAACCGCTCCCGTGCATGGTTGACCTCCACTAGATAGTGGCATCATGTCTTTCTATCATGGGTGGTATGCTCAATGTCATGCCCAGTTGCGGATGGACTTCCACTTGAAATGGCTTGATTGGAAACCTCTCTCCATCCACACTAAAAGCACCACGAGTCCTGGAGGGAACGACTCGGTAGGCTAACACTTTCCGATATTGGGCCTCGGGCATTGTAAGATGTGTGCCGCGCTCCGCTTTTCTGAATAATTGCAAGAACTTCCCAGCCCCTATCCCAGAATCCACCGTTAAGATATCCAGTAGTCCATCATCAGGCCTTGCGCCAGGGAACACCTTGGATGTGGCATCCACAAAAGGAAATTTACCGGCGAAGAAAACCCCTAGTGTTCCACGATGCTCAAGCTTCCAACTGTCAGGAAGAGGGTCATTGACGGACCCATATTGTAGATTGGGTAACCCCTGCTGACACGGCTCTTTCACCTGACTACATGAGTGATCACCCGAACAGTCTCTTAAGCACTGAGCAGAAGCACTGTAAGTCGCCATATCGCACTCATATACGGGAGGCTTGAGAAGGCGTTGCAGCAAGCCGACTGCAAATCTGCTGCCACCCAAGAACCGCATTCCCTCAGTATCGAGATCACACTCGGCCAGTAAGCCGAGATTCTGTGACAGGAAGGATATGTGTCTCTTATCCCCTTGCGTAATGGACATTAGATCGATGGGATGCAGAACACCCTTGATGGTGTAGAGTGCAGCAAGACAAATGCTGGTAGTCTCGAACATGTTGACACACAACGCATTCCCAGAACCACCAGGAAGCTGAACAATGGGAACTTTCCTCAAAACATGTCCAGCATCATCCCTCCGTGCAAGGCCATTGATAACCTCGTGTGGTAGACCATCTCCAGAGCAGCAGACTATAGCATCCCATGAATCAATTTCCAAGTCCGTTCTCACTAGCTCGCGAGCCTGGCCTGAGTAAGAAGTTTCTCGTATGTCCACCTGGCACTGTGCTGCGACAAATAAGGGTTCCGCGTATTTACGGAACAACTTGACGGCGGTACCTTTGCCGGAAAATGGATTCAAAAATATCTTCAACCTCTTTCGTAGTTTCGATTCGCCATAGGCGCGATGCAGAAGCAATTGGATCCAGGCATCTAACAGAGCGGAAGAGGTCGCCTGGTCGCGTAGACGGAACACCTTCGTCGTCGGTTCCAGTATCCTTTTTCGCTCTCTCACATATTCAATCGTAAGCTCTTCTGGATTAGTCTGAGCCCAAAGTACGTGTAGATATCGAATTCTACATATCCTTCGACGGGTAAACGAATCTAAAACATGGTTAACTGACTGACACACCCGTAGAGAGGTTAGACTGGGGCTGGTGGTAATACTCGGCTCGGCCTTGATAGCCAGTCCATCCTCGTCGAGCTCCAATGTCGCACCTTCCACCTGAAGAGCGTCTCGGGAGGGAGCTTGTTCATTCAAGAGCTCCATATTCTACGATAGGAATAACCCGGTACACAGTAGGACTATGGAAAGCATACGATTCTTAAACCAATGCTTTTAGAACTTGACGAAGATCCTCGGTTAAACCAGGAGGTCACCGATAGCTACCACGGATGACCGAGTCCCGAGACGACACGAGGCGGAAACACCGCTATTGACTTATAGTTCTCTAGCTTCTATTAGGCGTACGTGTGGATCGTTTAGACAGCGTCAGAAAAGGCTTAGTCCGGGATATAAGCGCGTGATAATGTTCATCGCTGCCAGTAAGCCAATTCCTCCACCTCTGCCAGAGTGCAGCTCTTCTGTATTGTTCGCGGGAATCTCGAGTCCACCACCCCACTCGTCCCTTCAGGGGCAAGCTCCAAAAAATGGAGCTTCTGGATTCCCTGTTCCTTCGCAAATTTCAACATCTGCTGGTATTTGGCCCCAACTTGAGCGACACCATGGCTGTCGTCAGAAAGGCAGAATCGCCCACCCATGGCCAGAAATTCCTGTCCCCTATTAGTTCTGTAGTCATAATACGAGTCTCACAAACAGCCATCATTCTTACCTGACAGATCTCCGCTGAGGGATACGGCATATCGAGCCCCTTCCGCAATGCAGCCGAATTCAGTTCTAAAAGCCCTCCGTAGTTTGAGATATACTCAAGATTTCTCACGACCCTCTGCCAAACACCCGGCCACTTGCGTAACCCTTCTGGACAGGACTTTGAGCTATCACAGTGAAGCCGAATTAAATCAAAATGACCGACTATTGGGGGCTTTAAGCTCTGCAACATCTCGAAATGAACATCAAAGTAGTCTTCGAACATGCGTTCGTCTGTTCCGCCGGATATGCCCCGCGCCTTCAAGTAAAGCTCTCGGCTCCAGTCAATAGGAATTCCATGAAGATGGTGGACTGACCCAACGAAAAACTCCCATGGATACTTGGACAGCGAATTCTGTATCAGCCCCAATGAGGTCCTACTTTCAATCCATTCTGACTCGAAGCCTACGAGAACTTTGATCTGAGAGGCGTATTTCTCCCGCAACTGAATTGCTTTGGAGAAGTATCTTGCCTCGTTACTGAGTAGAAAGGATGAAGTTACGCCGGCTTTGATCTAACGTGTATCAGACTAAAGGCAATGCAGATAACGAATCATCAACAAGACCTACTTCTTCGTCATATAGTTCCTCCTCGGTACGCGGCATATGTTCGCTCAAGCAAAAGACCTGCATACCTTGCGAAATTGCCTCCTGGATCACTTGTTCCAGGGAGTCTTGAGCATGGCTGGGGCAAAACTCTCCCGAGTGTGAGTGATGGGAGAAAGGCATTTTGTTTTTTCTTCTGATTGACTTGGGGAGGATGAAATTGAAAGGGGGCACTAGGATTCTGTAGAGAAAGTAGCCTTTCCATGATAGAATGAACTTTTTCACATTTGTAATTTCGTATGCCTGGAGGATCCTTGCATTTTCTGACATCACACATTCTACTCGGGTCTCGGACATGGATAACATATTAGGCGGGTCCGTTCGGCTCTCGGGTTTCGAATAGAAAAAATGAACTTTCAGTGAGATGAGATCATGACGTAGAAGCCACTTCGACGTATTTAAATCAATGGCCGACAGGGAATAGAAGATAAAGGTCGTTTCTCATTCATGTTCGACTTACTAGAGCTCAAAATAAATTCATTGGGTGCCAGTATGTCTTCTCTTAATCAGACGGCGAAGTCTTTTTCGTTGCTCTTCACGCAGCCCCTGGGAACCAAGTACGATATTGCTTCCCGGCTAGTCTGTGCCTTTGTTATCCTTCAAACCATTCATAATGTCTACGGCAGTATCACTTGTTATGGCGTTGTCGGGAGCATGAACAAGTTTCTAGAATTGTGCCGGGGATGGATATCTCCGAAAAGCTCACCAGCCCGTCGTATCTTCAAAAGGGTAGACAAAGACATGGACGCAATATCGAATATGATGGAGCAAAAATTGGCTCGTCAAGGAGATGCTGTCAAGAAGAACTTTTGTCTTCCGAAAGAGGGCTGGAGCTTCGAGGAAATTGAGGCAGAGTTGGAGGAACTGCAACATTTGGACCATACGCGATGGGAGGACGGTCGAGTCAGTGGCGCGGTTTATCATGGGGGCAGCGAGCTGCTGGATATGCAAACTAAAGCTATTGGAAAATTCAGCGTCTCGAATCCGATACATCCAGATGTCTTCCCTGGAGTCAGGAAGATGGAAGCGGAAATCGTATCAATGGTTTGTGAGCCAACGGCCTAACATCTTGCAAATAATTGACGTAAGACAACAGATCCTCGCCGCATTTAATGCCCCCGAAGATGGTGCAGGGGTGACCACGAGTGGTGGCACAGAGTCTATTCTTATGGCGTGTTTGGCTGCTCGGGAGAAGGCTGCAGCCGAGCGCGGCATCTCAAATCCAGAAATGTATGTTACCGTCAGCGTTTCTCCTTTTCATTGCCCTACTGACTAGGCAGGATCATTCCGAGTACTGCCCACGCGGCTTTTTACAAAGCATCCCAGTACTTCAAAATCAAGCTCCACCTTGTCTCATGCCCGGCACCTGAGTACAAGGCGTCGGTCACCGAAATCCGTCGACTGATCAACCGAAACACGGTTCTTCTAGTTGCATCTGCACCCAACTTTCCACACGGCATTGTCGACAACATCCCAGAGATCTCTCGATTGGCAATTGAGAATGGTATTCCATTCCATGTTGACTGCTGCTTGGGATCGCTGGTCATTGCTTTCTTGAAACAAGCCGGCTTCCCATCTCCGTACGAAAATGAAGGAGGCTTTGATTTCCGACAGCCCGGAGTCACTAGCATTAGCGTCGACACCCACAAGTATGGTTTCGCTCCTAAGGGCAGCTCTGTCTTGTTGTATCGCAATCGGTCATACCGAAACTACCAATATTTCTTGTTTCCGAACTGGTCAGGTGGTGTATATGCGTCTCCATCGATGGCGGGATCTCGCCCGGGCTCATTAATCGCAAGTTCTTGGGCTACGCTTATGAAGATGGGCGTGTCGGGCTATATCAATAGTTGCCAACAGATCGTGGGAGCAGCGAAGAGCTTTGAAGCCGCTATACTCACCCACCCCGCTTTGAGCCCCCATATTGGAATCATCGGGCATCCGATGTCGAGCGTCATCGCATTCACGAGCATAAACAAAGAGATTGAGACCTACAACATCGCTGATGCCATGGATGCTCGGGGTTGGCATCTGAATGCTTTGCAATCTCCACCGGCTATCCATTGCGCCTTTACAATACCCACAGCCGAAGCTGTCGATAGCCTCATCGCCGATTTGATTGAGGTCATCGGGGAGATATTAATGCAAAATGAGGAGCGCAAAGTCAAAGGAGAACAGATTGTACAGCCGCACGGCAAGAGCGCGGCGCTCTATGGCGTAGGAGGCAGCATTGACAATTCCGCAGTCAGCCAGTTTGCTGAAGGGTTTCTGGATACTCTTTATAAAGTTTAAACATGTGAGGTTGTTTCTTGTGTTCTCTATCAATCAACAGAACCGATGTATTACCATTCGGACGAATCACAGACTTAATAGTCTGCTCAGACAAATTCCCTCCTATGCGATCTGAACAGGTCGTGCATGCTGAACCTTGTTTGTTGTATGATTACATTCGCTTACCGTGGTCGTCTCAAGTCTGGGCTTGCAAGCAGCTTACTAGCTGAAGCAACAGAATCTGGCGTATTAGACGGCAATGAACTGAACCCTAGGGACTCGTCGCCTCACTATCTATAGAGTACCCAGGGACCAGGGTATTGAAACGTAAAGCTATAGAACTTGAGGTGATCCTAAGATAGAGTACTAGCGGTTAAAATGGCTCTCTAAAGCGGTCAAGTATCACCGCTTTCAATGAGAGAGGCGGTACATTTTACCGCATTAAATGAGAAAGACTGTAAAATATCACCACTTTAAATTACAAAGACGGAAAATTAGAAAGACAGTACGATATTACCGCGTTAAAAGGGTAAAGTATAACCGCATTAAATCAGAAAGTCAGTAAATGAGGGAGGTGGTACAATCTCCGGATCGGACTAGTCGATTATCCGAGGTTTCAAAAAAAGAAAATGATTGGTTTAATGAGAGCCCTAGTGGGGTGCGGATAATAGATACAATTGGTCAATCTAATCCACAGTAGTACGTTGGTACCAAACGAGGTAAATACTACTAGTACTACAAGAATTGTCCGTTATTTACTCGATTTAGGCTGCCGTACCAAGTAACGGTAAAATCTTACATACTCGAAGCTTCTGCAGACTCGTTATTACTTCAATCTTCATAACATTACCATATAACTCTATATCGAGACCACGTATCCTTACATATGAACCACAATTAACCTGATGATCACTTCTTTCCATGATAGGTCATATTGACCAACACACTATACCCTGAAGAAACGACTCATTAAATCTCTCAAACACCTGAATCTTCTTGGTCGATCCCATACAATTCGTCATAGGTAATCCAGGAATCACAGGTATCCTCCAGAAGGTCATAATCAAGAGCACCGATGACCTCATCAGATCGTTCCAAAAACTGCAACGCAAACCCTTCAGTGGTATGCCAGCCAATGTGACAATGCATCAACCACGCCCCAGGATTATCCGTCTGGAAAGCAAGGACTAGGTGCCCATTTGCTGGCAACATCGCTGTATCCCGGCGAGGTGGGTTCTCGGTGCGCGAGGACCCATCCCAGGCACCCTGCCCTTGTGAAAGAATGAAGAAGTCATGTCCGTGGAGGTGAATCGGATGGTCGACGGGTATGCGAGTTTCGATGTCCAGATAAAACCACTGGTCTGCTTTCGGCAACGAGATGACAGCACTGGCGTTTGGAAATGCCGACGAGCCATTTCGTATCTGGAGTAATGTGGGATCTTCCCATAGAATCCCCATTGTCGTGCTGTTGAGGTACCAGCGGAAAAGCCCCTTTGCGTTCGGGCGAGTGTCGGCGTCGACCATTTCTTGCAGGTCTGGGGGAGGGACTGATTTCGGTACGTGTGGCACCAGGATTGAGGCTGGTAGATCGTAACATGTTTCATCCAAGTAGATAAACGGGAGAGTCTCCGGGATACTCGACGTGTCTCCGTAGTGCAGAACGCCTCGGATGTTGTTGCCACGAGCATTTTCCGAACAAGCGTGTAGTGGTATCGCGCGTATCCAGAACGAATCTGCAACTGATGCCTGATCGGCTGTAATGATTATATCGTATCGCTGGCCTTTTGTCACAGTTAGTATAGTATTAAACGGGGGGACGAGAACACGAACCCATGCCGATGGTTAGACTATATGTGGTGTACGGCTCGATAGGTACCAGATCCATTGCGATGATGGTCATATTATGATTATCGATCATGAATTCAAAGGTGGTATCAAGAGCCGCGTTGACAAGTCTCAATCTATACGACTTGCCTTCCGTCACCTGGAGCTTCAGCCGAGATCCATCGGTGTGGTTACCGGTATCGAGGACGTTGGTTCCGTTGATTAACCCATTATCTAACTGCGGCGGGCCACAGAGCTGTGCGAATTGATACATTTCATCTACAGTGTCATGCGTCCAATCGCTTAGAATCATCACGTCCGCGTCCTCGTCATAGTTCGCCGTAGCAGGGCCATTGATGATAATACCACCAAAGACCCCGTTCCACGCTTGGAGACCAATATGAGAATGATACCAGGACGAGCCATACTGTTCGGCTCGCCAACGATAGGTCATCGATGAGCCGGGGGCTATGGGACACTGGGTGATGGAGACAACCCCATCGTGTTCGTTTGTTCCTCTTTGCCACATGCCATGCCAATGGATACTGGTGCCATTCTTAGCTTCATGGAGGTGATTAGTGACATGGACAACGACATGATCGCCCCAGTCCGCATAGATAGTCGGCCCAGGGATGCTGCCGTTGATAGCCATCACGGTTCGTAGATAGCCATCTGGGGCGGCAGCGATCTCGTCAATATCTAACCAATACTCTCTAGTCACACCCGTATTAGGAACAACCTCGGACCAGTCCGTGTCGATGTCATATTCACACCACTTGGAGCGATCCTCCGGCGAGTTTCCGGGACAAGGAGTTCCTGTTGGGAACGCGGCTGAAGATGTGGAGGTACCAGTTGAGTTGCTCGCTCTCCTAGATTGCCATTTGCTGTGTTGCCTTGCTTTATGGAGTGTCCCAGAGGCATCAGAGATGGACAGGTCCCTTTTAGTGTTGTGATTAGGTTGGAGAAATATCGCCGTCCCGCATAATGCATATGTCAGAAGGAGGAAGCTAACAAGCATCATGGCTTGTCCCGTTGTGAAGGCCGTGTTCACTTATGACTTCAAGATTCTCACCTTGCACCAGACAACTGGAATGGACTACATCAGCACTTTTATACGACGTCGTACTCCTCGGAGTCCGAGTTTCCACTCTAATGACAGGGCACCCCTATGCAAAAATCGAGAACCCTGCCAGTGAGGCGCAGTAGACATTAGGTCAAGCAGAGACCAGCACATCGTATTCGTGAGCTCGCTGCCTACCGGGTTTCGGGATTGACTCGTCAACATCATACCCAATATCAAGCCACCAACCACACTCCTTTACTTCTTTGGCAACACACCACACTTAGACAATTGATCAGCTGGCCACGCAATGGGCCACACTCTGTGTCTGAGCAGTATGCTTGGCAGAGGGATCGGTTAGAGAGTCAGTGTATCAGGCGTCTCTTATTGGCTCGGGGCACTATTAGCCGCATCATATATGACTCGTAATAAGGAGGCCTGAAATCCCAGCCTCAATGTATAATGTTCTTGGCACTTGCCAGAGAGTATGGGAAGTCGTACGGATTATCTGATTATCGCAGATGACTCGTCCTTAGCTAAGTGAGGCGTACATGAGCGAGGCAGGTAAGAATATATCAACTAGATCAATCCTCGCCTTCTACCTCCTTCCATACAAACAGACTAACCTACGGTGAACGGCGAAAACAGACAAAAGAGCGCAATGGGGTGGGTTCGGCGACATTCTTCGCTGTGAAAATGTACTAACATGCCAATCTAGCTGGTCTCTAATATCCAAACTCTTCCTGCTCGGTTGCTCACTGGCCACCCTGGTTTATGGCCAAACATGTCAGCAATCATTCAGACTATATGCATATGGCGAGGGTATTGGCGGTTTGCCCGTGTTCTACGCGGATGGTGAGTGTCGAAGGATCTGTCCCCTTGAGATTTCAGGCAAGCAATAAACAGCCCTGACAGGTCAACAGGTAGCGCCGAAATAGGCAATCGATCCCTCTCAACAGCAAACGAAACAGTTTCCATCTACTGTAAGACTTTCATGGATACACATCCGATGCAGATGGAGTGCCGCTTTATACTCACAGTCACCCTGCGCAGTTACTATCCCCGAAGATACACCGGCAGTTTGGCGGGCACAGGCAAACCGTACAGAGTCCAGAAGCCCATCCTTTGATTCTATGGTTTTTACTTTGCCATCCATATCAGGAACATCTGGCGGAAACGTCGGCTTCAGAGATCCAGATGACTCTTCCCGGCTGGATACCAAAACGCTGAAACTCTACGGCAATTATGTTCTGATCGACTCGCAGAACGCTAACTTCTTCACAACGCGGAGCGAGAGCGGAGTCTACTCCCTGCAGTGGAGTGCAGACGAGAGATCATCGCCCAACAGGATTCCATTGAAGCTCAGGGCGATCCAACCATCCACCGACTCCGTTTTAGCTGGCGGTTTTAATCCCCGGGGCGAACTCTAGGCGACGCGACTAACAACAGTAGAACTAGGATGTGGTGGGCAATGTCCATGAGAAATCGGAGCGTAAAAGAATCTGGATGATATTTTGTGATACGTCTAATCAATCGTGTGCGCTTTCTCTACGACAGTTTCCGGGGCCTGTATCTTCGGTAAATGTTTTGATGTAGGGTCTAGGTCGGTGGCTGTGCTGCAGGGCGACACGTCTCGGGTGCCTTACTTTGCTAGGTTCTCGGCAGATCGAAAGGATTGGCAGTCGTTTTATGCCGGTATTTTGCAGCATTTCTAGGGACGATCGGCGGCCAGCCTTACAGATACACAAACGCCAACTTGGGGCATGATGTCGATCTTCTCGTATCCTGCTGTCACATGGGTTATGGAGATGCTGAGAGGCGCCACGCGATATTCGCTATCGCAGTCTCTTTCTAACTTTGTATGCTGATTGGACTTGTACTACTGAAAATATAAATTCTCCGAGGAGGCTGACATTGAAGTAGCTGTCATAGTTAGTTTAGAGTTAGCAATGAGTCCTGCCCTACCAGCAAGCTTCGCTAGCGAGTACTGTTTTCGTAATAGACGATTTCACGCTCCACAGAATTGTTCTGCGATTTAGAGGCCATGTTATATGTACTGTATTAAGGGTTGCAATAGCAATTCTGCGTCAGGGAGATAAACTCTTTCTCAGGCCTTCACACGTTCAACAAACTGCAAGTACAGCCGGTTATTTCCTGCATTGTCGTTGGTTAGTATGCTGTCGAGATAAAGCAGACCGAGGCAGGAGCCAAAAATAATGGCCAAGAGCTTTTAACTGAATCGGTTCAGTTTGTTCCTGTGATGACTGGCCAGATCTTGTAGCAATTGTGGAAGGTTCAAAAAGCCCGTATTGCGTTGGGTGAGAAGTCCATCCATGCACCTTACAGCGTAATATAGCCTCTGCGCCTCAGGCACGGGATGTATAAGTTCTATTACCAGTTCCAAAAAGAGGATCTACTAGGCTTCCGATAGGATAGGAGGATATTTTCCTCTCCCCCTAATGGCCGGTTTTTGGTTGCTATAAAATTTATATCTTCGATATTTTTGGTTGCTGAGATATCAGAGTATTAAAAAGGGCCATTGTGTATGGAATACAAGAGCTGGCCGCTGGCTTGCCGGTTACGTTATCGAACGGAGATCCAGAGCCAAAAGGGGTTAATTAGTTAAGTTCAATTAAGAGATTGGTTTGCTGGAGATAGGTTTTCCCGCTCTTCGGCGGGCTATCTTATCGAGTTGTGGGCATGATTAATTATGCATGTTTAAGCTACGCGACAATGCGAACCCTATACACAAGAGTATCAATATGAAGACCTTACAGCAACTCACCAACAGTAATGATACCACTCCCTAGTTAAGTATGATGTCGTAATGAAGGTTCAATAGAGTCTAGATTGTCCTCTTGATATTAGTAATTCCATCTCACAGCCCAGGTACAGCAATTCCAGGACTAACATATATAAACGGCAAACATCTATACATCTGAAGTCCCCTGCTCCTCTGTGTCGACTTTCTTTGGCATCCGTGGGAGTCCCAACCATAACAACAAAATTCCGGCTGAGAGACCAATGATAAATGGTTGCAACACCTGCACACCTCGAGCCTGCGCAATGGCACCCACTACGAAGGGCAGCACGGCAGCTCCACCTCCTCCAAATGCCGCCGCAAAGCCAATGGCGCTGACGTGTAATGATCGTGGGAGCAACTTGGTGGCAACAATGACGGCAGCAGGAAAGAAGGGGCCGAGGAAGAATCCCTGGAATGAGACGGCAACGGCAGATGCATAGAAATTAGGCACGAGCCACAGGATGAGTCCGCAGGCTATTGCGAACAAGGAGTACAACTTGTCGAAGCTGTTAGTTTATCTGGAACTAGTGAAGGGATGAAGCAGGCAAAAAGGGGGGGGAAAAGAAAAAAGAGATCATCCGGATACATACAATTATCGCCATCCTTTCCCCGATTCGTGGAGTGATGAAACCGAGTACCACTCGACCGCAGGCAATGCCTAGCCAGAACCCCGTTGCAACCATCCCGCTAGCAAAGTCCGCTCCATGTCGTACTCGCATCATGAACGTGACGATCCATCCGCCCAAAGCAACCTCGATCCCGACATATCCGAGGAGGAAAAACGCACAAATCCAGGTGACCCTGGCAGATCGCTTCGTAAAAAGGGCCTCACGCAGGCCTCCAGCAGGGCCGTCCTCCTGGGGGTTAGCCTTCCGTAAGGCTGCTGCTGTGGAATCCCAAAAGACAGAAAGACAGAAGGCGAGCTCGATAGCGGCACAGCCAATCTTTATTGCTGTTATATTAACGAGAGTCTCGACGCATCTGAAATGACGACATACCATGATATAGTAGAAATAGTACCAGGGCACCTTTGCCTCGGTAATTAAAGAAGTCGCTATCAGTGGGCTCAGAACTGCACCTACCCCATATAGTCCGTGCAAGAGTCCCAGGAGCTCATTGGCATTAGCCATGTTGCCAATCCAAGCATTCCAAGCGGAGTCGGCCAATCCATTTCCAAAACCTGCAAATATGAAGGATACTACCAATACAGGATATGGGGGATGAACGCAATTGACAATGTATGCCAGTAAATGACACCCTGGGGAAATCCAGGCCACTCCGCGGCGGCCAAGCGTCGTATGGATTTTGTTGTTGAGTAGGGCAGCCAGGGTATAGCCACCGAGGGGAGACAGGAAAACAAGAGAGACAATAGTATAGGACAGATTATAATATTCCTCGAGCTAAAAGATTAGCGGCGGATCCCATAACACATAGAGCTCACGCTTACATATGGAATTAACGGCTATAAAGGTTAGCTATGATCCGATCAGCCGACAATTGAACTTACCCCATACGCGGCATCATTCGCTCCCATCACCAGAAAGCTCCAGAATGTAGCGGCTGTCTTGAGTATATTAGACCTGGGATGGTTCCATCGTTCTGTCTCGTTGCATACGAGCTTAGCCTCCTGTGCGTACTTCTCAGAAGGCGGATTTTGCTGCGCCAGAGCACTGTCTATGTTTGGATTGTTAGTCGCCATGTTGTTGGGTAATTTTTCAGGATTCATAAATTGGGATCTGGGTCTTTATATCGACCGGAGCGAGTCAAGCACTAACCAATAGATGGGTACTAGCATACAGGCTAAATTGGCCCTGCAGATACTTTTTTGCCAAGTAACGTCGGTCCGACAGCGTGAGATATGATTCATGGGTCCATTGCCACATTGACCCAAAACTAAATCAGTCCCTATCCCCACAGCGGTGCGACGCTAATCTCTTCAGCATTGATAGTACATATATTCGTGACTTGACCAACATGTCGTCTATGGCCCCGACGTTTCTCCGTGAGCTGTCATACTGTTCAGACATGCATCTCAAGGCACTCCCACGCAGGATCACGTATCAAAAGCCCTCGTGCCTTGAATGAAACAAGAAAAAGGCATTAACCAGCAAGAAGCACGTGAGCAGGAATGAGGGTACAGCGCTAATAAGAATTAGCTTCAGCTGGGAGAAGCTTATATGCAGCCAGTCTAGTCGGAAAAATAATATTTGGAGTCTTTTAGACGCTGAAGTCGAGCCATTAAGCTGCTGTTGTGGCGGATGGATGAAGAGTTTGATGTCGCTAACATGATCGAGAGGACTGAAAAGGGAAAGTGATCGGGCTGCTGGCGAACCTTCCCTTTCAAGTTTGGTGAGGTACAAACCGAGATCTAATCTTATTGGACTTTGGATACATATACGAGATACACTATGCCTATTATAGCAGAACGCCCAACTCCTGATTTCCAACGCTTGACTGCCAGATCAGTCGTGATCCATCACTCCACCTCGCACAGCAAACCCATGGCGAAGCTCCCTCTGTCCTTAGGACAATGCCAATTTGTTGCTGATGTTCAGTGCATCCAAGTTGATCTTTGGCCCGGTGAACTTATGTCTCCGCTCTATCCACAGCAGCATGATGAGGCAATACACCCCCACCAGGACAGCCGACCCGCTATATCAACATTAGTACTCCGCAGGACGCAGATGGCAATGGAAAGCAATGGTAAAAACACTTACTAGTTCATAGACCCTGCAGTTGCTGGTAGCCTAGTCGGGAAACAAAACAGTATCCCGCTGAAGGTCAACCACACCGTGGAAAAAATATTGACTGCGTATCCCCATCGACCCAGATCAAATGACCGTGCCGGCAGCTTGTCCCGTCCGACTGTCGCTAGGACGGCCTGAGGAACGGTAAAACTAATGTTCAAAAAGAGGATTGACATGTTCACGATGCAGTTGAATGCTGTTGAACTGGCAATATAGACCAGACCGTATAGGAGACAGAATGAGACCGAAAGGAACGTGGTGCGCACGGGGATGTTGAACTTTGGGTCGATGAAATTCCAATAGTGGGAAAAAGGAAGGCCGTTCTGTCTTGGTTAGCACCACACACCTTGAATTGTTGGTTCCGCTCCGAAGCATACATCTCTAGAGAACGCCCACGCGATCCGACTCGAAGTTATCCATTGGCTTGGACCGCAGGCTGACCGGTTAGTATGGTACCAGACACCAAAGGGCATAGACTTACTCCAGTACAGGAATGTCATAAAGCTTGCAGCGCTGTGGCGCCCACCTTACTTCCTGTCGCTTGATAGTAGACCTCCATGCTAGGGATGAACGCTTTGTGAACTGCATCGATGTCCTGAATGCCGCAAAGCATCACGGTCACCCACGGTACAGCTGTCATAACGCCGACTAGGACTCCAAGATTACTGCTGACAGTTAGCAGAATATCAACATCGATATGTGGTCAACCGTACATCACGAGAGGGATCCTCCGTCCCGGCTGGGGCATTTCCTCCGCGATATGTGTGACAGCTCCGATAGCCGCATAGCAGTATTGTCCCATGGTGATGCTCAGCAACCATGCTGGGGCCGTGTCCCATCCACTGGTCCCCTGGAACGTTGTAAGGACTTCCGGGTGGTAACGTCCCCGACCTGAGGCGAGTACAGCTATCAAGACCAAGATTAAGCCGGTTATGGATAGGGTAAAGGTGGTTTTCGTCAGGTAGTCATAACGTCTCTGGGGAACGGCGAAGACAGGAATCACTAATCAATCAGTTACCATGCTAATAATCAGACCTTGGGGGCTTACAGGTCAAGGTAACCACCAAAACATAACACAAGTATATCTGCCACCTCTCATGCTGAAAGTCTGGATACCAGAACACTGCTATCCCAAACGCCGAAATCCCAGTATAGATAATGCCCGATGCCGCACTCACCCACCATGCTATCACGTTGGTAATGCCAACTGTGTATGCGGCAAACTTCTTGTACTTTGGTGGGGCTAGTATATATGTGAAGTGGTATTGACCCTATAGGGTGTCAGCGTGACCGAAGCATGATGAGAGAAAGATTGAACCAACCCCTGAAGAGGGCAATGCAGAGCACAGCTCTGCCAGCCCTAACAATACAATCCACTGCGCTACCGCCGCAATCATGACTCCGAAGAGAACGGTCGGGCCACCTCCATATGCCAGGGGCGTTCCGAACGTTGCGCCATAACCTAACCATGAGTTGGCAATACTATCTCAGTCAGCAAACGGGACCCGACGCGGCTTGTAGTATAGAGCCTAACCTGAACGACAATCCAATGGCTCCCACCCAGGAAAACGACCGCGCAAGCTCGGGCCGATGACCCTGGGCCTGCAGGACGGCATCGTCGGGAGCAAGGCTTTCGTCGGATAGTTTTTCTACCTCGTACGGAACCTGCTTCTTGATATCTGCGGTGTCAGTCATCTTGGACTATGGTGACGAAGACTGACAAAGTCGGCTCCGAGGTATGAGGGGGAGAAAAGGGATCGGGGAGATATTAGCACTACACATGTGAAATACGGTGCGTTGCACCGCATATTAAATAGCAGCTACGCTGGTGTTAGGTTACTTGGCTATCCTATCGAGCAATAGCTGGGACCTCGACACACCAAGACGGGAAGCAAGGATGTGGAATGTCAGAGAGTGGAACCAACAACGAAGGGGGTGAGTAGTTCACCTTGGATGGAATGTTGCTTATGAGAGCATCTCGAACGTTAATGGGACCGTTTCCTCAGATCATCAGCCTATCCTTTGACCTTGTGAACATTTACAGCTCTGCCGAACCATGCATGTTGCGAACCTATGATGTATATGATGCAACCTCATGCTCGCGGCTGCAGGAGAATAAATAAGCACTTGCTTCAGACTTATACACCGGCGGCCAACTTGCACTTCTCTGCCCCCTTGCATTGAGGCCTACGTTTGATTATTGCACTGGAGCTCTCCACACTAGAAATGTCGATCAAATTGGGGATCTCATGATATACCCTCTTGCCGAGTCGACCAACTTCTTTTGCCCTCGGCACCTCACAGTAGCCCTACACCATGGCCATTACATTCCACGAATCCACGATCAGCGTGCCTTCGTTTGAATCGATAAAATCGAGAGATGGACAGGATTTACCAAACGCCGATAAGCAGGGTAATAAAAGACTTTACAAAGCTACGATCAAGGCATGTGTCTTCTTGGAAAGCCGAAGTTGCCGGCCGAGCTATCTTATTAACCTTAAGGGGAAACCCGTCGAGCTCCCAGAGCTTTAGCTTAGCTCTCAAGTGGCCAGTGCTCCCTCCCCTCTAACCGATAAAACTCAGTTCCAATTCGTAGCTAGCTGCCTTCCTAGCTGTAGCATTGCGGCTCGGCAGTAGCCAGACCTAGATCCCTCACATCAGCACTAACCACTCGATTAGCACGTTGAGCGGCTTGGCGTCCCCATCACAATACGACCAGGAGTCCCTGCCACAATAATAGCAACCCGATATCCTGAGTATATAAAACGCCGAACCCCACCCGTAGATCCTCTCACGATCCTAGCGATAACAACATTCTCAGACGCCTAAGCACCCCGCGACCATGGCAGAAGTCGAGTCATACGCAGGGAGTTGCCACTGTGGCCAAGTCAAGTACTCCTTTTCCCTATCGCCGCCGATTGAGGAACAGGAGGTCGTCCAGTGTAACTGTAGGTTTAACCTGGCTAATCCTATTCAATCTCACCGTCGGCGATTAAACCGAATTATGGCATGCGGGATTTACCCCTAATTCTCCTGGACTGGGGCTAATTTTATCGTGAATGACGCAGGCTCCATTTGCCATATTAATGGTTATTTGCTTGTTTATCCGAAAATAGACGATTTTAAGTTTCCGAGGGAGGATACTGTGAAGGTTGTTTTCTTTTACTTTGCTTTTACTTTTCTTTTACTTTTTTTTTATTTTGTTTTCTTTCTTGTTGTTATCATTATTAATGCTAAGAATCCTTGTTGCGTCATTAATTGTGTCATTTTATGCAGGGTATTATCGTGACTAACTTTTGGACTTTGCAGGCTTATCGCTTTGGATCCGAGCAGGTCCCCCATTATTTCTGTACGAATTGTGGGACGAGTGTTTATGCGAGAAGTACTATTCCGCGTTTCAGTCATATTATTGCATTGAATGTATTTACCTCTGGGTTCTTTTTTTTTTTTCTCCCATTATGAGAAGTGTGGTTAATGTCGTGTCTAGGTACGCACTATTCCCGGTGTTGAGATTGAGTCTTTGAAAATTAAGAAGATGGACGGGAAGAGTGCCACGATTGATAGGGAGCGTTAATCCGTTGAATGGACTCTTCAACTATTTAATGTATAGGTACAAGTAGATGGGTGGGTGGTGCATTGTGCTGTTCAGGGTTGGTGTTGTGTGTTATTCAGTTGTTTATATATTGTTGCATATGGTGGGCCCTCTTGGATGTCGAGAAGGGTTGGTTTACGGTGTTGGTGGAGGTATATTAGTACGTCCCGAGATGAGCTTTGTACATGGAAACTTGAAAATTGTATATGATAATAGAGGATGTAAACGTGGAGTTGCGGAGTGCCTGCCTCTTAAGTGATCTTTGCTAGTGTACATTCTCACTACCTGGTTGAAAGTAAAATGGCAATATGCTGCACACATGTTGAAACCTCACTGCTGTCATAATTAGTGATTAGATATCATTCGTCGCACATCTAGTACATAACTCTAGTTAAGAATCCTTTTCCCTGTCGTTCGCGGTCTAGGATAATATCGACAATGTTGAAGCAAAGTATATTGAATCGATATATGGATGCCTGGGGCACCAAATGACTCGTGAACCCGAAACCTGCCTTCTAACATTCTCAGTACTAACTAATCTTAGTGATCTGCAACCAGCGATCGAAATCTCAACAGACCCTAAGCAATTCTATATAGTACGTGGTAACTCGTAGACCTGCATTTTCATTCCATCTGCAAATTAGCCTTTTGATGGAAGCACCGGTGAGCAAGGAGAATCTTGGCTAAATTCTCGGCAGAGTGCCTACCTGTCCCGGCCTAGCGTCCGCCTTTAGATTACTTTAGGCTTAGTGAGCCACCATTTTGAGCCAGAGTCTGGGCACGTACATACGCAATAACATAGATTAGGGCACTGGATGTTTGAAGTAGGTTAATGAGCCTGACGATGCAGTAAATATAGCTCAAAATGATCTTGCAACAATTTCATACCACATTACTCATGTATTAAGCCTCGGATACCTCCCTCAATCCACAACATTTGCCCTTTTGGTTGTAATTTGTCTCATGGCTTCGTACAATCCCTTGCCAGCTTGCACTCGAATGTGCGTATAGACGTTCCGAACCATTATAGATACTTGTTCCTGTTCATCTGGGGTATATACCTAGGTAGTTCTTCGCTGGGTAGATATCAATTCATTTTGACTGTAGGTTACGTGTTTGTGATGGTTAGCCGTTTCAAAATTCGATTGACCGCCAGTCACTGGTTTTCAGGCTCTGCTTAATGCGATACACAAAAGCAAGATGATTGGAAATGCTGTGCTTTGGCTGTCGCGGCAGTGTTCACACAAATGGTTCTTGTCAAGACATATGAGCGAGAGACTTTGAATCATGGGCTCCAAGGCAGTAGGAGCTCTTAAATAAGGGTGTCACAATGCCCGCAATTGAGCGAATCCTTATAGATGACCAAAGAGAAGTAGCTTGTTGAGATAGCTGGAATATGAACCTGGGAAAGCTAGCCACCCTGAATGTCAGCGCCCAAATTTTCACTTAAATGATATTGATCTTTGCTGCTAAGGAATACAGAGAGGTTGGCATTGATGGAACCGGTGCGAAAAGTATCAGAAGTATCCGTCGTATGTACTTGTCCAAGCCAATTCAGGGAATAGTTGGACATAATTACAGTTGACGAAAGACAAAAGCCGCCCCGCGCTATATTCCCATCTGTGTTGGTATCTGATAGGTATCGGATATAGCTTCAACCTTCCCCCTTCGGATAAGCATGCATGTGTCCGAGGAGTACCTGAGATTACCCTACGATAAGATCAGAAAGAAATGATAACATTCACAGCAAATGTGGACCGTGTTGATAATGAATCGCATATAGGTGCTTCTGCGACGCATTAGGGCAATTCTATCTCAGCCTGACCAGCACTTGATTGGCTCAGCGAGTCTAAGGAAGCCTTGGAAGATCCGAAAAGAGTTCTAGCTGCGAGTCTAACATGAAGCCCATGCGGTCTCCACTTTTGAGCAGTAGCCCATCGCATGAACCTTCCTATTCAGTCTCTGCAGGAACGGGTGCATTAAGGTGAGGGACAGCAGCGGCGTTTCAAACCCAGATGAAGTGATTTGGGGTAGAGCCCGTTGGACACCGCTGATATTCTCTGCCCAGATAGCTGGGTATTATCACTTATCTTAAGGATGACAAGTAGAATCTATAGTAGGAGATACAAGCGTGGTGAGTCCAACTCCCACGAGGATGTGGTATCCATATGGATGCAGCACGTTACTGTAGGGAGGTCGGCGTATAGGGCACCGAACAACGTGGCGGCTTGCTCGGGCAACAGGTCCAATTGACTTTTTGCAATATTTGCGGTTGATCTATAGTTAATTTGAAGCGCCGCGATCGTTCTTACCTGATTTCAGACAAGGCTTGGCTACATCGTTACATGCTTGGCTCATAGTAGCATTAGCTAGTTCCACTGGCATCGAGGGCGGCCAAATTCCGAGGAAGAACTGTTTTGTTCAATACTTGGAAATTGTTTCGTATCCTTTCCCTGAAAGGTAGGAGGAGACGACTTTCAAGCAGACCAACATCCTCAGGAAACTGTAATTATGATGAATCTCTGTTGGAACATGGAAACATTGGAGTCGTTGAACAACACGATTACCGCATACGCTATATCCGAGCCATGAACCGTTAATACTAACCTTGGACGGCCAGACCCCCATAGCCATGAAGATGTCGGTGACAAGTGGATCGACAAGCAATATTTTCGGTTGCCTGGAGCTTCCCCGCATTTCCAGTGCCCCTTCCCAGACGGATGTCGGCTATTATCAAGGTTCAGCCTAAGATACACTACTGATGTAAGATGAGTCCGTGCCGATCTTGCTGGAGAGAAAGCGACAATCCCATGCGCTGGCTGGCCACGAGGACAAGGAACTCTGAATGTCTGACGTTCTCACCTGCGTCTGTACGCCACCGAGTCGAGATGCAACTGGGATTCGCATTCTCTTTGTGTTATCGGGCGGGTTGGAGATAGGCGACGGATCGACAATCAGGGCTTATCATGTTCCGCATAGACTTTCCTAATTGGGACGTGGCGAAGTGTTTAGTTGATTGACTTTGGAGAGCTGATCCCAAATCGTACGTACATGCTCTGGATGTACGCACGGTGGCTCTGATCGTGGCGAGGACAGCTGAATGCATGCATACATACATACACAGAGCGTGTCTGTGGAGGGAGAGAAAAGCGAGTGCGTTCTATAATATAGGGATTGTATAGGATGTTGCATGGTATAAATGGCGTAGAATATTCCCTCGCGGAGATAGAAGATGTAACCGTGATACTGGGCGAAGAACCATGGCTCCAGTGCTGAAGGGCAGCAGAAACAGCGCCATCCCCACTTAGGATGTCCTGCCGAGTTTAACACAAAAAAAACCCCGCAAACTTTTTTACGGCCCGGAAAAATAAGACAGGGAAAAAAGAAAGCAAAAAAAAAAAGTGCCCAACGTCACGATTTCTACCCGCAACTTATCACTCTTGCCTATCAATTACTGATGAAGATCGCTACCATGACCAATTCCACTGATTAAACTACTCGATAATCATCTGCAACCATTGAACCCCCCTAAGTGAGGGGGTCCGAAAACGTCCGGGGTCCAAGCAGAGCCACAGAGCTTCCTTGCTTCCCCTCTCCGTGTATAGCTGCCCGGTTTGATATATGAACCCCCCGGCGTCAGCTTTTTAGAAACTTTCCTCCAGAAAAAGTCCGCGCAGAAAATGGACAGGAGGGTACACTACTTGCCCATCGAATTGACTTGTCCACCCCTTGGCTGAACTCTCATCATCTCGTCATACGTGATCAAATCTCCGTATGGACCTGGAATCCAACTCCCAACCCCTTAAACCGCACTTGGTCGATCAAAGTGTGCAAGATGCTCACGATCTCGCGGCGATGGGCCATGACCAGGCCCTGACACGCAAGTTCGATTTGTGGAGCATGTTAGCCTTGGCATTTTGCGTCCTCGGTATGCACAATCTGTACAAGGGATGAAAGACGGCTATTGACAAACGATCTAGGAACGTATTCAACTTTTGCTCAGGATCTCAGCAGCGGGTTGACCAACGGTGGCGCTGTGACGATTCTCTGGGGTCTGGTGTTGGTCACCGCATGTAACCTCTGTGTCGCCGTATCTCTTGGCGAGCTCGCCAGTAGCATGCCGACCGCGCTGGGTCAGGCTTACTGGGTCTTCCGACTATGGGAAACCCCCTTGGGTCGCTTTGCTTCGTACATGTGCGCGTGGATCAACACCTTCGGCTGGTGGACGTTGACCGCATCACAAGTCGCCTTCATGACCGAGTTTCTTCTTGGCATGAAGGTCATGTTCGAGCCGACGTGGGAGGGAGCCGGGACCGGGTGGCTGGAATTTGTCGTCTACATCGGCTGTGTGCTGCTCTTGACCGTGATCAATGTGGTGGGGTGCCGCAGGGAGAAAATCCTCCCCTGGATCAATAATTTCGTCGGCGTGTGGTTCACCGCATTGTTCGTCATCCTGTCCCTGGCGTTGCTGATCTCGGTCGGAGTGAAGAAAGACCTCTCTTTCCAACCAGCGTCCTTCGTGTTCGGCAAATGGATGAACCAGACTGGTTGGAGCGACGGTGTCGTGTGGTTTACTGGACTTGTCCAGGCCGCCTACGGTCTGACAGCTTTCGACGCGGTCATTCACATGGTGGAGGAAATCCCGGCCCCCCGAAAGAATGCCCCTAAAGTGATCTGGCTGGCTGTGCTACTTGGCGCTGTCACCGGTTTTATCTTCATGGTCGTCTGTCTCTTCTGTATCCAGGATGTGGATAAGGTGGTCGACTCACCCAGCGGACTCCCTTTCATTGAATTGATGCTCGAGACGATCGGATTAAAAGGCGGCGCGACATTGATCGCATTATTTATCTTCAACGGCCTGGGACAAGGCATCAGTATCCTAACCACCGCGTCTCGGCTAACGTGGGGATTCGCACGCGACGGCGGTTTACCCTGGAGCGGATACCTCAGCCACGTCGACCCCGTGTGGAAAGTGCCCGCGCGCTCCCTCTGGTTCCAGGGCGTTCTGATCGCTTTAGTTGGGATTCTCTATCTGTTTGCCAATACCGTGCTGGAGGCCATCCTCAGTGTGAGCACAATCGCCCTCACCATCTCCTATGGTTTGCCCATCGGCGCCCTGCTCGTCGTCGGACGGGATAAACTGCCACCGGGCCAATTCAATCTCGGGCGATGGGGCAAGCCTCTGAACTGGATCAGCGTCATCTACTGTGCCATTACCACGGTATTCTTCTTCTTCCCTGGGTCCCCGAATCCACCGGCGGGTGATATGAACTACGCCATTGCCGTCTTTGGAGTGATGCTGGTGGTGGCTATCGGCTTTTGGTTCGTTCAGGGAAGTCGCACGTATCTCAAAACAGAGGACGCCATTGCGCAGATGATCGTGGCGCAACGTTTGGAGAATGAGGGGACGGTTGAGCCGGATTCAAAGAAGAAATAGACCAATTGGTTAAATGTCAGGAATACGTGATCGTTATAAACTGGGCCTTTATGTCAGGCTTTCTATATAATTAGTCTGGACACCAGATATTGCATTTTGTTATCTCTCTTCGATAAATCCTTAAGATCTAGGTTCGTCAGCTATACCACCACGGTGTTCGCAGTAGTTCTGCAGACCAACATACAAGTTATGCTTAGTCCCACTTGCTACAATAACTTTGTGCCATAAACTGAATAAAACGTGTCAACCACTGAAGATGCAGTGCTTCCATGAGGACGACATGAGTCGAGGAAGTTGTTCCATAAACGTCTTCCCGATCCATGGTCTATGATCTAAGAATAGTCCAACTGTCACTCTTACTATAAATGCTCCACTAGAGCTCCTTGAAGACAAAAAAAGCTAGATTAATCGTCCCCACCTCAATTTCAACGTTGTTGATACATATCAAATCCAGCTTTTGAAAGCAGGAAACACCCCCATGCTTATGGCAAGATATCACCCCTATCCCTTTACAGTGACCTATTTAAAAGTTCTTATTTCACGGAGGTTGTGCACCGTCTCCCCACATAGCTAGAGGCTTAGCCATCCTTGTATGCTGGTCCTCTTAGACTGATCGACATGAACAGCCCTCGGTACTGCTAGTGGTAAGGGTTAGTCACCACCCCTTTGGTTTGGCTTGTCATAACGTTTCTTGCTTTTGTAATAGATACAAGACGTATACTTTGCGCTATATAGTATGTTTCAGAAGCGCAATAGGAAAGACGGAACTTAATAGAAGCAGTCAAGCGTCTACTGCTGGCATTGTCCACATATTGCCAGCAGGGGACACGCTCAACACTAATGTAGGATCCACTGTACACAATCAAGACACTTCAAGTCCCAGACAATATCTCTCCTTGAAGTGTTTGGGAAGGGACCAGAGTCATGAGCCAATTCTACAAAGCCAAATCATTGACAGCGTAACCGACAAATCCTATAATCAAGCAGGGATTCACCACAGCCCTACACAGAATAACACGGTATCCACCCAGCACAACGCTTGGCTATTCTACTCTATACAGTAAAGATATATCCCTCTGTACATGTCTAGCAAACAGTGTTCTGGAACACATCACATCCAGGGGACTCTACTCCGTCCCAAGCCATTGACTCAACCCCTCATAGCACACTCTGTTATGACCAAGAAAAACAACCCCAACACACAAAACAAACCCTCAATACGAGACCCTAAAATAAACGACCACACTCTATACCCATTCCGTATTAGGATCTTCACAAGTAGCCCCAATACTGAGGATCAATGGGCCCGTGCCAAGCTCGAATACGAGACATCCGAGCCCGCAACGGAAAATGAGGCACGTTGAGGCTGAAGGACGGACAAGACTTAAATACAACATTGTTGGACGGTGGAGACCTTTCCGAGTTTTTCTTTTTCTCGTTTCTTGGTTTTGGTTATACGTACCGTGGTTTCAGGATTCATATAGTAGGATAAACTTGACAGAAGAATGTATATCGCTAATACACTCTCGTTGCTCCTGGCTTCTGTCGCGTTCTACAACCAATGCGCTACTGCCGCGCAGGGAGAGCAAGAACAGGTGCAAGCACTCAGGGCCCCGGTCCTGGCGAGTAGGGAGTTCACGCCTATCGAGGAGGCCGGTCTGGAGAGGAGAGGTACATGTCCTGATGGTGGGCAGTGCTTGTTTGGACAGTGCTGTGGGACTGGATGTTCGCCGAATTGTTGTGCCCATGATGAGGGCGGGAGTAAGTTACTTACCTTTCTTCTTTGTTCTTGATGAAATATACTAATAAGACCAAGTCGGCTGTAACCTCTCAGAACGCTGTCAGTTCCAAGGCAACGTCTTCGTCGGATGCTGCAATGGTTTCATCGGGTACTTACTTACCTATCCCCCTTCTCCCTATTTTTCATGTGTTAAAAACCAAGACTAAACAATACAGACGCTGCACCGGCGAAGCAACAAGAGTAACCGTGCACTCCCCGGCTGACAGCACCATGTTCAACACCGGCGCCCCCGCAACCTCAGACGCAACCACAACCGAAAGATACACGCGCACCACGACGACCGAATCCACCGCTACTTCTACATCCGATGCCGATTCAAGCGCCAGCTCCAGCGCAGACTCGACGACGTCTCGGTCTGCGGCATCGCGCACGACATCGGCCGAGGAAACTCGGTCTACCTCCGGCTCTAGTTCGAGGTCTAGTTCGAGGCCCGGTTCGAGCTCTGAGAGTGCGAATGATAGTGTCGGTACGACTGCTTCGTCTACGAGCTTTGCGCAGGGCGGGGAGACCGAGTCTGTCAATGCGGCGCCTGCTGTTACGGGTTATGTGGGGTTGGAGATGGGGGCTGTTGCTGTTGGGGCTTTGTTGGTTTTGTAGGGTGCTGTTGTGTTAGATGTGGGGGTGGATTGCGTTGAGTGGATTTGGCTACGGTGGGAATGAGTTATGATTTATATTGGGTGGATGTATATACTAATGGTGGCTGATCCTTATGGTTCTTTACGACATCGGGTGCTTTTTCAGTCTGTTTACGTTATTCTTTTTGTTACGTACAGGTGGAGATATAGTCTCGGCGATGAGGCTGAGTGTTGGCCGCCACTCTTGGCTTGGAAAGATTATTCAGACCAGCACTTACTGCGGGGTCATATCGCTAATGTGTTGTCAGCTTGGTAAGGCTGAGGTCCAAGCTGCCGTGTACTCCCATGCTTAATCCTCACGTAAGCGGACTAGGGTTGCAACCTTAATTAGATTGTAGAGGAGTCATTTATGAACAGTTGTATTGAATCACGTATAAGACACATTGTACATAGTGGTATCTGTTATATCTATATAAAAGAAAACTTTAGTTGCCAAGGGCAAGCTTCTTGAGCTCGGCGAAGTCGGGAGTTCCAAGACCAGTAACGGGGTCCCAGCCCAGCGTAGCGTTCCAGCTAGCAAAGGGCACGACAGGACCGCCATCAGGGGCGCCGCCGAAGCGAGAGCGACCGGTGCAGCCAGTGCTAGCACCGAGGGTGATGTCTTGCAGACCCTGGCGGCCGGTCTTGTACAGCCAGGGGTTCAGGAAGCCGAGAGTGGGCTTGCCGGCGCGGAGACGGGCATCGTTCAGGAGGGCGATGACAGCGCTAAAGGCCGGGGCAGAGGCGGAGGTGCCGTCAAACTCGCCCAAGGAGCCCTTGTCGTAGACGGCGAAGTTCATGCCCTGGGCTGCGACGTCGGGGAAGGCACGGCCGGAGGGGTTGTACAGGCCCTTGAATGCGTCGCCGATCGTCTCGAGGTAGCTGCTCACGGCCTCATCCTGCCATTCGGGACGGCCCCAGTAGTCGGAGAAACCGCCGGAGGAGAAGTAGGTGCCGCGCTCAGGGGTGGTCTTGAAGGTGGCGCCGACGGAGGTGACCCACGGGCAAGCGGCGGGGAACTGGGGAGGGAAGTGAGTCCGGTTGGTGCCGTCGTTGGTCAAGCAGCCCTCGCCAACACCGGAGTCACCGGAGGAGAAGAGAACGGAAACACCGCGGCTGCCGAGCTGGGCGATCAGGTTGCAAACGGTGCGAGCGTACTTCTCGGGGATTTCCTGGATGTCATTTAGTAGGTGTTTCAAGAATCAACGGAGAGGAAGTCGGCTACCTGTTCATTCTCTCCATAGGAGGTGGAGATGACCTGGGGAAGGTGCTCCTGGTCAAGCTTCAACACATTCTGGAAGAACTCAAGGTACGGCTCATTGCTGTTGGCGTTGGGGTCGGGCTGGGTCAGATCAGGGATGAGGGGGCCACGGCCTCCGGTGCTGAACTCAGTGACGGGCAATGGGGCGCTGACACCGAGGATATATTGCAGGTCCAGGTTGGCCTCACCGGAGTCGGACGAGGAGTTCTGATCATTGAGACCACCGTTGAAGGTAGTCACGGAGAAGTTCTGGCCCTTAGCCCAGGGAGCAAGGTAGTTCTCAAAGTTCTCCAGGTCAGCGTACCGCGCGTACTCCTCCAGATAGCTGGCGAAGGCGATCTTGCTGCCCGAGTTGGGATCCGCCTGGTAGTCACCAATGTTGTAAAGTTCCTTCAGACAGGTGGGGGTAATGATGGAATCACAGTGCGAGATGTTCTTTGCAACGACAGCAGCGGCAAGGGCGGTCACGTCCAACTGGGAGGGCTTGCTGTGTGTAACGGCCTCTTGGGGCTAATCTTTCCGAAACGGGTGGTGGGTTGGATGGTGTTGACGTGAGAGGCGACCGAGTCGGGGATATCATACTGCAGGGTTCTGAGACGGCGGATGTGCTTCACATCGCTGACGTACCACTTGAATTGAGCATTCAAGAGCTTGTTCGCGGTCTCGACAGTAGTACAGAAGTTGATCCAGTCGGCATCCTGTCTAACGTCGGTCACGCCGCCGTTTTCAAGCCACTGTCGAACGGCATCAAGGGTGTCATCCCTGGGGAGAAGCATGCGCTTCATCTCATCGTGGGTGGTGAAGTGTTGGCCGTAGCTGGGGTGGTCGGGATCCGACATCTCCAAGACGCTCTTTTCGAAGCCAGCAACATCATTCTGCGCGAGGGCGATCTTCAGACAAACCGAGGTGTTGCCTTCAGGGGCACTAGAGTAGTGCCATCCTAGTAAACAATTAGCATTGCGACCGACGACCTATAGAACTCATGCTTATCGATCATGAGGCGGACCCAGGGGCGCATACCCTTGGGAACGGCGGACAGCTTCTCGAAAGTCTCCCCTGCGGCAGAGGAGCTGAGCAGTGAAAGCACTGCGAGCGAAATCGCTCCACGGCTGAAGAACATAGTGGGCTGAGATCAACGGCGGACAATGGTTGTAGAGGGGAAGGACGAAGGAGGCGAATGCGGAGCGTATTTATTTTAGACCAGACGACCAGCCTTCGCGTGATTGTTATCGATAGCGCAGTGTCATCGCCTGCAGCTGACTCTGCATGCCATGGAGCAATCAATGAATGCACCGGACGTCCGTCGGGACCCTCCTCGCCGGGCCAGCATGATTGGATTGACCCTTGAGGATCCAGCCAAGCCCGCAGCACATAGTTACATGGTGCAATGGGGGGAATCGCGCACCCTGGCTTATCAGAATGCAAGGTGAGATGCGATCGTCAGGGGATGTGGAGATCACTATTCTCATTCGGGACGCGACACCAAATTGGCCAAGCCGATGATCAGGCTGCCATTTTGGGCGTGCATGCTACGTCGCCGAAGACTTGCATCTCGCTCTTCGGTTCGTTATAGATACCGGGCTTTAACTCATGTCGATTTGATGTCAGATGTTGGAAGTGTTTTGCCTTGTGTTCTTACGATCGGTTTGTCTTCTTTGCGATGTTTGTTTGTCTGGTTTGCCTGCCAAGGCACTGAAGAAAAACAATCACAACAAACAACAACAACAACAGGATTGTTTCGGACTGCTGACTGTACTCGTCCAGATTGGGGCGTGGACTCGTATTTCCGACTATAAATACACATTATCGCCAAGTATCTTTCCTCGTCGTGTCCTTCGTGTTCAACCCTTCCCTCCCCCTCTATCCAATATTGTACCATTTGGGGCTCAATGTAACCTGAATTGCAATCCTCCGCATTATTCAGACTCGGCGAGAGACTAATCGTGTCCCCGCTATGCTTCTTCGGTACAAGCACCGCCCAGCCGACGCTTCTTTCTTGCCGAGAGAAACCTGCCCTATCAATTTATATTAATTGAAGTCCGCCATATCACGATTGCTACATCTCTATCAGGAAGGCGTGATACCATTAGGTAATTAATATACCAGTCCATGAACAGGGTGGGGAGGGTGAAGCACACCGCCGGACTTGCCAGGCTGAAGAATGTACCGTTATGCCTGACATAGCAGCCCTGGATACAGGTGGAAGGGCGGGAAGAACATAATCGCAATGCTGCTTACAATCCGATCCTAACAACTTTATCTGGACTGCTTGGGAGTGTATAAGCTGCACATTATATGTCAACTAGTATGGTCCTTCAAGTACGGAGTACTCTGGAGAGATTGTGCGATCTGTGTTGCCACTAGGGTAGCGCTTGGTTGTAGCTGTGGAGCTCCAATGGGTGGACAAATAGATAACGAAACGTTTCCGTGGCTTGTTTACCATGGAGACGCTATGAAGCGGGGTGCCAACAACCTTGCAGAACTTTCGATTTCCAATCCTTGATTCTTGATTTCGGCTTCCCTGGTTTTGGAGGTAGACAATAATAGCAAATATTATACATTATGCAATGATACCATATTTGCAAAGAGAAACTGGCATGTCTATTTGACCAAAAAGCTAGTTGGCAGTAAGTTGCTCTAGTCTTTTAATCGAAGATTATCAACGTTGTGCGGATATATATCTCTGTACGATCTTGACACCTCCAACCCTCAACTGTTAAGACTGTAAATCGTTTCCGTAGAGAAGATTAACAGAAAATTGGAAAATAAAATAAATACATATTACAGATTTTATAGTATTGCGAAAGTAATGGTGTCTCGCATTTTCTCATCGACTCTTGTCCATTAAGTTATAGAACCCCGAGCAATATAACAGGTTCGGAATCCGGGTAAGTATTCTAGAAGACAATAGGAACAATTAATTATGTTTGCCTTCAAAGGAATGTGACTTCAATACGTCCTCCTCTGTAAGAACCTGAGTTATGCCATCCCAACTCCTTCAATCATTGCATTCGTCATTTACCATAGGAAGGAGTCCCATGTCCCATGTTCGAGTATAAGGCTGAGCAACCGTCAACGTTAGCTTCTTGGTGCTGACAGTAAGCAGGTATTGGCGCATACGTAATGAAATAGCATTCCTTAACACGCCTTTGACCCCTGTTGCATGCTTCGCCCAACAGTTGCATGCTTACCGATAACTTTCTTACGAGACACGCCGGAATGTGGGTCATATACCGGCTTCCCTACCTGGCGACTGCGCGAATCTCAATAATCATCCTGTGTCATGAGCAAGAACAGTGATAGACGGCCAACAAGGATACGTAATATAGCGTAGTGATAGGCTTCTTATGCCTAGATGGCTAATGCAAAGAGTATTAATCACACCCTAAGTTGCAGCAACTAATTCACCAGGTTTGTTGGTGATTTAGAACCTGAGAGGTCAACAAAACTAGACCGGAGCCTGTTACTTGCATGGGTGTCACCGGTTGAAATCTGAGTCCGCCAAAAGCCGTCGGCGTGTCATAGGACAGGTATCTGCTTCTTGCATGCTAGCGGTATATAGGGTTGGATCGACTGGACCTCAAAGCTCTTTTGGTGTTATGAATCACGTGCGTTTACCGATCGGTCATAGACCCCAGGACCCCAAGCCTGATCGAATGTGACAGGCGCTGTGAAAGGCTTCCTCATGTAAGCATTCAACTCGATAACACATGTAGTTTGAAATTGGTAATGTTTTGTCCGCTTATGTCTACTTTTCTTGGCCATCTCGTGCTGTGAGGCAAGAAAGCATTGCGTGTCATGCATTTCATTCGTGACTACTCTTCACAAGATCAACACACAACTATGAGTATACTCCGCTCTTGGCTTCGACAACTTGTCAAGTAAAGTAGTTATCGAAAGATGCTGTTGGCTCTGGAAGAGTTCTGTCCAAACCCCACGGCGCTACAACGTACTGCAAACATGCTTATAAAATGGGCATGGCTGGCTCAGTGGAGCCGATGGACATGGTCCTAGATGGAGTTGATGAAACGAAAGATGCGAACGAGCTTTTAGGTCATTACCAGAAGTTTGCTAAAATAGCGGTCCGGGTTCTCGTTACCGGCAGGGATCTTCCACATATCGGAAAGAAGATGAAAGCCTCCAATTAGCTGGAGATCACAGGCGATACACAAGACCTGAGGCTATCGCCTATACATTGAGACTAGACGGCGAGAAAGCGACTATGCTGACCACTCTGGAAATAGACAATGGGCTTATATCTATGTAAAACATCCTAACGACAGAAGAAAAACCAGATGGTCGCAGTGGACGTAAGTAGGCCAAGTCGCAATATATGGAAGCGGTCTCCATTCATCGATCGGTGGGAACCGGAGGCATCCTTGTCTGCGTCTGTCTTGTTATCCTGGGAGGTACTATCGGGACCTGGGCTTGCATCCGACGTTGGCTCAGCTTGGGGCTGGAGTTCAGGGCTCGCAGGGATACCCTCATTATCCTCCTTGCCACAGACCAGCAGATACATCATCGCGTAAAAGATGGGTATCACAATGAGCTGAATGATAATTGAGAGCACATTCCGGGACAACTGTGGGATCCACGGCGTTAGAGTTCTGTTAAAGCAGAAGAACAGAATATAAGGTGTCATTAGTCCGACGAGGTGGATGGCGTTGTGGGTGACTGGAGCCGCGCTGGCAAAGTCTTGGAACCACTGCTGTAGGCGCCGTAAGGAGGAGATATGTTGGCACATCCAGCGGAAGAGCAGCCTAATTGCGACCACAATGGAGATGCATCCGAGGAGAAGGATGGATGCAAAGTACGACAATAAGAGCAGATCCTTAACCAGACGGATGTCCAGCAAACTATCCGCAATTAGGAGCGTCACGGGTTGCAGGTCGCGGTGTAGCAGCCAGGTGATCAACGCCAGATCGCCAAACAACAATGGCCAACGGATAACCCGACCGGCGATGTATATGCCTAGATAGAGGAGACACCGCCAGTGCCCACACTTCCCCACCGGGGCCTGGTACGTGGGAGAGAAAATCTTCTCTAAATTGGAATCGTTCGGAGGCAACGATCGTGGATCGTGCTTGTCATCTGCCTCGGCTGCTGGCGACCAGAGCCCGTGTACCCGGTCGCAGAGGTTCTCTGTAGTGACAGAGGATGACAACGCATCTCTGTTCTCTTCTGTCGTCTTCTTTTCACCCGCGGTTTCTCGGCTCTTATGATGGTTGTAAGTGGGCGGGTTAGCAGGCTTTACAATGAGCGTACGACGAGGCCAGTCTCGATTATAGATCAAGTCTACATCCGAAGTGTCCCAGTGTAAAGATAACAGTTCGGCCAACATAGACTCAGCGACCAACGGTGTCACGATGGTCTTGATCCATGGAGAGTTCTCGGACCTTAGCAGAGTCACGTACAGCGGCACTGTTCCGACCATGAGAAACACGCGCCGCGTGAAACGCCACCACACGTTGTGTTCGAAACCCGACGGGCCCGACGTGAAATAATAATGGTTGAGAATCAGTAAGCCGGCGTGCAGGTCGGCGAGGTTCAAGAGTCTCCAGCCAAGGAAATCAAGGAGCAGTAGCTCGACCAGGATCGCCGACTGGGATGGAGAAAAGGAGAATGCGTTGCGCTTTACATTCTCGAGAAATGTTGGGTATCCGGTAGGCTTACTGAGGATGCTGATGGTTGTAGTAAGGAGAGACAAGGTGGTCAGTCCCCATGGCGCCATTCTACAACTTGTCTTGGGATTTACTCCACGACACACGAGGGAAACCAGCTTGGAATGTCGACAGGGGGAAGAGCAGTGGCTGTGATCAGCATCCGAAGCATGGCGCCAATTTGGGGGCCACGCAAATTTTCCCCCGTATTTTCAGTTTTTGAGAGAGAGTGGCACGCTAAACTCGTTCCGGTTTTCATTAGCATATAAAAAAATAACCACACCAACACTGACGAAAGAGATATATTCTCACAATACTAGACTAGAAGGTTGAAGTTGAGGAAATCTAGTTTCCCAGTTTCACTCAATTACTTAGCCACCCTTATGCACGTTAGATCAGGGCATGATGTGTGCTCCCCTCGGGTGTGGGGATGGAAGGCAGAACCCGCTCTCGCCAGCTGGTCCGGCCCTACCACCTTGATAGACGTAATAACCTTAAGTTTCTGGAGAAACCAGTGCTGAGAATGTTCGTACCCGATTGATTCCATATTCACGCCATGATTTGAGTCCGCTGGTGGGTCAGTTGACCTTGCGGAAAAAAGAGAGAAGAGAGGCAGGAGGGATATGCTACCTCCAGGCTTCTGGGGAGCGAGCTGAAGGACCGAGCATGCATTGGACGAGTAACCTGGCCACGGACATCAACAGACACCAACGTGACATCAGGAATGCTAGATTAGTAGGCTAGTCGGGCTTAGGCCGTTGGTGAGACAAATGATTGACAGGCTGAGCGTTGGCGCCATTTTTAGTGTGGGTTGCCTTAAAGTGTACAGTAAGATAGAACGACCGGGGTCATTAATTCAGCCAAGTCCCAATTCTTTTCGGGTGAGCTTAAAAGTTCCCCTCGTTCCCACCTACTTTAATAGACTGGTCCTCTAGGTGTATACTCATCTCGTCAGATCTATTGGTCTTCCGTCGGCCATCATGGAAGAGGCAGACTATGTTATCGTCGGTGGCGGTACGGCAGCCCTGGTTGTTGCTTGTCGACTATCGGAGAACCCAGAGACGCGCATCGTCGTGCTGGAGCGCGGTGAAGATGCATCGAATGACGCTCGCGTTCAGAATCCACTCGGGTACGAGTCTCTGACCGGCAGCGAGATGGATTGGAACCTCAAGGTGGTTCCGCAGGTAACGTCGATCTTCACCCTCATGGCTGGTCAGGGCTTTGCGCTAAAATGAACGGACCAGGCCGGATTGAACGATCGAGAATTCAACCAGCCGGCGGGGAAGGCCCTGGGCGGGTCTTCGCTCATCAATGGTTGCATCTTCCTGCCCCCGGCTGCAGCCGTTCTCAATGCCTGGGATTCGCTGGGTAACCCGGGCTGGAACTGGGAAACGCTGGCGCCCTATTTTCAACGGGCTTATACTTTGCATCCTAGGACCGGGCGTCCCCCGCCTGAGAGAGCCGGCCCCATCCAGGTGAGCTACCCAGCGTCTACGGAGAGGGCTGACACCACCCTGCTCGACGCATGGAAGAAAACATTCGAGGAACACGGTTATGGCTACGCCGACGAATTGGTGTCGGAGGGGCCAACCGTCGGTACGCGGCCGCATACTGCGACCATCGACCCAGTGTCCGGACATCGCAGCAGCGCAGCGAGCGGATACGGCGCCATTCTTGCGTCTCGTGCGAACGTCCGCATCGTCACCGGTGTCACCGTCACTCGTATCCTTTTCGATTCGTCTGCACCGAATGGCAGTCCCACTGCCACGGGAGTAGAGGTCCAGGCCGAAGGCCGGGGGACCGTCCTCTTCAAACCCACCAAAGAGGTAATTATGGCTGCGGGCGTATTCAACAACCCCAAGATCCTCGAATTGTCCGGGATTGGGGACCAAGCTCGACTCCACAAGCTCGGCATTTCACCACTCGTCCACCTGCCCGGGGTAGGAGAGAACCTTATGAATCACGCCATGAGTGTCCTGACGGCCCCTGTGAAGGCGGATGCGGACATCCAGGATATCACCCCGGGCATGAAAGCCAACGCCCTCATCCGCCTTCCGCCCGCGGAAATGCAAGAGATTCTCGATCGGGCCCGTGAGAACACAGACCACCCGGCCATTGCAGAGATCCTTGACGGGCCCAACGAGGCGTCTGCCTGCGTACACTTCGTCATCTACCCCGCAATCTCGCCGTGATCGGCCTATTCCCCTCCTTCCCTTTCTCCAGGGGTAGCATCCATACACAGTCTGCGGACCCAGCTAACAGTCCCCAGATTGATCCAAAGTACCTGACCAACCAGTCTGACCTCGATTCGATGGTTTGGCACGTTCAGTACTTGCAGAGAATTCTCCACTCTCCCCGTCTCCAGCCCTTCGTCGATGCGCCGCCGCCCCAGGACCGAGAGACGCTTGCTCAGCTGGTGCGCGAGGCCATGGTCATCCCAACGTCCCATGCGTGCGGTACTACCGCGATGCTTCCCCGCGAGAAAGGTGGCGTGGTCGCGCCGGATCTGAAGGTCTACGGCGTCAGCAATGTTCGGGTGGTCGATGCAAGCGTCTTCCCCGTCATTCCGCAGGCGAATCCCATTAGCACCGTGTATACGGTGGCTGAACGGGCCGCGGATTTGATCCGAGCATTCTGATCAGCCCATGTTGTGCAGCTGATTACTTTTCCTCTGCATTCGGTCTTGATGTGTTCATGGTTCTGATTGGTAGCGGTTGGTCTATGTGGTCATGAGAATTGTGCTGATCCTGATGATGTGGAACTTTGAGCTCTTGTCGTGCCCCACGGGCCTGTCAGAATATCACTCAGGAATAGCCGCCACGAGGAAGCCAAAGCAATGTTACGTGCGGCTGCGTGAGATTTCCAGAAAATGAGATTGGCTGTTGGGACTTGAGACTCGGAGACATTGCTCCTAAGCTTTTCGTTTCCACTGCCTGGTCAAGTGCAGCGCCAGCCATAGAAGCAGCAAATTGGCTATTTGTAGTGTGACCTTGAAACATTGATTGTTTCCTCGTGTTCATAGAACTGATTCTTAATTCGTGATATTCTAGGAACAGAGAATGGTCTAAGGAGAAAACAGTTCCTGCAGTTTTCATTGAACCTCTTGGGTTGAGCATTCGGGGTATGGAATGATATGTCCGAGATTTATTCGTTTGTCATTCCGCAACTGGACAGAATATATACAAGTAGGGATGGGGTTAGACGATTTATTTAAGGATACGTCTTGTATGATACAAAGCTACACGAACACTGACGAACGAGATATATTCTCACTAAACGAGACGATAAACTTCAATTTGGAAAAATCTAGTTTTCCTATTTCATTCAAGTGCTAGCTGTCGTTATGTATTCTGCATCGGGAATTATCTTCATCTTCCTGTTCACTGAAATGGTCCGAGACTGTCCTATGCGATGCAATGATTCTTTCCGTACTGTCGGCCCTATCGTGGTCGCCAGCATACACGGTGGTACTCTGTACGCATTTACTATCTTCTCTCTTACCGGCTTCTCGGGGGTAGCGGACGACCTTGAGCACACCTCTTCCAGCCTGGAAGCTGGGTCCCGGGGAAGCAACACCGTGGGAGCCAGACCCTGCCCCATTAGACTTCTTCGACAAGCTCAGCTCTAATTCCTCAGGGATTTGGACTCTGTTCATTCCAAGGGCCAGGCTATTCATGACGCGGTACAAATTAGGGATACACGTCGTAATAATACTGGCGTTCATCATTACTCTGCTAGGCGGAAGGCAAAGTTAGCAGACCGGAGAGAGAATGGAATAAACACGTCTCGTGTGGAAGGGACACCATGAGAGGAACTTCAAACGCCGTACTGGTTGCAAGCTGTTACACTGAAAATGGACCCTAAGTGCTTGCATCAGCAAGGCTCAGCTGCCGGATGTGCGGAGGGAAGGTATGACGAACAGGTGGGATCGGTAGAATGTAAGTATTGCCCCAGGTAAGATATTTGGAAACCATCAACCACAACGACTCTGCTAGCCGTTAGTCTCAGTTGGAATGGTTTTATTCTACCCGAAAGATATGAGACTCACATAATGCGAGACGCAAACGCTGCGATCAGCTTTACGCGACGAGCCAATGGCATTTGGACGTTCCAAAGCATGGCTGTTGGTAGAGCCACAAGCACTAGGTCAACTAACATGTTGATAGTCATAATCGGATACATGATGGCTCCCTAGGATGTCTGAGCGTAGGGTTCAGATCCAAGATCACTTCCCCAAATTCGGCTCACCTCTCCAAGGCAGCGACTAGGATAATATTGCCAACGTGGCGTTTGGCATTGAAAGGCGGATCCAAAGATTGCCAACACTGTCCATCCAGCAATGGCCATTTGCGTAATGCGGCAATATATCTCAATGGATTGGGTTGGGCTGATCGACAGGATCAAATTGCTCGACGATATTTTAGTAAGAGAAAGAACCACAAAGAACAGAAGTTGGGCAGTGTAAGTCAACTGTGGAGAGTCCATCAATTAGCTAACGGGGAGGGCAGCTTTTGAGTAGAATTTATAGGAATAAGGCTAATCTCACCCGGTTGTTCGCATCCAACGTACTGCTCAAGAGAGCTTCGAAATGCCTTCCAAGTCCATGATCGACGGCAAACTGTATCAGGAGGCTTTGGAGGAGCGCTACTATCTATTGTTATATTAGCTGTATTTTGTGGAGAGTGAATCCCTTGCTGTTATTCAGAGGCGGTGCTGCATGGAATGGAAGTCGTACTGTGCCGGTCCATATTGGAATATCAACCGAGAGTACCACCCGCTTTAGATATACCATGGACCAAGTCTTGATGATGACGATGATGAATGTGACAGAAAAGGCAATAAACGTAATAATTGATATAAGGGGTCCATTGTTATCCACACTTGCCTCTTCAAGCGGGGGCCGTGTATCGGTCTTGATAGGCATCGTGGAGCGTAATAGACAACCAATGTCAGGAATGCGACAATGAGGATATCATAGGGTAAATGGTTCCATGCATATTGAGAAGGGGCTAAAACAGAGAGAGAAAAAGGTAAAAAGGGGGGAAAGAGGGGGGGGGTCAGTGAGTGTGGCATCATGTTCTACTAGTAGATGGCGCTGGATCATGTCCCTGGTCGGATTCATGTGCATTCCATTTGTCCTGAGAGTATGTATATCTTCATATCCTATCTTTTTGGATGGGATTGCGTGTAGTCGTGTACTAACAACCTATTTGCTTCCAATCTGTAGCTCGCAGTCAACAAGATGAAACTGCACAATATAATCCAACAAAGAGAAATCGATAGGGAAAATTAGAGGAGACTATTATTGAGTATTTTATAACGTCTCCTGGTAGGCTCTCAATCCCTGTGACGGTAATACTTAGTGTAGCCTTCCCTCTGGCTGTGTGACGCCGCCCAGGGCTAGAACCCGATGATCCTTACTACATGGAACGAAAGCTCAGAGACTGGACAGGGTTTTATCCATGATCATAGGTTGTCCCTTTAACGCAGTCTAAAGGATGAGGATGGGAGACCTCCTTTCTCCTCTTTCCTGTTTCCTCTTTGTTTCTCTGTGAACATTACCCTGCCCCCTCCTCACCCAAATCCGGGCTTTTCTTTTCGGAAGAAAGTGCATTAAACAGCTCCCATTCAACGGTCACAGCAATGGAGTTCAGTGAGATTGAAATGGCCCACGGCTATAGCGAGCACAAGTTGCCTCGCGATACCGTCCGTAAGCCTTCACCCTCTCAGAGTCAAGGGTCTCAGCGGAAACCAGGTCTTGAGGTATGTGTATCGAACCAAAGCCAGATTAATGGATGAAAGGATTTGCCTTTCTAAACGATCATAGCGATATCTCGGGTTCCTTCCCATGCTGGCCTTTGCCGCGACTCTGCAAGCCTCTTGGGAAGCGATCGGGGCTAGCATGTCTGCGGGCTTAGAGAACGGGGGCCCTGTGGCCCTCATCTACGGGCTGATATTGACAATTATCGGGTCCCTAGGAATGGCTCTTTCGCTGGCCGAACTTGCATCGATGTTGGTGGATTGCCTGATTGATAGGCCCGGCGATGAGTAGTTTCGTCTGACTTGTTGGCACACTAGAACCCCTGTAGCTGGAGCTCAGTACCATTGGACTTACGATCTTGCTCCGTGCGCTCCTAGATTTCTGAGTTTTATGCAAGGTAAGATTGACGGTATTGTGTCGATGCATGTTCGCTAAGCTTAGAACAGGATGGATCACAGTCTGACACCTGTAACCTCTGATCTAATTGCATCGCTCTCTCTCTCTAACTTGTTGCCAGATCTTTGCCTGGTGGGCCAATACCGCCACCTCACCGTTCTTGATCGGAACCCAAATTAAGGCCCTTGCGGTTCAGAGCAACCCGAACTATATTCCCAAGCCCTGGCATACCACTCTGATCATATGGGCGGTATTGCTGATCCCGTTGGCCGTGAACATCTACGGTCGCCGTCTGCTGCCCGCCGTGGAGGTGATCGGTGGCATCATTCATATTGTGTTTTTTCCCGCTGTTCTAATCCCCTTAGTTGTCCTGGGCTCCCGCAACTCTTCGAAATTCGTGTGGACCTATTTTGAGAACTCCACCAGCGGCTGGCAAAATGATGGCGTCATTTGGTCGATTGGTCTCTTGACTGCAGTGTATACCTTCAGCGGTATAGTTCAGCTTTAGATTATCCCCACATCAATATGTCTCCTGGCAGAAAGGAAGAGAAGCAGACAAGCTGACTGTCGTGCTGGGACAGGCTTCGACGGGGTGGTTCATATGGCGGAGGAGGTTAAGGACGCCCGTCGGACAGTTCCCCGATCCATGGTCTACAGTGTTCTGATCAATGGGATAGTTGCCTTGGGATTCACTATCGGACTTTTATACACCATGGGCAGCGTAGAGGACGCTCTCAATACGCCGACTGGTTATCCACTCCTTGAGATCTTGTATGCAGCGACTAAGTCGAATGCAGCTGCTTCAGGAATGCTAATGATGTTTATGTTACCGGGGTTTGTGGCCCTGCTCAATGGGCTGGCCTCGGTCACCCGGTTGACCTGGGCATTTGCGCGCGACGAAGGTCTCCCCTTTTCCAGTTACTTTGTACATGTCTCCTCCTGGCACAAAATTCCCCTGCGCGCTCTCATTCTTGTCTCAACGGCTATCGTGCTTCTTGCCATGATCAACATCGGTTCCACCACGGCCTTCAATGCGCTCCTGTCTCTTGCAACTCTGGCCCAGTATATCTCTTACCTCATTCCTATAACTTTTCTCCTCATTAAGCGCATTCGCGCCCCGCAGGAGGTGCGCTGGGGGTCATTTCGATTGGGATGTTGGGGAATCCCGCTCAATATTTTTGTCATCATGTACGGGCTATACATTGTCATCTTTCTCCCGTTTCCCCCAAGATACCCCGTGACAGCAAAGAACATGAACTACGCCGCGCCTGTCTTTCTGGCGGTGGTTTTTTTCGCCATTATCGATTGGCTTGTCCGGGGCCACAAACGCTGGCAGGGTCCCAGAATCAAAGTGACACCGGAATAGAGTATAAACATCACTGGCTGGCTGAAGGAGCCTTGGGGTTCTATCATAAACTAGACATAGTCAAAGAGACATTGCAGATGCTCCCTCTTGATCGGACAAAAATCTAGTAGTATATTGGAATATCAAACAGTTGCCCCGAGCGTCCATTCTCCTGCTGTACCGAGTGAACGTGTAAACATGTCGATATTTAGAAAATTCTTGGAGACAGACACCATCATGGGCAGCTGGAGATATAATGCTCAATAGATACAGATATCACAGATTTGGCTAGCACCCGCTTATACAACAGCCATTTCACAATGGACGTGTCGACGGATCACCTTGGGTCTGCTCGCTTTGGGCCGCCCCTGATCCATTATTGATTTCTCTTGCTGTCAAGACAGGGAATGGCAGCTGGTAATGCATCGTGGCCATTTGAATGCGTTTGAAGTCCTAAAGGCTTGAGAAGATGTTACATCGAGAACAACCCCTTCCTCTCTAGCATGCCGGTCAAACTGGGCTCCATCCGAGCCTGGGAGGTATGTGACGGCGATGTATCGGCCACTGAATGGCCGCACTAGAGTGTCAACATTGATAACGAAGAGATTGTCCTTGCCTTGCTGGAACACGGAGTTGAGTTTCAAGCTCATAAGGACAACAAACGCACACCGCTTCATGCGGCAGCGCTCGTTGATCACGAGAGACTTCAGACTGACATCTATGCATCTCGCTATCGAGCAGCCACACCTGTATTTGACGAGGCTGTTTGCCGAACTTGACTCGGGCGTCGATAGATATCACTAGTCTGCAGAGAAAGGTGCCTGGTATATGATACATGCAGGTCTACATGTCACATTCACGCGAGTCACGGGGCGTAAGCAATGGCTCGGTCGTGGAAATAGTTGGTTGCATGCGTGGCAGTTGAATTCAGCTGACAAGACCTCGGCCGAAGATCACGTGGAGGGGTTGGTGGGTGAGGGGTTGTACACTGTACAGACCCCTCCCAGTAGAATACAATTAACTTACCTTCTTCGCTGCTGCAAACTGCCTCATCAGGTATACGCCCCATCTATGTCTACCACACAATTATGAATACTATGTATATTGCTTCCTGTCAATCCCGTTCAAGCCTTCGTGATGCTGAAACTCTGTACTAGGAACCCTCGACGCCGCTATGCAAAGCTCGCCTCCTGCAAGACTTGTCTGAAAGACAAATTCCGTTGTGGTGATAGTGTATAGCCGATCTCTACTGATTGCGAATAACGGGGCGGTGCTCAGACACGATTTGATGCTCACACTCGGAGAGACCGATATGATACCGGGCATTTTATTGGGATCGATGGAGAAGAGGGTCTCAGGAGCCACCCCCCCCCCATGTTGAGAAATACCAACCGTGGTCGTCCCTCTGACCCGGATAATGTGGGTTCAGTGCCAGGAACCCACACCGTACTACCAATACGGTCTCGGCCCGATCACCTCCTGCCCACTTCGGTCCTTGGGGGCATACAGGTTCCCACGGCGATTGACCGTGATGACAGGATTCGGGGGAAGCTTCGATCATGTTCCGTGGCTCAGTGGGTTGCCCCCGGCCCCCTCGTGGGGCCAGGAAGCACTGGGGTTGTGGAGAGTGGCCCGGCACTTTGCCATCATTCCAATCCAAGATTGTCCCAGTTTGCCATCAGTTGTTCTCCCCTATTTTTTTGAGCGTTGGCTTGGATTGAGCTCAGGTATGGTGGGAATTTACTATTAGAGATCTATATCTTTGTCTATTCTGAACAGCTGACATTTTTAAAGGTTTTCTCTGGGTGGATCTCAGAGTTTTTCCTTTTTGTTCCATTGACAAAAAGTGACTTCGTGCATGAAAACCTTAAGCAGCTTTAGTTTAAATATGATACGGCGACCGATAGCGGCGACCGAAAAAAGAAACGAAAGGATGCTTATCTAATTGCACTGGTACTTTCAGAATTTTTCTAGGTGGCAGAAAAAATTCGAGAACCTCGTGAGTTCACCTCCCCACCACATGATGTAATCCTGTTCTAATCAGCGGTCAAAGACTGGCGGTGACCCTCATCGAGTCAGCGCCCCAGCCAAAAAACCCCTTTTATCTCTCGCCGTCTCGCTCTTGTCATCCTTTCAATTCCTCGCTCTCCCTACCTCTCTCTCCCTCCTCACACATTCACAATGGCCCCCCTTAAGCTTAATAGCAAGAATCTGTCGCAAATTGCGGCGGTCGGTGAAACCCGGGTCAAGGCTCCCACCTACCAGCGCGGTGGCGCCGTTAAGGAGGGAATTGTCCACGTCGGTGTCGGCGGCTTCCACCGAGCTCATTTGGCCGTCTATGTCGATCAATTGATGCAGAAGCATGGTGTGACAGACTACGCAATCTGTGGTGTTGGCTTGCAGCCCTTTGACGCCGCCATGCGCGACGCCTTAGGATCGCAGGACCACCTCTACACTGTCATCGAGCGGTCGGCCAAGGGCAGCTTTGCCCATGTTGTCGGTAGCATCAATTCTTATCTGTTTGCCCCCGACGATCGCGAGGCCGTCATCGCGAAGATGGCGCACCCCGATACCCACATTGTGTCACTCACCATCACCGAGAGCGGCTACTACTACAACGAGAACACACACGAGTTGCAAAGTGAGCACCCTGACATTCAGTTCGACCTCCAACCAGCCAACGAGAAGGCCCCACGCACCACGTTTGGCTTCCTCTATGCCGCTCTGGCTCGCCGCTACCAGCAAGGACTCAAGCCCTTCACCGTCATGTCGTGCGACAACATGCAGAAGAATGGCTCCATCACTCGTCATATGCTCGAGTCCTTTGCTCGTCTACGCAACCCCGAGATCGCGAAGTGGATCGCTGAACAAGGCGCCTTCCCCAACGCCATGGTCGACCGTATCACCCCCCAGACATCCGCCACCGATAAAACGGCACTTGCGGACAACTTTATTATTGAGGACTCCTGGCCTGTCGTCACAGAGCCCTTTATGCAGTGGGTCATTGAGGACCAATTCTCCGATGGCCGCCCACCATTTGAGAAGGTAGGCGCTCAGGTGGTCAAGAATGTCCACGACGTCGAGGAGTTTGAGAAGCACAAGCTGCGCTTACTCAACGGCAGCCACTCGGCTATTGGCTACCCTGGTCAGCTGGCCGGCTTCAAATATGTCCACGAGGTCATGGAGAACCCCTTGTTCAGCAAGTTTGTTTGGCAAATGATGCAGGACGAGGTGAAGCCGCTGTTGCCCGAGATTCCGGGGGTCAACATCGATGAGTATTGCAAGACTCTCATCGAGCGTTTCTCCAACCCAACCATCATGGACCAACTGCCCCGCATCTGCCTCAACGCTTCCGGCAAGATCCCGCAGTTTATCATGCCTTCCATCGCGGAGGCGATCTGGGTTACCGGCCCATTCCGTCGCCTGTGCTTCGTCGCGGCCGCTTGGTTCCATTACATCAATGGCATCGATGACAGCGGCAAGACGTTCGAGGTCGACGACCCCATGCGCGAGGAGCTCCAGGCCAAGGCCCGCGCTGGAGGTACCAACCCGACCGAGCTGCTCAGCATCAAGAGCTTGTTCGGTGACGATTTGCGTGGCGACAAGCGATTCCTCCAGGAGATTACCACCGCGATGGAGGACATCGCTCGGGACGGCATTCTGAAGACGCTTCCCAAGTACATTGACTGAGCGCCATCACTATGCGCTGTTGGCTTAATATATATGGTATACTTGTGTCTGATATTTACGTTTTCTTTGATTGTGTTATAAGGGAAGGGCTTTACGAAAAGTGGTACATAGAGATAGATAATGATAGACAACATTTAATTCATACTTTGTTATTCCAAAGTACACCTGAATGATGTTTAGATTCCAGTGCGGGTCTTCCGTCATTGATTCTATTTATAGGAAAATCTTGGCACAATACTCTTAGTATGCTGCTCTTTGAATAAGCTCGATGGCTAGAATAGTCTATCACAATGCAAACCAACCAAACAAAAAGAGCTGGAATGGGCCTTGAGAATCTGGCCCAAAACGGGGCAACCGAACCTGTTCTCGTGACATCGTTAGTCTATCAGCATGTGACCTTGTCCCTTGCTATATGATTCTTCCACGATGCCCACCCACTAGATAGCTCCTACCAACCCAGCATCGAAACATACCTATTCCCTCGACAACACCGGTGGACAGCGCCGTATACATTCCGCCTGACCCAAAGCCAAAGATGCAGCAATTGGACCACCATTTGACGAACACGGCCTGGGCGGACACAAATTCCTGATGCGGTATGCCCCAGGCGATAGGATACACTCGGTAAGTTCGGATGCGGCTGCGGACCATGCACTGCACCGGAAAGATATGGGATTGGGGAATGGACTATTGGTCGACGTAAGGGAGATTTTGTCGGACAGGCATCTATTGCCAACACGATGCACCACGCAGGTCATAGAAAATGAGGGTAAAGGGGGAATGTAGATCACTTTTGATATAAAAGAACGTCGAGAAAATTCATAATTCATAATTCAATATTATGAGAATAACTTTTATGCAAGAGTTAATACCTAATACCTACAACAGGTCTGTTGGCCAGCAACGAATTGACTGAACTAAGTCTATTAAATCTATATTATTTTCCCCAATTTTCTGCTGAAAAATAGTAGTGGAAAAGTATAGCAACTGGCAAAAATTACAAGTAATTTCGTAAATTTTCAAGAACACTATTTTAGAGATATAGAATCCAATATTGGTAGACAGTCTTGATTTTGGATAGATTTATAAAGAGTATCTCTCCGGGTTTCTTTTAACATAGAGTAATACTAGATATTCCTTGTCGTTTTGTTCGCGATTTCCGTAAATAAGTCAAGGAAAGATAAATATATGAGTATACAATAGCATCCAGAAGAACTAGAATTATTGATATATTAGGATTTATACACAATGGAGCGACACATTATTGAGTTAGTGTTTTGAGCCGAGAAATCCTCATATATTTGATGGCTAAATATCTCTAGGCACCGCGTGTTACGGGCTATTTATCTTCAAATTCTCGAGCTCATCGGGAAGCGAATGTCTAGATCTCCTCTTGGCAAACTTCTCCAGATTTTTCGAAAAACGCTGAAATGCATCCCGCTGGGCAAATATGTCGCTTTGAAAGCTGTGCATATTTTCTTCTTTTCTGGAAAAAGAAATATTGATGTCCATCAAAAAGGTGAGGAAAAAGTTCCGTACCTCAGGCATCGCATAGTCAGAAACGCTAGACGGTCCTGGCAGACACTGAAGCTCAAAGTATCCCGCCAGATTGCTTTCACTGTTATTTATACGTGGCTTCCAAGGCTCGCAGCCATGATTGCACCAACTTTCGAAGTATTCTTGTAGCATTTCTCCGATAGTTGGATTTCCGTGGCGGCTTTCGAATGTATTGAGAAGTAAGAATGCATCTGCGCAATTCCATGACAAATTACTGTCAATCAAATGCTTTTGAGTATGACGTCCCACCCCGTTAGGCCTGAAGAAATCCAGTTTGAAGAAGCTCTTCTCTAGAGCAGCGAGTATAGCTTCCCAACGACTCACAGTAGCGGTATGCCAATCGACTTTTGGTTCCTCTGACAATTGTTAGTATGGGGACCCTAACAAGGTAAAACAACGCTCCATACTACTTAGTTGCCGGGCGACCTTGATGCATTGCAAGCGTAGATCGTCCATCCAACTTTCCTCTTCCCAATCACCGGATAAAAGTGAAAATGCTTGAACAAATTGTAGAAGGAGAAGACGGCGAAAGCAACTATATGTTGGCTGGTAATTGACCGCATAGCTAGGGTGAAATGCATTCACTCTTTTAGTGATGCAATTCGCACTGATTTCAAGATTTGGTGCGTCAAATACCCGACCCACGCCTAGACTGCGCAGATTACGGATGAACCCATTGTTCGAATTACCCTGATAACAGCAAAGAACCACAGTAGGCTCTTTGGCTTTCGCCATCTCAGTAAACGTATCCTCAGCTTCTCTTATGAGTTCAGCTTCCTCTGCACCTCCGGGGAATATGGCAATGTGTCGAACGTGCTGATGTCGTCAGTGGTTATTTCCCCCCCAAGTTGCGATAGCTATTAACTTTGCAACGGCATCTGTTGTACGGCAAGCAGCAGTATCAACCGTAAAGCCATTATCGTAAGTCTGATTTCGAGGTGGTCGAAGTAAGGAAACCAATGACCACCTTTCGTGGCTGGCAGCGCAAGGTTTGACCCGTGGTTACGTTCTGAGCCAGGTCCATCTCGCTTTGCGCCTCGTCCAAACTTTTCGAGAATGTAAGTATGTGAACTTGGCTCGTTGAAAGGTGCTGAATCACTACGCGTGCTTTGATCATCTCAACTCGTTGGCGGGGTATTCTGGTGCCCAGAAAAGAGAGAGTCTAACTCAATCAAGATCAGGCGAATATATCATCTTCGGGAGCATGGTTTAAATTTACAACCGTATCAAGACAGGGTACACATGACCGACTCCAGTACATTTTCCACTCGTATATCAATGCTAGAAAATGGCTGATTATTCACCTACAGTAGTATAGCTTCTATATACCAATGTGTCGAGGTACTGTAAACCTCAGCTTTCCTCAATAATCGCCCCTGGGTATCGAAAATACCCTCTTGCGCTATATCTCTTTGCACCCACAATATTTAACACAACGGTCAAGAACTATACTAAACTCTTACTCCGAATCAATCGTCTATACTTATTTAATAACGATCGTTAATTCAGCAGAAACATCTTCAAAAGAATCAAGATTAGATAACAATTGTAGTAAATATTTTCCTCTGACTTTTTTCTTATCTTGTTATATTGTGACTGTAGTTATCCAGAGTAATAGAAGAATATCTCATTTATAAAAAATATCTATTAAGCAAAAATCTACGAGCACCTTGACGCCTGCCCTTCTGATCCTAGTAGGTGAGCAGTCACCCGATGGGTTGCGTGACTAGCGGGCTAGTGCTTAGATGGCGACATCCTTCAGCCCTTGGCTACTTCCCTGACCGTAGTACGCCATCTCTCCCCTAATTTTCTGACTGGGGGAGGTCAAATTTGTTACAGTATGCCGTGAGATTTGCTTCCAAGCGTTTAATATCGTGTATTAGGTCACTGAAAGATCCAATGTCCCGGTCCTTAAAGGCGTGCAGTATATCCACAATACTCTTGACATCAGCCATGGCTCCCTGTCAGAGGATAACGTCCACATCACCGAGGATGGTGACGTGAAGATCGGTGAGCAGCGACCTAGTGCCTAAAGAAGTACCTCGCTGACAGAACCCTAGCAAATATTGGCCAAAGTATAGTAATATCTAGCGGATCCGAAGAGATCAGACATAATATCAGAGACATTTACAAACTTATATATTTACTTTTAGACCCTAGCAAAGCCCCAGCTACCAGTGGGACGGTTGATCTTCTTATATCGGATTTCGCCCATACCCCGTCCAGCGTAGTCATCGATAAGCTATTTCAGACACAGTGAAAAGACATCAGTGGTAGAAAGGAAACACTCCAGTTCTCGATCAAAATCAGTGTATAATATAGATAGGGAAAGCCGCGGTCTCCAGACTTATAATAGTCCGGATTCGGATTTCTCTAATATATAGCTTTAACATAGCTATATAACATTTTCAAATATATATCAGTATAAAAGTTTCAACAATCAATAAGACAATAACAATATATCGATTATAATAATCCTGCCCCGCGACTATTTCATTAATAGAGATTAATCAATCAGGAACAGTTTCCTAGACATATTCTGAAATATAGCTATCCAACTTTTGGATTTAGGATATCCCAAAACACATAAAATACACACTAACCTTCGACGTTTCCAACACCAATCCAAAGTACCGATTTTTTGACTCTGCAGAAATAAGATAGAATATTTTTATTTAAACAGAACCGTCCTCAACCCACAGAGCTATACTGTCATCCGGAAAGTATATCGCGAGGATCTTATCATCGTCCAGCATTATATGATAACTATAGTTATCTGAGATAATAACATAAAAGACTATAACAAACAGCCCTCTTATTCCTAGACTCTCTTCAGAAACATGACCACACCGATCAGTCTTCGGAAACTACTCAATTTCACCCACGGACATCGCATGGTGAAGATCTCGAAAACTATCTATAGAGCTCAAGAATTCAACACGCCCATTACTTACTATGCAGGACCATAACAGACCGACTTGTCGCAGACCTTTATATACGCTAGTTGACTTCATCGACAGATACCAGAGGAGATCTGGGATCAGAGCAGAGACCTATATTCCAGCAATATACCCCTTAATACCGCTTGAGATATATCGCATAGTAAGTAAGCCCATAGAGAGCTTGGCGTCTGTCACTAGAATTTGTTATATCGCGAGTGAAGTAGTCCCTGCCAATATAGTCCCACCGGAGGTTATCCTTTTATATTCTATAACTGAGCTTTCGCGGTCAACTTATCCAAGAAAAGTCCAGTTGATTCTCGTGTTTCCAGAAGTTATAAGCGGTACCGAAAATACCAGACTCCACAAATTCTATATCGGATAGAGAAGAGCCCCTGCTCTCCCTCCTATTTAAATCACTAAAATCGTAGATCGAATAGAAAATATGGTTGATTGTATCCGTTCTATATAGAGATCCTATCTGCAGAGGGAAATAGCTGTCTTCGTACCTTGGGCGACGAACAGCCAGGCTGCAGCAAAGAGCTCAGGCAGGAATAGGAGATGAGAGAAGGAAGTGTCCATTCCTGTTGCAATGAGATGGACTGTTCTCTGACGCCTAACGAAGGTTCACCCGGAAAAACTGGGTGAGCTTCTCGAAAGGAATAAGGCCCACACGATCATAAAGGTCGACGTGACCGGCCCCTGCCACCCAGAAGAGCTCCTTTGGTTCCCTTGCACGTGCATAAGCCTCCTCACTGAACTCACGCGAGTGTGCCTGGTCGCCTGAAATGAATAAAAGAGGGCGGGGCGAGATCAAATCAATATCATTGAACGGGTAGAAGTTCATGAATTTCGGGTTGCTCGTAGTTGTCCGCTGTGTCTCCAGCTCCCGCTTGGTCCCTTCGGGAATGAACTCGCCACGTGGGGTAAAGTAGAAGTCATAGAACTCGCGATCAACAGCGCTTGTGTTTGCCGTTATCTGACTGGGGACGCCGCCAGAGTACTGGATTTCACCCCCTTCCGCCTCGACCCAGCGCTGCTCGGCTGCCGCGGCAATGATCGCCTTGCGCTGGTCAAGGGTCTGTGACTTTCGTAGGCCATCACGGTTCACAGCACCCATATCGTACATGCTTGCCGTTGCGATGGCTTTCAGACGCGGGTCAATCTTCGCCGCACTAACCACGAAGCCGCCGCTTCCACAAATACCAAGAATGCCAATCCGCTCACGATCAACGAAGCCCTGCGTGCCCAGATAGTCGACCGCGGCACTATATGCTTCCGCATAGATATCCGGAGAGACCCCGTTGCGTGGCTCACCGCCGCTAGCACCCCAGAACGGAAGGTCCAGCGAGATAGTGACAAAGCCTTGTTCGGCCAATTTTGTGGCATAGAGATTTGCGCTCTGTTCCTTCACTGCGCTCATGGGATGGCCAACAATAATAGCAGGGGACTCAATGCTGCGACTCAGATTGTTGCGGGTAAAGAGATTTCCCTGAATTGTCGTGCGGTATAGATCCTGGAAGGTGATGGGTGTAACCGTCACGATGTCGCTGCGGTAAAAGTTATCGGCCGCGTACGACATATTCTGCGCCCATGCTGACATTTGATGAACGGGAAGCATCATCGCAAGGACGGATATAGTGTTCCTGAAGAACCTCATGATGCCTGCTGTCGATGGTGAAGAGCTAGGGACGTATGGTGATAGGAAAGGATGAATGAAGAATGGGCTATGGAGAGCCGAAAGCCACGCAGCATATCGTGAGATTTTATACCAGATAGCTCCAATGCTGCTGCCTGTATCATCTACTTCTATTAATGCTTCCATGTTTAGCAAATGTCCATATCACCGGTACGTGGCGCCAATGCTCTTCGTCGAGACAATCCCGTCATGCCAAGGTGTGTGATTGGGTGTTCGAGGTATCCATTTAGATCCAATACGCTTCCCTAATCAATGTGAAGCAGCATTCCTGGTCCGAACCAGTGCTAGCGCGGGCTTGCTTCGGCGAGATGAGCGCTGCACCCACGCGACTTGCAGCCTGCACAAGCGTCGTTCATAGTATTGTCCGGATTACCCTGGCTCCATAGCTGCAACGGGCTTATACGACTCCCACGCAGGGAAGGATCATCACATGGTGTTCGTAAGTCACTTCCTGTCCAGGAAGGTTTCTCGGCCGCATTGGAATTACACGGTTCAAAAGTAGCTGGTCGTGAGTTTGGCGTAACCACTATCACCCCCCGAGTGGCAGGGATAAGCTCCACGGGCCTCATCGCATTCTTACCAATGGGGTTGTTAAGGTATGCCGAGACCATGGGTCGGAGCAAAAAAGTAGATAGTACCAGTGGGACAGTGGAGTGGCGCGGACAACGCCTACTTTAATTGGTGCTCGGCGACCAAGAATATAATCCAGCTGCATAAGTGCCCCGAATGGGACCCATGGGGTCGCCCAATTGCAGAAGACCGGCTCACTCGAGATAGCCTGTCTTCAGCACATTAGTTTCTAAACTTTAATATCTTGTAAGCCGCCTGCATTCTTCTCTGCAATTTCTTCCTTCCGACATTCGTTAGATCGTCAACCCACTCTCAGATCTCCTCATGGCGTCTTCCGACAGGCCCAATCAGCCCATCCTCCTACGACAAATGCCTCATCAGAGCTACATCAAGCGCCAGAAAGAAGATTGGGCTGGTGTAACTAATCCAAATGAGAGAAAACGGTTACAGAACAGATTGAATCAGAGGGCTTGTGAGTGATTCCAGTGCTACATATCGTTCATGGCCTAACCTGCGTGGAACAAAGGGCGCCAGAGGAAACTGAAACAGGGCGCCGAAGGAGGCACTGGTGCAGGGGAAAGAGCCATTAATGAACAACTCACTACGGCCACTGCCCGTCAAAGACGCGATATTCTGGAGCGTTTTGCTCTGGACGCACTACAGAATTATATGACAAACCAGCCCAATACGGATCAGCTCCTGAGAGTGATCCAACTGAATACAATTAATGCTATGACATCAAATGCAAAAGCCCTTAAGCTACAAGTCGATTGGCTCGTCTGTCATGCTGTTTCGCCATTTGGATTCATAGGCCCGGCGAAACCCGCAGTGATCGCAGCCTCTACCGGCCCGACGTCGTTGATTCCGACGGACCTCCAACTGAGAACCCCACATCACCCTTGGATCGATTTGTTCCCGCTGGCTAGAATGCGAGACAATTTACTAGTGGCTACAAGTGTGTCTCGTATTTTGACCGATGATGACGAAGAACTGCTGTGGGCCGACCTTGTGGAATGGGGTGGGAATGGTACAGAGGGTGCTGACTTGATTGTCTGGGGCGAACCGTCGGATCCTCGTAATTGGGAAGCAACAGTGCCGTTCCTTAAGAGATGGGGGTGGCTTTTACAGGGTTGTAGCGAAATTCTAGAAGCGACGAATTACTGGCGACATATCAGAGGTGAGCGACGCCTTCGACTTTAGGCATGAGAGCCGATTGAAGGGATCACGACCGCAAGAAGGCAAGCAATGCTATTCCGGTCTAGATAGCAAGATGTAGTAGTAAGTATTATGATACCGTTCGATGGAACCGCAAGAGATGATTCACAGGTGAATCGCATTGTCATCACGCATATTTGACAATGGCCTGCATTGAATATATTTGGATGTGCAATCTGGGTCTCGGACTCATGAGGCCCTGCATCGCCTCATTGTTGGGTTCTCAGGCCAGCAGTGTGTTTAGCTAGTTGGGACATGACTTGCCAAGAACGACAAAAGACTTCCCGTTGATGTCTAGTCTAAAGTTGAAGGAAGTAGAAGTTGATGATTTTGTAGACGGATAGGTTAAGTTGCATCTCGAGGAAGCCTCGACCCGTTTGGTGCCGTATCAACTAGTGCATTCTCAGACTATAAGTAAATGTTTGAAAACATAGACAAAACCTGTCCAACTTTGGTATAGGCAACATAACGAACTCTCGTCATGCGCGTACTATTGCTGAGCAACGACGTCGAAAATTTGCTGCCCGGTTTGACTGCGTGGCGCATAGTGCTTTATTCTATCAGTGTATCTTGCTGAATTGGAGGCTTCTGAAGTTGGCTTACTGGCTATTTTAGAGGAGTATCGATCCATGCACCTGATCGATAGTTTTTCTGACCCGCTCCTGTCAGACGAAGATTATATCCTCTCCTATTCTCGTAGTGGAAATAGTAGTGGTTCGGGAAGAGAGGACTAAAGTGCGCGGCATTCTGGATGGCATCGATTTCCTCCGTAGAGAGTCCGACGCGCAATGCATCTGGCATCGCTTTGACATACTCTACAGTTTGCACACCCACAATTGGGATGACGTAGGTGCTTTGATGCAAGAGATATGCCAATGCCTGTGTCGATGTCGACGGGGCAGGGGGGTCTGTTTTCAGAAGTGGGGTAGCACGACGGCTTGCAAGCTGGTCTCCTTAGCTGTAGCTAGCTGCTCCAAAACATCACATACCGCAGCATCGCCCTGGTCGAATCCATAAGGAGCTTTGGGGGCGTCCATATCTGTTTCTATCTTTTCTCGCTCCGCTGCGGTAGCAAGTAGGCCGCCTCCCAGCGATCCCCACGACATAAAGGCCATGCCCTGGCCCTCGCATATGGGGATAATCTCCGATTCCACATCTCTGCGTGAGGCACACCACCGGCCTTGATATACGGAAAAAGGCGTAAGCCCATTACGACGAGCAACTATGACGCGGAGTTAGAAGGTATCAACAGTATCGTAGGCAGGAGTCGAAAGACGTACAGTCACTGGCCTTCATAACCACCCATGCTGGGGTATCAGAGACTCCAAGATAAAATACCTACCGGGCCATCACGTAGGCATGCAAATGGGTCATTACCTCTTCGACCGAGGCGGCAAGCTCCCACCTAAACGTTCGTTAGGTCATTGGCGCACATGCCACCAGAAGGGCAAAAAGCTCACCAGTGGACATTGAGTATGTCAATGTAGGTAGTCCTTAGCTTCTTCAGACTGTCTCTCACGGAGATGTGCATGCTCTTGGCCGAGTTGCCAGCCAAGTTGCTCTGTATCGGCTCGGCGTCCCGGTTGTACACACGATATGGAGCTGAGTACTTAGTTGCGATAACCATTTGGTCGCCATTTCCTCGGGTCTCCATCTACTCGCCGATCAACGTTTCAAATTCCTCGTAGTTATATTGATTAGCAGTATCAATCAAATTGCCACCCAATGCGAAGAAGGTATCGAGAATGGCGAAATAGTCATCGCTTCGCCCAAATAGCTCACTCCACGCATTGCCAATGGTTATACCGCCTGAACAGATGGGAGATACCTTAACAGCCGCTGTTGGTGAGAGCACCCGATGCCAACCCAGCGGGGTCGCCGGCTTTGGAGGGGCAGTGAACAGAGACATTGTGTTTGGTCAGGTAAGGAATTCAGAGCCACGAAAATGGACGCAGTCTCTGAGAACACTGAGGATGGCTCGGTCACACGCTCTAATAAGTGGTACTGCGTCTGCATAAAAAGTAAGACTATCGACTTGCTATGGTAGACGATGTATAGGCCTTCCGACGATCTTCTCCGCTAGCTGATTATCTACGCGGGCTGCAGTAGCGCTGGAGGAATGGGACTAGTGCTAGCCGCCTGTCTTTGCTTGCTTGCATGGAATCAATATGGCCGTACGACACCCGAGGGGCTCAACATGTAGTGCACCACAAAATACTACCAGTATGCCTGTTTCCTTCGGCTGGACAAGTTGACCCCACGTGCACCACCAGTTGGCCTTGCTAACCCATGTGGAATCACCTGTTCGGTTAAGTCCCCTTTTCCACTCCCGTGTACATTGGGAATTCCTGACCTGGTGGGTTTGTTGGTTTAGGGCAACGAACGATCTAACCCCCTCTGATTTATGCCTCCCGTGAGTCCCAGTGCAGAGGATTGCTGGGTGTGGGGTACTACACCAGATGACCTTGGAAGCTGAACAACCAATGGCGCTACCTGGCAACACAATTCTAGTCGTAGCCTGACCACAAAAAGAGCAAACAAAGTTGGAACGACTAGTGATTACGAAGGTGACAGATAGTTGAAAGGATATTCACGGCAAAACTTTATTCAAGAGGCGAGATTGAGCATGGAATGCTAGAAGAACACTAGCCCGTGTCTGTACATGTAACAAAGGGATATGCGTCACCCCAAGGGTCGACAACCAAGACCTTTGAGGTAGCATTGTATGAAACCCGAGCTCCAGAATTGGCAGGCTACACTGCTCAAACCTGCTCTCTGCAGAGAATCGAGTTCAAGACATGCATCAGCTTGCCTTGACAGTCAGGGACAACTTTCTTAGATCTCCAAGCAACAAATCTGTCCGGCCTGACGAGAACACAACCGCTTTCTTCAACCCCCCGGTTGTCATGCCAGTCCCGATGCACGTCACTGTAGTCGAGGCCGAAGCCGATACCATACGCATTGATGGGAATTCCGGTTGAATTGGTGATATTTTTGGCTGCCTCTTTCCAACCCTCACCCCCGATCCCAGTGAATAGGCAAAATGCGCCTTTTCCAGCTAGATCATGAGTCGAAATTTTGTTGCGGCGGGTAGGAATATCCAACCAAGCGTGAGGGAGTCGACTTCCGGGGTAAGTTGTAACCTGAACTTGCAAGATCGGATTGCCTTCCAATTCTGGCCTGCTGTGCTCCTCATCTGCGAGATGGACCGCTGCTGATTCGTACCATTGATTGTATGCCGCACCCCAACTATGGAGCTCAGTCTCTATACGCTTCATGGCATTCTGGATCTTCTCGCGATACGCCGCCCCTTCATCACTGGCTTCAGACAGCTTGGCCAATTGCTTTGCTCCTTCTTCCGGGGTGGCAGCAAACATTCCTACTGATTGCCAGACGTCCTTTTGCGCGTGAAGGCCATTGTTAGCCTCCCGAACAAGCATAGCACCGACAGGTTGGCGCTCCTTGCTGTATGAGTGCAACAGCTGATGGCCTGCAAGGCCCTTTGATACGTAGGCAACCTTCCACGCGAGATTGTATGCATCTTGGACACAGGTGTTACTCCCCAAGCCGAATGCTGGCGGATGGCGATGTGCGGCATCGCCAAGGAGGAAAACATTAGTATCGTCAATGGAGTAAGCCTCAGCGATACTTTCACGCACAGTCCAGTGATCCATTTGCAGAATCTCGATATCAACAGATTGATCTCCAATAAGGTCCCGTATGCAATCAATTAGCTCGGGACTCTGAGACGTCAACCCCTCAAACGGGTCACTACCATTTGGACCAAAGCCTACCAGCACCCACCGATTCCAGGGACGGACCATACGCAGATGCGCCACGAGACCGAAGAATGAAGAGCGATCGGGCTTCAAGATCCAGTGAAGTGCAGCGTGGCGGTCCTCATGCATATGACTTGTCAGATCCGCATGGATCAGAATGTTGCAGGCCTTGCCACCGCTCGGCTTGCTGATATACTTGAAGTCCAGCAGCCGTGCCACCTGGCTTCTTGCCCCATCTGCGCCAAAGAGGTATTGAGTGCGGATCTGGAAGGTACTGTGGGAGATATTGTCCCGGATAGTGCAGATGTATCCTGCCTGCGCGTCATCACGTCCTAACTCCTGCACACCCACCAACTCGGTAGAGAACCGGACGTCGAAATTGTGATGAGAAGCATACCGCACTAGGAGAGGCTCCAATTCTGACTGGGAGAACTCAGCATACTCACACGGGGTGACGCCGAACGCGTTTCCCTGTCAAAGGTTCAGTTTGGGCCTACTGGAAGGATAAAGTTGGGACGGGAGCGGTAAGCCTACGATGCAGGACGGATGCTCAGCCCACCCGAGGACCTTTGCATATTCTTCGCCAATCATACTTCGGGACCAGCGCATTGACTGAAACGCACGACCACGGACTGATTGCTGAAGAGCTTCGTGCTCAATTCCCAGGTCGCGCAGACATTCTGCAATACATTTAGTCAGTAAGTAGGCGAGGTCAGTGGGGTCCCATTTTTGAGCGACATACCGAAAGCGAACGGATTGAATGAATGAGCCCTAGGGGTGTCCGCGGTACCAGAGGCCTTAGAAATAACAAGCCCCTCGAGACCTACGCACCCGGATGAATGTTACAGTGTCTTCACTAACGTTCATGGAATACCTACCATGTTGTCCGAGAAAGCACGCAAGGCCGAGTCCCGCCGGTCCGGCACCCACGACAAGAAACTGGGTTTGCACGTTCAAACTCATGTTGCTTGAGTTGTTCAATGGATCAAAGGGCCTTGAAGATAAGATAATGGATTTGGTGAGAGGTACAGTCATGCTCAGAGATGGTCAGCTATCTTACAAGTACGAGGTGTTCGGTGGCCTTTTATAATTCTTGGAGCGGCAATACCTCGCCACCAGGGAGCCCCAGTACTCACTCATCTGCTACATTCGTCCTATCCGATATTTGATGACGAAGGTCCTAACTGTTCGGTGTTAAGACCTACTGATTATAGAAAGGGGGGTCCACCGATGGCATTCTTGGTCATGAAGCGGATCATCCGCCTCTCCGTCGCAGCGATGTAGATTGGTCATGAAATGGCCGACATCGCCGTTAATACTAATCCACGCCTGTATTCTATGTTTGGAAGTGCGTTGACAAGGTCCAGAACAACTGTTTGGGTAAGCATCAGGTTATCAGAATAGGTGCGATCGACACGGTCCGGTTTCGCCGACCATGTCCCCAATATATGGTGTTACAGATATGGCGTAAGGCCCGTACTTAGTTAGGTCCATAGCCCATCGGGGAGGTGTCAGGAGCACCGACAAGGACATTCGAACTATGTGGCCATTGCCGTCACGGATCATGACTCCTTGTTACCTGGTATGGAAATTTACTCGGCCGGGAGTGGGTTAGGTCTAGGCTGTCCATGATTACTGATCCCATGCCTTGATCCAAGCGGGATCCGGAGACGGGAGTATCTGGATTATGTGGAGCTCTCAACACTCAATGGTGCTGTGTACACGTCTACTGTTGACAGGAATAGAAAATGTGGCCAGCATGAGTGTGTGCTGCAGCCATGTTTTGGTTGACGGTGTGATCGTCGCGCCAATATACAGATGACATCAACTTCTCCATCAGTTTCACCCCGTATCAGTGTAAAGAAGAGACAAATGTGGAGTCGCTTTTTATTTTAGTCATTGCGGATAAGACTTCCGTGCTCGCCAGACCTATAAATTAAGTATGGACTGCTCCGATTCCATCTCCTGCATGATTGCACAGACTACTTTCCAGAACACCCAATGTCCATCATCGACCGTGTAGTTCTTGTGGCCGGTGCCTCCAAGGGCATCGGTAAAGCGATTGCCCTGCAGGCCGGCAAGGAAGGTGCATATGTGATTGTCAACTACAACACTGATGCGCATGGTGCCGACAAGGTTGTTGCAGAGATTGGGGCTAGTCGCGCGCTGGCCGTTCAAGCGGACATCTCCAAAGCCGCAGATATTGACCGACTGGTCAACACATCTGTTGCACGCTTTGGCAAGATCGATGTGGTAATTCCAAACGCCGCTTACGTGCCCTTGGCCGACGTTGAGGCGGCCACTGAGGACCAGTTTGATATGGCATTTGGCGTGAATGTTAAAGGACCGTGGTTTCTTGTGCAGGTATGGTTGGGTCTTTCTGTACCCTTGCAAATCCAGCCTCTTGCGGCGCTAATGTATGAATAACAGAAATCCCTTCCGTACCTGAGCAGCGGAAGCACCGTTATTTTCATCTCCTCGGATTTGACCGACTTCAGCACGCTGCCGCCACAGCTTTTCCTCTATATCTCGACCAAAGGAGCCCTGAACTTGATGGTACGGTCAATTGCCCAGACGCTGGCAAAACGTGGCATCCGCATTAACGCTGTGTCTCCGGGCCCTACCGAAACCGATTCGTTCTTCAAATCCAACACTGACGACAGCACCCGGATGTTGGCGGAGCTCAGCCCATTCAAGCGGCTTGGGAGGCCAGACGAGGTGGCAGCTGCAGTGAGCCTGTTGTGGCGTCCGGAGAGTTCCTGGATATCGGGACAGGTTGTCAAAGTCAATGGGGCGGCGACCTGATGCCTACGTCGCCTTGGGTTATATTCGGCTCTAGCAGCCATGGCGTGGTAAATACAGAAAGTCGATGCATCGTTCCATGGAGGGAAGCTAGATTTGACCGTGGATTTGCCTTTCGACACTAAAGATAGATTGGCATTTCAATAATAGAATAACATTTCATCGACGATTTCTCTTTGATACCCCGTCTTCGTCCGAGGACAAACTTGTGCCTGATCTCGTGTTATATTAAAGAGCGTAATTTACTCTTGATAATCCTTTTATATCTCTAGATATATATTTGGAACATGATGCCCGCGCTTGGTGCACCGTGTTAGGTACTCCCTATGTCCTGCCAGGATGTTGTACTTTCCCGCATCATAGAGTGCAACCCTCTGCTTCTGGGTCTCAGAACGGAGCTGTGTGGATGGACCCCCACCTGGGCTCAGAACCACTAATTATATAATGACTTGAAAATATTATATTTCTTACATCCCGGTTTCTCTCATATACTGGCGGATGCTCCCAGGTGCAATCTCGTTACCGTCATTGGATACCGAATCTTCGATCAGGATGTTTGTTGAATGGGATTTGGGCTGGACAGCATCGTCTCCATCGTCAACTGCAAGGCGAATGTTATCGAGAACAAGTGTGTGAGTTTGGGCTGGGAACTCTGTTGTTCCTGATCTCGCCCACGCATCTCCTCTAACAACGCATGTTCTCAGTGCATTATCATGTCTGCCCTGGAATGTCAGTAATGGGCCCTAGAGAACGTTTCTATGCCACGACTTGTACCAAACTCAACCCGTCAAATACAGTCCATGAGGCCGTCAATCCCAGTGTCATGGGACGCTTTAATCTCGATCAATCCAATGAAGTCTGTACCATATCTTAACAGGGAGCACCCTTGGTACGTAATATAGAATGAAAGCGACTCGCCATGCTTCTATAACGCATGGCACTCCTCTTTCCGCTGCTTCAGTGCTCTCCGAGTACATGAACACCATTTTGATAAATCCTATCATTAGCGACGGATTGGACCCCCAAAGACTATACGTTTATTCTCCGTATCACATGACTAACTCCTCCCAGAGGAAAGACGCAAAAAGAGCGTCGTAATCTGCCAAGCTGGCGTCAGATTCCAATATCTCACGGTCCTCACCATTCACAGACCATCCATTTGCTGCCCAAGCCTTCGACCTGAGCGTCTCAAGCTGTGTCCAAATAGGATGGTGCCCTTTCGAAAAGGTAGAAAAGCAGATATTAACCACATCACGAAGACTGCTTGATTCTGAAGAGTGACAGTTTTGGATCAGGTCCTGCAGTATAATAGCGCAGGCGTGAATCACGTCGAAATGGTCCAACACCCATCTGTAGGGCGCCAGTGATTCGTCGCTGACTCCAGCTACAAAGCCACCAATATACTCCTGACAAGACATCAAAGCCTTTGATCTGGATTCTTGAGGCCACTGTGATGTGCGCAGATAAGGTTGATGTAAAATAATCATCATCTTGCAGCAGCACATCATTCGACTCATGGCAACGAACCTTTGTAGTGTATCCATGTTCTCATTGTGATCTCCACATTCTTCAGCATAAACCTTTTCAGCCTCATCATCCAAGTGTTTTATATCGCGGAGAGTTGGCTGGCTCACGCTGTAAATATGATACAAAGTCTTTGATATCAATGCAGTCGTCCGTGATATGGTACTAAGAAGCGTGCGCTCTGAACCATACCGGCAGTCAATGGATCGAACATCCGTAGTTTCAGCATGGATCACTGGTGGAAGACCATGCGAGATAGCATACGTGATATCCAAGCCGCGAACCGACCACCATAGAACGCGACTGACCTCAGCATCTTGAGCAGATAGCTGAAAGAGCAGCGGCTCCCGGTGAAGGCCGAGAGACTGGGCAGCCCTTACGAGGATAGAAACAGAGCTGGGATCGGGATGAGTGTGCCCTTCCGCCATGCTGGGTATAGCGAGAAAGAAAGCTACTCGAACCGTATTTAGATTGGGTCGACTCGGGTAACCGGATTCGGCCAAGAGTTGAGTTGTGACTTCTTTCCAAAACGAGGAGCGAAATGAGAACCATACATTGGTGTTCTCTGGTGCCTTGATGGATCGGGTAGCGGTGTAGCATATGGCTGCAATGAGTGCGAGCGCACCCGGCTTCGAGCTTCCATGGTTCCGCTGCTCGTCCACTTCCGCAATAACTTCGTTGCAGTCTACCAGTGGAAACCAGAAGTGGCAATATTTAGCATACCATGCAATGAGCTGGTCTACCTCGGCAAGATAGATGAAGTCGTTTGATGTTTGAGCTAATGACCCAGGTGAAAGACCATGACGATCGTATGGAGAGACATTGGACACCTCCACCCCGGCCACCCATGATGAGCTCGAGTAATACCGCAGCCGCACGTCGTCCGATGCTTTGAGGTGGCCAACTTGGTTGAAGGCGATTGTCTGCTTCTCCTCTGGCCCTCCACTCGATTGTGGGTTGGCGGAACACATCGAAACACGCTCTTCTTCCGTCGTCATATTTCCTATGGCTCTCTCCTGTTGCGCCCGGGCCTCAGCCTTCGGTCGGTAGATGCAGGGCCGACCATACTTGCAGCAGCATCGACAATGGGGCTTCGCTCGATCGCATTTGATCTTCCTGGACCGGCATTGCTCACAAGCCTGCACGTCGCGCTTCCGCGCTAACCTTGGGCGGTCCAGATGAAGACGTAGGAAGGGTGATGCATTTGATGGAGACGCCCTATGATCGAGGGCATTTCCAGGAGAGCCACATCGTTCATCCCCAGAAGCCATGGCACAGCAGTCCGCTACGAGGCGCCGAAGGTATTGTACGAGTGGTCATCCATGTGAATGAATGAATGATGCACCAGGAGCTGTCCCAACTTCTGCTGCTTAGGTAGATTGCGGGTTATTGGTTTCACCACCATTCCGGTCTAGCTACTTTCGGGAATTATACCGGCCGAAGGACACACGTCACGTGGCGACGAAGCGTTCTTTCCTCGCCTCCAGAGCGCCATTTCAATATCCCCGGATGGATGTGGACCGCCGCGCTGCATGGACTCACTTGTTTGCCAATAGCTGAGATGGCTCTTTTAGGAGATATGGGCCACCATTCTCTGGTCGACCATGGGATCTCGTAACAACAATACTCCGCTTTCCTCAGGTCGCTGCAGAGTGTATGTCTGGCAGTTAACTAGTTGGACAAGATATAGTTATATACAGTATTTATATATAAGAATTTTAAAGACATAAACACGCGATTCTGCAGTGACCTAATAGAGAAGTAGTTCAGAAGACAGTAAATAGACTTAGGAAGGAGATCGGTTGTTGTGGAGTGGCCGCTATGAGCCTCTGTAGACTCCGGCCCAGTCTGCCCTACCATCGACTTGTGTAGACTGACCCCCAGCATGGAAAGGCGAGACTGTGAAGGTGGTAAGCGAGTACGAAGCCCAAACCGGCGCCCGCTGATGGATCGTATATGGCAGACTACAGCTCCAGTCCTTGAACTCAAGAGACTGGGCCGGGCCCAAACGCGTTAAAGTAGCCCAACTCGTGCCCGAGAACCACCTTTGCCTTCTTCCGTAAGACCAGATTTCGAATATACTCCCGACTGCGATGCCATGCGTTGAAGTCCCTTGTCAAATTCCCCGGTGGTACTCCCTGCTCGTAGTTTTCCCAGACATGGAACATGTCGCCCGTCAGAACTACGGTGCCTGTCTGTTCAAGGCTAAGCTCCATTGCAACCGAGCCAGCAGTATGTCCGGCACAGTGATGCATAGTAATTCCTTTGAAGAGGTCGAAGGTCTGCCCGGAAAATGTCTTCCAATTGAGCTGTCCCACATCAAGATAATCGCTCAGGTATGTGCCACGCTCGATCCCGGTAGCGAAGGTCCAGAATGCATTCTTAAACTCTTCCTCGTGGCACCAAATGGGTATATCTACGCCCTCGGTCAGAACAGGCACTACCTCATTCGCCTTCACGCAAGAGCTTACCTGTACCAAAGAAGTGCTCCAGCCCCCCTGCATGGTCACAGTGAAGATGGCTCAAGACAACTGCTTTGACATCGCCAATCTGCCCAGCGCCGGTGGCTTTGATGGCCTCGGGCAGACCGTGGACGGACTTGTTCCAGATTCTCGGGGCACACTCCATGGCCTTCGCGCCCCAGCTTCCGATCACATTCTCGCAAGATCCAGTGTCGAAAAGAATCAGACCAATCTCGGGATGGAAGATCAAGGCTGCAATCATTATCAAGTCACGTCGCTCATGCGGCTGCGGTGGTAGGTGGGCTGGGAATTGATTTGCCCCCGGCAGCACGTTCGCTGCGTCCATGTCCAAGGTCCCCAGATTCAATAGCTATAATAACAAATGACGGTTACTTGTTGTTATGCGACTGGTAGTGTACGAGTAAACTATGTCTGGAGTGCACTTACCCATAATTTGGCGCCTGTTGGCAAGTACGACATTGCAGCGAGTTTCGCAGGGAAGATGGCTGCGCTGACTTTGCTCTAACATGGGAGGGCGAGTCGTACATACTTCTAGGAGACATACTGGGGTTACAATGGCGAGTGCAGCCACTGGTAACATAGGTGTAAGTCACTTGGGAAGATACACATGTGGACCCCGAATATAATCGACCTGCATTAGCACCAACGGTGGTGTTCTGGCCTGAACGGACCATTGGGTGCCAGTGTAACTGGCAGTGTTACGCGCGCCAGGTTGAATCCGTCTGAATCGGTAAATCGTAGTGGGTTCCTTTATGTACACCCCGTAATCGACTTGCAGCAGACCCACCGACACTAATAAGTCACCTGCAGGGATCTCCGAACATAAACCCCCTCCCATCAGCTCGCCGTTGTCGACAACACCACTACAAATGGCATGGATCTTCGCTGGATGGATTCCTACAGGGCACTATTAATTTCCGACGAATGACTCACTGTCCAGCATACCAGAGAGCCAAAAACCAATGAGTCTCGGCTCGGCTGACGGAAAGTGCAGCCAAAGAAACGCTGAGAAGGGAGAACTGCATCGCGCCGCATAATCCACTAGCATTTGTCTGAGTCAATTCGGAAAAGAGTTTTCCAAGGGGTGATGAGCCATGGATCCTGCGTCAAGCAAGGTACTACCGCCTGCCAACGACGAAGGACCGATTGCACGTTGTGGTCCACCCCACCTGGTATATAAGGTCGACTCCCAGGAGAAGTAGAGAAGTATATCACTCCGAGCCGCTGTTGTCTCATACTATACTCCAAACATTGCTCTCATGGATTCGTTAGTGTCTGGCAAAGTCTTTCTTATCACCGGTGGCGGATCCGGAATGGGCTTTGCCACGGCGACCCTTCTCCTGTCCCGGGGCTCACACTTGGCTGTATGTGATGTGAATGAGGATGGTCTTGCTGCTCTCGTGGATGGAATCGATCCAGCGCAACGAACGAGGGTAGTCACACGCAGAGTGGATATCACAGATCGTGCAGCGGTCAGATCCTTCCTCCAGTCGGCCAAGGACATATTCGGCAGGGTTGACGGCATTGCGAATCTTGCAGGCACTGCAGGTCACCGACTTGGTCACGAGGAAATATGGCAGATTGACGAAGCAGAGTACCAGTTCATTATGGACGTCAACGTCAAGGGGGTCTTCAACCTGCTGAGCGAAGCGCTCCATCCCGGGGTGCTACACGAGCAAGGCAGCTTTGTGCATGCAGCGAGCATGTTTGCAGATCGCGGGTTTGCAAAGGGCTCGGTCTATAGCGGCAGCAAGCATGCGGGAATCGGCCTGATCAAGAGCGCTGCAATTGAAGCAGGGAAGCGGGGGATCCGGATCAATGTCGTCACGCCGTACGTTTGGTGTCAATGACGCCCGTCCTAGAAAAGCTTAATCTCTTCACTAACCTGGCACACCTAGTGGTCCCATAGACACCCCAATGTTGCGTGCTAATGAAGAGAGCGGTGCTAAGGGTACTGCTCCAGCTGTACCTCTAGGACGATTGGGCGAGGCATCGGAAGTTGCCAATGTCGTCGCGTTCCTACTAAGTGACGACGCTCGATACGTGACAGGAGCGACGTGGGCGGTAGATGGAGGGGCGAATGCGTGAAGTTTATTATGCTGCTGAATAGTACCCCTGACAGCTTGTTGTCCATTATGCCCATTACCAAGTAGCCACCGAGTGCTCAGGGGCTCGAACTTGCACGTCAATCTACAGCCTCCGTTTTCCGGAGGCAGACACGATTTTGTTTCTTTTTGGCTGGGTAATATGAATATTTGTCTTTCATATAGAGTAGCAGAGCCGCATGAAGAGCTATTTCCACCATCGAATTACCAAGCATAACAATATTGGGAGGAAGAGAATGGCATTTCCTGGCGCTCTCTAACCCAGTGTCAATTTTTTAGCCCTCCACCACGATTCGTTTTTTCTAGAAAGCCGAACGACATCGTCCCATCCTTGGAGAGCGCTAATTTTCTGGGTAGCAGACAAGACAATAGGTCCTCTAGAAGTTAGATGATCAGTCTGAAATCTGGCATCGGTTGCGTCACGTAGTTCTTTTCGCCAGTGTAGGTCGCAATCCACAGCTGTTGATCTTGAAGACCAAAAGATGAATCTCCGAAATTTACGGAAGAGAGGCTGAACGGACGGTCGAAATCGGCACGGCTGCGGATGGGAGGTATGGAGACTGACCGATGTGACAAGATACCCCTGGGACGGGCTTTTCAGGTACCTTACCTGCCAGCTGGGTGTGATGTCGATTTGGATATTTTTACCGCCGGGGCTCTTGTAGAAAAAGAGCTGAGCTTGCTGCTGGAATGCACTGGAAGGAAGGGCAAGTAGCTTGTCTTTCACGGCTTTAGGAACTTCTTGCACTGTTCTCAGGAAATCCACTTCCTACATGCTCAATTCAGTTAATGAGACTTCGATGTTGTAGCATGATTACCGACCTCACATATCCTGTGACGGGCATATGCAAGCAGGGTCATACGCGCCTCGGTCGACTTGGGCATCGGCTCCAGTGCTCGACTTTTTCTGGTTATCCAACTCATCGCCAGATGTATCCCAGATGGCCTTCTGCAGACCATGCATATCACTCCCGCCAACCGTGTCCTGATGGCTGGATTCACCCGAAGTCTCCTGGATGTATAACTCTTTGAGTCTCCTTTCGAGTTCCCACAAGTCTTTATGCTTCCCGATAGCATGCTGCCGCTCAGCTGGTAGATGCCTGGGGTAGCCTATTGGACGGTATTTGCCAACCCCTCTGAGGGATTCAATATGATCGAGGCGCATCTTCTCTCCCAGAAATGCGTCCATGGTACTAAGGGCTGAGGCACTATCTATGTAGGCTCTTCCAAAAACATTGGAATCCTTTTGCGTAAGAATCTGGCTTCTCTCGGAATCGGTTGCTACTTCTGTAGGTGGTGGTCAGATCATTCTACCCTGCTACCCTGAAGCGACGAGAGGACCGACTTATTGAACAGCCTGTCAGCGAGACCCCGCCTTAGGGTATGGATCGTAATAATGTCGGGATATCCAGCACTGGTAACAACTGCCCGAAATATGCGGCAAAAACTCTCTCGCGTCCATCGACGTTTCGAGATCCCAGCAAATCTGGTGACTTGGCGTAATACAGGTTCCTCGGCCACAGATGGTTTCCATAAACGTGGAACAGGCTCGTTATTATCTGGATTCCAGGTTTTCAGAGTCTGCAACGAGTCGAGGTGCAGAAACGCCCCATCCTGCACCGCCATCTCTAAAAGCCAAGGTACGGGATTGAATCGCAACTTGCCATGCTCTCTCATCGCGATACGAAAACTGTATGCACAGCATCAGAATCGGAAGATTTACGTAGGTGCTTGCGACATATACAGTATTTTTCGGATTCTCGTTGTTCTTGACCCATTTCTCACTGAGACAGAAGAAGAGTTCGATCTCGCCAGCCATCCCGCAATATATATATAGCTCGATGTCCTGTTGCACGTTAGCTCAAGTAATGCCTAGCCTAGCAGGTCGCCTGAAGTACTGCATATCGGAGCCCACGTTCGTTTTTCTTCGAGGTGTTAGGTATAAATGTGCTAATAAGTGCTCTAGTGTAACAGTAGATAAGAATTGCGAATATGAACTACACTCTGTACCTCGGGTAGATAAAAATAAGATCGTCGTCGGTCCATAGGGACACAAGAATGTTGGTAAGATCACAGCACGTGAACATATATTTCGCCCTTCTTATATCCTCGATAACTTCTTCTTGACCAAGCCCTTTCGAGATCCACTTTTTGCACTTAGTATCCGCAGGAAAGTAATCGGATAGTAGATCTCCAACCCTTGGAAACATCCTTAGTATCCCTCGTATCAGGTAGACTTGGTAAGACGGGTGAAGCCGCCGAAGAATCGTTCGGCAAAATTCAATACGGACGACTTTGTAGGGCGCAAAGAGATCATTCCGTTCGAAGAATAGATGTAAAATCGTATAAAGCCCTTGATCGTGGCTGGGTCCGGCACGGGCTGTCCTTCACGGAGACCCTCCTTTCGGAGATTCTCATCCTCTTGGGACGCTCAGCTATGTCCAAGAGACAAAAGATTCAGTAAGACGAACACAATGGATGCTAAAGAGGTATGGACGGTACTAACGTGATATAATCCGATAGGACTCGGTCGTGCATGCCCTTGGTCTCGTCCGAATAATAGATCTCACAGTAATGCTGCTCTTTGTCTCGATTCGTGCCACGAACAGAACCGTTGGCTTGGGCGATAGAAATACTGATCTAGAGTCAGAAACCTCCCGCAGTAAGAAATGATTATTCGATAAAGCTCTCAAAAGCCGCAGCATATATAGAACCCTTAAAGATATAAAAATAAAGAACTCCATCCTAGGTATACACAGGCAGTATCTGGTAACAATGGCCGCGATAAAATCTAGGCTCTGAACTGATGTTATACCTGGAGAAGACCAGCCTCTTTATCTAATCCCTGTATGTATATCATAGCCGTATTTATTGTGTAATTCATGGTTTCGCTCTTTCACCTTTGGCCAGATTGTTTTTTCTCAACCAGTTAATTTCTTACGAACCTTGCTAATACTTCTATCGAGAAGATACTTATATAGATCATCTAGCATAGACAGGATGATACTTGACTGCTACCCTACTCAATTTTAGAGACACCCCAGAAGTATCAAATATAAGTAGATTAGAATATATATATTTGACAGCTTACTCACTGTATCTTGCGGCAAAAGGTGTTTTAGATATCGATATTGTATTCTTTGATATATAACAGGTAAAGTTATCTCTGTACAGAGAATGGCAGGGGCGCCATTTTTCATAATACTAATACTGTTGTCGCAGGATATTGACTATAGAGAAAGAGGCTGACAGACCAAGGTCAGCAATAAATCTAGTACTGGTCTTTCCCAAGTTCTGTGTCATTATATATCATAACAAATTACGGAAAGTTTCAATATAGAACCAAGCGTAGATCAACTGTATAATGCATAGTGTGTCTTGCTTGTCCTATTACTTAAAACGCGATACGTAGTTTTTGGAGGGGCAGACTGGTGTCGTAGGGCACTGTATTGGTTTAGTCGGTAGCCATTTAACACACCGGCTGAATATATCGCTCAGCGTGGTCAGTGCCGCTGAGCGAAAACTGTTGATGTAGGCAAGTACTTAAAAACCTAGCTCAGTGGAGGGCTCCCGGCATTTTCTTGATAGATATAATCATGACGCTTAAGTCGTACAGCATATATTGAGCTTAAGTCGAGCTGAAGTTCAGTGGGGTTTTTGCACTATACCTTTAGGATCCCTTTCTGTTATTTCCAAAAGCTATTTTTTTTTCAACACTATTGATTAGTATTCTTTTTATAATATCCGAAACCCAGTTACTTCACTTCTTCTTCTTTTTCATCATGTTGGTCAAATCTAGGAAGTATAATATTCTCATATCTCAGATAGACAAAGCACCTTTGGTTTGAGTGTTTGAATATCTCTTAATCTGCATGAAGCCGGTATTTGAAAACGTCAGGTGAGTCTATTTATAGTGTTACTGGATTATACCGCTCAGTGGAAGCTTGGTCGCAAGTCGTATTGCAAAGCGCATGGAAATTTCAAATAAAGTCCTGGATTGTCCGCCTAAGAAGACATGATAGCTGGATTCATATATGTGCTTAAACGAAGACGTTTTGGGAGGGCTACCCTTCAGCTATCACTATCCTCAACCAGCTCTTCAAGAGTGATGTCGATATATTCTCTCTGCTCTCTCAAGAAATTCTTCATCGCCGCAGTATCAAATATCAGCTGAGCGCGCTCGCGCTCGCGGACCTTCCTTATTTGATGCCTTATGCGCTCTTCTAAATTCTCCAACCGATATTCACTGTATTGCTTGTAGATTTCTGGCAGATGGCTTATCGGACGAAAGCCCACCAGCACTGTCTCATCCTTGACTAAAGCTGATTTTGGCCGAAAAGATGTGACCATTGTGATTCGCTCGCCCCCCCCGTGTGCCTTGAGAGCCTGGTGTTCGATATACCGTCCTTGCATCACAACCGAGCACCCCTATGACATAAAAACTCGTGAACTGGGATTATGTTATCTGTTGCACGGGTTTTGCATACCTTCGTAGGTCCGCGCACTTTCATCACCTCGTCTGTGCCTAATCGGACGGCAGTCTCTCCACCGACCATCCCCGTACAGTCAGACAGCATCGTGACGCATACAAAGGGCACACTGTCAAAGTGCCAGGAGAAGGCAGATTCATCTTCCTCTGGTATGGAATGCGTCTGTACATCACTCGACGTGTCGCTTTCGGAATTAACAGAAACATTAGTATGTCCAACTTCATACTCGAAGACCGGAACGACCTCCATTCCCAGTAAATTTGACATGATTTCGAGCACTTTTGGGCTATTCCAGACAGCATGTATGAATGGTGCTCTCCTGGCATAATCAACACATTACTACTGGGGTCTAATGGGTTTAAATACAACGGAAGCCGAACGAAAGAAACTCACTGCGGGCCAAATCCCTTGAGCATATTCGATGCAAAGTCAGAGCAAACGTGGTAGTTTTCTAAGATCTCGGGGTCAAAAAGCTCCGCCCGCATCTGATTGATGGCTTCTTCGGTGAATAAGCTAAAGGGTGTTGTGAGCGCAGTGGCGGAGATGCCACGGCCTTCCAGCCCAATATCCTTCATGCTGTACACCTTCTCGGGTGTTGTATAATTCAGATGTTTCCTCGGATCGAAAGTGGTTCTCTCGACTCGCCGTGCTGTGTCAGCCAGCGACTGGGGCAGCTGCTTGGTAGCTTTGGTCCGCTTCTTTTGCAGGGGGCCGACAACCTTTGGCGGAGGAGAGATTGCAACAGCCATGATCTCTGGAAAGCCGTAGCACGGACACGATGCTCACTTGGTAGTACTCGGAGTAGACTTCACGTTTAGCACTTGCGATTGTTGATTTATCCCGGAGAAACCTGAGATCTTCTCCTGATTTCTTTATACCTCGAGGGGGCCGGCAATTTCTAGAGTAAATCGTTTGCCTAAACAGTATGTGGCTCCCGTGTAAGTGGAGGATATCTTGGCGATTTGGGTGGAAGCTGCCTTGCGCGCAAGGTAAGGGTTGCCCGAAGACAGGAGTCATGATAAGAAGTCGATAGTTTGTGTCGCGGGGAAGGCAACCTCCGACTCAGTGTCCCACCCCGCATCGACACCATAAATCGTCCGCGAGAAGTAGGTAGATTGCTATACAAGGGACCTTTTTTAGTGATCAATGATCTGCTAAGACAGATACTTGATTCTTTATGGCAACTACTTCCCGAGCCGCTACAACGCTTATTAGATGATCGACAATCGCATTGCATGCTCAGATCTTTTGTGAAACGGAATAAATGAGTTCTTCTGGCATATATACTATCCTCTATTTTTCTTCTCTTCTGCCATTTTCTTGCCCACTAGTTGCCGAAAGTAAAGAACAGAAGTGTCCCCAAGCAAGATGTTTGACGTTGTTATCATCGGTGCCGGATTGTCTGGCTTGCAAGCTGCATACTCCGCCAAGAAAGCGGGACTGAAAGTCGTCGTCGTTGAGGCACGCAATCGCGTCGGTGGAAAGGTTTGGACGGTGCCACTCGCCTCGGGGCGAGGATATGCAGACCTTGGGGCTGCCTGGATCAATGATGAATTGCAAAAGCGGGTCACGGCGTATGCTAGACAATTCGGCCTGAAGACAACGAAGCAGCGACTGGAAGGCAAGGCAGTTATGCAGCTCTCCGGAGATGAGCGGTTCGAGTTTCCATTTGGGATTACACCTAAGGTTGGTACAGTGCCTTGGGAGATCCTAAGGAGAATCTTGGATTCAAGGGAAACTAACAATGAACGCGGAGCTAGTTTTCGCCAGAAGAAACCAAGAATTTAGAATATATCCGCGATCATATTCAAGCCAAGTCCCTGCGAAGCGAGCCACCTCTCCCAGAGGATGACAATGTTACAATCGAGCAATATCTTCTGAAACTCGGCGCCGGGCCCAAAACGCTGGCGATGGTCAACGTATGGGCAAAGGCTATGCACGGCCTGGAAATTGATCAATACTCCGCTGCATGGTTTATTGATTACTGCCGGACCAATGGTGGTCTCCTCTCGGTGCGTGCGGACGACCACACGGGTGGAAACTACATGCGTTTCGAAAAAGGTGAATGAAGTTAAGAGCCACGCGCGTTAGCGGTTAATTAACTCTCATCTTGTCCAGGTGCCCAACAAGTACCGAATGGTCTGGCCAAACTAATTGGCGAGGAGGACATTCGTCTGAATGAACCCGTCGCGTCAATCCAGGATCACCAAGATCATGTCACGGTGACCACAACCACTGGCAATACCTACACTGCACGCAAATGCATTCTCTCAATCCCTAGCACCTTGTATAAGGATTTAAATATCTTCCCCAAACTTCCTCTCCCCGTACAGGATGTCACGAATAACACCGTCTTGGGCCACTACAACAAGTCCATTGTCTGCTACAACACGCCTTGGTGGAGAAAGAAAGGGTTCAATGGATTTTTCGTGAGCTACGGTGGAGGGCCAGTTGCTATTGCTCGTGATAGTAGTGTTGACGAGATCGGCTATTATTCTCTTACTTGCTTTGTCAATGGCCGTCCTGGGGAGAAATGGGGAAACTCGTATCCACATGAACGTCGCGCGGCGGTTTTGAATCAGCTTGCGGCCATCTTCGACGCAGAACCAGATTCGGAGCTTTGGAGGCCTCTTGAGATCTTCGAGCAAGTGTGGCAGCACGAACGGTACAGCAAGGGTGCATTGGCCCCCGTCCACGCCTTAGGGCACTATACAAAATATGCCGCATTCTACGGCAAGCCTGTTGGGAACCTTCACTTTGTGGGTACAGAATACTCAAGGGAGTGGAAGGGATACATGGAAGGCGCTCTTTGCTCCGGCGAGATCGGAGCGCAGGAGGTCATTGACGCTCTCAAGCAAGGACCAACAGCCAAGTTGTGAGATGTTACAACGACAACTGCCCCGTTTCCGATATGCGATGGCTTATTATGAGCAACCAAGAAGGCCCCAACAAGACACAGAATAGATACATCGCACTGCTTGAAAAGAGCTCTGTTTGGTGCCCCTTAGATGGCCCGTTGAATCTTCTATTACTAGCTCGTTTCTAGACCTTTATAAGTAACCTAACTTCGCGTATCACAACAACTGTATCTAAGAATTGCAAGTTACGTCTCGCCGAACTTCCTCCAACAAAATTTCATTCATCACAAAGACTGACTAGTCGTACACTAAGCTTAATATCATGAACAAGGAGTAAGTACAGTCAACGGGGTCAGACTACCATATTTGGTTTGCAAGTGAAGTAGATTAACTCTGACACTTCGGAAAATGTAAACCCAAATCATCAACTTAGAGACCCTTTGGCACACGGAAATTGATTACGCTTTCGAGCATGAGCAATGCACGTTGAGCTCTTTATTCCGGTTATGCTCCTGCATGAATTGCTCGCGAACTGTAACCCCCAGCTGGGCAATCGCGACGTCGATCCGACATCCTACGTTCATTCAAAGCCCGTTTGGATAATCTCGGAATTTTGAGTTAACCGTCTCGATGAAAGATGGCCACCGGCATTAATACACCGTAACCACGAAGTTCGTTCGATATGGCCCAAATTACCACACGAATACTATGACAGATTAGGTGGCTCTTTCAGTGGACAGGACGATTCGTATTTCTAGTTTCTAGAAATTGATCAGAGACGGGTGTTGGTTTACCGGTTTACCGACGGGGTTGGCCTTCCTAATGTTGGAGCGGTGGCCCCGATGTTCAGTCCCCTCCGATAGTTTCATTTTGGCTCGACCCCTCTTACTGTATGGACTCGTTATGGATATGTGCAAGAGACGCTATCGTGTCGAATACAATAGGCATGCTTATATGAACGAATTCACCAGGGATCGGCATTTGTAACTCTCGGAAAGTTCTTACTCTGCACTCACCTCACTAATCCTCGTTTCTCTGCTCTCACCCAACACCGTTTTACGATCAGTTCTCACTCAAGTCATTGCCCAACATGCCCGATCTGAATCGGATTCTGCTCGTCGGAAGTGGAGGCGTGGGAACAATGGTTGCTTTCAATATTGAGGCCAGCGGCCTTGGACGTGTGGCTGCTGTTCTGAGGTCTAACTATACCAAGGTACTACAAGAGGGATTTGAGATCGATTCCTGTGAGCACGGGCCGATCAAAGGCTGGCGTCCCAGCGAAGGTGAGCATACTTACAGATTTCACTTCCCTGTCTTTGTACTCGAACTCGCTAATGGGAGCTTTTGTCCATTAGTTTTAAAAGAAATACCGACCATCACTGATATTCCCTGGGACTACATTGTCGTAGTGACTAAAAATGTGCCGGATATTCCACCAACAGTCACAGACATGATAGCTCCCGCTGTGACGCCCGGGCATACAGCCATTCTACTAATCCAAAATGGCTTAAATATCGAAAGGCCAATTCTCGAGCGCTTCCCAAACAACGTCTGCCTATCCGGCATCAGCATGATTGGGTCCCAGGAAGAATCTCCTGGTGTAATCAAACACTATGACGTCGATGTCCTGATTCTCGGCGCGTTCCGCAACCCCAATATAAGTCGCGATCGGGAAGTGGCCTCCGCCAAACGATTTGTGGGAATGTATACTGCCCAGTGCGAGACACGGTGTCGATATGTGGAAGATGTACAGCACTCTCGGTGGGAAAAGCTGGTCTACAATACGTGCTGGAATTCCATCTGTACCCTCACGGACATGGATACAGGCCGGATCAGGCTCACGGATCATGCGGTCCAGACTCTGGTCAGGCCCGCAATGGAGGAAATACGGGCCGCTGCAAGGGTACATGGTGTAAATCTGCCGGCAGAGCTGTGCGATAGAATGCTCGAGCTCGACCCTTTGACGATGTATTATCAGCCAAGTATGTTGGTTGATATGCGCAAGGTATTCCCGCTGCTGGTGCTCTGCAGAAGTCCTGGGCCTTATCGATGAGGTACACATACTAACAGATATGCAGGGTAAGTTTATCGAGGTCGAAAATCTTATCGGAGAGCCTTTGGCAGCTGGGACCACAAGTGGAGTGCCCATGCCTACATTGAACGTGCTTTACAATCTGTTGAAGGCGAAGCAATGGGCAACCAAGGAAAAGCTCGGGATGCTCGAAATTCCCCCAGGAGGCGATTATTTGACACAGAGGTCCTTCCCCAAACACAAGGTGCACACAAGGCCGGTAGAGGAGCCAAGTCTTTAGAAGAGTATTATGGCGTCTTAATTTTGCAAACATCGCTTTTGAAGGGCACAGGAGCACCGGTCCCTTAGCAAATGAATATTGTACTTCCAGTTTAAAAAGAATCAACAAACACATAGGTGAATAAAAAAAATGCAAACGAATGAAGTCGCAATCCAGCAAATTAAGGTAGAGAACTATTTCAGAATGTCTCGTTTTAGTCTAGATAGATTTTCAGGCATAGATTCGAAGTCCAAGTCAAGGTGATTTCAGATGTCACGAGACCTTCACATACCCTTCAGCGTGGTACCCGCAAGTGGAAGGCAACTCCCGACGTGTCGGTGAATGCCTTCCCGATTCACTACCGGCGGTTGCTTACCTAGACTTGCCAAGGAGGCTGGGGATAGAACAGGGAAACCTCGTCACTACGTCTGGCGGATATGACAATTTTAGCTATTTAATTCCTAATATCGCTCGTGAGGCTACTAATTTAGATCCGACTTTCACGCGAATAACTGATTCTCAGCTGTACTAATCTATTGAGGGCGCCAATACACTTGACCGTGAAAATGTCACAAACACTAATAGCTCCCTCGCGCATCGACACGGTCCTTGCTGTCGAGCCGGAAGGGCAACAGGAAGCCAGTGCGGCACTGCAAGCTATTTCAAGAGGAGGCCCTACGTTGGGTGGGATTCCGTCATACACATCAGTTGAGGCGCAAAGACATGCGATGCTAGAACATATGGCTGGCGCATTTAGAGTCTTTGCGCGCCGAGGGTACGATGAAGGGTTGGCCGGCCACATCTCACTTCGAGACCCCGAGCATCCTAATGCTTTTTGGACCAATCCGTACGTCTTAAGTCCCCATATGATTATGGAAATACTAACGGGGTAATAGATTCGGTCGTCATTTTGCACTTCTCAAAGCGCAAGATATGATACTGGTGAATGAGGCCGGGGAAGCGATTGGGGGTAACAATAAGCATCCTGTCAACGCCGCTGGCTTCCTTATCCACTCTGCACTCCATAAGCGTCGACCGGATGTGCATGCAGCCTGTCACATGCATTCCACATACGGCCGAGCATGGTCAGTGTTTGGTAGGCGCCTGGACATGATAACTCAGGACTCTGCCACCTTCTTCGGCGATGCCCAAGCAGTATACGACGACTTTGGAGGCATTGTATTCAAGGATGAGGAGTCCGAGAAACTGGCACAAGCGCTAGGCCCCAAAGGTAAAGCGCTAATCCTAAGGAACCATGGGCTTCTGACCGTGGGGCAGACGGTTGACGAAGCCGCATTCTTGTTCACGCTTATGGAAAGATGTTGCCAAATCCAATTGCTGGTCGAGGCAGCCGAGGCAAATGGAACGCCAAAAAAGTTGATGAGTGAAGAAGCAGCCGAGTACACATTCCGCGCCTCTGATCCTGCCGTCCTGTACTGTGAGTTCCAGCCGGAATTGGAGCTCGAGATGGAATTGAGTGGGGGTGCCTTCTCACTGTAAGGTGATCCAAAAGTTTTTAAGGATATCGGGCTAGAAAGAGGCCAACGTCTCTCCTGATATTGGGAATTATGGCCATGATTGTTTAGCCACATTATACCCCGATAGTATTGCATTGCCATGCACACTCTTTGATCAATGTAACATGAGCAAATATACCTTGGGCAAACAAATGGACATCTACTCTATTGTCGGTCACCGTGTATTGATATTAGCATGCGCGAAGGTGCATGAAAATTTTCGAATAAACCATCTTGACACCAATATGACAGTCACTCAGATCTCTCTGATCATCAACAATATCCTAACTAAGTGTCAGTCTGGCCAATACAGCGTTATTCTCCAGCACTGTCGACCAACTGATGTTACGGTTGTTCTCCTGGTCCCGGGCCGACCAGACCAGTCTCAGCGCATGTGCTGCATTTTCGAACATGCACATCCCGGTGCGGGTCGTTTCTCCATTCAAAAGCTCTCTCACTTTCTTTCGAGTGTTGAAGTTCAGAGCTTCACAGCCTGCCAGGAATAATGGCCAACAGATATTTGATGATGGGTCATTCGATTTCCGCCTCGAATCCGTACAGCGTTGCAAAGACTCAATTGTGTTTTCAACAAGAGATTGTATCATCAATGCGTCGACCTTTCGGACAGAGCGGTAGAAATGAATAAGCAAAGCCGAGTGCATTGCCTCAATGAAATCCCGCAGAGGAGGCTCAGAGGAGAGGCTCTCAGCCCGTGAATCTGCAGTGCACATTTCGGGTCCAAATGCACAATTCAAGCGCTCTCTCATCAATCTTTGCCCCTCAAAGCTGGAGAAGGTCTTCTTCCAATCCCAGATCTCGGCCTCCAATTGGCTAACACGATCGTTCAGCGGTATATCGGAGGCATCTGTAAATTGATTTGCATGACAATCAAACCCCTCGATCTCACGTATTAGTCTCGTCGTGCGGGATATCAAATGAAATAAAGACGTCGGAAGCGAGAATATCTGCTCAAAGGTAGATTGGTTGTGGTTGGTATTGCAGGACGCTTGTGCCGGTGTAGAGGGATTTGTCGAAGCAAAAGAATCGTTCGTTTCGGGGATATTAGGCCCTCCCTGGAATTCTGGACTTATACTCCTGGCATGGCCTTTTGCTGCAGGCTCGTCCGTAAGTAAATATAGCATAGAATTGAGCTTTTCCCCGCTATAAACTCCGACGCTATCCTGCAAAGTTCGAATATAGAAAATGATAGTTTGCAATACTCTCAGGCTGCCGGAGATGTGGCTCTGCTGGATGCTGGAGTCAATACTCAAACTGCTGATTTGTCGAAGGTAGATATATGCCTCATCAATATCGCCACTGACAACCTTTGGGGGACCAAGCAAAATTAGCAAAATTAGCAAAATAAAGATAGGTGCAGCTGAAAAAAAGGGGGGGGGGACGTACACAAAGAGTAAACATACTTGTCAACGCCAGTAGAATATCAACCATATTTTCACTCTGGTGGCCAGACGAGTGATCCTTCAACGCGAGTCCCAACCGTTCTTTTGCAAGGGTTCGATACTGTCCACCACATGTTCTCCACTTCTGTTCCGATGGAGACATATGTATGTGTGCATGGAAAGCGCTTGCACTTAAGACAGCGAATAGCAAGCTGGCCTTTGCATTTCCCGCGTCTCCCCGAACCATGACCTCTCCAAGTGCTTCGTGTACCTTTGGGATGTGCAGGAACTCCCAAGGTGACTGCTCATATTTTTGAGCTGGAAGGAAGCAAGGCACTAGAGTATTTCGGTAGCAATCCAGCAGAACTCTGATAGAATGAAAGTCCAGATCCGAAAAGTGAGAGGTAAATGCAATCGTGGGGGATGTGATAACAGAGGAAAGAAACCGATTTGAGGGTGGCATAGAGTACTCTTCTGTGAGACGGGTACTGTCCTCAACGAGCAGCTCATCAACATCTTGTAACGACGGTTGGTGATCGTCGGGTAGCAACGTCTGATATCCTTCTCGAGACAAAATCTGATCCTGATCTTTCCATAGAAGGGCATCTAGAATGAAATCCGGATACGACTCGGTAGGAAGGTCCATTAATAAACTTTCTGTATCAATATTCGAAACTGAGTATGAGTCATGGAGAGGAGCACTTTCAGGTTGAGTATGGATTCCATCTTGGTCTTTTGTGGGATCGCCTAATGAGTGGCAGTCGTCTACAACACTTTCGTGCTCTCCGGTCACTCCCCGTTCCGCACCTCGGGTCTGGAATACCCCAAAGGGGCCACGGCTGAAGGTTTCTCCATACAGGCCATTGCCTCTAGCATCAATTTGGGCCAGAAGGTCATCCACGGAGGATACCGTTGTGGATGAAATAATTTGTGCAATGTGTCGAGCGCATTCGTCGCCTTCCACCGTGCATCAGAATGGGATCAAATTGCAATTGTATACTAGAGAGCGTAATTGGAAGAAATCCAGCTTACTTGACAACAGAGTCCCCCGCCTGGCACTGGAGCCGACTACACGGTCGAACGTTGGATCGGATACGGTGTGTCCATGACCTAATGATCTTGTAATTTGGGGGGGAAGCCATACAACTTCGGGATTTTGTTTCGGGGACAAGCATGGACAGTCAAGTTTCACGCATGTAGAGCACCGAGGAAGGAATCGATCGCACTTGGCCTTTAGTGGAAGAAAGTTAACTTCAGTTCCAAAAAGGTGTAGGCTAATGGATTACCTTTCGGGAACGGCAGGTCATACATGAAGTAGGGCGAGACATAGCGACAAGTGCTCGATGCCCGGTGGCAAGTAGCAGATGCAAGAGACCCTCCTAGCAATGCAGATAGACTCCAGGAGAGCAGTGACCCGGGGGAATTATGCCCCATGGAAATGGAATTGGGGGCGGTGGAGGATGAGGATTTGTATGCGGGGGCGATGGCCATTGCGCGGGGGTACCGAGATAACGGAACTGGCCTTCCACATCTGGCCCGACCCCATGCAGTCGTCGGCAGTCCGAGCCGAGCTTGGGAGAGGGATAGTATCCTGCATTTCCAACCATGACATTATTTGAGCGAGGCAAAAGCGGATACAAGATACATATATTGAGATAGACTAACCAGAGATCATCCTCTTCATTCCATTGATTCGCGATCATGTAGACCATCTAAGCCTACTCCATAAACAACGATATTTCTACCACTTAGCGGGCGGGATCTTCTCCCGACCGACTGTGTATCGAGCTTCCCAACCGAGGGGCTCATAGCACCCGCTCAAGCTTATCTAAACACTGGGGATGCTCTTTCTTGGAGATAATCCACAGCATGAGACCATCCTCGTGACAGGGTCTTCACGAAAAGACTGTCAGGTAGGCTATATGGATATCTATATCTCGTATTGATAAAATCTTGACTGGTACTCTGGACAACGCCGAGACTCTTCCGATGAGATGCTTCCTGCATAGATTCAGTCTGGTTTGGTACTTACCAGCAAGCCATAAATCTCTCTGGTCTTCATCCCGAGCTGGTGTATGATACAGAACAGGCCAATATCGGAGGCCTTGCTGATGTCGGGATTGTCAGGGCAAACCATTCTGTGGCGCTCAGTGAAAATTTTTAGTAAAAATAATGATGCGCCCTATACGTTCCCAATTGAGCTAATGGTGCAAGAGAGGAAGAATGCTACTCCATACGTATAGTGCGCCAATGCAGTTGTCTGTGTTAGAGCACTTTATAGATTTACACAATACCAGTCTGTGGGCAGTTTGGCATGGATAAATATATCAAGAAAACATAGTAACTCCAAATTAGATTGTCATCAGAAAAATGACCGTTACGAAAGGACATGACAGAAGAAGATGCCCTGGCTAGCCAAAGCAAATCCGCACCTGCAGAGGAGAATGGCTATCGGATGAGTGCTGCCTGTCAATGATCTGCCCCCACCAAACATTCCCGAAGCCGTTTGTCTTTTGCTCAGCCCAAACCGCTTCTAGTAGTGGTATGGTGGTGTTGAACATGTGGTATCTTGTCCTATCATTCCAAGACGCACAGAGATGTAATATCTTCCTCTGCGATGAGGGGTCTTGCAATTCACATCCAGCAAAGAAGAGCGGCAGCAAGGCCTGTCTAGAGATCATGCATTCGTCGCGGCAGGCAAAGACATGGTCCATTATGGTTCTTGCGCGGTACAAGATATGAACCGGGACACTACACCCGGGCATCCATCGGAACACCCTATATAGATAAAGGAGAAGCCCATTTCTCCAAGCTTCAGCGCAGTGCATATTATCTACATCTTGCTGCATGCTCTCTTCGTTGTGAAAAGCGGTAGCTGGCGAAACATGATACCACGACTCAAGTGATTTTTCAAGTGCGGATAGGAGCGTCGTACCAAACGTAGCGTACTGGTTGAAGGACGACCTTCGCTGTTCTGCAGCTAATCGTGCTAGTTGCATCACTACCTTCACGAGACTGAGTGGGCATCCGCATAGACGAAAAAAGTCCCACTCTTGGCCGTTGTACCTTGACATAAGGGTTTCAAAATAAGCATAAGGGAGCACACAATCTTCCCTGTTGACCAGACTTGTGATCGCATCCCACCTGGCCAGTCAGCTACAGTTCGTTAAGGAAGAAGGCGGGTTTCAAGTACCATAACAGTATTCCTATTTGCACTTGTGTCCTAGCGGAGGTGGCCCACTTCTCAATGCCGCCGCAAGCTTCGAAAAGGCCGTATGCTCCCAGGAGATGGGTTCGCCAAGTTCCGAGGGCAGACTGGGTTTCCTAGAATCCCGAGTCAATGAGGTGCTTACTCAACGTATGTGAAGACGCGACTAACATCTAGTGAAAACAGGATGATAATGGTATCAAGGATAGATTCTCTATGTGTTGTACTGTTGTACCTGTCAAGGTTCTGGCGGAGTGACTGAAGTGCGGCATGACGATGGGTGTCGGTGGATGTGCTTTCGACATGGTGACCAGCTAAAGCCATCACCGCATGGACGAGGAACATAGGTTTGGGAACCGAGCTTTCTCGGTACTGGAAGGGGTTCATTTTGAAGTCAGATGTTAGTGGGATTCGGCAAAATTCCATGTTATCTTTCAGGCCTGAATTAGCGAGCCATGCATGAGTAGACTTAGAGTGGACATACATCGTTCAAGGGCATTGTAGTACCGCTGACCAAGAGTACTGTATAAGACACCGGATGGTATTGAGGTGGAAATGAACAATTCTTCACATTGAGCATTGAGGCTAGGTAGACTGGACGCAGCCTTTTCAGCTTCGCATTCGGCCGGAGACGTGGACAAATGGCCGGGTATGCATTGATTTATGCTGTCGCGTGGATACGGGGGGCGCTCCGTAGTGGCTCCTTGACTTGACTTCAATTCAAGAATGCTTATACTAGACCTTGTAGAAGAATCATTGGATTTTTGATCAAGAGAACATAGATTATCTTTTACTGACTGTTTAGAGGGCCGGTCCTGGGCCGGATGCTCTACGATAAATTCGAGTTGGTGCGGGTTGGCATTAGGCCGGCGGGTCCTCGACCGTCTGACTGGTTTTTTAGACAGGGAAAACACCGGTTGCCAAGAGAGCTGGAATTCCCTCATTCTATTCAGTAGGTGACAAGCGTACGAATTGAGCGAGTCTGGCCAAGGAAGGCTCGATTATCGATGCTCTGCAACCATGACAATCCATCCGGATTAATCGTGAATGCCGATCCGAGATCACCCTTACCCGTTTAGGCCACTTGCCTATTTGGGACGATTGCCTGTTTGGGTATTCCGGAGTCCACTCCAGGCTCATGAATATAAGGATCTGCCGAGAGACTCTTGATATAACTCTCGTTGACCATTCTTGCTAGCTCAGTACTATTATTCTCGGTGCAGAGCTGCTAATCTTCCCTTCCAATTGACACTTAGCAGTGATCTGTTTCACCGTATGTCATTGAACCCTATAGGATATTGTACGAGGGTATAGGTACAGCGATATATCAAGATTCCTTTAACACCAGGGAAATCGCCAAGGCCATTCGGTATGAATGGTATTCAATTAGTCAAGCGTTCGGACTCTGTACCGGAAGGTTCGTCAGCCCCATAGACGATATATTTCTTACGTCGCTTAACCTACTGAGTATAGAAATACAGGGCCGACATATAGTGCAGATGTTACAATAGTCAGCTGGAATGGACCAGATGATCCACAGGATCCTTTCAACTGGCCTCTGTGGAAGAAGTGGTGGGCGACTGGACTAGGTCTCCTCGCGAGTTTTGTTTGCTCGATGAACGGAACGATCCTATCTGTTGCCCACCAGGATATCAGTGAAGAATTCCATATTTCTGATGCGACATTCCCAAATTCCTACTGGCTAACCACTTCCTGGGGCTTAGGGGCTGCTTTGTGTCCGCTGATCTTATTCCCTATCATGGAGGATTTCGGAGTTCGGCCCGTACTTCTCGGCACCTACTTCGTTTTCGCTTGTCTCCTGGTCCCAGTGGGGTTTGCCCATAACTATGCAACGTTGATCGTTGTTCGTTTCTTCAGTGGCGGATGTGTTCCACTCATGAGCGATGCAGTTGCTAGCATAGCATCGAATGTTTTCCACGGGGATCGAGCCAGAAGTATCCCGATCAGTCTCTACGTCACTGTATATCTTTCCTCAACAAGCATAGGCCCAGTCGTCGGCGCGTCCATACTACAGTTCCTCCCTTGGCGCTGGACAGGCCACATGGAAACAATATGGACCGCAGCAGTGCTCCCAATTTTTGCTCTCGGCCTTTCCGAATCTCGAGGATCAGCGATTCTCCAAGCTAAGGCCAAATCCCTCCGTTCAGACGGCAAGAACGCGTACACAGCAGCAGAACTAGAGCTAGACCGTACGCCATTGTCCCAACTCGTCATCAAAAGCATGAAGCGACCATTATACATGCTTCTTACAGAATGGGTGGTTTTTGTCGCTGCTCTTTGGGCAGCGTTCAGCCTCGGAACGATTTATCTCTTTACCCAGTCCGTCGAACAGGTCTATGCAGAACTTTACGGCTGGGATGCGGTCAAGGCAGGGTATGTACAAGGTGCTATTGTGATAGGCGAAATCCTCGGCTGTGTACTCTGCATATCTACCAATCATTGGTATCATGACTCCGCTGCCCGGAATGTCGAGACACCCGGCGTACCCATCCCCGAAGCCAGGCTATACCCATCGATCATCGGGGGCTTCTTTGGGGTCACCGGAGGGATGTTTGTGTATGGATGGACTTCATACTCCTCCATACATTGGATAGCACCGACAGTTGGCCTAGCCATGGTGGGCTTCGGATCCACTGCTGTTATCATAGGCAATGCAAACTACTTGATAGACGCGTATAGTAAGTATGCGGTCAGCGCTCTTGGGGCGGTTGGCCTTGTGGAGAATGTTGCCATCGCTTTCCTTCCGCTCGCCACTACAGCCATGTACACAGACCTTGGGTTTCAATGGGCTAGTTCAGTTCTTGCATTCGTATCGTTGGCGCTGGCTGCAACCCCGCTCGTGATGCTCCGATGGGGGGCGGTCATCAGGTCTCAAAGCCCATTTATGAGAGAGGCTATTATTGACAGGCGAAGTGGCAGCGTCGAGACAGCCAATATGTGATCGCTCTCACTAATCCTCACTTTATTTGGCCTTGATTGCCACCGATTGCATACTCCGGGGTATGTGGGCATAGTGTGCTATTCTTCGGTATTAGGCTCGCTATGAATTGCTCTCCCCTTGCTTGACTCTCTCTGGTCTCGGTTCTAGGAGGCCCTGTTTCTTCGACAAGTACTTTCCCATCGCCAAGGCTCGTGTAGCATGATCATATTATTTGCGGAGAATAGCAGTAGGTTGTCCAAATGAAATTTATTGTTGATTCGCGCTTTTTATGCAACCATGTATTTTTACATAGATGTGCTATTCTTTTGTAGGATTACTCAAGTGGTGTACAGTACCAATATATATATCTGTACTAAGAAAGCACTCGTCTCTATATAAACTAATTTTGACTAGTAATTATCTGACCACTCTCACGGTTTTTATTTGTATGATCTACTCGATTCCTTGACGTGTATGGGAATCATTGAGACGACGAAACGGCGAAGTGGTCGAGTACTATTCTAGGGTCGGGTTGAAAAGGATGTCTAAAGGATGCATTTGGACATCCAACTAAACCCTTTTAGGTTAGCTCCTGGCGAAGCCTCGGTAAAAAGGGAGCAACTAAAGCGGTCAAGCTCAGACGGTGGATTCTATCATCATTTCTGACAAGCTTTCAGAATCAGCAAAACAATAAACCGATACTCTCTGGAATGTAGAGAGGCTTGGCCTTCTCCAAATCAGGGAGCTACCAGGTGGTGGATCGGGTTACTAGTAATTGTCAGACCGAGGACAAAACGAGCAGCAATGACAAGCCTGTGTGTATGGTGGCCTTACGGTTGCTCTGACTATAGTATTTTAAGTCCGTGACTAACATAGCAAGACCGACATTAACTAGAGTGTTGCTAACATAGTCAATGCAGGCAGGAAAGCTCTTTCAGGACTATGTGGATATACATAATGGATATTACGTTGGAGGAGGATTCTGGCCAGCAGCCCTGATTGGGCCGGCTGGTTAGATGATCCGGCCGCCTAAACGGTCCCACAATCCTTTTGTTGTTCTCGGCTTGGCTAGTTTAGTTAAGTACACCGTAGCAACCATTCAATTTCAACCAAGAATTATGATGACCACGATATAGCGTGCTTAAGATATCATGCTGTCCCTCCACTTCATATTCAGCCGCGTGCCATGTCTCATCTCGCAAATAGGCACGTTTATTGATGGCTCGTCATAATCCGATCTCTATACCTCTGGACCAATTCTTCATCCACGATAGGGGCGGGATATGCATCACCACCAAGGACATGCTCTCCAGCAGTTGCGCCCTTCAGCATGGAAGATACTGCTTCTGCATCGACAAGACCGTCAACTACAGCCGCAATGCGTGCTAAGGAGCTCGCTGGGTACGCTGCCGCATAGTCCAGGGCCCTGGTCCGCCATGATACAAAGGGAATATGTTCACACCTCTCACCACCCATCAGCCGGAAGAAGTAGTCAGAACTGACTGCGTTCTTGTTGACAAAGTCAAAGTCATGACCTATCTGAGACCGATCCTCGACCATCAGGGTGGCGATAGTTTTGCACAAGTAGTCGACTGGCTGCACAACGGAAAGATTGGCATTTAGAGATGGGAAAGCGCCCATCTCGAGGCTTCCTACAATAAGATTGTGTAGAAAGTCCCCACGGTCAAGTCGGAAGTGACCAGTCGCTGCGGACGCAGTCACAAAGGGTACGCGGTAAACCGAGGCCTTTGCCCCGCGCCATCTTGCCGCCGCCACCATGCGTACTTCGACATAGAGTAGCCAAACTCCCGATCATGGGTGGGTATCTCATATCCTTGGTGCAAGGGCAAGGTTGCGAGAGTGGATATAAAGTGGGCTGCCTTACCATGGCCGCGCGACGCTAGACGTAGGACCTCGTGTGCGCTGGTTATGTTTGGTCCGATGTAGTCTTGTAGTGGCCGCATCCAGTCAACAAGGGCGCTGCAGTGGCAGATAGCGTGGACAGAGCTAGCCAACTTATCAAACGCCGACTGTGATAGCCCAAAAAACGGTTGTGCTGCATCTCCTGGTATTGGGTGAAGCAGCGAGGTATATTCCGGCTTCCAGAGATCATAGCTGTTCAGTGCGCTTATAAGTCGTTGTTGACCGTGGTCAATATCCTTGGCACGGACGAGACAGTGAGCTTGAATGCCCAGCTGAAGGAGCTCACTCAGGATAAATGATCCGACGAACCCAGTGGCGCCAGTTATAAAGACAGCATCAGGTCGTTGAATGTCTCCTTTATTATCGAATGCAAAGCAAGGCTCAAGGCACCCGCTGTTAGCTACTGACATGTCGAGTGTGGTTCCTGGTGTGTGTGCAGTGCCATTTAATCCTTTTTTCTCCGGAGCAGCTATACCTGGCCTGTCATTCTGTCCATGCATCTGTGATTGTATCTGGGTCAACAAAAACGTACTGAGCGCTCTCAAATTTGGATAGTTCCATGTAATTGAGCTGGCAGAGAGTGTTTTGAGTTTTGTTAACTTGGCCAGCTGGTTCCGCATTAGCACGGCTGTCAATGAGTCGAAACCAATATCCTGTAGTCGCACGTTCACATCCACCTCCTCGGCTGACGCGTATCCCAATGCGTTGGCTACCGTCTCTCGAACCATATGTAACACAGTGGCCGCATGCTGACTAGGGTCCGCTATGCTCAGTACCTGGAGCAAATCCCTGCCTTCTGTGTTTTGTGTTGTGTTGCTCCCCATACCTCTACATTCATAGCCCTCTTGCGGTTGCAACAACAAGCGATATAATGGTGGAACCTCGCCTCCGTCTAGGACACCATCCCCCAGGAAATATGCTCGCAGACGTTCAAGATCGAGTGCTGCACCCACGGTAAGCGGACGAGCACTGCTAAGTGCCTGCCATAGTAACTTTAGCCCATCCTCAGGAATGAGTGCGTCGAGGCCAAATTTAGCTAGATGTGCAAGGGTCGTTCTTCCTGTCAGCTCCAAGGCCATCCCATCCCCAGCCCAAACACCATACGCGACAGAAGTGGCCGGAAAATGCTGAGCCTGACGCCAATATGCGAGTGCATCAAGAAAGGTGTTGGCAGCGGCGTAATTCCCAAGACCAGGCATTCCCATGACACCAGAAATCGACGAGAACATCATGAAGAAGTCCAACTTCATATGTTGGGTAAGCAGGTGCAAATTCCATGCACCATTCACTTTTGGTCGAAACGTTGTAGCACAGCGCTGGGCGGTCATGGTGGAGAGGACACCATTGTCAACCACGCCGGCCGTATGAATAACGCCAAGGAGTGGGCGATCCTGGTTGAAGATCGCCAATGCCGACTTCAAACTATTGAAGTCACCAACATCGCAAGCAATCACGCTAGCTGTAGCGCCCAACTGACTTAGTTGTTTAACGAATGTCTCTGCACCGGGAGCGTCCATGCCTCGACGAGATATAAGAACCAAGTCACGGACATAGTGAGTGGAAACTAGCCATTTGGCCACTTGCTTACCAATTCCACCCATGCCACCAGTTAACAACACTGCGCCGTTTTGTTGCATAAGAGGTTGTTGGTGTTGCGCTGCAACCGCCTGTGGCACATCTGGGCGGACTATCCGGGGCACAAAGATTTTACCGCTTCTCACGGCGCATTCGGGTTCCTCTTCTGATAGCCCTAGCACGGCTGCCAGGTTGTTGAGAGACTCTTGTCTCTCGTCTAAATCGATCAGGCGGAGCCGTAGTTCAGGATGCTCCGTTCTCGCGGTACGCATCAGTCCCCATAGTGGAGCGGCGCTTAGGCCACTTCGCTTGCATTCTTCCCTGTTCAATCCATTGCTTATGGTGCCATTAGTATAAGCGCCCTTGGCACTGATACTAGCCGCATTATGAGTTACCCAAATTAAGGACGGCATGAAGGTCAACCTAGCTGCAGACTGTAACTGGCTTAGAGCTTTCGCAATGAAGGTATTAGCCTCAAAGGGAATATCGGGGTTGGAGGACTGATTCCAGAGGCATAACAACCCGTCTAAGTGTTTGCAGTCCTCAAGTTTCTGGACCTCAACAAACCGGACACCGGCCTGTACTAGGGCTAATTTAACTTTTGATGTCGAGCTAGGGTCTCCACCTGCACATAATAGACCCCAGGAGGTACCGCCGGCATCAGTTGCTGGTTGTCCCCTATCAATGTATTGCCATCTGATTTCGAACTGAAACCGGTTATCACAGCTAGGAAGATCACCATTTGCGCATTGTCTATTTTTGCATTCAATAGCAGAAACCCTCGCGGCACTAGTCGTTACTGATCTTGACGGTCCAACTGAGTTGACATGCACCCGCTGAAAGCTATATGTTGGCAACTGAACCCGTCGGCAGGCGAATGGTTTGAAGTAGGTAAGCCAATCGACAGGCACACTTTGAACGTGAAGTCCAGCAAGGCTGCGTTGCATGGTAATGATATCATCTTCTGTTTCAGCCTTTAGAGACGGTAAAAAGACAAGCGGGATGTTGTCGTCTTCACCGCTTTCCGTAAGACAAGTTGCAGCCAGGCCAAGTAAAACTGGTCGAGCACCCAACTCAAGGAATGTGTTGATACCTATTTCATCGTAGAGCACCTGAGTGCCTTCGCTGAAGCGAACAGCCATACGTACCTGTTGGACCCAGTATTCTGGTTGTTCCAGCTGCCCTGCATGCGCTAATTTGCCAGTGACGCTACTGACAACTGAAAGCTTGGGTGGGTGGAATCGTAAGGTCTCGATCACGGCTCGAAACATGGGAAGCATTCCATCCATATGGAACGAGTGGAATGCGTGCGACACATCCAGCGTCTTGACCCGGCAGCCAAGGTCGTTTGCGAAATGAGCTGATACACACCCAAGAGCATCAACATCACCAGAGATGACAGTCTGCGTTGGCGTGTTGTGACCAGCAACGTCGACCTTGTTAGACAGACCTAATTCAGATATGACTCCGATGGCCTCTTTGGCGGTGGCCTCCAGGACCACCATGCCACCTTGTCGTGTTCTGAGGGCTTGCATGAGCCGACCACGCGCTCCTACGAGGCGACAGGCATCAGACAGGCCCAAGACACCGGCAGCATGAATGGCTGCAATTTCACCCACGCTGTGACCTAGTACTGCTAGTGGATAAACACCCCAGCTTTCCCACAGCCGCCATAGTGCGACCTCCAGTGCGAAAATGGCAGGCTGAGCGTAATCTGTGCGACTTAATAGCCCAGCCAGATCGCTGCCATGATCAGCCCACATTACATCAAGAAGCGGCGGTTCCAGGTTGAAAAAGTGCGCAGCGATGTCGTCCAGGGATTCTTGGAATTTGGGAAACATGCGGTAAAGGTTTCTGCCCATGCCCGGTCGCTGGCTTCCCTGGCCGGTAAACAGCATCGCTAGGCGCGGCTCATGGTCATGGTTGCCACCCGTATTACTCAATATACCGGACTGAGGCGGCACATTGTTAGGAGTATCAGCTGAACAGAAAGCTAGTTTCTCTAGTAGATCCCTTCTATCTTGTGCTATCAATGCCAAGCGACGACAATGATGTGAGCGCGTCGTTGCGAGCGAGTACGATATGTCCTCGAGGCATTGGCCGTCATCACTTGAACTCATGGCTTTTATGTGCCAATACAACTTCCCAGCTTGCTGGCGCAACGCTATATCCGTCTTACCTGATATCAGGAATGGTAGTTGAGCGTGGGAAACGGGATGCTGCTGTCTCTGATCGGCATTCGTTGACGGCTGTGGTGCCTCTTCAATACTAATGTGGGCATTTGTTCCTCCGAGGCCAAACGCGCTAACTCCAGCGCGACGTGGCTTCTGAGAAGCGGGTGGACATGGTCGATTCTCCAATACAAGCCCCATGTTAGAATTCTTCCAGTCGACTAGTGGAGTTGGCTCATTGATATGTAGAGTTCGAGGAAGCATGCTATGCTGCATGGCGAGCACAACCTTCAGCACACCAGCCAAGCCAGCTGCAGCCTGAGTATGGCCGATGTTAGACTTTGACGAGCCTACTAACAGGGGCTCCTTCGAAGGGGGCCGGCCGCGAAAAACCTCGGCCAGAGCTGTGCCTTCGATTGGGTCTCCTAGCTTCGTTGCGGTCCCATGAGCTTCGATGTAATTGATTTCGTTCGGCGTCAATCCAGACCTGTGAAGAGCCGTACGTATCAGGCGCTCCTGGGCGGGGCCGCTGGGGGTGGTGAGGCTGGCGGCGCTTCGTCCGCCGTGGTTGACAACACTGCCGCGTATGATGGCATGAATCGTATCGCCATCACGCTGGGCATCGGACAGTCTCTTCAACACTATCACGGTGGCACCGTCGCTGAATCCTGTACCTTCAGCATCTGCTGCAAATGCCCGACAGCGCCCATCACGCGATAAACCCCCAAGCCGACTAAACTCTACGTGAAGATCTGGGGAGAGCATGATCGTGACACCGCCGGCCAGCGCTATTTCGCACTCCCCGTTTTGTAGAGCTGTGCATGCTAAGTGAGTGGGGACAAGTGATGATGAGCATGCCGTATCGACCGTAAGCGACGGGCCTTCTAGGCCTAGAAAGTACGATACACGGCCGGAAAGGATAGCACTATGTGAGCCGGTTACTGTGTACCCATTGAGCCCCCTCTGACCTGGGGTGGAGGAATTATGAGCAGCAACAGGAGCATGGCCGATGAAAACCCCCGTCTGGCTGCCACACAGTCGTTGCATGGGATATCCGGCACGTTCGAGGCCTTCCCAGCATGTTTCCAGCATGACCTGCTGCGCTGGGTCCATAGCTTGGGCCTCTCGAGGTGACACTCCAAAGAATGACGCGTCGAATGATTGGATGTCGATGAAACCACCTTCGCGACAATAAGACCTACCAGGTGAGTCTGGGTCAGCATCATATAACTGGTTGGCATCCCAACGGGCTTTGGGAATATCGGTAATTGCGTCGCCACCAGTTTCGAGTAGCTCCCAGTGCTCCTCTGGGTTGGTGATACTACCTGGTAGTCTACATGCCATGGAGACTATGGCAATATCCTCGCGGTGTGTATTTTCATGCCCCCTGTTCAGGTCATGATTGCTTCCGTCGTGGTATTTCTGTTGCCTCAATAGCGATTGGACTGGCGGGACCTCTTTTTCTGTGGTGCCACTTGAACTAGTTCCTTCAAGATAAGCCGCCAAGGTCTTGACAGTGAAGTGTTCGAATAATTTCGCCGCCAGCACACGCCTCTTGAATGCTTTTTCGAGCTCCTTCTTAACGCGAATAAGCCGGATGGAATTGCAACCTACCTGGTAAAAGCTGTCATTGATTCCGATGCGGTCGTGACCAAGCACCCGCACCCAAACGGTCAGTACACGCTGCTCAGTGTCTGTCTCAGGCTTGTTCGATGCCACTCTCGTTGCTCCCACTGAAGTAGGATCTGGCAACGCCTTTCGATCGATTTTGCCATTGGGAGTCATTGGAAAGTATTCCATTTCGACGAAAAATGCAGGTATCATATGCGATGGTCGGCGTTTCGACAGCCATACATGAAGAAGGCCGCCCAGCGACGATGTGGATGACCTACTTTCATCCCTGTTCTGGAGCACATAGTAGGCGACAAGTTGATCATTCCGGCTGACAACTACAGCAGCGGAAACGTCCTCGTGTTCGGTTATAGCCGACGCAACATCCCCAAGTTCAATTCGGTACCCTCGCACCTTGACTTGATAGTCGACGCGGCCCACCATGTTCAGCTTTTTCGGTGTTATAAAACGAGCCAGGTCCCCAGTCGAGTACAGCCGTCCCTTATGGAAAGGATTGACCTCGAGGAAGCGATTACGCGTCAGTTCTGGCTTGTTCTGGTAGCCGCAGTTGACTCCCACACCACCGATGTATAGCTCGTACAGGTACACCTCAAGAATGCTGTTCTCGCGGACAAGTATGCTGAGCAGACCATTAACCAGGGAAATCACAGCTACCACTACGATTCGAGTTTGAAGGAGAGAATTCCAAAATGGAATGAACGTATGGCTGAAGCTTTGGGTCAATATAGTTACAGCTTTGCTAGAATGGAGACGGAGATGTGCGAGTCTGGCTACAGGTGCGATGATATTTCATTCTTGGAGATGTGGGCGCATATGATGATAAGAGGATTTTGCTGGCATTATTGCCATACCATGGTACATAGTGGATAGGCGGGTTGGCAACGTTAGGTTGCTGACTAATTCATCAGTAGTTTCGGATAGTTTTTAATAGTTACTGATAGTTTAAACAAAACAAAAATCAGTTCTACAGTCACATAATAGTTAATTTATTATTTTTAAATTATTAGTTATAATTTCAAGTTCTATATAGTTTTTGTATAGAAATCTATAAATACTGAAATATAATATAACAGTCAAT